GACTTGGGACCCCTATAATTCATGAGCGGACGGCCTAATAACCGTTTTTAGGGACGCTAAAAAAACTTTAGAATCTAAGCTAAATATGCATATTTATAAACAACGTTACAAAATACATTCTACCCTTAAATGGTCAAAATATTTGGCAAACTTTCAAAAAAATGTGTTTTTTTGTTATATGTTAGCGATTCTAAGGGCAAAAGAAATTTTTCAAATTTTTTTCTCGGATACGTATGTTCAGTTTAGATTCTAGTTTCCAAATACCCTACGATCATTATTAGATGACTTCATATGAGAGTTATGAAGATCCAAATTCGACGAGTAGATGATTTTTTGACCCTTACATTGTCTTGCATTTAAATCATTTTAATCGATTAAAAAAATTAGATATCTTGTAAGAATTTACGTTGAAAAATTCAAAACTTCAATGTCATTTTAGAAACAAAGGACAAAAATATAATTAATTGTATTCCAAAACTTAATAAAATTCTGATAGATTTTTATTCGAAGCTGAGTATAAGTTTTTAAGTTTGTAAAATGTTCAAATAAAAGTACAGTTAAGAAGAATCTATATGTTCAATTTAAAAATCAGCAAACTTTCTATCTGTATCAAAGAAAAAGAAATCAAAGATTTTCATATCATTCTGTACAATTCAATTAAATTTAAATACTTCTTGAAACATGTTTTATGATACATCATTTTTATAGTCGATTGCATAACTTTATCATTAGAACAATAATGAGACAATTTAATACAGTCTATAGGATTAGCTGATATAAATAAATAATTTGCACAATAGAAAGATATTTTCTAGGTTCAACAACAAAACATAATATCAAATAAGCGGTAAATAAAGAAAACAATTTTCTACTATAAAAACTTGATTTTTTTCAACAGCATAACTCACATCAGCTAAGGTACAAGAGATACAAAAAAATATAGAATATTTTCTATAAATTTTTCTCGAAACTTTTTTAATAACATCTGAATATCTTCCTTAAGTAGCAAACATTTCTCTCTAGATTCAGTAGCAATAGTTGATGTCAAAGATCTAGAATGCATCTAAACAGCAAAATGATGGACCTTAATTTCCCTTGAAAACGACCTAAGACACGATCACTCAACTCTAGGTACATTTAGAAAACCATCAAAATCAACTAACCTCAGATATGTTAGATCGAAGCGAAGAAAAGAGGAGATTAAAAAAGAAGTTCAAACCATTAGACCTGCCAAGTAAATTTCAAGAAGACTCAGAGTGACGATCGATGGAGAGTCCTTTGCTAGAATAAAATAAAATCAACAAGATTACTCATTGTTCTTAGAATCAGATAATAATTAAAAATTAATTAATAAAGAAAAAAAATTGTCCCTGGTTGTCAACACTAAATTGTTTAAATATCAACTTTTAAATGTTTCATAGTAATTTAATTCATTAATTTTAAAGCAACATGAGAGCCCCGTTCATGATCAGACTGAAACCTGATTTTTGGAATAAATTTTAATGTGATAAAGTTTGAAAAAGATTTAGCGATTTCGATGATAATGTTAATGATAATCCAATTGAGTGAAACAAGTTAGTGAAATTAACGGAATATTACCAATTTAGTCGTTTTATAATAATAAGTTCAGCATAACTAAACCCTTGTATGTGTTCATAAGAGGCAATAAAGTCTGATGACGCGTGGCGTGAAACCCCTTGTAGGTTCGGACGAAGCGAGATTAAAAGCTGTGATTACACATGGTATCGAACAAACTTCATCTTTCTCCCTTTTCCTTTATACTCCTTCATTCCCCTACTTTCTCGTTTACTCTCTTTCGACCCGTTCAAATTGCAAATGCCGCACGTTCCTCAGCTTCTATTTAAATGTAATTTGTATCTCGACCGCCACCTGCCCCTTCTACTTTCGGTAGTGGTCGTCCAAATTCTTCTTGTCCCGTCTTCTCTAGCTTCTTTCCACGTGAAAGCCTTCAGTTATTTACTCAACTTTACATTCTTCTTTCGTATACACTTTCGCATATTATTTGAACTTTTAATATTCAACTTCATAAACACGTACAGGTTTCACTTAAATTTTTAAAAACACTTTATTTAAAAATAATCTAAACAAAGAATTGATCAAATGGGACAAGAGTTTTTTTTAATCATCAAGTTTAGTAGAATAAATAATTATTTTATTATTTACCAATTGATGTTGACCAACAATACCAAAATTTAGACTTATTTTAATAATTACATGATTTTATGATGTAAATCTACTGAAGCAGAATGCTAAGTAGTTTTATACGAACAGGTCAATAGATTTGGAAATAAAATAATAAAAGTTTAAAAGAAAATAATAGTGATGTTTAGGTATATTTTAGTACAGTGTCCTGCTTTCTTGAAATGTGTATATTAATTAATGTATCATTTATAAATATTTGTGAACTGAAAAATAGATTTTTAAGGAAGAATACGTATCCTCATCAGAAGTAAACGTTTTTAGACATTGCTAAAACAACCAGTTCTGTCATAGCATCTTAAATTTATGCCTTCATAAATACATGTTAGTTATAAAAGTATGTGATACTAATCCACTGAAAGAGAGAATGTGATATGTAAGTGAGATTTGAAGGTTACAAATATCATTTTTCAGATTCAAAATATTTCGTGACACTTTTGATTACACTAGGCGATTTTTATTTCTAAAATGTTGTAATATAAAATAACAGGTTTTTATTATTAAAAAATTTGTGATGACATAATGAAGGTGATAGTATCTTTTGCTATAAGGAAAGAATTTACTCATCATGGCGAAAAATAGACTGAAAAGAAGAGAAAAAGTTAGCTGTCCTAGTAAAACTACTTTTTTTAAATTCAGTGATACAAAATACTCATGATAAAACATGACCTAGTGACCGAAAAATAAAAAAAAATATATATATTCAAAGTGTTGGTGATATTTTACAACTTGAGTTAGTTTTAAAAATAGTAGTTTTACCACAAGTATTCATCCTTTACTTCATTTCCCACGGAAGAAAGGGGACGCAGATAAAAGAGAGTTAACAGGGATGGCTCGTGCTCATGAAGGCTTGAAAATTCGTTACGATTATAATTGTCTATAATCAGCGAGAAATCTTTTTTTTACCGGTTATATTCTGATGATGGAAGCTTGACGAATGCTTTGGAAAATGTTCTTTTTTGAAATGAAGGGTAAAAAGATCTCTGAACCACAAATTCTGGGGTGTAAAGTGTTTCTGCTAGTCTTGTATGTAGTGCATGTATACTTATGGGGGAAGGAGCCCATGATTTAAAGTCTACCGCGAGGGGTGAATTGATGATAGGTTATGTGAAATTTCCATGTGTTGCACGTGTCAATATCACTACACCCTTTAAATACCAATTTCGCATGACTTGAGTTTATCCCTCATCATCTCAGACAGCTTTTTAATCAGCAATCTACAGTGTACGAGATATTTTATCTACAGAGTAACATATAAAGTACTCGAGACGACTGACAGTAGTGAAAACTGTTCTAGATTGATGCAATAAAAACGATCCAACTCAAGAGTGTGTTGGATTTATTTTACAGCAACCCTCCACACAATACAAACGTTCACATCGGAAGTAGGCTGAATACATGGAGACGAGTAACACCCTTCTTCCGCGATCTACATCCACCTTCACTTGCATCCCCTTCTATACATTGCACAATTCATACAGGAAGCTAAGAGACACGCACTATTACCGAGGTATCATAGGGAGACAATATTATGACGTCTCTATCCGGCTCACCCTCTTCAACATTATTCCTATCGCCTTCACGCTTCACGCCAATATTGATTCTCTCATCTCTGACGCATCATCAATCTACATTTTTGCAGAGTCCATTGATGAAATTGTCATCGTCAATAAAATTGGCTAGATCTTATTGGAACTGAGAAAAATCCCTCTTGGACTCAAGTGTCATAGAAAACCTATTTTGAAATGTACTGACACTTTGGACCCTATGACAGTATCATTCCAATACGTCCAAGAAAATAAAACGACTGCAACGATCATGTATATTTCATTTAAAAAAAACTAAAAGACCACAAAAATATTTTTCATACTCAACTATGGCAAGTGGCTTGTACTAACTTGAACAATGTGTAAGTCACTTTGAGAGCAGCATTGTGATTTGATTCTTACGCATTATATGATCCTAACGACAATGATCCAAAGTGGTCCACATGACACATGTCGTCAATTTATATATATATATATATATAAAAGAGCCACCAAGCCCGGATATAAAGTCGAGGGTGCAGTATTGAGAGAAGTTGAAAAAGAATTGAGAGAAAACTTGAGCGAAACAGTTGGACACTCGATGTCATAGTACGATGCATGTCTCAAATGTCGTTTGACAGGCAGCCTTCTTAGTTGAGTACGGCTGGCTTTTCCCTTCACTATCTGACATGTAAACGGTCATTGTCCAATATTTTATGCAACTTTGAATATTCTTGCTAAATTCACTCCATCATATTAATTATCTTGATGCTACTATAATATAGTCTTTATTCCCACGAGTTTTAAGAAATTAGTGTAATTAGTTCCTGATGATGTTGACGACAACCAGATACGTATTACTTTAATTAGCTATCTCATCATTTAAAAAGCTTTTCACTTGAAGATTATATATTCCAACATTTTCTTTTATCAATAAAAGGTGTAACTGGAGAGATATTTGTTTTATTCGTCATTTTTTAAATTATTTTCAAAAAAATCATTTTCCAAGTAATCTTCATTATAATTTCTTATTTATGATGAAATTATATTGATTACTTTGATAAATGCATCATATTCTTCTAGTATAATCTTTTGTCATCAACATTTCTAAATAAAATTACAAAAACTAATTAATGATAATTAAAGGTCAATTTTAACCTGAAATGAATAAATTATTTAGGTCAATAATGATTAAAAATCATCTGTTCAATCTTGATTAACATTAATTGTAAAAAACATCTTGATTTTTTTTAGGTATCGTCGATCAACAGGGTACTGAGAAACTTAGCAGCTCAAAAAGAGCAACGTCAGCAACAGCACCAACATCAACAACAACAGCAACAAGGCGTTGGCACAGGAGTTGGAGTTGGAGTTGGAGCTACAAGCCCAGCTGAAAGTGTTTACGATAAGCTGAGGATTCTGAACGGCCAATCAACTGGTTGGCCGCGTCCTAATCCTTGGTAAGTATGATGATCAAAAAAACGTAGACTTCAGTGTTGATTTCCAAAACGATCATCGGCCACACTCATGTCTACTCGTATTGTGTTAGTTGGTAGCGATTGTCTCACAACTTTGGCGATTCTTCAAGGTATCCCACGGGTGCTGGAAGTCCATTTCCGTCGCTCCAGTCGAGTCTCAGCCCGAGTCATTGTACAACGTTACCTCCTGATCCTGCGGACATTCTTCATGCGAAAAAAGGTAAGATTAATATTTTATATTGATGGAAGTAGACTTCATTCCCACAATATTTTATCATAATCAATTTCACTGTAAAGTCTTAGATTCTTTTGATCCTATTTTCAATCTTTAAGACTTAATGTTTTTATAATTTAAAAACGAGTTAGCATAGAACAAATTTATTTGAATAACAAAATTTTGGTAATTGTGCATTGATGGAGCTTCACCCCAATTTCAATGTTAAGAAATTTTTAACACCTGATTTGGTTTTAGGTTTATAAAAATAGGCTATTTGTGTCGGATGAAACCATTTTTAATAATTGTTTATTAATTAATTAATTGGTTATTGTTAAAAAAATTTTTTAAAAAATTATTTTTAAGTTATAACATTGATTTTGGTTGTAAATAATCATGAAAACCGGCTTCCCCCATCATATATTTTCTAGTTACATGTATTAAAAAGCGTGCCAATTGCTAAAAAAATTTTTAAACTGAAACTGGGATGAAGCCCGACTAATTCACAATTACGAAAATGTTTTCCAAATGATAAAAATTAATTAGACAGATAAAATGTTTATATAAACCAAAATTCACGTAAACTCCAGTGACCAAGCACAGAGGATTTTAATTAATTAATGCAGAGATATATGGCAAGAGAGATCTAGAAGCAATACTAATATCAATGTAATATTCACCAAGCGTTGGAACTCTGCGGTTTGCCGCACGTGTATGCACACGGCTTTCCAAATTATTGTAACCAGATATACATACACAATATGAGAGGCATTGAATAACCCCCATTTCTGTATCAAAATGTATTTCTCCAGTTACCCTTCAAAGGTTCATAGATCAAACGTCCTTTTTTCATCAACAATCGAACACTTTGAGGTTGAAAGTTAGTCTTCTTGGATCTGAATATTTAACACTTCAGGGGATAACTGCAAGAGACATGGAAACTGTTGCGAACCTTCAACTGCACGCGAACCCTCGAGGCTTGATTATTTGTGGGGGGAAGACAGCTTATAGGATAATATCTCGTCCTTTTAAGGGGATGAATAAAGCCTTGAGCTAATTTACTGATGTCACAAAAAAACAAATCTGTGCACAGCTTTAAGAAGATAGTTCATTGTTAAACCGTGAAGATAAAAATTTAAAAAATACTCTAAAATAATTATAATCATAGATAATCATCTTGAAGAGATATTATTGATTTAATTTTTAATCATTTTGCTATCTGATTAAAATGATTAATCAGAGCTTTTTATTGAATTACATTGTAAGCAAACATGTTAAATTTATTTATTCCAGCAGAACCTTCTGGAATTTCATAAATCCATGCTATTTATTTTCAAAAAGAAAAAGTAGAATTAAAAAAAAAAAAATTTCAAAAGAAAATTCCAGTTGTTATCCGATTTTTTTTCATCAGTATGAAGGATATATGAAAGAGGGTTGTACATACAAAATATCGAAGCGTCAGCATCATCGAAGTCTTAGAAACATATTCGGATTGTTTTTTGTCTTCCACTCACTCGACGCTTATATCCCCCACGAGGTGACGAGACAATGTGCTCAGCTCTACCCCTCAGTTATTTCTCTCTTTTTCAACATACATTTTTTTTCCTATTCATTTCTTTTTTCAACCTCTCTGGCTTTCTGATGGAATTCTTAAAACTAAAAAATGCCAGAAATAACATAAAAGTTCATCTTTTGTCATCAACACTAACTACATTTTACAAAACCAATCAACAATATTAATGATTTTTCATCAAATATTTGCAAACATAAATATACAATGTATATATATATAGATATAGTGTATAAAATAATATCAAGATTCTAGATGCAACTAACATTTAAAATGATTCTTGACTATTTGGTAAATGTGTTGAACATCCAACTGAGAGCACAGAAAGCTATTATTGTCGACTTTTTTATCTTGTACTTTTTGTGTTTGTTTTTTTCTTCTTTTTCACTTGTGAAGACTATCTCGATGCAAAGCTTTCATCGTCGATCGAAACAATGCGAGTGCATTTATTTTTATGTAGGAGTCACTGATAAAGGTTATGCCATGTAGTCTCAAAACACAAGAGACATCAATGATCCATCAAACCTCATGAGTAAGAATAAAGAATAATGCACATCTAACATATATCTAAGGTTACTAGAATACACTTTGTACGTATATATGTCGTTGGTTGTTTCAAGTTATTAGAAGTGGAGATCATGAAGCACATTATTATGCTTTAAACATGGAGGAAAGTTATGCAGGATTTGCAGGTCAGTGAGTTGTCACTTTGGCTTAATCGACTTGTGTCATTTGGTAATTTATCGCTCATCAATCTGTCTTGACCTCCCAGTGAGTATCAAATTACGATTGCGCGGCAAGCCACCATCATCACGAGCCATCAACATCTCCTTCATGCATGCCTTGCGTGCGTCCTCGCCTACCGACGCATTTCCAGCCCGATTTTACCTTTTGTCTGCACCGGTTTATCCAACCGCACGATCGCTTTAGACAGATAAAGATCCTGAAGACTTTCAAAGTGAACAAAGGAAAATTATCTAGGCAATAAATTTATTATGTAGAAAATATTATATCTAGGGTTAACTTACTGGATAACCGCTGCTTTATTTTTTCATTTATTCAACGAGTAATATTAGACTCTTGGAAAATTTCGCTTTCAATTTATTCAGCTGATTATTGAATATTTTTAACTTAATATTTCATGTATTAAATTTTGAGATATACTTTTGTATCTAGAAAAAAAAGGATGTATTTTTTATACTTCGTGTATGTTTATTCTTAATGTAAAAGAGTGATCATCATGATAGAGTACTTATAGTTTTTTACAAAACTGAATGTTGAATAATTAAAATTGATTCTTTGAATTAATTATTAAAAGTAATGTCAAATTAAAATTTGTATTATACCTGAAATAATCAAGAAAAATTGTATACTTTTTGGAAAAAATTTTCTAAATTTAGCAGATTTTTTAAATATAAAGAACTCTGACTGAAAACAAGTTGTGTTTTATTAGTATTCATTCTTTTATTGGATTAGACGAGTAACTTTAAATAATTCTGTCGTTTGGTACATTAATGAATTATGTGATTAGATAATCAACCGTTTAATGGTAATTAAATCAAATTTTTTACCCTTTTATGTTTTATTTGGAATTCTATCTATGAACCCATTTATAATTTATTCTAGTAACTGCTTCATTAATACACAGAAGTATTTTGCTGAGGTTTAAATAGAAAATTAATTCATTCAAGAACGTAATTCCTTTCTACTTGAAATATTGTGGATGAAAAATAAATAATAATATTGTAAGGATTAATAACATAAATCAAATAATATTATTAGCAATTAATTATTATGCACAATAATAACTGAATATTTTCATTAATATTTATTATTATCATTAATATAAACGTTATGAAAAAAAAGTATTTTAATCAAATGATTATCAAACTTTTATTTATTGTCGAAGTAGTTTTTACCATAGCTCTCAATTTAGTCTTCATTTATCCAAAGAATGAGGATAATTTTTGTTTCAAAATATTCCTAGAACAGATTATGAAATTTGGAATTTCATCAAGTAAATAATAAATAAATATATACATATATCAACAGCTGTGTTGATTTTTGTAGGTATAGAATGGTGGAAAATGGGGTTAAAGGAATAATCCCTGCATGGTTAGTACGTGGGATATTAAAGGATTATATGAAGATCTTCATTTAAGTTGGAAATGGTGCAAATTTACAGTGGATTAATAATGGAATGAATGTATTTGAAACTAATAATAGCTATAAATACATTTGTTATTACAAAAGTATTTACATAAAATTAATTATTTCCTTCACAATACATGAAGATTCTTTAAAACAAAATCTTAAATACCAATTAATTTCATAGATACAAATAATATCAACGTAAAATGAATACAGAAAAAATTTTTCGACTCAAATATACTGTAATTTCCACGACCAAAGAGTTTTATCGCTATCATTAATATACAGCACATTAATTTTTTTACAAATTCAGATAAAACTTAAATATACAGAGTTTTTGTGTAAACACAAAATTATAATAGTTTCTCATAAATTGAACAATAAAACTTTGATCATGTGGGTTTCTAGATTTGACTTGTTTTGATTAGAATTTAATATCATTTAATATATTTATGTTTTATCAAATTTGTTTTGCAAATCCGGATACATTCATTGCAATACTTACAACACTTCTAATACACTTTCAAAAAATAAATCAGTGGATATTTACGACACTGAAAATTCAGTGTTTAATAAGTGTTTAAAGAAAACTAAACATTTGAAGTGTTTTTAATGTTAAACGTTTAAAGATGTTCACTGAAAATTTTATAATTTGTTTATGACATTTAACATTAAAATCACTTTAAATGTTTAGTTTTCTTTAAACAACTATTGAAACACTGGATTTTCAGTGTGATTAGAGTGATAATAATTAATTATCAGCAAGTATTGTGATTATAAAATAAAATAAAAAATCAAACACAAAAAAATTTAATTGAAATTTGTCAATTCGTAGTTTTGAGATTTTTTCTTCAATTTTTTTTTTGTCAAACGTTCTTTTAGTGCAAATTTAAAGGTCCTTGCTCAGCTGGAAGTACACTATTGGTTTTGATGATCAACAATAGTTGGGACAGACAGACTGACGAATATCAAAATAATTCTTCAAAGGTTCTATTTTATTTATAATGTACAGAACTTTAAAAATTATATTTTTTTAAAGCAGTATTAAAATTTTGCAAAACAATATTCAATTTATTATAATAAAAAATTCTTGAATTAATAAATAACAAGTGTCATTTGACAATCACATGATATTCAACAATTCTTTGTAAATAATGAAGTATAAAGATTAAAATAAAACTTGGTGAAGATTATAATATCATATCACTGCATTGTATATAATTGGCATAAATTTTGTATTAGTGTTTCAAAACAGTAAATATCATAACAAAGGGTAAGCAATTAAACATTCAACAAGAGGCTAAAGTTATCTTAATTAATTTAAAGAGAAAACAAAAGATATTATGAATTAGATATATATATATATATATATATATTTGCGAATTTATATACAAACTTGAGCAGAGTTCACCTCAAGAGTGTACTTCAGTCTTTCTTATGCAAGGATGTATGTTTTGGAGTTTGGAAGTTGACAGAAACCTAAGAGAAATTATCGTACAAAGTGTCTTCTTCCATGATTTTATTGTGAAATTTTACGAGTTCTCTTGTTTTTATCGATCGGTTAGGGAGTAAAAAGGATTGGTTTTCTCGACGAGTGCATATAACATGGGGAATGATTGAAGACCCCCCTAGGAGTTTGCTTCAAACTCTACTCTAGTTTGTTCGGTCGACGTATTTTGATATTACTACAGCCTTCCACCTGCTTGTTCTTCTTTTGTTGGCAACCGACCTCCTCCTGAGCACCATCTTTCTCTTGTGATAATCCGCGCTATAAATCTATTATTTAACGTTGAATTTGCAATAAACAACAAAATTGTGAAAATTTCTTACTCATTGTGAATGTTGTATTTATTTGATAATATTCAAAAATTACTGTAAACTCTTGTAGTAATTGTTATTAACAAAAAAAACTACAATTGTAATGACAAAAATATCTTATAAATTGTGCTATAATAGCTGGAATAATTATCTGAAAGATAAGAATTGATATTGATTAAAAATTAAATTTTGTTTCAAACAGAAAAAAAATTATTTGATGTTTAAAATTTGAGTCATTTGCCATTTAAGGTAGTTATCCCCCGAGAGCTCGTATCAAAATTTATTGTGCCTCAGTCAAATAGAATTAATTATATATAAAAAAAAATTCCAATAAATATCTATATTCAGAAATTATTTATAATATGATACGAGTAATACTCAGTAATATCTAGAAAGTATTATTAATCATTTTTTCCTACAATTTGAAACAATTGACCAAATTAAGAAGTTATCTAAAATTAATTCAAGAGATTTCTATAAAAAAAAATTTTAACCGTTTTTTCATTAAAATTTTATTCAAAACTCTATAATAAAAAAAAACATTAAACTGTTTTTTATATAATAAAATTTAATTTAATTTATATTATTATCTGAAATATTTATTACAGTAATCTACGCTGTTCTGGTACTCATTCATTTTTAACTACACTTCAGATAGTTGTTGGCTCTTAATAATTTTAATTTGCTAGAATAAATTTTTTTTTGTTTTTTGATAATCAATTTTATATTTTAAGAAATAATGATCAATTGAAGTCTAACATTAAAAACTAATAGTTCCCACAAGGTCGCACGGTAGGAGCTTGCAGCCTATTTTCTTAATCTTCATTCGTCGGAGACGGAAACAAACGACGGGAAAACAACGGGAGATCGTTTAAAGAGAAAGAGAGGAAGTTGGGAGTGTGGGAAGTATATATAACCCTCGTGAAATTCACCCCTGACGAAATGACTCGACTGGATTTACTTCGAGTCCACGATCTGCCAGATGTTGTCACCCTTTAACCTCGTGTGTCTTTTCTTAACTCAGATTTGGTTCTTTATCGATTATTTATAATAAAACCAAGTTTGTTATATAATAAAAAATAATTTAGATTATAATCAATAAACAATGCATATGATTTGATCATATTTCCAGTTCGCTGAATAGAGCCTGGGTAGTGATAACAATCAATTCTGAACGTAGGATGAAAAATCCTAGGGATTTTTGTAATAGCCTCATTAATTTCCTCACTGTTGAATAAAAAATTTTACGGAGATGAAATCAGAAAGAATGGAGAAAAAACCAGCGAAGATTGCATTTAATTTCAATACGGCGGAACAGGAAATAGAGAGAGAATTATCAGAGATTGTGCACAAAATTAAATTGATGCACAAAAATAGGGATGGATGTCGAGGTAAATTTCTGGAAAAATTAATATTGAAGTGAAAGCAACATGAATAAAACTAAAGTCCAACTTATAGATTTACTATCCTCGTTTAAAAGATCAATGAAAGATTGCATATCTGCTGACTTCATGTGCATATTTATATTTCGACTAAGAAGAGGTCAGGACTCTTTGTAATTTGTTCATAGTTAACGAATCTTATTTCCCATACTGGAAAAAACTTTCAGTCATTTCAACTAGAAAAGCATCAATCATTCAACTATTTTTGATGTCTTTTATAAATGCTATGATAGAAGTAGAAGATATAACTTAGAATTAATGAACAAAATGATAATTATGGTATCCATATCATCACGTCTTCTTGCAAAAAAGATTTATCAATTATTCAAATGTCTTTATTTAATATCAATAAATATCAAAACTATTTATTACACTGTAGTAAATCTTTCTATTAATGTAATTATTAAACTAATCAATCTAATGCTACTTTATTAAATAACTTTAATTTTTCTAAAATCTTCAGCAACTTAATGTTCTAAAGTTGGGCTTAGTTTTGCCTTAATTGGTCTCTTCGCTGACCGCTCTTACATAATTGCTTGACCGTCGGTATCCTCCTCATTGAAGAGTTCCTAAAATGTAGGTCGAACTTTCACTATTATTGTAAAATTTGTATGCGGTCAGTCTTTGATGTTTAAGAAAAATAGGTTTTCTTTTTTGTAATAGTGTAGAAGGTGTTGCATGACATTTTTTGTCTACAATTTTAAGAGAAAGGCGGGGTCGAATGTATTATCATGAAATCTAGAATTCGGAGGGTTGCAAAAGCTCCAACAGAAGTGAACTTATGAAACACGCCCTGGCGCGCCGGCGTCTGAGCGCGATATTAAATTTCTGGAATTTTGCGGTAGGGCGGCATGTCTGCGATCTGCCGCCTGCCAACACATTCGACATACTCATTCTATGCTGTTTTTCTTTTTCACTTTTAAACAGTTCGATCAATTTTATTATTGAAATTTATTTGCTGTCATAAAGCATCACCTGATCACACAGGTGATGTCTAATGTTATCAATGAAATAATAGAATCATCATTGCACAAAAGTATTAAAAAATAATTAATTAAATTTTTTATAGGAAATTATTAGATATCAAATGTATAAAAATGTGAATATAAGATGGATAATAGTGAAAAATTCATTTAAAATTAAGGTAATATTTTTATCCCTGCTAAAAGTAAAAGTTTATTCCTTGTTTTGACATTTGAAAGCAATGTGCTTCAACTTCAATGGAAAGAAGAAAAATCATTTGTGTATAAATATAGAAGAGAGCTCGTTTTTATAAGAAAAAATCATGACTAAATTTAATAAAATTATTGATAACAGTCCGATTAATTAATTAATTATCTGATGAATACTAGGTAGATTGAAAGAATTTTGAAATAACATAAATCCACAATGTGACTGATCAATTTTTAAAATTTTTAATTGACAAAGTAGTGTACATTTATAAAACTTTTATTCGAAATTATGGAATACTTTAAAAACTTATGAGAAATCTCTGTTCAGCTGAGGGAGTTTGATAATTGGCTGAGTAGCCAGAGAGTGATGAAGTAAGAGGAGTAGCTGGTATTTCAGCAGCCACGGGTTGAACTTGGAGCTTAGCTGGTGTTGCTGGATTGTTCTTTCGATTTGCTACAGTGTTTTCTCGAGCTCCAAAGCCTGTAAAAGGAATAGCAGGCTCTGCAACGACTTCCAATTGAGCTGGAGCAAATTGGAGTTTCTGAAGTGGTTGATAAGCGTAAATTGGTCCACGAAGAGGTTCGACATTCTCAGCACGGATTTTAGCGAAATATTTCATAGCTTCAAGATCTTGTCTGCTAACGTACTGAACACGTTGGAGGCGTCCGTCGGGAAGGGCGATGAAGTATTGTCCAGCTTGTCTACTTTGCTCATCAACATTACCCTCATCATCGAGTTCATTAACAGAATCAACTGGTTCGGCCTAGAACAAGTCAATGAAAGCATTAGTTACAAGGACAATAACAACTTGAAGTGATATTTAAATGGCCTTGAAGATTAAAAGTTGAAATTGTGACAGCTTAAAAGAAATGGAAAATATGCGGCGCGTGTTCAAGCCATGATTGAAAATAAACCATGACGAGAATATTGAGTAGGAAGGCAGTGAAAGATACTTGGAACAAGATAAATCGACTATTTAAATTCTTTTTGTGAATTTAAGCTTCGGAAGTGTGATACGGCAATAAAATTCATTTTTTCCCGGTAAACATTTATAAAACAGTACTTTTACCTGTGATTCAGTAGCAGTTGAGAAAGTTGTTTGTTCTTCATCATCAATAGTAGTAGTTGAAGATTCTGTAGCGAACTGTGGTGCTCCATAATTCTGTTGAGGTGCTTTATATTGTTTTCTAGCTTCAAATTGTCTTTGTCGTGCAGCTGGAGATCCAAATTGTCTTTCAGGAGCAGTAGCTGGAGCTCCATATTGACTTTCAGGAGCTGCAGCTGGAGATCCATATTGTCTTTCTGGGACTGTTGCTGGAGCTCCATATTGGCTTTCAGGAGCTACTGCTGCTGGAGCTCCGTATTGATTCTGAGGATTAGCAGGTTCTCCATATTGTTGTTGAGGTGCTAATTGTTGTTGTTTCTGAGGATACTCAAATGATGGTCCATCTGGCCTCCATCCAGATGGGGCATAAGGAGCATCCGCAGCTTCTGGAGCATCTACTTCTTGCTGTTTGGCGAAATAATAGATTCTATCTCTATTTTGAAACTGCTGCCGGTAACTCGGAGGCTCCGCCAGAGTCAAGGCAATAAGAGCAGAAATGATGAGGACCTTAAAGAAATATAAGTTAATGATGACTTCTTAGATTATAATACACTTCCGTAAAATAAATTTGTGAATAACAACTGATGATCAGTAGTAAGCCAAGCATTAATTGAATCAGTAATCAACTTAAGAGTTGTAATTAATAAATAGTTACTGATTTGAAGTAACTTTTCCCTGATGTATTTCAAGAAAATAACATCACTAAAATTAAACAAGAACTCTTAGTTGCACTAACTATAATATAAAATTACCTTCATGTTAAAGACAATTGTCTTGCAAGTATTGATCAAGCAACTAATGTCCAATGTTTGAGTTTAGAGCCTTTTATACATAGCATCTGGTCATTTCTCTCCCTACTCACAGTATGATGACATTGGCCCTCTTTAAAAAAAATGATGCCAAATGACGCGAGGTTATTGTTAACTCATTCCTCATATTCTGTATATATACGACATATATTTGATAGTTTCATGGTGTCTACTTAATTAGGATTCAGTTTCACGACGAATAATTAGTTCTAATTTTAGTCTTACTCTATAGGTTTAAAACATCTAATCTTGTTCTGGTTAACGACATTCAATCGCAACTTATGAATTGTTTTCAAATGCTGAATAGACAATAAATTACAACTACATACTCCTTCAAATATAGAAAGTTAAATTCTGATGGTGCTTTGGTATTAACAGTTTTAAAGATGATAAAATAATTGTTTAATTACATACGACTTTGATACTTATAATTAAAATTAATCTAAACACTATAATACTTAAAAAAAACTTACTAATTAGCATCATGCTTTCTTTAATTGTAATCATTTAAACAAATTGTTTAAATAATTCAGTGGATCTACGAAACCTAACAAGTGCAAATAAATATTAAATTGATTAAAAAAATATATGTATCATAATAAAAAGAAATTCAGACAAGTTTATTGTATAATTAAATAAAATTAAAAGAATACATTGTGTTTGGCAGAAAGAAAATGAAAATTGTTCATTTTGGAATGATCACCTAATGGAGATGTATACCTAGATGATATATATCATAAACAGTCTTCAAATCATTCAATAATCTTTACAATCGTAGTTGAAGAATACTTTTGATGTACTCATAAAATTACAGAATTATCGATCATTATTTCGAGGATTTCATCAACAGTACGTGACACACAATGGTATATGAACAGTCCGAATACCAAAGCGCATCATGTTTCCAATGGACTTGTCGACATTTCAAATTCTTAACACGCATTCATCCTTCATGAGCGGTAGTTGACGATAATAAATTCATGTGGACTCAATTCTGACCAGCATCCGAAGACAACCATTGCAATCGATTTATAGTTGAACCTTGAAAACTAAAGAGATGGTAAAATATATCAAATTTGCCTATAAAGTCTATTGACGACTTTATTCAAGATGAAATATTAAAAATATAAATAATTACTACCACAGTAATTTTTACCTTGAAAAATGTGCAAATTTTGTTGAAGAATTAACGAGAAAATATATGTCTGATATAGAATACTCAACATCAGAGAATATACAGTGAGAAAGAGTGAGAAAAGAGAAAAAAGAAAGATTGGGTATATTCCCGGCTCTGGTAAAGCAAATTATTCACACTCAAACGACTCCATTTCAATATCGGACCGAGTCAAGGGACAAAAGAAGGGCGAGATGCCTGTCTCCCTTCTGCTTTAGCTTCAACCGTGCTGCCGATGCCCCAGCTCAATTTTCCAACTCTGTCTGAAGCCTATAGGCTTAAGTCTTATGCTGCCTATTTTTCTTTTTTTCTCTGTACTGATTTCAGGGCAAGAAGTTTCAGTCATCTGTCGTTATCATCGACTTTAAACATTTTCTACAACGAAAAAATGTCGAGTCAGCATCTGCGAGTATCGAATTCATTGCACAAGAATAGAAAAAAAAAATAAATTTAAAAAAAAAATGCGAATGAAGATGGTAATCGAATATATTGAAGCGGGGGCGATTGTGTGGATTCTCGACTTATACGAGAGAATGAGTTGGCTGGGGACGAGTTTGCGTGTAAACTGGATTAATCGTCTATGAAGGGTAGAAAACAGTCGAGGGGTGATGAGGGATTCTATCCACATTTGTTTGCTGTTCTGAACCCTTTTTATTATCATTTGAATCTACTTTACTTTCATAATAATATTTAATTCGTAAATTCATATCAACGTATTTATAATTATTTAGCAAGCATATCGATAAAAGACGTTACACAAGTACAGAATGAATAACAGTAGCTATTAAGTAAGAGATAGTGTCAATAATTGGCATTCAGAAATAAACGTGTCTAGTATTCTAATTTTCTTTAACTCGTGACTATTACTGAGTGATTGATGATCATATAACCCTTGTGCCAAGAAAACAACCAGTTGCAAATCTCCAGAGACTCATTTTCAACCACATTTAATGCTAATCTTTAATCGAAAGTCGTATACTGGAGAGTCTAAATGAAATTAAATGAGTATTTGTCTCATGAGACACTTTGCCAGGGTTGGATAACAATAAGAAAGTATGACTAAACTGACGCAAAAGGAGCATAGGCATCAGTCAGTGTTTGTAAGCTTAACCAACCGTAGCACCGGTCCCTAGGAGTTTGTTGAAGATATTGGAGCATCTTCCACCCTTTTGCACTTTCGTGACTTCCCAATGCTTTTATACTACTCGATACAGTCGTTTCAAAATTAATTAGCTCTTTTTTTTTTTAAGAAGCTCATAAAGTATGTAAAAAAGTATTATCACATATACGTGATTACCTCTGTAATCATTCTACTCTATAGAATGACTATAAAAGTAATAATCAAGGAGTTAAGTTTTCAGTATCAATGGATGTTTAACCGCGTAACTATGAAGTACATAGTATAAGAGAAGAGGGGTTTAAGAACGGTCTTACTTCCTTCCTTCCCTCTAGAGTCTACAAATGCAGGGATAAGTTCAGCTGTAGGCGTACTTCTGTACTACCAAAGTAAAGTGAAACTTGCAAAAGTACATCGCGAGTCAAAAAGCTGGAAATAATCGTTTTCAAACTCATGTTTTGCTGTTTCTGAGAATATCCTAGACAATTGACACATTTTATACGAAGAATTGGAAATAAAATAAAAATTCAACCTAACTGAGTAAGAATATAAAATACACATCTATATAGGTAGACACAGAGAGGAAGAAAAGATTCTAGTGAGCTGGGCAAATAGCGACGGAATTTGATTGAGTTGGGCATAAGAAGATTTGCAGTGGCGTTCGTTGGAGCGTTTGTTGGCAAAGAGGATTGGAGTCGAATCTATGAAATCGTTCAGCAAGCGAAGGTGGAATGAGAATCTGAATGATGGCAGAGTGTGGTACAGCATCAGTCTCCTGCTTTTATCAATATAAATATATATATATATATATTGTAGACATGAAGAGAAAGTTACAAATGAATCGCATAATAACCCCCGCAAACCTTTGCTGAGAAAGAGCTGCTGATGTATTCGATAATACGGATGGTTGAACCTAATCGAGATGCCAATATTTTTTTTTTCTATTATTCTATCTCTTCAACAAGTCTTCCTTTACATATCTCCTATTTTGTTACAACTGTACCTTTTGCTGCTGCTGCTAATTTTCTTCATTATTATCCTAGTCACAAGCAAGACTGGTCCATCAATGGTTCAAAGTTGGACAAATACTATCAAGCTTGGTCCCATGTTGGGCTAGGAATAAATCGTATATTCGTTTACAATGTGTACTAGACAAGATAATAAAGTTTATTTCAAAATTATCCTATCCAATAATGCTACACAAAAAAAATGTATTACATTCCAAGACGTTAGGTAGTCTCCAATTGATGATTTTCATTTTAGTCAATTGAATTACAGCTAGCTATAAAATAAAAGTTTAAATTTATTTATTTTATATAGAAATATTCCATAATACATTAGAACAAATGTTGCAAGTTTTGATATTGTTTCTAATTACCAGATGTTTTAATAACATAGGTTTTATTCATTAAGGAATTAAATAAGACTTACCTTAAACTATTAATTCAAGATTGTTGATCCCTTTGTAGTCTTTTATTCTTGGAAAGTAAATTATTCTATTACAAACTTGTGGATCATATACTTGATGTTAATGATATAAATACATTTCCAACTAAAATTATGGTTTAGGATATTTAACAAAAGGTAAACAATTTGTTATTTTACTTACAAAGAATGAATTAATTGCAAATTTTTTAAATTTCACATTTATTTATGATTGAAAACGAATTTCTATTCTTTCATTAAAGTACAATTATTATTCATTATATGTTTTCCCATAAATATTTAAAAATTTTGTATCTGCTATAAAGGAATGAATATAACATGAAACATATTTGCACAATTAGCGAATACTAGTCTTCATATTTGCATCAATTATTCAATCTCCTATAAAATAATATTTGTATGAAATAAATGAATTACAAGTAGAGCTTCCCGTGCTCGGTTGCAATATATTATCCGATTATCTTTCACGAGAGAATCGTAATGTTTTAAATACTTGGTATTTAGCAGTTAGGCCCCTTGGCGGTTTTTTTTGGCTGATGTCTCTTCTAGTACAAGCATTAAACTAAAACCAACAATATGGCTGGATGGAACATGATGGCGTCTCACTATTGTGTTCTCTCGCGAGATGATAATCATACAGGGGTACGAGGTGTCATACCGGAACGGAACAACCTATCGTAACATACCTTCTTCCCTCTCTCTATATCATCAAAGCAGTAACAGCACCCAAGGGGGTGATGTTAACGCATTATACGATATTAGTCGACCCTAATAATAATAATACCCAACCGTTTTGTTGCAAGACCAATCAACCTTTCCATTAACATCTGTATCATCCCCTAGCTTTGTTAAATTCGACGCGAATGCATCTGCCCCGTCCTACTCTTTCCTCCGCCTTTTCTGTTCACCACGCTTGAAGATGACGTTTACGCCTCAATAACTTCTTCATTCCCCAATACAACACGCGGCACACGCTACTTTTTTCCACTTTTTGTAATGGCTACTCTTGAACCAATTCGCCATTTGTTGAAAGGTAAATGAAAGAATCAAACATTGAAGGTAAAGTGAAAAAACTAAACAGTTGTATGGATATACAGTTTCACTATTGGTCGTTTATCGAATTTTCTTTTGCTTTGAAGATACACTTAATGTGCCTTTTATTTTTTTTTTACCACTAGAGTACTTGCTATTGTTTTAATTATGACCGTTGAGACACGTGGATTACCAGTTGTAATAAGTTGAAAGGTAAAAAGGTACAATGCAATCAATAACTATTGTTATAACCTTTTATACCGTTTAGCTAAGTGCTATACGTCTATTATCGTATATACTTTATTCTTTCTGTCCTTTAAAAATATATTTATCACTTCGCTTGACCAGAATCTTTCTCTCGACTCCATCTTATTTTTCAAATCTTTTTTATTTCTTTTCTGTTCTTCTTCAAGTGCTTTTAACACACCTTGAAGCATCCTGGAACACCATTCTACTTGAATGATTTCAGAGACACTCGTTTTCTCCGTTTGAAGAAAAATAGATAATATTTTTGACTATTCCTTTCTTTTTTTTTTTTCACTTCATAACTCATATATGTGAATTTTGAAAGATAAAAAATTATTTTTACTCAATTGTAATCTTCCAGTTCTCTTTATTTGATTGAATTTAAAAACAAATCCTCTTTTTTTTAATCAAGATAATCATCTTAGTGAAATGTGTATTAATATTTCAATAATTTAAATGAAAATACGTAGAAGAAGGTTGAATTCTTCAACTTTACATACATTGATTTATATACATGTAGAAAAAATTAACTGACTCGAAATATATAGAAAAGCGTTAGGAAGTAATCCCAAGCCCCTCTTCTCCCGACATCCTGATCACCCTATCCTTGACACTGTTGTAAATCATGCTCCTCTATATTTAGACACTGCGAAAAAAATTAGGCAATAAATACTATACTGAAAAAAAAAAGAGAAAATGACTGAGTTTTGTCCTACACAACCTTTCAATTAAAACATGGATAATTATTGTAATTAACATCACAGTAAATAAAAAACAAATTATCTTCTTTTAATATTATCCAGATGGAATTATCACAATTCCATGTCTTATGGTTAGTTTAACTTTCAAAAAGTGATCAACTGTTAGAATGATACTGATTTATTTAATATTTATCAATAGAAATATTGATATTTATTTTAATTCATGGCTTGTTGAGATTAAAAATTAATGATAAATAATATAACAAAGAAGAATGAAAAAAGAACGTTAATTCGATAAGGATGTCAAGTGTAAATTACTAAACGTATCGTTAAACTCTAGTAAAGTATGCGAAGCTTCTTGGCGATATCGTCAAGCTCAGGAGTTGGTTCTTGTTCTGGTTGCAAAACGTAACCCATGTGAGAGAACTTACTTCGCGAGTTGTCGTGGTATGAGAAGCGGTTTTAATTGCTGCTTAAGGCACCCTCGTCGCGTTAACCTTATCCGAAGATGCTTGTGGTATGGTAGATCCTATCGTAGCATATCCTGACTAAACTCTCTCTCTTTCTTCCTTGCTGGCACATAAGATCGCAACGTCGCCATTTAATGACAGAGGAGAGAACTTCTCGACTATCTTGTAATCCGCAAGCAAGTTTACTACCGTGACTCTTCTCTAACCAACTGAATGGAATAAGTAAGACAGTGGTTTATCTTTAATTTAAATATCTTCAGGTTGTGTGTGTGCAAATTAGTAAAAAACAAAGCAAATTAGCACTAAATTTTTAGTTGAAATAATAAAAAATGTAAAAATAGTTGGAGAAAAAGGTTACAGTATTATCATCATGTTAGTGGTGGTGGTGGTGGTGGTAGTGGTGGAGGGTTGTTATCAGGTTTCCATTACCACTGCAGGACGAAAGCCATGAGTGAGAGTAAGCGAGTAAACTAAAGAGAGAAAGAGAAACCGGCCGCCATCACTGGTAGAGCGTCAGGATGCTAGGCAGCATCTTATCGTATTCTCCAACCCCCATTTTACCTTGGTCCTCATCCTACTCTCTTCCCCTTCTGCTAGAACTAAAACCCACTGACGCTTAAACGCGCTCACCCAGAAACCAACGATAAGGTTTGCTGTCGAGCGACGCCTGTGCTACAATCCTATACGCACTCCTCCTCCTCCTCATCACTATGGCTTCTCTCCCTCAACCATGTCACACCGTGTGTTCTATCATAGTCTAGTACCAGACAACATTGTTCAAAATAATATATCATATTTGATTGATCGATTTTTACCATTTTAGTTGCAGAACTCGAAGGTGGTGCTCATTCAGATGAGACCAATAGCGGAGGTGATAATAGTAATGCTGGCAGTATTTCCGGTGGTGCTGATGAAGATCAGGCTCGTTTAAGGCTCAAAAGAAAGCTCCAAAGAAATCGAACGAGTTTTACTAATGAACAGATTGATGCACTAGAAAAAGAATTTGAAAGAACACATTATCCTGATGTATTCGCTCGTGAAAGACTTGCTGGAAAAATTGGTCTACCAGAAGCTCGAATACAGGTAATTATAAACACACTTTTGTTTAGATGAGAGTGTCCCCTTAGAATGTACTCCTCAGTAATTTGTAGTCTAGTAAATTGACCCATCTCGTCTCTCTCTTTCTCGTCCACTAACTCAGGTGTGGTTTTCGAATCGTCGCGCAAAGTGGCGGCGTGAAGAGAAGCTTCGAACTCAAAGAAGAGATAATCCACAACAGTCACAACAACAACAATCTTCAGCGCCACATGGAGGCAATGTTAGTCTTGTTGGAGGTCATCCAACACCTCCACCTGCCGCAGGAATTCTCGGAGCCCAACCCACACCGCAGGCTCCACCATCTCCACCAAGAATTCATCATGGATTTACACCGACAGCTGTTTATCCTGGAATTTCTAGCATGCCTGATTCATATAGGTAAAACTCTAAATCATTAGTTACCTTCTTTGTTACAAGAAACATTTTATTTAATAATATTTTTTTCTTTTCAGTCCAATGACTTCAATGCCAAATTTTACTATGTCTGGACAACAAAGCCAACAGCATACAACAAGCATGTCATCACTAACATCGGCAGGTGGAATGGGTCCTATGGGTATGACTGTTGGTATGACTGTAGGTCCAAGTCCAGCTGCATGTCTACATCAACGTGATAATGGATACTCTTGTGGTGTTGCTCGACCGCCAAGTTATGAACCTCTTCATCTTGGTTATGGTGCTCGACCAAGCTGTAGTCCAACTCAGCCGTATCATACACCTGGTCTCAATCAGTACAACCAGAATGTCAGTTCGACGGGTGAGTGTCTACCGCACTCACTGCACTCGCTACTAGCGCTCTAGCCACACGTTGGATTCGGCTATCATCACGCCTGCTAATCGGTAATGGGTAGACAATTTATTTGATTAACCATTCCCGATTTCATCGCGACTCACGTTCAAGGATCATCAGCCCATTTTTTGGCAATAGCTTACATTAATCAATTTATAATTCAATCATTTTGATAATATCTTTCTAATATAAAATATGAATATATTCTTGTCTACAGGATTAATATCACCAGGTGTAAGTGTACCAATCGCTATTCCTGGTCATCAGCCAACACCAGATATGGCAGCCCAATATTGGTCACCAAGGTTGCAGTGATCCTGGTGGTTGTCCACGTCGACCTCAATATCTTAGAGACGTTCCTCAACAACACTAAAAGTATTGTGAGGCTAAATAAAATTAAGGTCTTCGTGACAAATTTGAATGTTATCAACTGCCAACCTTGAAACAACTTTCTTACTTTTTAAAAAAAAGGGAGGAAGAAGAAGAAAACAAGATGTTAACTTTATTCGATCACAAATTAACTAGAAAATACCATTTTCTCAACTAATTTTTCGAAAAATAGTGAAAATTATTAGTTAGTTTAGTAGATGATAAACTTAATTATTAAGTCGATACTAATTATATTAGTGATATTTATCTATTGGTGTAATACGAAAAAAAAGAAAACAGACCGTATTAGCGGTAATCAAAGAATGATTTTATCATGTGTAATTACAATTTCTCTATCAAATCTTTTTTCATTGTAATAGTTAGTAATTTTTAATTAATTATTACACAAACTACGTACTTAACAAGCAAAAATGAATTAACTGTATAAATATTAAATGTTTTAATTAAATGTGGTCAAGAATGATGGTCATAAATTTGACAGAAGACCAAAATTGTGATTTTTTTTTAGGCCAAGTATATTTAAGATACAATAATATGATTCTAAACAAATATAGATAGCATGTGCTTTAATCACAGTAACCCATTCTTCACCGTCCTTATTTTTCATTTAACTATGCAAGATTATTATTTAATATTAAACTATCTAAATTAGATAAACTGAAAAAAGTAACTTATTAAAGTACTACTAATTAAGTATAGGAAAATTGTGAATAAAATATTAAAATATTGAAAAATTGTAACAACTTTATATTTTAAAGTCATTTGAATGGATTTTCATCATAAAACCCATTTTAAAATAATTATCATCACAAATGCAATTATAATGATTTCAAATAAAATTATATTAGATATACTACAGCTCATATATTTTTATTTCAAACAATATAAATAGAATGTTTAGATTCTACCGATGAATTTAAAAGAATAAATGAAATTATTTGAACACATGCCAAGAAAATCGTTAACTAATTAATGAACTTTTACGATAAAAATCAAGGCTTTTACGAAATCCATTGTTTGTATAAATCAATCGACGTTCATCGATCCAAGTATGTTAAATGCAGCTCCTTAAATCATCACTATGAGTAAGCTTTTCGTAATGATTGTCACATGTTTCATTGCTGCTTTGGAATATGAATTATCTTTCTTCATCTTTATCTAATAAATTTACATAAAATTAAAAAATTAATCACTAAATGAATAATTTCACCCAGTTTTTTCAACTAACAAAGCATCAATATCTTTAAGAATATCATCAGAGCCATCAATATAATCATCTACAACTAAATGTGCCTCTTGATCAAGTTTTGTATTATAACTAACATTTTTATGCCTTTTATCATCATTAGTATCATACTCCATTTTTTCTTCTTTATTATGTAAAGTAGATATATCATCTGAAGTACTACTATCACAACAACGTATTTGAATGTCATTTGCTTTTATTGTTTCACCATTATCTATATTCAAGGTCTCTGATGAATTCGACAAACTACATATTGACTCATTTCTGTCGTTTTTTGATGGTCTTTTAAGTCTAACTGGTGGAACTCTATTTGAAAATTTACATTTTTTAATATTTGTTTCTACATTTAAGTTTGTCATGTTATCAAAACTCCTCTTATTTCTTATTTGTACCGTAGTATTTTCTTTACCCAACTTTTCATCATCTAACGTCTCCTTATTTTCTTCATTCGTCAATATTTGTATATTTTCTGTCTCAGTACTATTTTTTTTTCGTTTTCTAATTTCATCTAGAGTTAATATTTTGAAATCTAAAGTCGACGATGACTTTTGTAGAACTTCGTCATGAGTATTGAGTGGTATTGTATTAGTTGCTACTGTTGGTGTCTGCTGCTCCATTCCAGTGCCAATATTTAATTGATAGTCATCGATCTCGTAGGAATAATAAGCTGCACTCTCAGCTTGAATCTCCTCCAATCTGATTTCTTCGTAAGTTTTGCAATACGGAATCCTCGTTGTTTGACTCTTAATTGGTGATGTGGCGACACCCTCACTGTCAGATTCTGCAAGAAGAGATGAAGAAACATCGAATTGATGATTAATTTCGCTTTCATAGCTTCTTTTTATATTAATAGTGTCATTCTCTCTCTCTTCAAACAATCACTTTATCACATAATCTTTTTCTTGTCATCTTCTTAAATATTTCTTCTATTATTTTATTTAGTTAAACTTTTTATTATAACTCAATGTTTTATTTTCATACATAAGTTGAAGTATTTATAATCTGAAAATGGATATATATTTAAAGAAGAAAGTAGAAATTATAGTAGTGAAAGGAAAAATTCAGATAAAGTCATAGATTAATAAAAGAAAAAACTAAAGAAGAAAACAATAACTAACAAAACTAAATAACATAAACTAATCAAGAACAAATTAAAACAATTATAGCCTATATTGAAACTTTATCTGTAAATGTGAAAATTAAAATTTTCTAATTCTAAAAGACATTTTGCATAGCTCAATGTTACGAAAGGATCGCAGTTCCTCAATATCCATAATTCAATACCTACTTATCCTAATAATATCGAGATTACATCTTTAGAAAATTAAAAAATAATGATGGAATAGTATTTTTTGTCCATTTTTAATGAGAATTTTGCGACGAATTTTTGAATAATATTAACATAAAAAAATTGACCTTTTTTTAGAAGATGCTATGAGAAACTTTATTTTAAAAATTTAATAATTTTAAACTGTTGAAAAATGGACATGTTACAAAGCTCTAACGTGGTGCTAAACGTAAAATCTTACGTTACTTCATTATTGAGAAAAACATCGGTGACAAATCGACGAACGGACACAAAAGTGATCTTATAAATATTTCGTTTTTTCCTTTCTGATGTACAGAACCCTAAAAAGGATTATCAGGTAATATTATTAGACCGAAAAATTCTACTATATATCTCAATTAATCATAATATGAAGTTTATTGAATTTAAACATCATTCAAACGTAAAATTTATGAATTTTTGCATACATCAATCATATAATAATGCGCAATATTAATTTTGCTCAGCGTAATTTCATTAAATATAATTTTTTTTATATTTTTAATATAATCATTCTATTTCTATTCATTATTTCCTTCTACACGTACGTTATGTATGCGTGTTTTGTGGACACATACATAGGCACACATGCACATATATGTATCACACATCTACACATATATACTGATTGATTTTTCTCTAATTTACTTACCCGATTTCTATTTTTTTTTTCTCTCAATTTCATCATGGTTAAACAAATGACAGTAACTTTATCAAATATAACCGTCGTAAGAGCAGATACATTTGCCAAAAATCTTTCAATAATTCATTTAATTCTTACTGTATTTAATTTAAACTTATATCATTATAATAATTAATATTAAATTGCTATTTTTATATTTACATATAAATATATATATATGTGTATATATATTTATATATATTTTTATTTATATTTATACATCTAATATACATATAATATGTATATATTTTAATTATATGTATATTAAATATATATCTTTAAATATTAGTATTCTTTTTCTGCTTTCTTTTTATTTTAATTTCTTTCAATGATTGCTAATGCAAATGCCACTACGAAGGTTTCACACGATTTATTGTTTCTATTTTTCAAAAATTTTCCAATCATTTGCCCGGTTTTGTTGATAAATTTATCTAAATCTAATTAATCAATAATTTTTATCGATAGTAGAAAACAGAAGAAAAAGAAAAAATACAAATTTACATTAAAAATTCTTTCTCCTTTGCCCAAATAATATTTATATATTATAATCTTACTTTTCTTATTCTTAGTTAAAAGTTTATGGAAGTACCGTATAATAAGCCAAAATATATCAAGGCATTTCAGCTCGAAGCTGACGATTGTTTACGCACGTTTATAAATTTTTCGGGCAAATAGATAAACAATCAATTAATACTATTAACAGCATCAATCAACAATAATAAAACTACAAATAATTACTTATATCAATAATGATCGTATTTGAGTGAACGCGTGTGCATTATTGCCCGTAATAAATGCAGTAAATCGAATTGGCATAATTACATATAGAATTGTTATTAACTTGTCTAAAAAATTTTCCTAGTGCATGAACATTCATGTTTAGATTAAAGAAAAATAGAATAGAATAAGAATACAAGAATAACAAAACAATTACTAGCGCTCTGCACTATCAAACACTGTGAAATATTAATTTCATTAAATTTCAATTGATTGGCATGCATTTACGCATTGAATATAAAAAGAATGATCATAATTAATTTAGCGTGAATGTTCATTGCAATTGCACGAGAAAGATAAGAAAAGGCTCACTGCCAGGCTGAATTTGTATGCTCGTCCATACTCGTCGCTACAAACAGTTAATATCTTCTCCAGGAAGTATAGTTAAAAAGGGGAAATGGATATCTAGAGCGTTGATTATTAGTTCCTTGATTAGGATGGGTATTAGGATAAGTTGAACGTTGTATTTGCAAGGATGATGGTTGATTCTGTAACTGTGTCAACGGTTGTCCATGAGAATGTGAATGGAATGGTCTTTGATGACAATAAGAAGATACATGATGGCAGGTTGGATCCGCTGACACAGACTGTTGTTGTTGTTGATGCTGTTGGTGATGATGATGCTGCATTGCTTGTACACTTGACGATAAATTTAAACCACTTGCAACACTAGTTCCGAGGTTAATTGGACTTGAAATATCTATATTGGAGTCAATCGGTATTGTCATACGATTTCGAATGGCAAGGGTATTACGGAGATTCATGTTTGTTTGTAGATTAGACGGTAAGGATAGAGTGCCTGGCGTGAGGTAATGTACGTTGAAAGGTGAGCGACGGGGGGGCTAGTAAAGCCTCATACCTTCGTCAAAGTTGACGATAAGAGGATCCACTGCTGGACTACCGATGAAACTTCCTGCTTCACTGCTTCCACGACCTTGATCCGATTCTGTACCACTTCCATCAAATTTTGCATCTTCTAGATCATAACGTACAATATTAACTATATATTTCACATTACTTAATTAATCTACTAGTCAACTATAATTAATCAGTTATTTTATTGTACCTGAACGATTTGACCATTCTTGATTAACAGGTTTTGGTGGTAATTCAGTTGTAGATGTTTTCGTTGGTGTTATAGTCATTTCACTGGCTGGAGGGCGTTCTAAAGAATGTAAAAAAGGACAATGTGGCTTTTTACAACCTCCACGTTGGGTTTCCCAATAACATGGAATCGATTTACGATTTTTCTGAAAAATAAATAATATAGGTTAGGTTTAGGAAAATGAAATAATAGTTACTCTTCAACTAGATATAGTTTTACCTTCAACTCCATATGCCTGAAATTACAATGTTCATTCAAACAGTTTCCTTCTTGCCAAAATGAACACATTACTTCACACCCCAAAGCCGAAGGTTCATGTCTAAATGCACAATTGTCTCCCTAAAAAAAAATTCACGATTAATATTTTAACTAAAAATAAAATTCACCTTATTAATAATTAATCAACAGTGCAATTCATAGATTTATACTGTTGATAAAACATTCGTTTTATTTTGATATCAATACAATCAATAAAACAAATATGTAAATAACGAAGACTTCCATGTGACCCGAGAAATTTATGAAAATTCCAGAGATATCTCAATATGGCCGATTAAATCTTAGTAATTCATTCAAAATTTCTACTAACTAAAATTATTAAACTGTTAAAAATATAAGTAACGAATGCATTTTCATAACTCGGTGTGAATTTAATAAGTTTGTAGATAAATAATTGAACTTACTTTTGTGCACGTGGAATAGTAAAAAAAGTAGCAGTCATTATTCTTGTGACTCTGATCCATTTGTAAAAATTTATATGACGACGAATGATCGTGTTCTTTGCTGTAAAAATGTAAAAGTTAATATTAATTTGAGAGAAATTGCTAAAAAAATTTAGTTATAATAATTTTATATAATGTAAAAAGCTTCTGTTAATAGTGAAATTGTCCAAATGAAAATTATGAGGATAAAACGTTACCATTTCGTTCGAAACATGGTAAGGCGTAGCTTCTATATTACAAGACGAAATACTACTAATTTATTTTGAAAATAAACAGATTCTAAAGGCTACTTACGTGTAGTTATTATTTAGATAAGGTCACTTTCTTATTCTATATTTATTTATTTAGATTCACAGAAAGTAACTTACATCTGTCTCAAAGGTATTTCACGCTAAATTCTTTTTTTTTTCTCCATCAACTACACACCAACTCTACTCTACAAATTGATTTGAATGATCTTAGGAAGATGGAGTTGATGCCGAAGTCGACAATGTCAAATTTTGCATTACCATTGGCACGTATGTAAAATATATTTTCTTGCTCACATTTGGCAAGAAAAATACTACTACAGATTTATTCATTTATTCAAAACAAAAAAACACAATCTCAAAATTTTATAAATTCCAATTATTTATCAATGTTTGCTACACATTTCTCTTTTTTTCGTGACTCCATTCGTCAATTGTTAATTAAAATTAAGCTTTTTTTCTAATATTTTTTTTTATAAACAATAATAATAATTTACAAATATACTTATGGCATGTGTTGCCAGAGAGAAGTCTTTTCTCTTATGGTTTTATACTATGTGCCAATATTTTTAAGAAACTACGAATTTAAAGTGTATGTCTTTGAAAGAATTTAATATGAGAGGGTAATGCCTCTAAGAAATAGCTAATTACAAAAGGAATAACGTATTCGATCTAACGTGGTCCATGTTAGGAGATATTGGAGCATTGTCTTCTATTATAGAGAAGGATTATTCACTCTTTCATCCTTATTTTATGAAAAATTTTGCAAACAGTATGCTAAAGAGTCAGCAGTCCTTGTGGCTTTTTTCACTAATGACTCTAAAATAGACTAATTAATCTTTATTCGTATGTAAGCTAAGAGATTTAAATATAATTAATCATTGATATACCATATTCCTATTGCACATTCATCAATTATCAATGTCAAATGGAAATAGAAATAAATTCTTCCCCCTCGATTTCTATTTTGGTATAATATTATAATTTCTCATAAAAAAAAAGAATTTTCAAAATTATAGCGATAAAAAAATTTTATTCAGAAATAAATTTGATATATAATTTATATTTTATGATAATCAATTACTTCTAATAGAGTTAGCTACAGTCATAAAATTAATACTACAAATTATGTCTTGAAATAAATAAAATAGCTGACTTTTTTTGTAATTTTCATCAAGAGAAAAAAGAAAAAAAATCAGCTACATTGAAATTTAATTAATCTTAATTGTTTAAATAATCAACATAACGTTTTAAATAGCATCAATGAAATATCAATATCACTTATTGTTCACATTATAAAGCTGAAAAATAATTTTTTTTTTAATTTATTAATATCTATGGATTATTATAAGATCAGAAATCATTAAAAAAATCTACTCAAATACTTGTTAAAATATTGTTCTTAATGATGAAAATTGCACATGCTAATGATAGTTTGCATTTATTAATCAAGAAAATTTATTGCCACAACGATTGACTGAATATTTAAAAAGGTAAAGTGAGGTATAAGGACTGTACTCTGATATCAAAATTTCTATTTATTGGTTTATTAATATTATGGTAAATTTGATCGTCGATAAATTGTTAGTTTATTAACATAATTTACTGTACAATTAACTAATACAGTATATATTGTAATCACTAGTAAAATGTTATAATTTTATTTTAATTTTACTTCTTAAACGGTTTTTCATTCGCGTTTACCTCATTCCTCGATTTTTACCTTTTCTATTGAATGCTACGCCTAAATAATAATTATTTTACATTTTTACTTGTAATCTAACAAAAACCAGTTAATTTGAAAATAATTATGTAGAAAGATATTTGATGTGCATATTTGTTTTCTTTTCTTTTTAACTTAAGATACATCTTATTTTACTTTCTAATTTATCTGTGATTTTTCCTAACGGTTAATTCATGTACTTACTAATCTTGAATGTAATGGAAATCATATATTATTTGATTGCAATAAATTTCCATTATTTTGAAAATGGAATAATTGTCTTCAATCGTTTAATGTATTTTCAATTAAAATCATGAAGACTAATGAATATCAGTTTATTGTTAAATTTTATTATTTTGTAAAATTATATTTTTATTAAGGACTGTATTAATATAAGAATTACGTTAAAAAATTACAAATAAATATTATGCAGTCATTTTTATCGCACTTAAGAAAAAAAAAATATTTCATGTAAAAGATTAATTAATCGGTCTTTTCTTCAATAGGCTTGAGCAGAATCAGCATTGGGTAAACAGAAACCTAAAAATAATTTAAAAAATTTTTTTTATTCTTTAATAAATTATAATTTTTTTTCTTCAATCCATGACTCGGTTGAATGTTTCTCAAATAAATTATTCTGCTAATAAATTTGAAGAATTTAAAAGATGAAGAAGATTCTAATCAAATAAATGATTAAAAGAATGAAACTTTGGCATTCACCCAACATTGAAAAAGTATTGAAGATATATATATAAAATAATGAATCCATACAAAATATATTGTTGCATCAATGAATTTTTCAAGCGTGTAACTTTATATATACATATGAATATAATATACGTATATGAAAATGTATACCCACATGCATAGATAAAATTTTTTAATATTAAGAATGATTTTAATCTGTCAAGGGAGAACATACAAGCAATGTTTTCCCTAAATATTATTCTTTGTGTGTTCATTGTATTTGCATTTGTTTATTTTCAATTGCATAATCGATTATCGTGAAATGAAATATAGTATTAACAATTTATACTAATTATATTTCATTGTAAATTAATTAAAGAATTCCTAATTGAATATGTTTATGTGTTTTTTATCATTATTAGTTATCAATAGTCATAGTATTTGCTTATACATTTAATGTCTCTTTCTTTCTTTCTTTCTATCTTTATTTCGTGCAGATATTCCATCGTTCGCTTATTTTGCTTTTATTCCACATTGTTATATATTCCATCATTAATTCTATCTTGAAATTCAACAAATAAAAAGAATATTCGAAAATATTGTGACTAGCGACATTCCCAAATTTTCACTGTCTGATCCACACTACCAGTCACCACATAAGGATGACTTTTGTGAAAATCTGTAATTAAAAAAATACATTTAATGTTATTAATAAAAATTATGCCCGTATAAAATTCTAACTAATACATTTAAATAAATGCTCCAAATATTAATTGCATAATTTTTGTAGCAAATTGTTTTCTAAAACCTATTTTTGAAGTGTTTCTTTTCATTTATTACATTCATTATAAGTATTTAACTAATATAACATTATTGTACATCTACTTCTCAATGAAAGACAAGCGAAATTATCACATGAAATCAGTATTGAAGAAAATTGAATACTAACCGACAGAAGTGCAAAAATGAACATGTGCATCAAGAGTCTTCATTGCTCGTTTGTTACGTGTGTCCCAAACTCGTAGAGTTTTATCATCAGAAACACTGACAATGAATTTACCACCAGGATGGAAGACGATTCCACGCACCCAGTTATCATGACCATGGAGAATAAATAAGCAAACTCCCACACTGACGTCCCACATACGAACAGTTTTGTCTCGAGATCCTGAAGCAAGAAAAGGACCTTCATGTGCTCCTTTATTATCTGCACCTGCAGCAGCGTTTATTGATGCTCTTGCACTGTCTGGAGCCCAAGCAATGCATTCAACGACATGATCGTGATCTCTTAGTTCAACCTAAAATATTCAAAATAAACTATTTTAGATGAGAAAAAAAATTACTAATCTCATTAAATATATAAGTGAAATGATTACTTTGGTTTCTTTTGTAGCCATGTGCCATACTCTTACAGTTTGATCATTAGAGCAACTGGCAATAAGTTCACCACAAGGACTAACCCTTGCCATTCTCACCCACTCTCTATGACCTATGAGTGTTTTTATGCAATATCCAGTGGCTACTTCCCATATTTTGAGAGTTTTATCTCTCGAGGCGCTTACAACAAAATCACCTTGTGGTACAAATGAAACTGAGTTAACATTATGATCATGGCCATGCATTGTTTTTACGCAAGCAAATGACTGATGAAAATCCCATATTTTTATTGACATATCTGCACTGCATGACACAAGTAATTTTCCTGATGCATCAAACGATATATCTTGAACGCTATCAGTATGACCCTTCAAAGTACGTTCAAACTCTCCGGTTTCAAAATCCCAAACCTGTGAAATAACATTCATTATTTATCAATTGACTTCTTAATTAATAATACCTTTCAAATGAAAACGTAAAAATATTAATTAATATATTATGAAACATTATTCAAATTGGTATTTCGTCGGCTTAGAGTGTCAATCTGCTAAGCGTCATAATAGATAAATTTACAGAAAAAACAAAAATCATTCTTATAAAATAGAAATTAATTTTAAGAAAGGGTTTTAATACAGTTGATGTATTATTTTATTCTTTATAATATCAAATAAAAGAAGAGTTAGTAAATTCAGTATTTAATGTTAGTACATTCAATCAGTCAAAAATTGATTTAGCATCGTTACAAATTAAGTCGACGATGTATCAAAAAATAATTTGTAAATGAAACTTATTTTTTTTAATTGATAAATTTATAAAAATTAATTTCATAGTTTGTAAGTAACATTCTACTAATTTTACTAATTAATATATTATTTAACCATTAATTATTATATTTTATTTTTAAAAACAACTTGATTACTAGTTAATATACTTAATTAGTTAGTTGTACAATTATGTATGAAAATATAAATCTTTCAACATATTAAGAAATATTTTAAACTTGTAACAGCAGCATTGAATTAATTTTGTGATTATAACGCTAATAAGTTTTTTTCTAGACTTACTTTGATTGTTGCATCTTCACTGGCTGAAACAACTAAACTAAAAACAGGATGAAATATAACTCTATTGATCGGCGCTCTGTGACCAGTTAAACAATGTTTCTCTGGAGGTCTGGGAATCCATTCTGTAGAGGAACGTTTTCCACGTGTTGGTGCTCCTTCAATAAATTCTTTTTCGGCTTCAGATAACTTAGATTCTAATTCCATTACCTGCCATCATATTTAAATTTTTAATCAATTCACGTTCAAATGAACTTAAGAAATGTTACCTTCTTTTGTAATCGAATAACAGAAGTCCATTTTTTCTCAAGAAGACCACCATATTTACGTTCTACCTCTCCTGGCATATCAGCTTCTTTTTTGAATGCTTCCAGAGCATCTTGGTAACCATTAGTATTAAGATAATCTGCAATCGCCTTATTTCTACAACATTAAATAATATAAATTTTACACTTTATGATTCATTTTTTGCATTTAATTAATATTGTAATTATCTTTGTTACTATTAAGTGATCAAGTATATTTGATGCAAAATATTCTGTAATACTCAGGGAATAATTTTAGCTTATTTTATTATAATCAGGCAGAAGAAAAGCTACAACTAATATTTAGCTACTCTAAAAAGTTTGAAGCTGCCGACTCTTAATATAACTATTCTTATAAAATTATCGATAATAGTTATTAAGTTATTTTAATTGTCTTTATTTGAACAATTTTCAATAGTATAGTTAAGATTCATGTAGGCATAAATAATATAAATAATTTTTTATGATGAATAATAATAGCGAGAAAATACATGATAACTATTATACAGATAGTAAAAATAAAAGTTTATATAATTCTAAGAAAGACATTGTAATATATTTTAAAGTGAATTTTATTGAATATTACATTAATAAAAAAATTGTCTAATTTTATCGCCAAATAGAATAAATCAAGATCACCATCTGCAGAAAGAATAAAATTTAGATAGACTTATTTCTAAATAAATATAAATGATAAGTAGTATCTAATCAATCTTTTTTTAAACCGCTTTTAACACCATTTAGATATACTTAAAACATAAAAATTATTAAACTTATTTTCTTTTCTATACCAATAATAAGAGACACTAATATGAATAGGAGACTTGCCAATATTGATTATTTATTTAATTGCATTGTAATCATTAGATTATTGTTAAACAAATATACTGTTGGAGAGATTTATCTAAATACATTATTTAAGAATAAGTTTTATTAAAAAAAATTTGGTTTAAACAAATTATGTTGTAGCAGAACATTTTTGGTCATTAATATACAAATAAAAAAAAAGCATCCATAAGAAGTAATAGCTATAGAGTTAATATCCAAAAAGAGCTTAAATTAATGATATATTTTTTAGTACACACAAATTTGTGAAATTTCATTTTTTTTCGCAACTTCGATATCATACCCCGTCTGCAAAAAACATGACGAGTCGCTAATATTGATCGTTTGCAATGCGCTTGCTCTATACAAAGATATCTTTACTCCTTATATTTAACTAGCAGAATTTCCTGACTTTTCATGCTGAATAATTTATAATTGAATAAATAAATTTATACTAATAACTATTAGGGACATAACATTTTATTTTTTGTAGACCCATAATGTTTTCACAAATTTGAGTTGGTTTTTATCAATGGTAACATCGATTCAACTAATAACTTCAATTAATCACTTACAGCTCCTCCCTCTGCCGTTGTGACAACACCATTTTCATGATCCTTGATATATTCCGGCTTATTCTTCAGCGATATTCACAAATCAGCAAGATTATAAAATATCCTCGTATGGTTTCGTATCTAGTCAACCGTGATTTGCATTGCCTGGTTAAAAAACATACTACTATATTATTTATTGATACTTTGAGACAAATAAAATGAATTTTAAAAAATTTTAAAATAACCAAAATCCTTTAAAATTAATGCGAAAAGTAAAAGAGAAAATAACTGCGACGTCGCAAAGATCTCATAATGATGTGTGAAGCATAAAATCAATATTCACTACTGACTTATAACATTAAGCGGTAATATTTATTACTTAATATATTTGATGACATTGAATTTATTTTAATTTTCATGTACTTTTACTGATTCTAAAAACTTTCTGCTTGTTTTACATTATTGTCAATGCTGAAAATATAAAAACATTTTTCGGTTATAACAAAGGTTTACATTAGAAATAGAATGCATTATTCCCGCATATTAAATCGTGCAATATATGCAATAGAATATCTAATATCATATCAAATGACAACTTAATTATTTCTAATGACACCTTTTACATTTTATTTTTCTATTTAATATAGTAAATTTCAGTGTAATTATTAAATAAAATAAGTAAAAAAATTGTCGAGACAAATGATTTAAGCTAACTACTTTTAAAGATTGACTTTTCTAAACCCGGTATTTATATCACTGATGTAATTGTTAATTAAATTTGAAAGGAATCTCAAGTAATTCATAAATAAATGCTTATAATTAATATTAATATTTCTAATAATTTTCAGTATATTGACAAAATTATATTTCACAAATCGCGATCGTAAAAAATCAATTGTCCGATGAAATGTGTAAAAATTAACGTGACAAATGTGTAAAAAAGTTTTAGTATAATACATAAAAAACTCATCGAATCATTTTAAAGACAGGTATGAACTCATTTCAATAATTTATGGAGAATATTAAATAATCCAATTGAGCTAAAAAAGAAATAAAGAAATAAGCACAACATTTATTTGTTGTAAATTGCACACGGCCATCTTGCTCCAAACCGTCACGTCTGGTTGATCGAATTTTGAAATCTAAATTATTTACTCAATATTGATGTGAAATGTATGAACATGGTTCAATCTGAATGTCAAATACTTACGTCTCTAATTATGATTAAATAAATCCTTTCAGTTCTATTGTTGTTAAATGATTGATACCGATAATTAAGAAGAAAAGACACAAAATTCTCGTCAAACTAACTCCTTACAACTTCTCAATACTTCTCGAGACAACTTCTCCGAACAAAGTGGATTGAAAAGTCCCACAAGGTGTCGCTTATAATGTAGACGCATGCGTGGAAATTTGCGCAATAATGGTCCATTTTAAAAAATTTTAACAATAAATAATTTATTTATTAAAATTGTATAAAAAATTGTATCAAAAATATCTTATCTCAATAAAAATTGACTTTAAAAACTGATTGGATTGGTAACTTACTGGATTTTTACCTTCATAGTTCACTTGAAATAATTCGTCAAAAAAGCCATCTTAAAAAATAAACTTTTTTAAATTTTTGCTGTTGATGGTTTTAATCGTAATAATAATAATTTTTTATTAATTTTCATGTTAGAAAAAATTATATTTACCGATGTGTTTCTTTCTATATGTACAAGATGACTTATTGGCTTAATTGATGTTATAGACATACAGGTCAAAATTTTAATAAAACTTATCAAACCAAAATTAAACATATCTGGAGAAAGTTTGATGTAGTTTTTAATTTTAAGAAATCAAATCTTTATTACTATTATTTTTAAGAAGATATATGTGTATATTATACATATATTGGTCCAATAATTCAATTCCTGTTCACGATAACTTGTGAATAAATTGAGATAATTAATAGATTTTTAATTATCAACGTTGTAAACTTGTTTATATTCAAGTAATTTAAAAAAAATTTTATCCAACCTAGTGCAGATTTTTTTCACCTATTCTTCTTGAAACTCGAGAAGAGCTCTGAAATAGTTCATTTGTTTTTGAAAAAAAAAAAATACAAAAGCATGTTTTTTTTTAAGCTTCATTAATATTGTTACCACTATTTCTTACCATTGGTATGTAACAATTAGATTTCGTGAACAGGTTACAAATATTTACAATAAAAAATACGCAATAATAATGATTAAAAATTAAAATTAGCACAAAATTTTTTAAACTGATATATTATTTTATGGGGAGGCTTTTTACTGATTTTTTATCCACTAGTGGCTACAGTGAGAAACAATTATTAGGGACAGTGTCTATGTGATAACGACATGAATGTATGAACGTGCGGTGAAACAATATACGTGTATGTCTGTATGTGTGTATATATTTCCAATTGTTCATTGTACACATGCGCAATAGAAAAAGTGCTATAGAAGGAGAAAGATAAGTGTAAATAAATAAAAGAATGAAATCATCAAAATTTCTGTGCAACTTTTCTCTCAGTTTGACAGGCCAGCTGGGGCAAACCTAGCAAAATTAATAAATAATTTTATTTTTATTGGTGATTGTTTATTGTTTATAATTTACATTTATACGGATACATTATGTATTTTCATATCTGTACATGCATACATTAGTCATTTGGAGAATTAAATTTTTGCTGGATAAATATTAATTTTTTTTATATTTTATGATGGTTTTGTTAAGTTAAAACAAAATAATAAAAATGGACTCGTCGTTGAATACTTCACAAATAAATAATCTCTCTAGAACTAGCAATACATCACCCAGTCTGAAAACTCAATTAATGAGTCTTATTAGAAAATCAAACAAAATATTTGTCGGTGAATATTTAGAAAGACGATTAGTACGAAAACATCCATACACAAGTTACAAGTGAATATTTAAAAGATCTATTTTTTTTATATTATTAACGAAATATTCATCATGTTTGTAATTGTTAAAGGCGTTAACGAAAATCGTAATTATTCTTTCCAGAGATATCATAGTCATTGATAAAAATGAAAATTTAATTAAAAGTTTAAAAGAAATCCATAGATATATCTACCATCAATTTGAAGGCCAAAAATCACTTGGTATAACTCGTAAGTCTTCAATATTTGTTAAATAAAATATATAATAATACGATAAAGAATGATAAATGTTAGTTTTACTAATTATATTCATTAAAAATTATTTATTATTATTGTTTTCTTACTATATTCGTAGTTTTATCATCAAATTAGCTATTAAAATATGATTATTTTAATTGAACGATTGAATCGTAAATTAAATTTGACTAATTAGTCCTTTGATGTACCATAAACCTACATAAATTATTTGTGGGCTATTAAAAATTAATGTAAATAAGCAATTAATTTTCTAAACTCACAATTGTTATTTATAGTATTGATTTGGTATTTCGAAATAGTTAAATTCAATGATATAAGTCATGATTGAACAATCGATTACATGATCAAAGTTATTTCATCAATCATTTTTTTCATCTATAAAGTAAACTTATCATATATGAATAACATAATGAGGATTTTTTTATTTAACTATAATTAACAGGTACAATTGTTGACGATGAAATACAGGATTATAAACTATGGGTTGATTTAACTGATCAAATACCATTAGGTAAACACTGGTTTCAAATTAGATCGATAAAAGTGGAAGATAATACTGTTCAGCTACAATTAAAACACTTAAGGCCATTCGAAAATCCATCAAGAATATTCAATACTTCCGATAATCATTCTCCTTTTGATATTAACGAGGTAAATAATTCAAATTTCAGAATCGTGTGCAAAACTTGTTAAATTTAGAGAATATTAAATTTTTTTCTATTTATGTATATTCTACATATTTTCAAAACCTCAAATTCATGATAGTCATATTGTAAATAGTAGCTATCTAAAAAATAGGCCTATTGTGGGGAGTAAAAGTTGCAGAAGTTGGCAGAGATTTGTCTTCAATACAATAAGTAACAAATTATCTAATGATTACTACTTATATTAATTAAAATAGAAATTCATCATAATTTCAATGATCTGCTACTATCATCTCCAATTTACTACTCTCTACGAGGGCTAATTTTTTTTTCAATCATTACTAAATAAGCACCAATAGTTAAATAAACAAATTTTGAACAGTGTTCGATTAACTATATTCGATATACATTTTTATATGTCTCTATGGATATTTTTGATTAAATTAAGTCAGTAGCTTTAAAACGAAAAATAAAAAGAAAACAACTTGAATAACAATGATGAATTTCAGATTTTAACATATCACAACTTAATTGAAACGTTGAAGTTTTGTGCAGTCGTTTTGATGAGTCTTATTACACTAGCTGGAAACTTTCTTTGGTATTTTGCTGACTACAGTATTAAAATAACTCGAGAACTTTCTAATCTTATCAGGGAGCTGACACCTATTTTTTTTGGGTTTTATGATTTTGCATCAAAATGTGTAGCTAGCTTACTTTGGTTAATTTATATTCTGTTTCGCGGAGATTCTATAAAATCTTCTACTGCTCCTGCTCCTAGTCCTAGACCTTTGGCAATTATGCCTGATTCTTACCCTCTTCAAAATTATCAAAGTTGATACAGGTACCAAAGACAATATAATTAAATGTTTTCAACCAATAATGATGCACCATTATTTATGATTGTATAATTCAGTAGATAGTAATTGAGGGAATATTTTTTGTATTCACATATGTAAATTTGAATGGACTTTGAAAATTTAATATAAAAAGTGGTAAAATCCAATGAGTGGTTAATATCTAGAATTATCATGTATCAAGTATTTCATTTATAAATTATTTAATTACCGAAAAAGACTGTTTATTATTTATTGAAAAATATTAATTCTGAAAAACCTAACCTAAGTCACTAATGATAAATAAAAATAAATAAATAAAATGCACCAGTCTTATTTAGTACATATAATTGATGTATTTGTAATACATTTCTATAGGAATGAAGTATATTTAGCCTTTAAATTGTAGATTATTCTAAAACTGGGAAATCTGAATTAAATTACATCAAATTTAAAAAAAAACTTTTACTTTTTCGAAAAGTTTTTTTTGCATATGGCAATTATTATATGCTTTTTTATTTAGTAATTCCAATTACTCCACAAGCCAAACGTGCACCAGCATTTCCAGTTGTTTTTGAAAGTTCGTGTCCACCCTTTCCTAAGTCATCAACATCAGCATGAACCTAATTGAAAAATTATAGATTATTTTAATATGTATCAATTCAATCAATATTAATAATTTATTAAATATAAAAAAAATGAATTTTTAAATAGTAGAATTGATAATTAAAAACAATATAAAACAGGAAATACCACAAGCGTTCTTCCAATAATATTATGAGCTCCACTAAGTTGAATCATTTTGTCAGTAATATTGACTTTGGCAACACCATCAGAACCAGCTTCAATATTTCCAAGATCTCCAACATGTCTGACACTATCATCAGGACCACCATGTTCTTTATTCAATGGATTGAAATGTGGACCAGCACTGGTACATCCTATGATTTAATTCCAGAAAAACCAACGTTATTTTATCAATAAGTTTGACAAAGTCTTTATTTGCAATGACTTTTAATTCGTAACTTAAGATTATTATGTAAACTCAATGTACTCCTTAATAAAACAGAAGCAAAAAATTTGGATTGCAAATTATTAACTTCCCGTCTGATCAAAAAATTGTTGTAATTGATTTAATTAAACATTATTTTGTAGATGTTAATATAAAGGAAAAAGTTTTACATAAAAAATAACTGATGACATTTTATTATGCACATAACGCTATAAAAATTAATTTTTTTAAATAAAATTTTCAAACATTATTATCTTAATAAACAAAAAAAAAGTTGATAAATTTGAATCATAGATAATGAATATCGGAAAATTATTATTGCAGACGACCTATACAGATACATTCATTCAGAGTTTGTTAATGTTAGAATGAATTGGTACATGATGAATATTTATCCTCTTACCATTAGTGTTATCACCGAATTCATGGATATGAAAGCCGTGAGAACCGGGTTTTAAACCAGTGACTTCACCAGTGACCTTGACAGGAGATGATTCTGCCTACATGAAACATTAATTCTATAATCAAGTGGTCTATTAAATAATGACAGTAACTAAATGATTATGCATTAAGTACAGATAAATTCATTTGTCCCGACAAATTATAATGATTTAATGTACTTACATTTTGCTCGAAGTACAGAGTACCTGTAACTTCACCTTGAAGGACACAAACAGCTTTAACCATTTTCAATTTATTTGAAAATGTTTTCAATTGATTGTTTAACGAAAATTGAAGTCTCGAATGTTCTTGTAATTCCTGTTACGACAAACTGTGATAAATAATACTTGATCATTTGCTGAATCACTGATAACATACGAACCAGATTATACTTATAGTGGGGATACGTTGCCAATATCTTGCGAATTCAAAGACGCAACAGCACACTCTAGTTTATAAAATATTTTCTTCATATCTTTTAGGTAATTACCGACTGTGGCATAATTTTTAAAATTTAGGTCAGCCATGACACTTCGTAAAAAATGATTTTTTCGATGTTTTTTATTCATTTTAATTTTCACAAATTTATTTACAAAAAAAAAGACGATTGTGTAATCCTTGAAAAATATCTCACCTTTTGATCAAGTCCTAAATTGTTAAAAAGTACTTATTTTTCACAGAATAATCTGTGGAGAAAAATTGTGCCTTTTTTCAGTCAAAATTCCGGTACAGAATACAAAGTTTGCTTCTGTCAGTAATTTAATTTTTCTTCACCGACCATCGTTTTTATTGTGAACGAAAACTTTTCTCAAAAATGTAAACTGTAAATAAACATTATCGTCTATCGATAGCTTATCAAAGTTTGGAAACAATTAGCATTTAAATTCTTTTGATTTCTTTTGTGTTGATCGCACTCATGAAAGCGAAAAACTGTGATAGAGAAAACAAAGAGAAAAGAAAAATTTGGCGGGAGTACCGTTCGCTACTTTTAATATGATTATAATTAAACTATTCTAAAAAGAAATTATTTTAAGTAAATATTAACACATGTACACGAAGGTAAAAATAGTTAGATACCTTGATCTATCACTTTTTAATCGAAAAAAATTAAAATAAATCGTATACAAAATATAATTTTAAAGTTCTTGAATATGAGTACACATACAAAAAAAAAATAACGTTTATAAGCTTATCACTGTACAAAAAAAATAGTATACATTCGTATACAATTTAAAATTTAATTTGATTGGTCAGACAATTTGAATAACTAGTGCGTTTCATATTTGTTTACAAAAGTTCTACCCGGTATTCAAAGTCATATATCTGATATCAGTTGATCTGTCGAAACATTCCGGACACCAGAATTTTTGTTTGAATTAGCAATAAATTAATAAAAAATGCCAAAAAAACAGATAAGAAATGGTTTTTATTATTTTATGGTGGACTTTAAAAAACGAGAAGAAAAATTAGGTCGGCATTTTTATGGAGGATTTAAAGAAATTCAAAGTGATCCCAAATGTGCTGAACAGTGGGCTGTAAGTAAAAACAAAAATTCAAATTACCAAATTTTTTCTGATATAATATTCATTATTTCTAATATTTGATGATTAAATTATGTTGACACAGATACGAAACAATATTGCAATTTTTAGGTTAAAACGACATTGTATTGTATTTTCTTTCACGTAAAGTTAATTTGAGAAACATATAAATTGTCGATATCTGAAAATTCGATATACTTTAATTGATAAAAGTGCATAAAATTCTTTTTTTAAAATGTATTTAGTTTTATTAATATAAAATAAATTATTTTCTTCAGGCTCTAACTGTTCAACAAAAGAAAGAATATAATGATAGAGCACAAAAAGATAAGAAAGAAAAACAAAAATTAACTGGTGTTGGAGAATCAATAGATTTCGTTCGACAGCAACAACTATTGAAAATAAAATATGAAGAAAATATGAAACAATATATTGATAGTCTCATTGATCAGGCAGATTTACTCAATGGTATGTTTATTTTTCTAAATAAATAAATTACATATCTATTTACAAATAAATTAAAATTATATGGAACAAATAGAAAACTGAGTTAATTAATGAAATTAAGAAAATTGAAATAATTATGATACAATTGAAGATAAAGCAAATAAGAAATATGGTTTAAAAATATAATATTTATTCGCTTAAAGTAAATAATACATAATACTTTTTTATATTAATACTTATTTTGTTATATTAAAATACAATGTGTTAATTACACTTTAACTTTGAACGATAAAATTTGAATAAAATATCAACATAAGTATTTTCATTTTCTTTTGCAGCAATAGACACAACTTCATTCTACTTTATCCATGTCAACTACTTTTATACGAAAACGCATTTGGATTCAACAGTTGATTATATTCCAGCTGAGTTTGCAGTTTGCGAATTCTCAGTGAAAAGTGGAGCTACTAGACTCTACCATCAAATCATTAACACGAAAATTGAATTGGGATATGCACGTGAGGCTGCAGAAATCAGTGATACTACACATAAACTTAATTGTGATTTGCCGGAAGGAGAAGCAAGTTACAAAATTATGTGTAACAAACTCATGGACTTTTTGAAACATGAGATAAAACCCAATGCTAAGCTTCCTCCATTATATACTACTAACAATTTAAAAACAATTGTTCCTTGTCTGCTTAGAAGAATGACAACTGCTGCTGGTAAGAATTAAAAATAATTATAATAAATTTATGAAAATAGCCGACCATAAAAAAAATTTTTATTTTTATTATAGCAATCCCTGAAGAAACTTTTGATGTGTATTCGTTTGAATACTTATTTGGTAGCTATATGAAATACTTGAATCCTGACTTTCCTGAGAATGCCACTCCATCAATCATTGCTGAAATTGAGCTCGGCAAAGGTGCATTTGTTTGGTCGCCTAGAATTGAATGCTCGGTATATTATTTCAATATTTTAATCATTAATTATTATCGATAATAATGAAATCATAATTGACTTTTAATTCAATTAATTACTATTTTATATTTTAAAATACTTCATAGAATAACAGTTGTGGAAAAAAGTAAAATTATATTTTGATATTGTTTGTTTAGTACCATTTAGGTATTGAAGGAACAAAGCCTTATTGTAGTCAAGCAATTGTTCAACAATGGGTTTTCACATTTTGCGATTATTGTTGTCCAAAATTAAACATCCAAATGCGTCCAGGAATTCATTGTCCTGATAATGACAGAGAAAGAGAATGTTATGCATTAACTAAAAGTTTACAATATTTGAGTTTGAAAGAAAAAGTAATTTCAGTAAAATCTGGAACAGGGGTTTGTATTTTTTTCATATTATCTTTAAAATAAAAATATGAATTTATTGTTAATAATAAATATTTAGCTGTGAAGTTTCAATTTTCAAGCATTGATGTTAAATTAATATTTAGGTTTCACGTGATTACCGAGAAAGAGTGTCTGCTCGTACGGCTAAAGAAGAAGAAGAGCGACGTAAAAAAGATACCAAACTGACTATTATTGACCATAGTAAACTACCTGAGCAAAAGGCTCCTGTTGTTGAAGAGACTTATAAACCGGTATATCATTTATATATTTTTTTTTTCATATTTGAAACAATTATTAAAAATTTGGAGCACTATTTCAACAATTTATATTATTTACAGTATAAACCAATGAGGCCACCACGAACGATGGCTAAAATTCTAGATAATTGTAATCAAGATCCTGAATTTACTGAAGAAGATTTTCCTACCATTGGCAGTAGTAGAAGTAGAGGAAAACAACGTCGAAATACCCAAAATTGATGCACAAAACATATACTAATGAATAACCTCATGACAATCAATGCGTTCGTATGACATTTTTTTACGTATATAATATTCTTTTGTTCTTCAGTAGTAAAATGAGCGTTTGTTTTTATAAAACTAATTGCAATATTGCGTCAAAAATTCATTCATGAATTTATGTGAGATATACTTCTTAGTCTATGACTGAATTTGATAAACATTTCTCAATTAAAAAATTTAATGATTAAATATAATTCAGAAATGATTGAATTTGAAGTTCAAAAATTATAAATGATTTTAATAAAATAAACAAAAGTTTTTTATGTTAAAAAATTTACAAAGATTTATTCGTTATTACAATTAATGAATTTATAAAAATAATTTTTAATCAAAATAAATACAAACTTGTCCATACTTTTATATAGTTCATCAGAAATATTGGGCTATTAACTCGTTACATTAATTATTAATAAATATTCCATTGAAATACTGAACAACAATAATTCTTGTAGAACATATTTCTCAGTTAATGGAAAAATTAAATGTAATCAAATTCAGTTATACAGATGTTTTTTTAAATATTCTCACATTTATCGCGGATTGAAATATTTAAATGATAAATACCCTGAATATGACAGAACAGCTTTACATAAATATTTACGTAGCTACTATTACAAAAAATTTTTACAGTAATACAATGGTATTTATACGATAATATGTATTTTTTTACTGATGTAAAGAACATTCAACTTGGTATTTTCGAGTATCTCCTCTCGAATTAATCACATTTAATATTGTATAATTAATTAATTCCTAGAAATTTTTCATAAAGATGTTGTACATCATTTATTCGGATATATATCAAATTAAGTTGATAATTTTATGCTTCAATTAATACTTATTATTGAAATAATCGACATCATGAGATAAACAGTGTTTTTGAGCTTTTGATTATATATAAACTTTTTTTAAATACCAAGATATTAGAAACAAAAAAATACTTTAAACATTATTTTTAAGTTTAAGCACTTAAACAGAATTATTTAATCCTACTAATTATTTTCAACACTTAAAATCTGTTTTATACATTTAGTAGCTTAAAATTTAATTAACTACCTCGTTAATAACAACATGAAAATACTCTCTAATTGAAACATTGAATTAAATTTATAACTCTTTTTCGTTTAATGTTTAAAGTTAATCAGAACCAAATTTTAAATATAATCAATAAAATTATGTATTTTCTGTATTCTTTATAATATTGTGGTAAAACAGTTTGAATTCATAAAAAAACTTATAATTCAATTGATGAATAACTTTATACATTTAACAAGAAATAATTGACTTATTTATACTTGATACCAATTGCCAACAAAAATTTTAATTTTTATAATTTAACAATAAAATAGGCTTCCACCGAAGCAAGTTCGTTTTCGAAAAAAACTTTCAACATTGATGAACATGAAAAAACGTAATAAATCCAATAAAAAATATAAGTGAATATTGAATTAAACTCCATTAATTTCTGTTAAAGTTTTTACTATTGATAACATCTAAATGTCTTATATTATACTATTTCAAATGCGATAAAAGTTTATAATACGATAAGTTTGTTATATATTTTTTAGAAACAGTTTCCGAAATAAAAATCTAAACTTTTTAAAATTTTGTTACAAATAAAATTCTGATGAAGACATCAGTTGAAAAGCGAACTCGAAAACGATGTAATTGCAATAAAATAGATGATAAATTTAAAAAGTAAAATTATATTTCAAATAATTTTTTTACATAATACAAGTGTGCTGATTTATTTAGTATTTTTTAAATATACTTGGTCCATAGCAACTTATCATTTTATATATTTTATAATACATTCGCTAATATAATTTTCAACCCTTCACTGATCTCTCAAACGGCCGACTGGAGAGGGTAACAATAAAATCAGAAATTGTAGTACCGACAGTCGATAAAATAACAATTTGCAGTGTTCTTTGACAGAGAGGAGAGACAATGGACAGAGAGACTAGATTAACAACTAAAACCAGAGAATAGGGAAGTCTCATCTTCTATTCTCTGCTAAGACAATATGCAGTGACAACGAAAGTATATTCAAAAATAATATAATAAAATTCTATTCTCTATCATAAACTAATTAAATTAATTCGAAAAAAATGTATCGTCAAGGTAATAAGATATTTTTATCTAATTATGTTAACCTTTTTCATTCCCTTGATATTTTTCTAGGATCAAAAACAATAACATTATTGTATAAACATAATGTCAATATGATTAATAAGATTGAGAGATGTTTTTATAAAACTCGTAGTCATATGAGTGATAACATGAAAAATTCTTTTCAACAAGGAACATTTATAAATAAAATAATGGATAGAGATGGACGAAAAAAGTAAGAAAAAATGTACTTTCTCATTAATATAAATCTAATTTCAACTTATTCTTATGATTTTAAGTATATAAAATTAATTATTCATCAAATACTTGATTAAACTGTTTGTCCACTAGGCCGTGGTATCCTGTTAGAACACCTAGAAATGAATCAATGGATGTGATAAAAGAAAGATTAGTCAATCCACATGTTACTCGTAGAGTAATTGTACTTAATAAACTATTTATGAAACACATAACAGATTTAATGGCAGTAGGTGAAATTGCAACGCAAACCCTTGGCAGAGGAATTGAAATTTCTCGAGTCAATTTTACCAATGATTTCAAAGTCGTTCGAGTATATTGGTTTTCATCTTATACAGATATTTTAGATGAAACTACTGCAATATTAGAAAAAATTTCATACAAATTACGACATCAATTAACACAATTAAAAGTTATTGGTGTTATGCCATTGATTCAATTTGTCCTTGATACTCAGTTAATGAAATACGTTGAATTAGAAAAAAGATTTCTTGAAGCTGATTATGGTGATGATTATGTACCAAAAATAAAGGTAGCTCCTAAACGCCAATTAACTTTATTCACTCAATTGCCTAAAGAAGTTCAAGAAAGAATTAGAAAAATGAATAGTACAGAAGAAATAAGTAACAATAATGAACTTGAGGATGATGATGAGATTTATGATGTCGATTTACCACCTATGAAACATGATACACTTGGATTTGATCATTCAGTAATTATGTCTACTGTAAGTATTAAACATTATAACCAATTTCATTATGTATAAAGATATCTATAAAATACTTTGCATTTATTAAAATGAAAATATTAATTGGAATATTTTTTTATTGTTAAAGATCAAGCAATCATTAAATAAAGCTAGAGGTAAATCATTAAATCAATCAGAAGATACTCATTTATACACACCAGAAGTGATAGATATTGAATTTAATAAAAAATACTCTAATATACTACCATCAAAAGAAGAAGATGACGCTTTTCTGAATTTCTTAGAGAAACGAAAAATTGAAGAAAAACGTAAACGTCAACGAAGGAATGAAAGTCTTGAAAACATCGATGAGTATGAAGAATGTATTTCTGAAGAGATTTCAAATGATAATGGTATAGATTATGATGATTTCGATGATATCAAAACTCATGAGTTATCATAAAAATTAATAGTGAGACATAAATATATTTTAATGTATATAAAAACTGTAAATATTGTTTATAACATTACCATCATCAACTCTTTATTGTCATTACTTAAGAAAAACAACTTTTTTTTCATCAACATCTATTGTTTTTATCGCTTAACTTAATAAAATGTTAGTTAAGTGTATTCAAAAAATATGTATTGTATTTTATAAAAGCTTTTATTAAATACAGTATAACCACTTGTGTAATATAATTAATATAAGTGTTTTTTATTTTCAATTTTTTATTTCTGGATTCGTTAAAAATTAATTGCTAAATTTTTAATTAATTATAATAAAATACAAATAACGAATAATAGTAATACATTATTTAATTAGTAATAAAGTTTTTTTTCATCATATTAAAATTTCGTACTGAAAATTTTTTTAGAATATTTCACCACATGTTTTGGAGTCTTCACCACATGCGTGGTGTACCAGCACCTAACCTAACTTTGTGTACAATTGTGACAACCAGCTAATTGTGTTTAGCTTTTTAATTTTTAAACCTTATGTGAAGATATAAAAATAAATAAACTATAACTATTTAGTTTATGTAATTACATTTACTTTTTTTTTTACAATCAATAATATACGAAAATTAATTAATATTATCATTTGAATCTAAAAAAAGAAATAAACAAATTTCAAAACAATGAATTTACTACCTAAATCCAACGAAGAATTCTCTAAAGAACAATATTGGAATAAATTCTTTAAAAAACGAGATAAAAAAGCGTTCGAGTGGTAAAATTATAACAATTATATTATTATTATTTATTTGATTATTTTGGAAAATTATATGTCTTAATCATTATTTATTTATAAACTACTAATTCATTTTTAACTTCAGGTATGGTGAATATCCAGAGCTTTGTGAATTATTATCCAAATATATTAAATTTAAAGATGATATTCTGATGGTTGGATGTGGAAATTCAACGCTCAGCATGGATTTATACGATGTTGGATACAAGTAAAATATATTTTTCAATTTAAAGTATATCTATTTCATATTATTAATAATTATTAATAAAATATTATTCATTCAAAATATATTATATTGTTAGAAGCATAACAAATATAGATATTTCTCAAGTAGTAATTGATCAAATGAAAGAGAAAAATCGTATAGACAGATCAGAGTTGATATTTGAAAAAATGGATGCAATGAATATGACATTTGAAGATAACAAATTTAGTGTTGTTATGGATAAAGGAACATTAGATGCTCTAATGCCAAATAATAATGAAGAAACTATTAATAATATTGATCAATATTTCAGAGTATGTATTTAATAGATTTTATTTAATCAATTGTTTTAGATAATAATCTTTAATTTATTCAATTATGTAAACGAATAAAACTAGTTTGTCCAACTCAATATAGGAAATTTCTCGAGTTTTGAGAAAAGGTGGAAGATATATATGTATATCACTTCTCCAAGAGCATATACTTAATAAATTAGCAGCTTATTTTCCAACATCAGGATTCATGTTCCGTATAATTCGTTGTCATGATGTTGAAAATAAAATGAGTGAAAAAGACAATGATATGTTTCCAGTTTTTCTTATCGTTGCAACTAAATGCCCAGGACTTAATCAACAAGTACAGTATTAAATAATTGCTTTCTTTATTGAAAAAGTAAATTTTATTGGTACAATTTATTTCATCGGTTTATTTAGGTGTTGGAGTTATCTTTAACAAATAATTATATTAAAAAAGTTTCAAGTATTGATGAGATGGTAAAATCAATTCTTACAATCCAACAATCGAATTTAGTTTGTAATAGATTGCGTTGCAAAAACATTGCAGATGAAGGTGAAGTAATGTTGGAATTATTTTCACCAGAAAAAGAAAATCCTAGATATATCATATATGTTCTTGATCAGCCAAAAACTGAAGGGAAAAGTTATGTAGTATTTTTAGTACCTCAAGGACGGTAAATATTGCTTTTATTATTATTTCTGTTTAAACGAAATCATTGTCTTCAATAGATTTAATGAATTTGTATTGAATACTCACAAAAAAAATATAATATTTTATTTTTAATTATTTTACAGTGAAGGTGATTGGTTATTTAGTACAAAAGAAGGACGTACACAGTTTGCTACCATGATTGATAAAGATCGTATTGCAATTACTATGCTTGGAAGAAATCACAATTTTGTAGATTGGGAAGAAGTTAAAAATGAATTAAATACGTTTGTGAAGAAATTAGCACCACCTCGACTTCCTTCGAATAGCTTAATTGCTTATTTATCATTAGGTCCAGATGTTGGGAATCGTGAAATTTTATATGAAGGAGAAAGTAAAATGAATGGTCGTATTGTCGTAGAAAACGTCTACAATAACGATTGTGATTTTAAATCACGAAGACTGATATTTTTAAATAACCAGTTTGTTATTCAGAGTGACGCTCAAATTAAATCAATTAAAACTCGAAGGGGGAAATGCAAAGAAATTATAAATCATGAATATTTGGCATGCGAACATCATGCTTTAATGTCGATTGCAGTTAATGCAATAGTAAACAACTTTAAGAATGATAATAAAAATCATTTTAAAGAAATTCTTATTGTTGGTTTGGGTGGAGGCGGATTGTGTATGTTTCTTCATCGATTTTTTCCACAGGTAAATTTATCTTTGATTTCTTTTTCTGTTATTTCTAGTTCAATTGAATTAAAAAATTAACATCAAAAAATCTTTTAAAGATTATTTTTTATTTGATTCATATTACACTTCAATGTGATTGCTAAAAAATTATTCTCTCATAGTATAAGGCATCTTCTGTTATTTATTAATAATGTAATGTAATCATTTTTTTAGTTGAAAATTACAGCGGTAGAAATAGATGAAATGATATTCAAAGTAGCAAAAGATTGGTTCGATTTCACTGTGAATGACCAAGTAAAAGTTGAAATTGATGATGGAATAAAGTATTTAGACACCATTAAACGACGAAAAAATAAATTACATGCAATACTTTTCGATGTAAACAGCAATGACTCATCTCTTGGTATGAGTTGTCCACCAAAAGACTTTTTAGAACCATCAGTACTATGTAATATTTCAGAATGTCTCTGTGAGAATGGTGTATTAATTTTAAATTTAGTCTGTCGAGACAAAAATTTACGACCCCCAGTTTTAACGACTCTGAAAACCAAATTTTCATCTATAGCATCTATAAAATTAAAAAATTGTGTTAATGAAATTTTGATTTGTTCAATAATGAAACAGAATTCTGACAAATGGAAACAACAATTATTGAAATCATTTGAAAATTTTTTAAATGAATTAGTTTCTAAAAAATTGTCAATAAATGACAGTATTGAAACGTCCGAATTTTCTGAAAGTCTAACTATTGAATCATAGTTAAATATTTGATAAAAAAAAACTATGTATACAATGAAAGGATTTAATATATCCCAAATGTTATTCTTTTTTTCATTGAATAAAAGCATTAATTAAAAAAATCATGAACATTAAAATATCGCAAATGCCTGTGAATATTTAAACCTCTTTCAGTCATTGAAATTTTTTATTCACAAAAAAAATTAATTGAAAATTTTCTCATATATGTGTATATATTTATACAATAATAAGCTTCAAAAATAATATAATATTTATTTTAAATTACATATATTATTATTAAATCACTCTTATTACTCACGTTTTTATAATGTAATTAAATATTCTATTTTTATTTATAAAAGTAAATATTTAAATAAATACTTATTTTAAATGAATGATACTAATAATGTAATAAACAAACTATGTAGAAAGAAAATATTATACGACATCATGAATAAAATGATGAAATTTTCAGTCGAACTTTCAAAATTGTATTATCGATAAATAGCCTACAAGATATTAAATAATAATATTTCATTCATCATCATTTCATTATAATTTTCTTAATTACAGAAATAATTTATTAAAATTTTTCATCTATTGTATAACGCAATAAGTAGGTAATATAACAAATTGTTTTAAACATTATTGTACAAGTTGCCACTATTATTTCTAAAATTTCTACTCAGTTCAAAGCAGTTCAATTAAGTAAATAACAATATTATCAGAAATTAGATAACAAATTATTTACATACGAATATTCTTCAGTGCAAGTACATCAAATTCTTATTTTTTAATTACAGTAGCTTTAGAAATGTGCAATATTATTACGTAATGATTTTTTGAAATATTCGAAGACTCAATTAAAATTAATAATTGACTCCGAACCAGTTGTGGATATTCACAAATTTATTTTATTTATAAAAAAACCAAATAAAATAATTGTGATTTCTATCTACATAAATACAATCGACTAGGATAATTAAGTTTCTGAAAACTGCTTCGTTTTTTCATTCCTAAGTATAAAATATTATAATAATATTATATTCAAACAAACTTAAAATTATTAACAATTATATTTACAATTTCTGGCAACTTGATAAATAACTTTTTTTTACTTCTTATTCACACTTCAATTTTATAATTCCTTATTCATAGTTTCTCATTATTTAATTCATTATTTTCCATAGGATTTGTTTAACATAGATTAATGTAAATGCAATTCAACTCATAGAATGTTTTAAGTTAAACAAAAACCCAATAACATACGATTTCATTTATTTATATTAATTCTTCATTCACAACTATGAATTCAGTTTTGTTTTTTTCTCCATTATTATTATTATTATTAATATTAATAAATCATTTAATGCATCGTACAAGCAATACAGGTTTATATTGGATTGAGGTTTTACGACATAATTATTAATCGTAACAATTATTTATAGAAAAATAGCTTATAAAACTTTGAAAGTTATGAAAATTTCATTCATAACTATGTATTATTAAAAACATATTTAATACAAATCAAACTTTAAATTCAATAAATATAATTTTACAACAACATATAAAACAGTGAAAAAAAAAAATTGGAAGTTATTTTTAAACTATCCTCGTCTCCAATTATTTTAATCATACTTCTTGATTTCAAAGTTGCTTCGTTACATTTTATTTATTTTGCACAAATGATTCTCATATTATTTCTAACTTTGGTAATTGATTCTTTTATAAAATAAATTTATTCCTATCTAATTATATAATTTTTTCCCTAATCTACCTATTTTTCACCACTCTTTTACTCTTTAAATACGTTCCTATACATATTTTGTTTAAAATGGTTTTCTATATAAAATTACCAAAAAACTGATATATTTTTATCATTGGCATTCATATTTAAAAAATTGTCAGTAGTTCTTAATCTACAATCAAAATCTCACACTGCATCAGAAAAGTTTTTTTACCATTTTTTTGATACTTCCTTCTTTTTTCACCTTTTTAACAGGTATTAGAATAGAATGTTCACTTGTCACATTTTCACTATTTTTACTATGTTCATTAAAATTAGTAATATCACCATTCTGATTATTAATATCCATACTATCTATGAGGACATTAAAATTTAATGGACTATCTTGTTCAGACCTAGAACTATCTGAAGTTCGAGAATTCCATTCCCAATTATCAAGTATTTGATGAGCACTTTGTGATTCATTATTTTTTAATTTTTCTCTTTTACTTCGTGTACATAAAGCAGTCTTCATAAATGAAGATGAATGAAGTTTAGCATTTTTTAAAATTTTTATGCCTCTTGGAGAATTATTTTTAAAATTATCAGTATGTTTAGTTACATTATCTAGAGATAATCGGCGTTCATTTTTTAATAATTCGTCTATCTGTGATTCTGGTGAATTAATTGATTGAATTTCTTCAATAGTAACTTGATTATTTGTCAAATTACTAATATTATCATCATTATCATGTTCCGTTGAAAATTGGTTTAACCAAGTACTGCAACTATCAGATTTCGTACTTGATACATTTGAATGTGATGAAGTTATATCTTCAATATGATCTGTAGAAGAAAATTTTTCTAAAGATACTAGTTTGGATAAATCTTTTTTTGAATTTGATAATAAAAAATTTTTCTTCTTTTTACTTCTTTTTTCCTTTTTGGCTTCTAATTTTTCATCAATCATTAAGTCTCTATAAGTTGCCTTGACCCGAGACGCTATTTCACTAGGTCGACGTCTTTTTTTCTTAGCAACATTAACTGTAGCTGACTCTGCACTCTTTCGTCTTGAAATTTTTTTATGAACCATAGTTTGATAATTCAATTTTAGAGTCGGATAAATAAAGTTTTTACCGACTACAACGATTATTACCAAAACACCAATCTCAATCAAAACCATTAAAATTTGCTGACTAAGATTTGATAATTTACCTTTCCAACTATTTCTATCATACAGAAGTTGATCAAGAGTTTGACTTAAACTGAACATTTGTTCTTGGAGTACGGAAATTTCTTCACTATGTTTTAAATCTTTCTCTTCACCTTTCTTAACTTCTTCATGTAGAGCAATAGTTGTACGTTCAAGTGCACGTTGTAATTCTTCAACTTGTTTTTTATACCGACGACTCAATTCTTCTAAATATTGACTACTCAATGACATATTTCGTTCTAAAGTTTTAATTCTATTTGTAAGTCTCAAAAATACCGATTCTTTTTGTTGCGGTGTAGAAGTAACAGTTGAATGCATTGATCCTGAAGAGCCAGATCCTTGTGTTGATGCATCATTTTCTAAATCTTTTAAATCAGATATAATTGAATCAATATTTACCTGATCTTGATGATTTAATTTTATATCATCTTTATCATTTACTTTTAATTTATCTTTTCTTATTTCAACTTCCATACTTTTCTCAGGTTTCTTACTTTCACCAACATTTTTCACTAATAGTGATTCCATATTACTATTTACTTCACATTTAACAGGCGATATTTCTGACGTTGACATTGCAATAGTTGATGCCATAATTGTTGCAGATAATGAAGGTTCATCTGGCATTTTCAAAGTTGGACTAGCAGAATTAACTAATGGTAATGGTGTAGTGACAACATCAGCTTGACCAATTTCTCTTGATGAATCTTTACTTGGCTCTAAAACTGGCACTGAAGATTGTCGTTTAATATTTTCTCGATTCAATATCTTTGTAGGTTTTATTTGTGAATCAATAGTTTCACTAATTTTAATGTTGTTTACTGAACTGGAAATTTTAGGATCACTGTTAATAGACGTATCATAAAAAGATGATATAATTTTTGAAGAAAACGATGGAAGGAACGAAGACGAAAAAGAAGCAGATGCAAATTCGACAGCTTCACAGTTTGTTGAATCAGATGCACATACTTCACTTTCTGATGTTATGGCATTTGGTGCGACAGTGAATTGAGTTGTATTTCCATTCAAAATAAAATTCACACTAAGTTGATTCTCTTTCGCAACAATTACATTACAGAGAGCTATTATATATTCTTTTGTGAAAATTGAAGTTATGAATGATTTAGATAAATTATTGACAGATGAAACTTTTTTATTTATTTTTTTTCGATCAACTGGCAAGGTGTTTTTAGTAATTGACGACGTTAAATTAATTCCATGTACTTCACATAATTCACCTTGATAAAGAGTTTGACTGAAAAATGATATTTTTAAAAGCGAATCAAGATAAGATGCTCTACAACTTAAAAGTTGAAAAACTTTAGCAAACTCATCATTAGTACAATTATTGCACAAAACGTTATATTTTAATGACATACAATTGTCAGATAAATGTTTCGTTTCATTGTTATTATCATCATTAACGTCATTATTATTAACATCATCATCATTATTGTTATGATTTTCATTATTATTATTATTATTATTATTATTATTATTATTATTATTATTATTATTAGCATCATCATCATTACTATTATTTATTTCAACTTCTGTCTTATTAATGACACTTGAATCACGCCTTTTTACTAAGATGTCAGCTGCTTTTCTGACGATGCTGATTACTGCATTTCTAGCACTTCCAAATAGATTTTTTGATGCACTTCCACCTTCGTAATCATCATCTAATATTTCGTCATCACCATCATAAAAGTCGTTTTCTACTGGCTCTTGTATATCAGTTTCCGTTTCGAGTACTTCAAATTCATTAGTACCGTAAGCGCGAAATAGTGAAATAGGACAAAAATGTTCTTTGTTATAATGAGAATGAAGTTCTATTTTAATAAATTTACCAAAAAGAAAAGGATGAAGTGTAAATGACTGAATATTCCTTTCATCTTTAGCAGTGAATTTTCCAACAAGACTCCATTCTCGTGTAGGAAATCTATCACTTATAAATACTGAAAAATCTTTTGGTCCTGAACTAAATAATTCAAAATTAGCTATTTCAATTTTTTTTGCTTGAATAGCTTCACAAAGTTGAACAACGAACCAAATTTTTGCTGTGCAAGTATTAAGCATGTATTCATCACGCGTAGTTACTAAAACATTACGTATATTTTCAGCTTCAGGATTAGCAGAAACTATTTTAGCACCACATTCAAATGATGCATAATTTTTTGATCTAATTTTCATCCCATTAAGATTTCTACCTTGTGTACCAGAATTTTGTAGTGAAGCATTGGGATGTGATTTTTCCTTTTCAGCTTCTTCCAATCTTTTTTGAGCCCATTCACTGAAGGAAGGGATATCTTCATGGTTTTCGGAACTACCAGAACCTACAAAACCATCCAAAACGACCGTGGCTGCTGGGTCGGAACTTCCTGAGACAAGTTTAGCTCGGACCGTTCCTTGGCCCAATTCTCCAGAGGTTGAAAATACTTGATCTGCGGATTTAATTGCTTCCTCATTGCTTTTAGTCGTTTTTTCACTCGTTTCGGAATCTCTAGAACTTTCTGGTTGGTTTGCAAAACTATCAATTGTTTTTTGTTCAGCTCTAACCACCACAACTTTATCATCTTGAAGTGATGCTGAATTTTCTAAAGATTCTTGAATATTTTGCGATCTTGTTTCGTTGGGATCAATAGTTCCTAAATGAACTACAGTCATAGATTGCGATTTAAATAATGGTAATGAGGACGTATCAGTAAAGATACCGCTGTTGAAATTCGAGATTATTGTCGCTTGAGAGATATTACTCGGTGAAATTTGCGTGGAATCATCGACAGAGAAATGAGGTTCAGCTAAACTATGTAGCTCTACAGATGGTGTGTCGATTAATGTTAATATTACTGCTTGACCAGTTTCCGATATGCTGTAAAAAAAACAAAAAATGTTTTAATAATTTGTTACAATCATAAACTAACGTTACTATAACTATCAATTAACATTTAATTAAGTGATTTATAATTAGATATCTATACATTAATATTGACTCAATGATTTTAACGAGATAGATCAGGTTTTATATTTTTTAAACCTCATTTTTGATCCCATTCGATGAATTTAATGACGATTAATTATAGGAAATAAATAAATAGTGTCAAAAAACTATTCTTTTATAGCTTGATGATTACAAGTGTGAACAATACAATCATTATTTGTTTACGTTATGATTATGATATAATAGAATAATATATAATATTCAAGCTTTTTAATATTAAATATTATTATTGTTTTAAATGAACATTAATATCTCCTAAGTAATAAAAGTAATGAAAAAAATTTAGAATTCTTTAAATTAATAACAAATAAACTTAAGCATTATATATTTGTATAATTTTCTCCATAAGTGCATAATTTATTACTTGAAAGTATTTAAGTTCAAATAAATCATGAAAATTGTAGAATTGAAATCAATATGTTTGACTGCGAGAAATTTACAACACAATTTTGTAAATCAAATAATTTTATGCTACCTTGAGTTAAACATGTAATACTAAGTATACCAGGGTCAGAAGAATATTCTTCACTCTAATTTGGACATTTTTTAACTGCTCGATTTTTAATAGTTTTAGTTATTTTTATCAGGTACTTGAATCCATACTGTTCAAAGTAATTATTATTCAATTAGTGATTTAATCAATGTCATGGTTAGTTCAATAAGGCTATGTTTCAATCATTTCGACGTATTTCGCAACATTTATGGCAAAAAGAAACATGTTCTCGTCAATTGAATTCATTAATGTCTAATTTCAATTTAAACAATTTTATGTTATTTCAATCTTATGCTATTAAGATTGGAATTAATGAAATTCTGAAAAATTGATCGAATAGGATAAATTCTATATTAGGAATCAATGTCATTGGCATGATTAAAGAACAAGTTTTAGATAATTTTCAATTATCTAATAATTAATGTATACTCAAACCTTATTATTACATTATATTATCAAGTATCAAGTATATTATATTAATGCAGAGAAATATATGAACTAATAAATTTTTTTTTTGATATGATATATGATAGTTAAAGTTTTATACATAAATGAAAGAATGAATGATGAAATTTTCAATACTTTTTTATTCTCACCGAGGGTTTAAGCACACTGGAATACACCATATTGTAAATGTTACTACGAAATAAGTAACAGCAGCCAAAGACACAGATCTTGGCTTTATATTTTGATTTTCAGATAATATAATACAACCAACTCTATTGATTATTCTTTTTGGCATTTTGTTTTATATTTTTATACACTACCAATTTTAAATTCACTAATTTGCAGAAAAAATAATATATTCCAATTTTTTATATTCAAATGTAGCGTTGATACACCCACTTGAAGATAATTTATTAATTTTCAAAACTTTAAGTCTATGATTTTCAAACAATTTTATTCATTATTCAGAAGTTTATCATTGTAACTATTCTGAACTTCTTTAAATATGATCTCTAAAATGACTTTCTACTATAAAAATTTAATACTCGGATCATTTGTATTTCTTTTGAATTGAAATAATAAAGGTTTGCATTATTATTTAATTGTAATGTTTAATTTAATAATTTAAAATATTTTATTTAATTATTTGCAACTTTTTATTATTATACATCAAATGAAATTATTCTTAGCTTATTTCTGGATAAAAAAATTTTAAAAGTGATAATTCTGAATTATTGCTCAATTAAATAGGCAAAATAAAAGAAAATAGACATAAATAAATAAAATTCAAAAAATGTTATTAAATAAATAATGGAAACACAAGATAAAATAGCCATGTTTGAATATTATTTATTTTACAATATTTTAAAAATATTCAACACAAAAATTAATTTAATTTACTGACAATTTATATTACATTATTTTATTTAATAAATTTCTTTTCTTTTGCAAACCTTCGTTATTATTTCGATTAAAAATATCAAATATACTTTTATTATGACACACACTTTAAGAATTAATCACATATTTCCAAATTAAATAGTTATCAATTCACAAAAAATATACATAAAAATTAAAATATTTATGAACTTCTGTTAGATGTTAATCCAAAAGACCGACTGAGCTTTACAGGTAACCGAATTAATTATTTATTGAACTCAGTTGTACCCATCATCAAACATAAATACTAAAACTGAAGTACATATCAAAAAATGACATTAATAAATGATAATATGATAAGAACCTACGTCAATTAAGGTAACTGCTACAATTTTTTAATAACTGCAATTATAATAAATATTTTATTTAAATCGCTCGAAGCAAATGTAAATCTTTAAAAACAGATTTATTCATATAAAAAATAAGAGTTGTTTTGATCTGGGGCAGTAATAAAAATGATCGTGTACATTATTGCCAGTCAATACTGATTTTATTAAAGATTATTTCTTAGGCCATTAACCTGAAAATGGAAAAACCAGCACAAGCTCATAATTTTTTCTTTAATTAATTAAATCAAATTTTTAATGTTTAATTTTCTGCCCTGTATTAAAATTTATTAATCTTTTTTATCTTCCAATGTTTATTTAAAAAAATAAATTAATTACAACTATTAATACACTGTATTTATTATTAATATCTCAACTACTATTATTTTATTTAAAATCTATTAATAAATCATTCACATATTATCTCTTTGGTAAAATGATGACGTACTATACAGTACTAGTGAGTATTTAATTGTCATAAATTTTTTAAATAATTTAAATATTTTATCAATTATATTAGATTAATAAGTAAGCTGATTATCATTAAAATACAATAAAAGAAGAATTTGAATAGAAATATTTTAAACAAAAAGTAAACATTCATTTTTAATAGTTAGTAAGATAAACTAATTTTTTGAAATATCTAGTTCACATACGTAACTTACTTTAAAAGAGTATCTCCTTAAATGATTCAATTAAATAGAGGTAAGTTGAAGTACTAATGGAAATTTACTGAAACGTGGGTAGATGTTAGATTATGGTACAAGAATGTTACAACTTCCATCCTCTTTTCTAGAAATAGCTATTATCATTATCATGTTGGTAATGAATTTTTTTTCTCGATATTGTTCTTTTTTCAACTAAAATTTGATAATTATCATTAATAATTAAATATATATTATTAAATATAATGTAAGTGTCAAATTAGAAATTGTTCATGTATTATGTTGATAATGTATGTAATTCAATGTAATTTCCAATTCATATTAATTTCAAATAATAAATAATGAATTCAAATAAACAGTTCTGATGAACTGTATCATTGAGGACTTGAATATAATAGTAAATATCAATTACTATTCATAATTTATCAAATTTAAAAACCTTTAGGAGTTTGATAATTAAAAGTAGTTGAAACAAAATACATAAATGATTTTATTATCTCTCATGTTCTTATTACTTAGTGGAATAATTTTTGTTCGATTGGTGATAGAGTATACTCAAGAATGCTAGTGTTATCTTCATCATCAACTAGCTGGAATCAATTCTAGTACTGTTACATTAGATGATATGTTGATGCAAAATATTATAATATGGAATTTAATTTTAATTAGATTTCAATCAAATCACTAATAAAAAAATTGTGAAAGAAAGCAAAATTCTGACGAACAAATGGGCAAATTCTTTTTTTTATCAAACATTGGATGTTAAAGAAACAAGGTTGGAAAAAGATCAATATAATTTTTAAAACAAAACATTTATTTATTTAATAAAATGAAATTACTTCGATATTAAAAAGATATTTGAAGAAAAAAGGATTTTAAAAAAATGAATATTGAATCTCAAGTCCCTTAAGTTGACTAAGATATTTTTTCTCAGTAATTTTCAACCAACACCAATTCTTTTATGTTACTGGGAAGTTAATATAAGCAATAAAGTTCAATAAAGAAGAAAAAATTTACAACTAATTTGTTGTAGGATTTAATTAATATAATGACAGGCACCTGTAAATTGTATGATACTTCAATAAAATGATATGTAACAATATATTTAAATATAATTGGATATCAAATTTCTTTGAATCTTTTTATAGACAATATTAAAAAGTTTGTAAACTAATTATTTATTAAAAATTCAATCATTATAAAAGATAAAAATTCTAAAATTATTTAATGTTATACAACAATTAGCTTGATAAAAAAATGTTATAATTATAATTTGATTACAACTAATTTTATTTTTAATTATTTTTTTTTAGATTGATCATTACTAACAAGCTATTTTAAAATATCTATATTATTTTGCCACAGAATGATTTTGTGTCATGTAATTAATAATGATTTATTATTATTGTTGTATAATTGTTTATCCCTTAATTAATTATTGAAAAAGACAGATGATCAATTTACTATTTGACTCATTAGTTTTTATTGCATGTAATAAATTTAAAGTAATAAAGAATTAATCGAGTTTTAATTACTTGAAAAACAAATAAACTATGTGATTAAAAGTATATTCTTGCATAAAATTAAGAGTTTATCATGTTCTTGACATTTATAATATTATTATTATCATCATTAATAATGATAATAATATGATCTTCTTTTTCTCTAGAACTTTTCGGAAATCTATAATCTATCTAATGTCTAAATAAATAATTATTACTCTAAAATCATATTCTAATTATTATTTGCTCTCAAGATATAATGTTATTGTGAATAAATGCAGTTGATTAATTGGTGTAAACTAATTACCAAGTATTTATTATTATTACTAAAATTAAAGTCATTAAATTCTAAAACTGTTCAGTTGTTTTTTTTAAATTTGATTTTTTATTTTTCTTAATTAAACTTAATTCGATTTTTAAAATAGATCTCAAGTCTACATGTTATTAATTTGTCATTATTGCCTATAAAATATTATTATAATTACATTTTACAGATCTCTTATTGAATTGTTCATCTTTTATTATTTCCAATATATTAGTAACGATTTATATTAAAAGGATAAATTAATCCTGAAACAAAAGTATTAGATCTTTTTATTTTTTATAGTAAATTGTTCATATACTATTAGAGCAAAAACTCTAGAAATGATTAGGATTCATAAGAAAATAACCAAATATTCATGGTTAAGTAGAAGAATGATTTAAGTGGATATAAGATTTAAAATCTCGTTATTGAGATGTTGAAAGGTAACATTTATAAAGAATAATGCAAACTCTTAGACAAAGTTGAATATAAGTTAGTTGGAAGATGGTGAAAATTGTTATGTACATGTTTGGTGTATGTTCAACCTGTTTCCTAAGAAATAATTAATTCGGAGTCTTAAGTTTAACTAGACAAAGTTTTATAGGGGCTTTTATATTTAATTATTTATAGAAAAATTAATTATATTGCTAGCTCTGTCACTGTAATAATATGGTACTTTTAAAATATTACATATTACATCAATGCTTCAAAATGATTTCATTATTCTGTAAACTTATGATTTGATGATGATGTATTAATCTCCAGTTAACATAAATTTATTTATATTTCCTTTAATTCTGGAGGTCAGGTATAAAGAGTTGAGGCAATTGCGAATTAAGTACACTTAGTCGTTACTTATGTTAAAAGTGGGGATTTGTGACATCTGATGTTCTGACAGACGTGACACTTCTAGCACTTGCAATAAGCTCATTGCTTTACACACCATGAATTTTTGTTAAAAGTTTTTATTTTCAAAAAAAAAAAAAAAAAAATCAAAAATTCCAAATTTGTTCAATCTGATGAAATTGAGAAGTTTTTTTTAACTTTTTTAAAATTTATAATAATTGGAAAATTATTCGTTAAGTGTATGAAAAGGAACTATATAATTTGTCTGAATAACTATGACAGTGATGAAGAATAAAAATTATTAATGTTCATCAAATATTGAAGAAGTCTAATTTTGATATTTTTCTTTTTTTAATTTCATATTTATTTAAACAACAATTTCTATTAATTTGATTTGAAATTTACTAAAATAATGGCACAAACAGAAGAAAATACACCTACTATTTCCACTCGATTTAAACAATATTTTAAAGAAGCACCATTTTTTTGTAAGATTATTGAAGTGGTAAGTTTTTTCTTCTTCAATAATAAGTTGATAAATTATTACAATATGAGAAAAAGAAATAAAGATAATATTTGATATCTTCAGATATTTTGTGTCATTTCGGTGGGATTGATTATTGATCCATTCAATGATCAAATGCAACAAAATTTGAATCATGCAGGAATGATTTATGTTTCGATTTGTGGATATATAATGATCAACTTGATTGTTATCATTTGCTACCTCTATGGAGAAAAAATGAATAAGACAATGGTAATTATTTCATATTTTATGACTTTACTGAAACAATATATTTTGATTTATTCTCTTATTGGTAATTTAAATAAATATATTAACATATTAAGAGAAAAAAAATAGTTGAATTTATTATTATGTGCTAATTGTTCATTTAAAATCATAAACAATTAAATCCTTTCTTTGCCATGAAAGGAATTAATTATAAGATTTGTAACTGGAAATTATCATATTATAGTAAATCCAATGTTTTTACTTTTCTCACAGTATAATAATGTGTAAAACTTTTTATCAATTCATACATACATGGTTCATTAGAAAATAGTGAAACACTTTAACGATTCTAAAATTTATAGAAATATTAATATAAGACAATACCACAGTATTTTAGAACGTTTAAGGTAGACACAAGTGATTGATACACTTGGTAACTATATTGTAGATTATTTGTTGAAATATTTATTCGCAAAAATTCATTTATTGAGAATATGATAAATGACTTAGAAATGTCAATAAAAAAATTTACAGGTCAAAGAATACAGTGAGTCCTTTATAACAAATGTATGTCATGTATAGTATATTCAAGAAGATAGTTAATTGGAATAAGTTTGAAATAATCATTTCTAATTAATCTCTTAACAGATAATAATCTTTTAATTTCATACCCAAAAATATCAAATTAAAAGGTGTTCTAAGTGTTTCACTATTTTCTTGTCAATCTTATATTTTTTCAGCCCAAGCTTTTTTATTGTCGATACATTTGGTATCTAAACAAGTGTTAATATTATTTAATTAGACTGTTCCTTTCGAAAATATGAACTATTTGAAATCGTTGTTAATTTACAATAATGAATTGATATTCACATGGTTTAAGATGATCTAATTATCCTACCTAGGGCTCAATACTATTCTTTACCATACTTATATCCAAGAATTTACACTTCTTAATTAAAAAAGTTAACTTTCAGCGTTCTAGAAAAATACACTGAAATGAAACTCTGATAGAATAATACACATTGCTGTAATAGTTTATTCTCATTATTAAATAATAACTTGTGGTTTTATATGTCTATAATCTTACATTTGATCATAAAATAGTAATATTCACATCCTTTGATTAAGATAAATGTCAATATTTTTGAAAAACTTTATATCTAAGTTGAATAATTTTTTTTGCATTATTTTGAAATGAATATTTAAGGTAGTTGTGAAGGCAATCATTTCAGATACCATTGATAACTATTCAAATAATTTCGACATCCAATTTTGTACTTAATTCAATGTGACAGTATTTAGTTAATTAAATAAATACAAAATAATTAATAAGTGATTAGTATGTTAGAAACTGTTCCTACAGCTATATTTTGTTTCAATGTAGAGGTATAGTGAAGAAAAAGTATTTTTCATTATTATTTATGAATAAAATATTATTGTAGAATAATTTATTAATTTGTTAATTAGCCAATAACTTGACTTATTTACAATATCGCAATTCAATGTTTTTATTATATTATAATTTTAAAAAAAATCATTTTTTTATTATTATTAAATGTACTTTTTACTTTTTTTCAGGCATTAGTTTTCTCTGGATTGGGAGCAATAATGTGTTTTGCGGCAGGAGTAATACTTATCTACGATTGGAAGAATTTTCAAAACAATTACATTTCTCGATACTACGATCAATATCTCGAGCAAATGCTTGCTAGTGGAATTTTTGCCATTTTAGCAGCTTTTGTTTTTGCTATCGAAACGTATATTATCTACAAACAAAATGAAATTAAATAATAATAGTGCCTTTATCAGGGTTATTGCCCTTTTTTTTAAAAACAACTGAATTCATTGAATTTAATGCCTAGAACGACCAATAATATTTCATGGATAAAATATGAAGGAAATAATAAAATTAATTTCAAATACAATCGACATTTTTTAACATGAATTTTGATATCAGCATTGTTTTTTTCTAAAAGCTATTATTATAATTATTTACTTTTATTAATATTCTATAAATAAATAGCTGACAATTGATAGTTAAAAAAATTTTTTTAATATATTAACATTTTAAAAAGTTTAAATAATTTTTATAAAATTGTAAACATCCAATTATTTTGTATTTTTCAATCAGCTTTTACAATAATAAGTTTATAAAAAAATATGTTACCTCTTGTTTAATAAGGGTTCAATAGAAAATAAGATTAGATGTTACAATACAAAAATTAGTAATGTTATGTCATAAGATCTTTCTGTTTCCTAATCGAATTTTGAAACTTATTAGATGTTTTATAGAATATAAATTAAATAAGAAAACATTTAATGTACTACAATTCTAACATTCCCGATATACCAACTATCTTTGAATCAATAAGAAACCTGTTGCTTATTAGAAAATGTAGCTTTTTTAATTCATTGATTTTTAAATAAATTATTAAAAGTATTTTGTTTATGATTTAATTAAAATATTAATGAGTCTTTTTTTTTATTTAATCTTTAATTATTTGTTTTACTAAAAAACAAATATTAAATCCAAAAAAAATATTGTTAGCAGATTGTTAGCAAATTTTGTTAACAGATTATTTATTTATTTATTTATTTTATTGATTATTTTCATCAGTTCTTTGTGCAGATTAATATTCAAGTCATGAGGAATATATTGGAAAAAATTGATTAGTTTTAGAGAATCTTGGAGCAAAATTAATATAAGGAGTTTCATTTGGCAATTATAAATCACATGCTTATGTTACATTATTAGGTGAAATTTGGCTTCAATACATGCATTACACGCAACGTGAAGTTTAGATCATAAAAGTAATATGTTCAAAATTATTAATTATTACACATTAAATTACTAAATAATCAGCCAAGCTTGCGTGTACATATTCTATCCTTGACAATATCGACAAAAGAATTGAATGAAACATAGAAAATAATAAACCATTTTTAAACAATGAAAATAACACAATAGAATCGTCATTAATAGAATTATTAAATCAATAAGTCTTATAAAGAAATATAACAAAAAATATTTATCAATAATTCATTAAAAATTTTCCAGAAAATAAATTTAAATATTTCATCATCTGTTCATTAATAGTTATTTAAACAATTTCATAGAAATATTTTGATTAAAAATACAATAATTGAAAATAAGCAATTTAATTTTTAAGATCTGTTGTAATATGCTAAAAAAATTTGATAGTAATAAATCACCAACTGGAAAAATTATTGTGATCTAAAGTCATATCTACATAAAAAGTTTTTAACATTGAATAGTTATGAGTTTGAATGAAATAAATATGAATGGGAGATACGAATGATTGATTATCAATAATGGTCCATTATGTTTGAAAGAAAATTGTGAATGAATGTGATCATGAAATCTACACCAATCATTGTTTGATAACTGTTATTAATAATTTCTAATTGATGTTATTAATATTAGTAATTCCGTATGCATCAACCCCATAAAAGTTTTAAAGAAATTGTTTTGCCCCATTTTTTTTTAAATGTTTTTTTAATTTTAAAATGTAAGAATATATATTAAGAATATTTGCATTATATATTTTTTTGCCTTTAAATTGATTTTAATTACATTATGATTTAAATTATAGTTTTTTTAGAAATAAAAAAAAGGTGCCTAACTGATTTAACAAACATTCGATGTCATAATATTGATCTAAGTATGCATCAATTGTATTGTCAATACAAAGCCAATATTTCAATTTTTATGCAAGTTATTATTTAAAGAAAATTTGTTCACAATTTACCTACATACGTTCACTCATTTCTTTTAAAAATGATCTTAAAGAACATTTGGAACTTTAATTATTGAACTAATTACAATAACAAACTTCTCAATAGATGAATTTGGTAATAACTCTAAACATTAAATGCCAGAAAGAATATGTTACAATAACATCAATATTTTTTTAAGACGTACGAATCAATCGCATTATTTAAAAAACTTATAACGGATCAAGATATTCTTCCAATTTTAATTTCACATGAAAAATTAAAAAATATAACAAAAAAAACAACTGACATTTTTTCCACATGATTTTAACTGATAGTTTATGATAAACTGAGTTTATAAGTATGAGAATTGAAACTAAATCACGGATGTATCATTGTGCCAGTTTTCTATACGCGTGCGAATAAAAAGATTTGGCTTTCGTAGACAAGTACCGGAATGATGACTGAACTTTAGATTCTGAATGTATAAAACACGTTAACGAAGGAACGCTTTCTATTTAACAGAAAAAGTGGAAATTCATAAGCGGGAGGGAAATTTGCTCCAATAAATTAATTAGAATAAAAAGAAGTTAAAGCTGATTAACAATAATACATCCGCACTCATACATAATTACACTTATACTGAAAAATATGTAAAAAAAAAATTAAATACTGTAGATATCATTTTTTAATGTTTGTTGATTTTTACTTTTAATGTATTTGATTTTCAAGATTCATTAGAACTTGCACTACATAAATCAGACAATTGTTCGTGATTTAAACCTTTGTTATACAGAAGAAACTATAAAGTGTTACTGATGCCAGAAGGGTATACGGCAAACTGAGACTTTTTGGCATCAAGAATGTCATGTAAGATAGATTTTTAAAAAATCAATTGTTAAAAGATCCGAGTTAGTTATATTTATTATTATTATCAAATTTTTTTTGATTGTAATTTACTTGAATTTTAGATTGAAAATAGTAATTCATGATAACAATTGTTTATATTTATTTCATCAATAAAATCACGAAGAATTATTATTTAACATAAACTATCAACTCAAATATACTCTTGTTATCAGTTGAAATGGATTGTGAGGATTAAAGACATCTTCATTGATAAATATTCAAAATTACAATCAAATTTGTCACCATAATCTTTACTCATTTTAATAATTTTTTGCTTCTATAAATAAAAGATAGTTAAAAAATGTCTTCATGATCTAAAAATTAACTTGATTTAAATTAAATAAATTATATATAATTATTTTTAATATTAATATGTAGTGATTGACTGAAAAAGTAATCTACAATAAATATTGAGATAATGTAAATCTAATAAAGTGGTAAATGTTTTCCTGTTTATTTACTTCAATATTATCAACTTTCAATAAACCTCTCTTTGACACTATTTCTATCATACCTGAGAGCATCATTACCACACATTCTATTTTATTGATGTCAAAAAGAATTTTATTATGTTGAAATTAAAGTGTACTCAAGTGTCTTAAGATAAGATAAATTGTTTAAAAAGAAGTAATTGCGTGAAAAAACTTATTCCATTAATTTTCGTAACAATTCACCAAAATAAGGTAAAAAATGGGGTCAACGTTAGTTAGCAAGTTCATGCTGAAAGGTCGCGTGAGTTCGACTACTTTAAATATGTAGTTTATTTATTCACTGCAACAGCGAGAAAATCTTTATATATAGAAATATGTATAATTTACGCGGTATTACCTTTCAATGTTAAATTGCAAGGCTTCTTGTCGACATAGACATTGAAAAATGATTCTAGCTAACTGATTTCACGTGGACACAATTACACGAAGGTTTCCCAATTATCTTGCATTGCTTTTATTAATTTTTTTTTTTTCTATTGAAAACATCTGATATATGATAAATGATATAAATCATATTATTCAATACTACAGTGATTTTTATCCCGATAAAACTTTGTTGAAGCTACAGTTGAGTAATGAATTTTATTTATGTATATATATTTAATAATTCATCTATTTTCAACTTGTAAACATGCGTCATTGCTACTAAAACTTTTCCTACAATTTTTAAACGTAATTGTTGTAATAATTATCTCTATATAATTTTAGAAATTCATAGACTTTTTTAACTCAGAAAACCATTGAAAGTAAGACAAAGCTTTTTGAAGTTGAGTATTTATTTGATTTAAAGAATAATTTTATATTATATTGTATATCATGGTTAGAATATTGTATTTAAAATGAATACCGATTTCGTAGATGACTTTTTTCTCATTTTTAAAACAGAATTTCATTAATTTTAATAAGGGTAAGAAAAATGATCACTACTCACCCTTGAGAAAGGTTAGGTTGTTGAGTAAAATTTTCAGTAAGTGTATTAAGAGTTTTTGTTCCATGTTTTTCTTCTTTCTCGTCTTCTTTTATAACATTTTCTTTTTCTTCTAAACTATTTTGTTTCTAAAATACGTCAAAATAGTTATCAGACAATAAATTTTTTTTCTCATTAAAAAGCAGTTCTTTTATCAAATACTTTATGATACTCACATCAAAATATTGTTTTTGTTCAGTCTTATCATGAAGACGTAATTGAATTTTTGGAGTTAAAGTGCTTAATGTTATGAAAAGATCTTCTTCGTTTTCATCAACATAATTCAAAGTACGATTGTCTATGACCTCTGGTTTTATGCGATTTGGTATAGGCCCAGGTATTTTTTCACAAGCAGCAATCAGAAATATAACGCCACTGAAAGAAAAAAAATAATATACAAATGCACTTTGAGTATTTTTAAAGATCTAATCTTCTGTATTTATTCTATAATTCATAATATGTTACGACAAAAAGATGATATTTATTTTAAATAAAATATGTGATAAATATATGTCATACTTTTTAGGTATTAAATATGTAAAATTATTTTTTGTATAAAACAAATGTAAATATCAAATTTTAACTGAACAATATATATATATATATATTTAATTATTACATTTAAAAGAAAAAAGTATTTATTAGTTGCTTTGCAACGTGTACAAGTCTCACCTTAATGCTGATGAAATTAACACAAAAATCCAACAAATATAAAAAAACTTCATCTTATTACTTCAAAAAATACATTAACCTATCAATATCCCGTTTTTTATCACTTATAATCATTATGTATAATATTTTGAGTATATTTTTTACACTTTTTTGAATTATTTCCATTATAATACAACATGAAATGATGAAATAAAACAGACAGACAAATTCATCAACTCAAAATTGACTGGTTTTATCACTATTTCATAAAATACCGAACGTAAATTTTATAATTAAAAAAACCTCGATCGATTTGTCATAATATTAACGGAAAAATTAACAAAACAATTATTTTCTTTTGTCATTGTGCCTTAAAACGATGAATTCGACCTTGTCAGAAATATTATAAACTTTTCTCCACGCTGTCCGTATTTCATTCGACATTGCAAGTATATTTTCTGTAAAAAATGTAACGATTGGAATAGAAATACTGATAAGGTGAAAAACTCATCCCTCGATTACGATTCTGACAAGTGGTGGGAGAAATGAGTTGAATGATTGTTGCATCCGCCATTTCACCTAACTGTAGATGGCAATAACGTAAATCAGCAATTGGGTTCCGGTCTATTTAATAAGAAGAAAATATTTTTCTGATATTACGTAACACACTTGTCTCAAAAAAATGAAGAAAATTCAATTTTCAATTTACAATGTCTCAAAAATGGCGTCGACTCGTAACATACTATACTTAAATGATGTGCGCATGCGCCAACAATAAATAAAATTGTCAAAAAAATAACATCGGATTTTTGGTAAGCTACCTCCTTCTACTTTGATATTTTATCGTCCTACATATAATATATACATTTTGTAATAATCAAAATAAAAAGTTTTGAATGCAATAACCTCACAATTCAATAAACTCTTCTCTTTTAAAAAATGCGTTAACTATTTAGAAACAGAAGTACGTCACTCTTGAGCTCTACTGTATGATAATAAATCACATCAACAATGATACAAAATAAGTATTTGAACATAATTTTGAATTTTAAATTTCCTTCACACCTGTAAAGCAATATTATTACATGATTGATTGAATTATACTATCAAGAGAACATCAAGAAAGTATGTGTCTCTAATTTTCTAAACATCTGCCATAGTCTTTAAATGCATAATTGAAATACAAGCATTGGTAATTAATGTTTATTTAATCCATATTAATTGATAAATTTTTATTAAAATGTTTTGAATGATTTATTCCAAGATTTGTAGATAAGATAACACAATTTTATGCTTCTTTTACAGTTCATGAATCATTAAAAAATAATTTTTTTGACAAAATATAAGCAAGATGTCAATTGAAAATGATATTTTTGATAACATTGAAACACAATTACCACCAGATTTTGAAGATGATGTTGTTCAAGAGGTGTTAAAGACTGGAACTGATTTACGTCAATATTCTCGACAAATTGAAAAAGAATTGAAAGAAGTAGAAAATAAATCTATACAGGATTATATTAAAGAAAGTCAAAATATAGCTAGTTTACACAATCAAATAGCCGCGTGTGATAATATTTTAGAGGTAAATAAAAATTATATGAAACGATAATTAATTATACCTGATTAAATAATATGGAAATTATTTTCTAGAAAATGGAATCAATGCTGATTGGATTCCAAACAGACTTGGGAAGTATAAGTTCAGAAATATTAAATTTACAAAGAAGATCAGTTGCAATGAGTCAACAATTATCTAACCGACAAGCAATTCGTGGACCTTTAAGTCAATTTATCGAAGATATTACTGTTCCAGAACCTTTAATTATGTAAGAAGCAAAAATGTGATTTTTATTTTTGTTAGTCAAGGAAGAAAAAATTATCAGGAATGTTTATCACATTCATTAAAAAATAACTCTATACTTTCATTAAGTATTTTTAGTTTCAAACACTATTTTTTCCAGGGGAATAATGGAGTCTCCAGTGACAGATAAGAATTTTCTGTTATGCCTCCAAAACCTTAATCATAAGATAAATTTTATCAAAGAACTAAGTTTCAAAGAGGCTAAATCTTGTGTTGATGTAAAAGATGTTATAGAAAAATTGAAAATTCAAGCGATGGTTAAAATTCGTGCATATCTTTTAGAACAAATATATAAATTTCGTAAACCGATGACAAATTATCAAGTACCTCAGAATAATATGCTTAAATATAAATATTTTTTTGAATTTATTTTGGCTAATGAAAGGAATGTTGCTGAGGAAATTTGTAGTGAATACATAGATACTATGAGCAAGATTTATTATTCCTATTTTAAATCATATTCATCAAGATTGATGAAATTACAGGTAATATAACATTAAATTAGTATAACAGAATAATTATTATAATTATAATTGTACTCTAGTTTTTGAGTATGATATTAATTATTTGTAATTAACAATTGCTTAGTTTGAAGAGAAACCGTCAAAAGATGATTTAATGGGCGTAGAAGATACTGCCAGCCGTGGATTATTCCATAAGTCATCATTGAAAAATCGAGGTACAGTATTTTCAATTGGTAATAGAGGAGACGTTTTAACTTCACAATTAGAACAACCTATTATTGTACCTCACACTGCATCTAAAACACGTGTAAGTTTTTCAATTTAATTTTCATGTTTTTTCTATGAAAATGATTTAATGAATATTTATGATTGAAATCAGTATCATTATGAAGCATTATTTCGGAGTGAACAGTATGCTCTTGTTGACAATGCGTGTCGAGAATATCTATTTCTCACAGAATTCTTTAAAGTGCGGGGATCTCAGGCTATGGATATTTTCAATCAGGTTCGTAAAAATAATAAAAAATAAATTAATATATTAATTAGTCTTATCGATTCACATACATAAAATTCGATTGGATCATTTTAGGTCATTGGAAGCACATTGAATATAATGCAGAAAAATCTTCAATCATTCGTTGAAGAATCTTATGATACAATAGCACTTTTTCTGTGTCTTCATCTTGTAATGAGATATCAAATGGTTTGTCATAAAAGAGCTGTACCTGCTCTTGATAAATACTGGGACACTTGTACATCTATCATTTGGCCGAGGTTCTGATAAGTTTTATTTTTTTATAAACTATCTTCAAAAAGTAAGATATATATGAAGAATTGGTTATTTTTCATAGATTTCAATCTATTTTTACGATGAACATTCAAAGCATAAAAGACTGTGATCCATTGAAATTCAATAAAGAAACTGGTCCTCATTATGTAAGTTAAACAAAATGTAACAAAGAAATTCTGTTCTTGTTGATGTATTGGTATGTTTAGATAACCCGAAGATATGCAGAATTTAGTGCAGCAGTCGTAAGCATTAATGAAGGATTTCCATGTGAAGGTGCCACATTACTTCTTGCTGAACTTCGTGAAGCAGTTCAATGTTTTCTTTTAAGAATGGCTGCTATTTTTCCTCATAGAATTCAACAACTTGTATTTTTAATAAATAATTATGATTTAGTTCTTGGAGTACTTATGGTAATTAAATATCAAATTATGGAATTATTATTAGGAATTTATTTTCAATACATACCTGCTATTAATAATAAATTATTTATTTTTAGGAAAGAACTCGTGATAGTTCAAAAGAAGTGGAAAGTTTTAAAGAACAACTCAATGCTAAATCATCAGAATATGTAGAAGAAATACTATCACCATATTTTGGTGGAATAATTCAATTAGTTAAAGAATCTGAAACATTAATCGAGAAAGGTTTGACTGAAGATGCAGTGAAGTTGCATGAATCTCGAGCTCTTGATCTTGTTCAATCATTTACAAATAACTGGAAACGATCTCTTTCTGATATAAATAGTGAAATATTGAAATCATTTCCCAATTTAGTATTGGGTGCAGCTCTAGTTCAAAGAACTATGACACAACTGGTAGAATATTATCAACGATTACATAAAATTTTACCAGCTAATGCACGTGCACAATTAACAAATATCCATCATATTATGGTCGAAATTAAAAAATATAAAATGAATTATTAATCCTAATATAGATATTAAATATATAATGAAATAATGTAAATTTTAAAAAGTTCTTTCGAAACAAAATAAGTAAGAAGATTTTAAATATATAAAAAATACATTGTAAAAAATATATAAAAGTTTTTCACTGGACAAATATAATACAGTAAAGAATGAATTAAATAAAGCTAAAATTTATATGTAAAATACTTCTTATTACCAAATATTATTTTAATAATTATAACTGTAACAAATTTTAAGAATTATTTTAAGAGTGTCAGATTTTTTTATTGTTAAATTATCTTGTTTTGTCAGAGTTGGTGGTTCAGCAGGGATCATTACAACTGAAGTTGTAGAATAACTTTCAATACAATTGCAAAATCAAAAGTGTAGAAGAAGAAAAAAATGCATTCAAAAGTAGGAGAATCTACGACGGTAGTTTCATTGATTGTTGTAGCTTCTGTAGATGTTGAAGGAATTACAGATTTATACCATGTGTTAAACGTGTTATATTATAGGACAGGAAACTGCTAATGCAGCATAATTTCTGGTTGTGATTTTGTGCTTCGCTGCTTTGAATAGCTAATACGTGTTGTGATTCAAATTCATTTATGTAAATATAAAATGATGGAATCAAGTATTAGTGCATTTAAATTATTCTATAAAATTTCATAAATGTTTTAGTTAATATCATGGAAATTTTCAATAGAAATTATACTTAACTATCTGGCATTTAAAATAGTTATAAAGGAAATGGTACAAAAACAGTAAATATATTGTTAAAATTTATGAATGAAGGATCTTCTTTTGTAATGAAAGGTGTTAAAAATTAAGTCATCAAAAAACGTAGAAGTTGTATTTTTTTGTTTCTTATAAAGCATTTATTATCGTAAAAAATAATTTAGAATATTGTTAACTTACATTAAATATAAGCATTTTTCTACTATTTATACATTTTATCTGTTACTAAAATTATAAATAAATTAATGAAAATGAAGGTGAATTCAAGCATAGCAGAGTATTATTATTTCGATTCTACTAAACGATTACAAGTTGAAAAAGTGTCGAAAAATCGCATATTCCACGACGTCATAGTTTTCATAGTTAGCAGTGGTAATTACATTGAATATCACTATTTACACGACTATACTAAAGTAATTTATACACGATTAAATTATGAACGTATTATTTAGAAGATGATATGTAAAAATGGGTATTAATTTTATATTTTTTATACAATGTTTAAAAGATGCAAATGTACAAAAATAAGTATAATTATAAAGATAAGGTAAATATTTAATAAAATTATCAATATAAAGTCTGGAGCTTTCTCAGAGCTTTGATTGCTCTAGTACTTTTTGTTTCACATGCTAAACGGAATGGAGACCAGCCATTCACATCTATAGCTTTAATATCTGCATTATATTTCAACAATAATTCGACGATGTTTGGACTCTTATCATCGATGAACCTACATAAAATTTCCTCATCATTCTCATGTTTACAAACTATATGAAGAGATGTATGACCATCATTATTTTTAGCATTAGGATTTGCTCCATTTTCAAGCAGAACAGTTATGATTTCTGGTTTCTGGAGATAACATGCAAAGTGTAAAGGAGTCATCAAACCATGATCAACACAATTAATATTCGCATCGTAGTTCAAAAGAGTTTTAATGTATTCTTTAACTTTCGATGTATCGTTACAAAAGAGTCTGCAAGCAATATGGAGTGGTGTATGCAGATCGTTGTTTGTGGCATTGACTGGTACATTGCGTTTTAACAAATTTTCTATAAACTCAATATCAACTTTATTTTCTATAGCCTTATGAAGTAAATTATCACCATTTAGATTAACAGCTTGAACATCAGCATCATAATCCAGAAATAATTGAGCTATTCTGTGATGTCCATTCTCTATTACTTGAAAGAGAAGTGTATTGTATGGAGTTTGAATGAGTTTTGTTGCACCTCTTTTTAAAAGCATTTCAGCGATGTCATATCTATCATCTCTGGTACCATAATTGCCACAAATACAGGAATGCAGAAGTGTCTCTTCCTCGGAATCGATGTAATTAACATCAACACCATGGTCCAAGAAGATACGAACGATTTCTTTACAATTGATTCGTACTGCAATACAGGTGATGTTGAAAAAGGTTGGATCATCTATTATCTTTGCACCATATTTTAATAAAAATTTAAGTGTCTTCGAATCAGAATTAAAAACAGCAATGTGTAAACATGCTATTTCACGTAAATAATTTGACTCTTTAATTGTCGAATACGAATAGACGCACTTGTAATATTCTTGATGAAGTAATGCCCCACTTCTAGTGGGTATCGTCTCATCTGTACAGGCACTGTTCTTCAATAGAATTTCAACAATCTCATGTTGTTTATATATGCAGGCAACTTTCAGAAGATTTAATCCAGTATCTGAATTAACCATGTTAACATCAATTCCATTTTCTATTAGCTGTATAACAATTGGCAAGTAACCATTTTTGATTGCTCCAAAAATAAACTCTTCATCGTAATTACTATATGGACTAACGATGAAATTCCATTTTAGCAATACCTGGAGACACTCTTCACATTGTGGACCAGAATTTATCACAGCTTCTCTTGGAATATATTTATCAGATGGTTTGAAAAATTGAATGTGAGGTAAAATGTGTTGAATAACTTTGGGTTGTCTCTGAAGAATCGCGACAATAAAAAGATTTTCCAAGTCAATTAATGGATACAATTTGATTCCATAATCTAGAATTATTTTAAAAATTGTAGCATTGTTCATTTCCATGACTGTTAGCAATAATTCATTCAAATCTTCACCAGCCAGAGCACCTCTTCTGATAAGCAATAATGCGACTTGCGTATTATCATTTTGAATTGCGAGATCAAGTGGTTTATAGTTTTCATGATTCTTAACATGAATATTAGCTCCTTCCTTCAGTAATCTTTCTATGGTATTTAAGTCCTCAAATTCAATAATTGCACGATGAAGTGGACTATTACTTCTTGTTTTTGAGGCATAAAAATTATGCAGTGTCATATTTTTAATTTTCATTTTATAGCTGTAATTTTGTAAAGCAGGTAAGAGTTCTCTTCTTTTTGCAGGTATGAAGGTAACTAAATGGCCAGAAAAGATTACAAGAGGGGGGGAATGATCCTTTAACGCAGAAAGGAAGTTAACTGTCTTCAGAGATGTGGAAATTCCCAATTTTATCTACTTAATATATTATTGAATTTAAAATGATAAAAAATGTCTATAATGCTTTGTTTAAATAAACAATATTGCTTATTTAAAGATATCTGAACTCTAAAAAGTTTATCTTTAATTTTCACTTAAAAAGAACACGCAAAAATCATTCACAGTCTTTTTTCCTCGAAAATTACTTGTAACAAATATTTCACTTATTAAAAAAATATTAAATAGTTCACAATATTGTTTTTTCTAAAATACACTTAAAAATCACAGTAATTATTATGTTTACGTGCAGTTACGTATATTACGTTTACTTTAAAAGCTAGCACAACCAATTTAAGATTTGCAGCAAGGCACGTCTAGTTGTATCGGTAGCTTGACCAAAACTGCGGTCCTTTCGTGTGTCTCCTTAAATCTTGCAGGTTTGTCTTGACAGGACATGAAAAGGACACCTAGTGTGACTGGCGCACTATTTAAAATGATGTCTCAAATGTTCAACAAATAGCTCGTATGTCTTTTTTCTTGAGCTCACATCACCTTAAAGTTTTTATTTATTTTTTCCATATAAGAAATATTTATTAGTGTTAAGAAAAATTTATTCATACGTCAATGAAAAACTTATATTAATGTACTTGTTAATAAAAGATTGATATAAAAAAAATAAAGATTTATTGACTTAATTAGATCAAGGATCTAAAATTAAAGATCTTCGTCAAATAGATTGAAGTACTACAACTGAACAATTATTTTAATTTGTTATTAACACAATTTGAAATTAAACATATTAAGCAATTTTTTTTATTTTCTTATTTCTTATCAATCTTTGCTAAAAAAAATCTATGAGAAAGAAAAGTTGTTTTAAATTAACAGAATTAAAATATAAAAAATCAACAAATTTTTGGTTTTAAAAATATCGCTACTGATAATAATTAGAAAAAATCATTTAATTCTAATTCATTAATGTTTAGTCATTCCAAATACTTCGGAAATCTGAAGATATGAACTTAATGAAAATTTTTATTAGAACTCAAGTTCGTAGGGTTCGTTGGAAATGCAGTTTCTCTCCACATTACTCTGATAAATTTAAGTTCTGCTTCTAAAGTAATTATATTATTTTTTAATGTTTCATTTTCAATTTTAATATCTTTTAAATATTTATTTTGTTCTTGTAATGTTGCTATGTGATTTTTTTTTAGATTTATTTCAACTTCCAAGTTGTGTACTTCTTTCCTCAATTCTATAGCTTGGTTTTTAAATTTTTGAAATTCATTTTTATAATGATTAAGATCTGTATCTTTTGATTTAATTTCAGATTCTAAATTACTTAACAATTCTTGTAAAACTGCTAAATTTTCATCAGGAATTGAATTTCTACCCATTTGAATGTAAATTGGATGAATTTTGGTGCCATCTGTTTTTCGTCGACATTCCGGACATGTTTTTGATCTAAAATCAATATCTAATCATTAGCGATATTTTTTCTACCAAAAAATTGATTTTTTATGATTATTTTTAATATCAGTAGTTGAAAATAATAAAACACAAACATAACCTTTCAAGCCATTCACGAAGGCATGTAAAATGAAAAACATGACCACAATGTGGTGAACATAATTCATCAGAATATTCAAATGATGCATAGCAAATAGAACACTGACCATTCATATTGTTCATTGAAATTCAATAATATCAGAAATTAATTAAGATTGAATGTACTAATAAGAAATGCAGACTATAAACATCTTTGACAATACTATGGTAACATAGCCTCTGCAAGATTGAGCTTCTGGCAGTTTTTTTGTCCCACTTCTACGCAGAATAAATGCTACATATAACTATATAAATATCTATTACACTTTTAGATAAGTTAACTTAACAATCCTATCACGACAGTACAAAACTGGCATTTTTAATTCATTTAAAACTTTTACAATAAAAAAGAATTATGTTAAAAAAATCAATTTATGGAAAAGAAGCTTATCAGTTTTATTAACATTAAAAATTATGCACATCATTGAAAAATCAAACCATAGTATACGATACATTAAGATTTACTGAAGGATCTATGAATCACATAATCAAATAACAAAAAGTCATGGATCTTTAGATTTCTTTATAAAAAAATTTTAACAGAGTTTCAATAAATTCTACATGAAAATGATTTTCAATGGCATTTTTTTAAAGCGAAAATTAGATTATCTGAAATTTAAGATAATCAGAATAATGACAAAATATTGAAATGTGACCAATATTTTTATTCAGAATTATAAACGAAGAGCAATATAAAAATTTAAAAATTGTTGATATGGATTTATGATATTTTTAATATAAATTCTATATTCTCCACATATTTGAACGACAAACGCATAAAAACTTATAAATTATATTTAAATTATTAAATGATATTCAATTTGTGAAAACTTTTAAAATATGTAATAAACACACAGTTATAAACATATAGCTTAAATAAATTTATAAAACCTTCAATATTAAACGAATCACTCTTTCTTACAATGAAAATCATTATCAATCTAAATGTTATGATATTCTTGAAGTATAATTATCAATTCAATGGTTTAAAAGCTCTGGTGAACATTTTTAAGTCTTTGATATTTAGGTAACTAAATACTAAATCAATACAATCATCAGATAATCGTTGAGTGATATTTGAAGAGAAGTACTTTTTGGCAGAGTTCATCATTCTACATCTGAATTTGGCATCTCGAAAACGGCCCCTGATAATATCTATATACAGTGGAAACTTTTCATCGTACACTTCCAGTTCTAATGTTTGTCTAATTTTTTTATTTTTGACAAATCTACTTAAACGATGAATATTTATTGTCAACAAGTCTTGAAAGGTCATGTTATTTACACCAATATTCTCTATCTTTAGCTTTTCGATTTCTGCCTCACAATCTATTTCGAGTTGTAGAACATCGATTATTGGATCTTCGTCGTCACTGTCATCTCCATCACTAGAATTATCATCGCTGGCTTCCATGTCATCAGATTTATAAACTATCTTTAAATTTGAATTATTAACCTTCAGTTTAGCAGTTTTTAATTTAACAATTTGTATTTTTAGTATCTTTATTATTTCTTTGTAATTATTTATTGAATTTGTACAGGAATGACGATGAAAATCAATCTGAGGGCTATCCTCCGAAGATACCCAAAAACGTATAATACCAAGAACTACAAATTTAGTTTGGCAGTCAATCATGTACTTTATAGCATTACTCAGAGCAGTTTGATTTGTTTTATTCAAAATATTAACATTAGCGCCATATTTTATGAGATTTCTAACCATTTCTACAGATTCGTATTCCACAGCGATGTGAAGAGGAGTATTTCCTTCTTTGTCAATAGGATTAAAGTTGATTTGTGTACGAGAAAGACTTTTCATAACTTTTGCTGCATTGCTTTGGGCAATCACATGAATGATCGATTTTCCTGATTTATCGATGAAATGAACATTTACTTTATGCTTTAATAATATCATCATGATTTTAGAATTATCTCTAAAATTCTTAGCAGCAATATAAAGAGATGTTGACTTTTCTAAATCAGTATGATTGACATTGGCATGGTTATCTAAAAGGCATTGAACTGCTGTATCATTACCTGAATTACAAGCTGCGAAAAGAGGCGTCCAACCATTCTGATCTGTAGCTTCAATGTTCGCATTATGTTGCAACAATGTTTCTATTATACTTAATGTTATGGCATTTTTGGTAGTGATTGGAATACATAAGAAAACAAAGTACTCCTGTTCACAAGCTAAATGAAGAGGCGTTTGGCCTATGTTATTCGAAGCATTGGGATTAGCTTTATTGTCAAGCAAAACTGTGACAATTTCCAGCTTTGGATATCGACATACAAAATGTAATGGTGTCATTAAATTAACATCAGCACAGTTGACGTTTGCATTATATTCTATAAGCATTTTAATGATCTCTAATTGATTCTCTGAATTCAGTAGACAAGCAATATGAAGAGGGGTTTGTTTATCATCGTTTACAGCATTAACTGGTGAATGATGTTTCAACAAGGTTTGTATAAACTTTACCTCGAAATTATTTTTAATGGCTGCATGAAGAGAAGTATTTCCTTCTGGGTTTGTATATTGGATATCAGCATTTTTATCCAAGAGCAGTTGAGCGATTTTACAATGTCTGTTGTCTATTGCATCATACACAAGTGAATTGCCTGGAGTCTGAAAATGGATAGTTGCACCTTTTTCTAAAAGCAATTTGGTTATGTTATATCTGAGATCTTTTTCATCACAAACATGATGAACACAAAAATGTAAAAGTGATTTGCCTTCAGAATCAATTTCATTTACATTAACACCATGGTCTAAAAAATTACGGAAAATTTCTTCATTATTATATTGTATAGCAATGCAGGTAATGCGAAAAAAATTTGGATCATCTATTATCGTTGCACCGTACTTTAATAAGATTTTAACCATCAATGGGTCAGAATTTAAAACAGCGATATGTAAGCATGTTATATCATGTAAATCGCTCGTATTAATAATGAATGAAAGTGAATGATTGCAACTGTGATAAGAAAAATAATCCAATATCTTGATATTAGTAGGTGTTTTCACGTTGACACAGGCATTGTGTTTTAATAAATGTTCAACAATATCATGATGTTTATGTAAACAAGCTACTTTTAAAAGATTAAGCCGTGTTTTTACATTTACTAAATTGACATCAATTCCCATTTTTAAAAGTCGTAGAACAACAGGTAAATGACCATTTTTGACAGCTTCATAAATGAAATCTTGATCATATTTACTGCCTGGATTAATAGTAAAATTCCACTTCAGCAATGACTGAATACACTGTTTATATTGTGGTTCAGATTTCATCACAGTTTCTCTCGGAATATATTTATCGATTGGTTTTAAAGATTGATTGCAGTGGAGTAAAATGATTTCAATTATTTCTGATTGTCCGTGAGAAATAGCAGCATTGAGAAAAACCTTCAAATCAATTGATGGATTATTTTGTAACTCGTGATGAATTAACATTTCAATTATTTTGTATTTTTTTTCTGTCATAAACTTAAATAATAATGCATTAAAATCCTCTCCAACAAGAGCACCTTTCTTTATTAACAATAATGCTGCTTCTGTTTTGTTATTTTCAATAGCTACATCGAGTGGCTTCTGATGACGATGATTCATAACGTGAATATTAGCTCCTTTAGCGAGTAACATTTTGACAATATCTAAATCATCAAATTTAATAATTGCCCAATGAAGAGGAGTGTTGCCTCTTGCATTGGGAATATTAACACTAACATTTTTTCGTATTAAATTTTGAGCTTTCTTTTTGTCTTTTTTTTTAATTGTTTCTCGAAGTAGCACGTAATCATTTCTTAGCTTAAGCATTTTTCAGCAATTATTCACTTTTAATCAAGTTCTTTTATATTTGTATTCCTATAATATTACGCAATTCAACTTTTTACTTGTCTCTGCCGGTAAAAAGTATCTGTAAGAGGTTATGGTTGAATAACGGATTTATTTCAAGTAACCAATCCTCGACCATTAAGGTTTATTTTCAATTTCTATTGGCCGTCAAGAAAAAGCGGGAGAGATTGATCACACGTGTAAGTCCGTATGAATAACTATAATTGATATCAATAATTTTTTATAATTCTGTTAGAACATTATGTTTAATCGAAATATATTTTGTTTTTCGTTCGCCATATTATTTATAGCGGTTCGGATGAGGTCTTAGGCAAAATCAGATAAAAATCTACTATATTTACTTAAAATTTCGTTAAAGTTTTTGATGTATACATGTAAATTGAGATAATGTATGTCAATTAACTGGAATTTTATATTACGTTGTTAAGTTTTATATTCTTGACCATATGTATAACATTCCACTTGTAAAACAGATTATTGTAATTAATACTTATCATGAGTATTAAATCCAAAAGTTGTTTACGCCCATTTTTGAATTAATAGATCTAATAAATTGTAGAAGTTGATAATTATCAAGAAACTTCAATATGTCTTAATGAAAAACTATTTTTGAAAATAAACTTGTTATGAAAATTTTATGCAGACTCATGTACTAAAATTACAGATAAATAAAACAAACAAATAAATTTTAAATACTCGATTTTAATTTCCATTAGAATTTATATATAAGAATAATAATGAGTAATAAAAATTTAACATATGCAATAATTTTTTGAGTGTAGATCTCATGGTTTTTGAAAATAGAATAATGATCCTAAAAATTAGGTATAATATTTTAAATTTATTTAACGACAATTGCCTTATAAAAATCTATAAGTAAAACATTACAATAAAATCACACAACTGGTTTGAAAACCGTAAAAAATTAAAAAAATATTTTTTTATATCTTTGAGATATATAGTAGTAATATTAATTTTTATAAAATTAGAAGTTACGTTAATGGTAAGATAGAATTTATAAAATAAACTGATTAGCTATTAAGTGGTTTCAAAGCTTTAATAAACATCTCCAAGTCTTTTATGTTCAAATAACTAAACACTGTATTAATACAATCATCAGATAATCGGTGGCACACATTTAAACTGGAATATTATAGCAGAACTGGAATATTATAGCAGAATTAAACATTTTATATCTGAAATTCGTATCACGAAACCGGCCCCTGATAATGTCGATGTAAAGTGTATTTTAGAACATATGTGAATTATATTTAAATTATTAAATGATATTCAATTTGTGAAAACTTTTAAAATATGTAATAAACACACAGTTATAAACATATAGCTTAAATAAATTTATAAAACCTTCAATATTAAACGAATCACTCTTTCTTACAATGAAAATCATTATCAATCTAAATGTTATGATATTCTTGAAGTATAATTATCAATTCAATGGTTTAAAAGCTCTGATGAACATTTTTAAGTCTTTGATATTTAGGTAACTAAATACTAAATCAATACAATCATCAGATAATCGTTGAGTGATATTTGAAGAGAAGTACTTTTTGGCAGAGTTCATCATTCTACATCTGAATTTGGCATCTCGAAAACGGCCCCTGATAATATCTATATACAGTGGAAACTTTTCATCGTACACTTCCAGTTCTAATGTTTGTCTAATTTTTTTATTTTTGACAAATCTACTTAAACGATGAATATTTATTGTCAACAAGTCTTGAAAGGTCATGTTATTTACACCAATATTCTCCATCTTTATTAGTTCAATTTCTCGCTGACATTTAACTGTAACTCGTAAAAACTGAATTAGAGGATTATTAATTACCTCGACATCTTCATGAATAACATTACCTTCATTAAAAAACCGTTCTTCATCAGTAGAACTATCATCATTTGTTCGATTGTCATTAAAATTATACACTAGTTTCCAGTTTTGATTATTAACTTTTAATCCAGCATTCTTTAATTTAATAATATGTGTTTTCAAGAGTGTTATAATTTTTTGATATTTTTTTACTTTACATACAAGAGATCGATGTATTTCAACATCATCATCACTAAAATAATTATCATCATCTTCATAATCTGAATAATCAGAGTAATCCCAAGATCTATCTCTCGAATTAAAAGAAGAGTCATTAGTCACATTATCCAGTTTACGTTGATAATGAAACATATATTCTATAGCATTGCGCAGGGGAGTTCGTTTCCTCTTATCCACTATGTTAACGTTTGCACCACACTTTATTAGGCTCTCAGTCATCTTTACAGATTTTTTTTGAACAGCGATATGAAGAGGAGTATTTCCTTCCCGATTAACACAATTCAAATTTACTTGCGTATGAGCAAGATTTTTAATAAATTCCTCATTTTCTTCATCAACAATAATATGAGCTACTGAGTTTCTTTGCTTATCCATACAATGAACATTAGCTTTTTTCAAGAGAAGTTCAATTGCTTTATTATGTCCTGTTTTGCATGCTAAAATGAGTGGAGTCCAGCCATTTATATCCACCGCTTCAGTATCTGCATTATATTTTAACAATAATTCGATGATGTTTGGGGTCTTATCATTGAAGCGCTTCCATGCAATCCCTTCATTAAATTCATATTTCTGTTCAGAAACTATATGAAGAGGTGTTTGACCTTTCTCACTTTTAGCATTAGGATTTGCTCCATTTTCAAGCAAAAGAGCAACAATTTCTAGTTTATGGAGATAACATGCATAGTGTAAAGGCGTCATCAAATGACTATCAGTACAATTTATATTTGCATTGTAGCCTAAAAGTAGCTTAATGTGTTCTTTAGTCTTTGGTGTGTTATCAAAGTTAAATCTGCAAGCAATATGGAGTGGTGTATACAGATTTTTGTTTGTGGCATTGACTGGTAAATTGAGTTTTAACAAAGTTGCTATAAATTCAACATCAACTTGACTCTCTATGGCTTTATGAAGTACAGTATCACCACGTCGACTCACATATTGAATATCAGCATTATAATCCAGAAGTAATCGAGCTATTTTATGATGTCTATTTTTTATCGCTTCAAAAAGAAATGTATTGTGAGGAGTTTGAATGTGAGTGATTGCTCCTTTCTCTAGAAGTAATTTAACTATATTAAATCTATAATCTTTTCTGGTAAAATCGAAATGAATACAACGATGTAAAAGAGTTCTTCCTCGACGATCGATAGTGTTCACATTCAGACCATAATTCAGAAACATACGAACGATTTCTTCACAATTACGTAAAACAGCAATCCTGGTGATGTTGAAAAATATTGGATCATCTACTATCTTTGCACCATAATTCAATAAAAGTTTGGTCATCTTCGCATCAGAATTTAAAACAGCAATGTGCAAGCATGTTATATCACGTAAATTATTTATCTCATGAATTGACGAAATTAAATAATTAGATCTGTAATGTTCTTTTTGATTTAATATCTTAATATTAGTAGATGTTTTTACATTTATACTAGCATTTTGCTTCAATAGAAGTTCAACAATCTCATGATGTTTATATAAGCAGGCAATTTTCAAAAGATTTATTCCAGTATTTGAATCTATCATATTAACATCAATTCCGACCTTCAATAATTGTGTAAAAATTGGTAGATAACCGTTTTTAACAGATCCAAAAACAAAATCCTTGTCGTTATTACTATCTGGACTAACGATAAAATTCCATTTTAGCAATAACTGAACACATTCTTCATATTGTGGGCCAGATCTTGTGACAGCCTCTTTCGGAATATATTGATCAGATGGTTTAAAAAATTGGAAGTGAGGTAAAATATGTTGAATAACTTTCGATTGTCCCTGAGAAATGGCGACGTTGAGAGGAATTTTCAAATCAATTAATGGATTAAACTTGATTCCGTGATCTATCAGTGCTTTAAAAATTGTAACATTTTGTAGTTCCATGGCTGTAAGCAATAATTGATTTAAATCTTCACCAGCTAGGGCTCCTCTTCTGATTAGTAATAGTGCAGCTTGAGTATTATTATTCTGAATGGAGAGATCAAGGGGTTTATAATTATGATAATTCTTAGCATGAATATTAGCTCCTCCTTTTAGTAATATTTCTATGACATGTAAACTCTCAAACTCAATAACTGCACAATGAAGAGGACTATTACCTCTTGTATTAGAGACATATCCATTATTTACCATCATGTTTAAATTGTCTTTTTTCAAATTGTATCTAAGAATAGCACATCACCACGTTTTTTATCTTGAAGTTAATATTTGTATTTTTGATCATTTATTTCTTAACCAGTCTCCTGATATTTTAATTTCAATAATAATTCTTAATCAGCAAACACAATACATATTGTTGCAATTATGCCGGTAAAATGTATTTGTAAGGTTATGTTAAGTGTTTATTAATTCAAAAACATGATAGTCATTGGCCAGCTCAGTTACCAATAGGATTCACTCTGAATGAGCGGGAATTTTCAATGGACTTGATAAAGATTTCATACAACAAAATTAAATCAACTATTTCATAAAGAATTGAAGAAATAGAGAATATTTCATTTCTTTGTGTTATTTTAGTGTATAACTTTTGACACTATAAATATTTTTTTTGTTCAAATTTGAACAGAATCTAATGTTCAGAAAAAAAATAAAACATCGAAACAGGTAAATTACCTATTTCGGTAAGTGAAACAATTCGAAGTAAGTAAAACAAAAAGAAACTAATAAAAAATTAAATTTGCATATGTTTTTATTTAGAATTACAACTTGAAAACAGTGAAATACTATAAAAACTTTTGATCTGTACTTATATTAAAAAACTTATGTTCTTCACACATTTTGACATTGAATACAAAAACGTTTGAGAGTTTTTTAGTCTAAACTACTTTCAGTTTATTGAACGATATTTATTTTTAAAGTTCTTGAATAGTTATAAAAAATATATATACTCATATATAGTAATAACATTATTACAAAATATAGCTTAAATCAAATAGAAATCTTTAGATATTTCTTTTTATACTTATGACCAGCATTATATAATTTAAGTTTCATGGTATTCTTGAAATTAAATTATTGATCTAATGGCTTTATAGCCCTAATAAACATTTTTATATCTTTAATGTTTAAATAACTAAACACTGTATCTACGCAATTATCAGGTAATCGTTTAGTAATATTTGCAGTAAAGTATTTACTAGCAGAGTTCATCATTCTGTATCTGAATTTAGCATCTCGAAAACGACTTCGAACAATGTCTATATACAATGGAAACTTTTCATCATAGACTTCAGATTCTAATATTTGTCTAATTATTTTATTTCTAACAAATTTGCATAGAAAATGAATATTTTTGGTCAGCAAATCATAAAAAGTCATTTTATTAACACCAAGTTTATTCATTTTCATCTGTTCTATTTCTTGCTCGCATCTTAATTCAAGTTGTTGAATATCAAGTTGATTAAGATTTTCTTCATCAAAGTTATCTTCATAAACATCACTCTCGTCTGAAGATTCATCGTTGAAAGAATTGCTGAGTATCTTCAAATTCTGATAGTTTATTTTTAGTCCAGCAACCTTTAATTTTATTGCATAAGTTTTTATAACTCTAACTATTTCTTTATATTTGATTATGTTACTGATGTAAATCTCAGAGTTATTATCAGTAAACGGAGAACTATGACACCAATGTAACAGAAAAAGGATGGCCAGTTCATAGTTATAATGAAAAATGTACTTTATAGCATTTTGAAGAGGAGTCCGCTTGTTTTTATCCAAAATATTTATATTAGCTCCGTATTTTATTAATTTTTTAACCATATCAACCGAATGTTCTTTGACAGCAATTTGAAGAGGCGTATTTCCATCTTTGTTAATAGAATTAAAATTGATTTGTGTTCTAGCAAGACTTTCTATCAGATTCAATGCGTTGCTTTTAACAGCAATGTGAATGATTGAATTTCCACATTTATCCATACAATGAACATTAACTTTATGTTCGAGTAAAATTTTTGCAACTCTACAATGATACACAGAGTATTGAACTGCAATGTATAAAGGAGTCAACTTTTCTAAATCAGTGTGATTAGCATTGGCATGATAATCGAGAAGGCATTTAACTGCTGCATCATGATATGTTTCACAGGCTACAAAAAGTGGAGTCCAACCCTTCGAATCCACAGCATCAATATTTACATTATGATGCAGTAATAATCGTATTATGCTTGCGATTTTATCATTGTTATACTTGATTTTGAAATCTGAAAATACAGGGAAAAACTTTCTTTTACAAGCCAAATGAAGAGCTGTTTGACCTTCGTTGTTTTTAGCACTTGGATTAGCTCCCTTTTCAAGCAAAGCTAAAATAACTTCTAAATTTTGATCTTGACAGACAAAGTGTAGAGCCGTCATCATATCTTCATCAGTGCAATTCACATTTGCATTGTAGTTTAAAAGGACTTTAACAATCCCTGATAGATTTTTGAAATGATATTTGCAAGCAAAAAGAAGAGGTGTAAGCTTGCTACCATTCATAGCATCAACTGGAAAATCATGTTTCAACAAAGATTCTATAAACTTTGGATTAAAATCATTTTCTATGGCCTTGTGAAGTAAGCTTGTACCTTCTGGACTAACATATTGAATATCAGCGTTATATTCCAGAAATAATTGAGCTATTTTTTGATGTCTATTTTTTATTGCTTCATAAAGAAGTGAATTGCCGGATTTTTGGATGTGAGTGGTTGCTCCTTTCTCTAGAAGTAATTTAGCTATGTTAAATTTATTATCTTCTTTGTAATATTGAAAGGAAACACAGAAATGTAGAAGTGATTTCCCCTCGGAATCAATGTCGTTTACGTTAACACGGCCCAAAAATATGCGAACAATTTCCTCACAATTCATTCGTACAGCAATGCATGTAATATTGAAGAATGTTGGATCATCGATTATCATTGCACCATACTCCAATAAAAGTTCAGTCATCTTCGGATCAGAATTTAAAACAGCAATATGTAAACACGTTATGTTTCGCAACATTTTTACGTAAGGAACTAATGAGAATGAATATTTCTGATTTTTTCTTAATAATTTATCCAATACATCAGTGTTAGTTGGTGTTGTCTCGTTCACATAAGCATTATGTTCTAACAACATTTCGACAATTTCATGACGTTTAAATAAACAAGCTACTTTCAGGAGATTTAGTCCTGTTTTTGGATTCACCAAGTTAACATCAATCTCAAGTTCTAAAAGTTGCAAAATAATCGGTAGATATCCTTTTTTTACAGCAGCATGGATAAAATCTTCATCGTGTTTACTGTCTGGATTTACAGTAAAGTTCCATTCAAGTAGTAGGTTAACACATGCTTGATACGATGAACCCGACTTTGTTACAGCTTCTCTAGGAATATATTTGTCCGATGGTTTTGAAAAACAACAATGAGGTATGATTTGTTGAATTATTTTTGATTGTCCGTGAGAAATAGCGGCGTTCAGAGGAATTTTCAAATCAATAAATGAATTCTGTTCGATCCCATTATGTATTAACATTTCAACAATTTTTTTATTTTTACGTTCAATAGCCATCAGCAATAATTCATTCAAATTATCTTTAACCAGTGCACCTTTTTTAATCAGTAACAGTGCTGCTTCTGTTTTGTTAAAATGAATTGCAACTTGAAGTGGATTTTGACGATGATGATTCGTAGCATTGATATTGGCTCCTTTAGCAAGTAACATTGTCATAATATGTACATCGTCAAATTTAATAATTGCCCAATGAAGAGGGGTATTACCTTTCGTATTAGGTACATTAACACTAACGTTATTTCGTATTAAAAAACGAGCTTTCTTTTTGTTTTTTTCTTTAATAGTTTCACGAAGCAGCACGTACCCACTGTTGAATTTTTGATTTGACATTGTTTATCAATCATTCACTTTAAATCAATTCGTACGAAGTTTTATATTGTTATTTCAATAATAATGTTCTATTTAATTTATACAATGTCACATTGTAATTACGCCGATAACACGTACTGTAAGGTTATGTTGACAGAACGGCTTTGTGTTAACTAACCAATCCACACTGGCAAAGTTTATTTCCAATTGTGATTGGCTGTAAAAACAGACATTATCTAGAGCAATCTATAATAATAAATAGACCTTTTTCTAATAATTTACTTTTATTTAAAAATGATCTCTTGGTGTTTTTGTCACAATAAAATTCATAAAAGTCTGAGAAAATTTCTTATTAATTCATTTCAAATAAATGTCTTCAGAAAATATATCCAGATTTTATTATGCTAATATCTAATTTATTCGAGAACTGAACATTTCTAATTTAACAAATATTACTTTATCTTTTTATGAACTTCATTGTTAATTATGTTAGTATTTTATCTTGCCTTCTGAAATATGGATATCATACCACCAGAATTATTAATCATTATTTTCGAAAAAATAGATAATCCATACGAGCTTCTAGAGCTTCGTTTAGTTTGTCAAAAATGGTCAACAACAATTGATAAGATGAAGCTGATGTTATTTTTTTGGAAATCCCTTTGTAATAGAGATGAAATAAAGCCCTGGATTTATGAAATAATTGAGAAGAAATTTCCAAGGTCCATAAAAAAAACAAGAATAAATTGGAGTCCAATGATTTGGAAAAAAATATATTTGTCGTTCCGGAGATGGCATTATCATCTCAAACTCCCTCATTTTTTTACTGTTTTCGACTTCACGCAAATATTTACAACTGGTGAAGAGTTAACATGTATGGATGTGTGGGGTAAATCAATTATTTTACATATAAAATAAACGTTTTGATAGCCATTACGTTTTAAAATATTTAATTAACTACTGCAATTACATCAAAGAAGCTAGTAATTTCATTTATTTCGTAGCAAATTACTTTGCTGTCGGCAGCAATATTGGAAAAGTTTATTTTTTTACTACAAAAAGTTGCATGAAAGGATTATTCACCATACATAGTACAACTATTAAAATTACTAACATAAAATTTTGGTATACAAGTAAGTGAATATTTTATTTATTATATAAAATAATATTAATTAAAATTGATGTGTTTCAATATTTACTTATTTAGATTCGAAAGATTTGATTGCTGTTATTTCACTGAATAATCAAAAATTGGAGTTTTGGGACGTGATTAATCAACATAAAATTCACAACCCTCATGAAGATCAACCATCCGTTTCTATGATAAGGTAAATTAATATTAATTAACCACGCTTGAAATTTTTTTATTAAATTAGTAGCAAGAGCAAATGAATTATGCAAGAGATTAATTATTCTATTTGTTAATTATGATAGTAAAGCACATAGATTTTTTATCGCAAGTAACTATGAAATAATCGAATATAAATGGATTCAAAGTGAATTACGTAAAGGAGAAAAATTAGAATTTCAACCGTCAACAAATACTGAAACCGGTCCAAACTTAAATATTTTTGATATATTTGTTGATCAAAAAAAGGTAACATTTTAATTATTTGTTATGATCAATTTTTAAAAGTCTTTATGTTAATTTAATAGATGACTGCTATAAGAACCAATTTTATCCACATTATGGTTGAATCATTTGAAATTCCCACATTACGAACTTTACGATTTGTTAATCTTATTGACGAAATTTCCACACACAGTATAGAACCTGAAAGAAATTACAATGTCAAATGCCATATTCCAATAAATGACGTTATATTTATGGTAACAGGTAAATCAATTTTATTTATTCCATATCTTTGTTTTTGCGAATAATTTTTCATATATTTTTGCAGATTTATATTTTTATGTGGCACTTAAATTAACGGAACATGAAGAACATATTTGGAAAACATACTCACTTTCAGAAAATTTAAGAAATAATGTCTCGTCAATTTTATTCTATTCAAATATTTTTTTTTATGGTTTAAGATCAGGTGATTTTTATCATTCGATTCATCTTTATTTATCAGTATTTTATAACAAATTTTAATACTTCTATTAATCTTTAATAGGGTCCATACTTATCTACTTTGGCAAAAGCATTTTCGATTATTTGAATATAAATTTACCAACGATAATTTCCAAAACTTTGAATATCGATACCGAACCAATTACTCATTTAAATATTGTAGAGTCCAAAGATTCAGTGAGTCTTTTGGCAATGACGAAATATAAATTACATATCATAAAATTTTATGATATTTTAAGTGATGCGTAAATGTCTAATAACTAAAGGGAATGAACACAAAAAAAAATTAAAGCTGGCTTAAGCCAGTTGATCATGACAATTACAAAAATTAATTATTTATAATTATTAATATTATTATTATTTTTTATTATTTTTTTAATTCATAGAACAATTTCAATTCACCTAGTGACATTGGTAATATTTACTTTATATGTTAGATAAATTAACGAGTATGCTTAGTTAAAAGGATACCCTGCTTGAACATTCTTGTTGAAAAAAGATAAATCTTATAGAGCTTTTCAAAATTTCAATGGAAGACAAAATATTTAAATAGAAATTTTCAACTGTCATCAACAGTCCAAGGAAAGGATCAATTTAAATCGGAATTCAAAATGCATTTGGTGACGTGCAATAAGTAGTTCAACATATATTACGATTTATCACTGATAGAAATACAATTATATTTTTTTTACACTTTTTGAAAAATCGTGTATTGAAACCTTACATAAAAATCAATAAAAAAATTTAATTCTCGGTTTTATCGTTTATTTATTGTTTAATACATAAAACCGGTACATTGATGTAAATTTTACCAATGAATAAAAACTTCTAATTTGAGATATAATAAGAAAACGAATCTTTTAACAACAGTGACATTCTGTCAAAAAATACTTGATTTATCAAACAATATTTGCTTGATAAATTTAGTTGAGTCGTAAAACAATTGTAGAAATAACATATTTGCACAACTCAGAATACATTTCTTATAAAACTTCTGATAAAAAAAAAAATTATTTCTTACATTCACAACCAAAACTAAAAAAACTATCCATTTGATAATTTTACATTTTTAATAAACATAAGTACAATAGAATCTCTCAAAAGTCCGATTTCGATAAATTTTTATACATTAAGTCATTTGAATTTTTATTTAAAAGTGTTTAAATATATTGTTACCTCAAATTATTTTTTGTATTTTAATATAAATTTTTTTATGCTTGAAGAAATCGAGCCTAAGGGAGATTCTACTATAAATCTTTTGTTTTCAAATTACTAATTATTATATTTATGCAAAAGAATGATATTCTTTTTCTTACATTTATTATAAAAAATAAATCAATTTTAATAACATTCTTTCTGTTTATGTTTTTTTAATGTAAATTTTATACTTCTTAAACAATGTATCAAAAATAAAAATGTTGTACCAGAGCAAATAGATGGATATAGAAGTTTAATGCTGTGTTCTACCCATTTAAAATAAACTTCTATTTACATCTCTCTTCTCTAATTGTACTAAATGGTACAAAAATTATTATAATTAAAAAAATAAAGCACTTGTATTAAGAAACTGTCAATATAAAATAATTGCTATTTTTTATATTAATGATTGAAATTAATTTGAATTTTAAAACATTTTTGAGAAAAATTATTTATTTAATGGCTTCATAGCCCTAATAAACATTTTTATATCCTTAATGTTTAAATAACTAAACACTGTATCTACGCAATTATCAGGTAATCGTTTAGTAATATTTGCAGTAAAGTATTTACTAGCAGAGTTCATCATTCTATATCTGAATTTAGCATCTCGAAAACGACTTCGAACAATGTCTATATACAATGGAAACTTTTCATCATAGACTTCAGATTCTAATATTTGTCTAATTATTTTATTTCTAACAAATTTGCATAGAAAATGAATATTTTTGGTCAGCAAATCATAAAAAGTCATTTTATTAACACCAATTCTATTCATTTTCATCTGTTCTATTTCTTGCTCGCATTTCACTTCAAGTTCTAGGATGTTAAATTCTGCATTCTCATGATCAGAATCATTATCAGAAAATTCATCATCGCTCGTAATATAATTATTAGGATCATAAGCAATTTTCATGTTTTGACGGTTTACCTTTAATTTAGCGATATTCAGCTTAACAATGTGTATTTTGAGAACTTTTATTATTTCCTTACATATATTCAGGTAAGGATAAATCTCATTAGCCAAATTGTTTCGGCAAGAATGACGAAATTGATTTTGCAAATCTATCATTTTTTTTATAGCCACTTCGAGAGGAGTTTGATTCTTTTTATCAAGAATATTGACATTGGCTCCATATTTTAATAGACTTTTAACCACAGCCACATTTGGCAGGTTAACAGCAGTATGAAGTGGAGAATTTCTTTGCTTGTTTATAGAATTAAAGTTAATTTGTGTACAAGCAAAATTTTTTATAAGTTCTTCGTTACCCCCGCTAACGATGATATGAATTACTGAATTTCCCCATTTGTCCATACAATGAACATTAACTTTATGTTTTAAGAGTATTTTTACGATTTTAGTATCATCTGTACAGTTTTTCGCAGCAATATAAAGAGGAGTTAATTTTTGTATATCAGTACGATTAATATTTGCATGATGATCTAAAAGACACTTCACTGCTATGTCATTACCTGAACAACAAGCGACAAATAATGGAGTCCAACCTCTTGCATCCACAGCTTCAATATTTGCATTGTGTTGTAGCAATAACTGTATTATACTGGCAGTCATATGACTCTTGTATTTACAAACAAAGTGAAGAGGTGATTGACCTTTGTTGTCTATACTATAAATATTTATTTTATTGGACGGAAATTCAAAGTCCTCCAGATCTGCAGTACCATTAATGGTGGAACTATCAACAGTACAATTGACATTAGCATTGTAGTCTAACAGTGTTTTCACAATCTGTAATTGTTGTTTTAATTTAACTTGGCAAGCAACATGAAGTGGTGTAAGCATGTCTTTGTTTACAGCATTAACTGGTGAATTCAACGTTAATAAAGTTTTTATGAACTCTGCATCAAAATTATTTTCAATGGCCTTATGGAGTAAAGTATCACCATCTCGACTGACATATTGGATATCAGCGTTATATTCCAAAAATAATTGAGCTATTTGATAATATTTATTTTTTATTGCTTCAAATAGAAGTGAATTTCCTGGAGTACGAATGTGGATGTGAGCTCTTTTTTTCAACAGCAATTTAGCTATGTTATATCGAGAACTTTGTTCATCACTACTGGAATGAACACAAAAGTGTAAAAGCGATTTGCCGTCAAAATCAATGTCATCTAAATTAACACCACGGTCTAAAAACATACGAACAATATCTTCACAATTATGTTGTACAGCAATCCTGGTGATGTAAAAAAAATTTGGATCATCTATTATTTTAACGTTATATTTCAATAATAATCTTGTCATCTTTGTATCAGAATTTAAAACAGCGATGTGTAAACATGTTATATCACGTAAATCATTTGTATCATGAATTAATGACAGTGGATGATTACGATTGTAATGCAACAAATTATTTAATATCTTGATGTTGGTGAGTGTTGTTACATTTACATAAGCATTGTGCTTCAACAAATTTTCAACAATGTCATGATGTTCATGTAAACAAGCTACTTTTAGGAGGTTCAATCCAGTAATTGGATTCATCATGTTGACATCAACTCCCATCCTTAAAAGTTGTAAAACAATTGGTAGATAGCCTTTCTCTACAGCAGCATAAACAAATTCTTCATCTCGATTACTGTCTGGATTTACGATAAAGTTCCTTTCCAACAACAACTCAACACATTCTTTGTATGGTTGACCAGATTTTATTATAACCTCTCTAGGAAAATATCGATCAGATGGTTTAAAAAATCGACAGTGAGGTAAAATGTACTCAATTATTTTTGGCTGTCCTCGTAAAATAGCGACATAAAGAGGAATTTTTAAATCAATTGATGAATTACTGTGCATGCCGTTGTCCAGTAAAATCTTTATCATTGGGGTATTTTGTTGCTCAATCGCCATGAGTAGCAATGAATTTAAATCTTCTCTAAAAAGTGCTCCTCTCTGTATCAATAATGATGCTGCTTGTACATTGTTATACTGAATTGCAACTTTGAGTGCTCCAAAATGATGATGATTCATAGCATGGACATCAGCTCCTTTATCAAGTAGCATAGTTATAACATCTAAGGGTTCGAATTGTATAATTGCCCAATGAAGATGAGTATTGCGTTGTAATTTATCATTATCAACATCAACATCATGTAGAATCAAATTTTGAGTTGTTACTTCATCTTTGTTGTAAATTGTTCTACAAAGACGAAGATAATCGCCGTTTTGTCGTGGATTTAACATTTTGTATGTGAATGTACTATTTCTATATTATTTATGTAAATGTACTATTTCAATGAACTATTTCTTTTCAAATAATTTCGTAATTATTTTTTATTAAATAATAATTCACAATTTACCTTAGTTTAAATCAATAAAATTGCTATCATAATGTAAATTGGTGTCATCGCAATTTTGCCGGTAAAAATTTTTACTAAGGTTATGTACAAAATTCGATCTTATTTTCATTGAGCTGCTACGATCCACTTCTTATTGGCTTGATTCTTTGACGTCATTTGCGTGCTGTACACAAAAAATTTTTTGAATTACACTTTTTTATTATCAAAAAATGTAATTTTTTGTAAAGAATATCTTTTTTTAATAATAAAAAAAAACTTACCTACAGTCGGTTACCATCTTTCGTTTAGAACTGCAGCTGTCAAGTTACCTAACCTCTTAACTGTCATATGTAAATAAAAATTTATAATTCTTTTTTTTTACTCAGTAACAAAAAAAAAACATTAATATTTTAAGTAAACATGGAAACTGTAAGGCCATGTGGATGTAAAGGTATTAGAACATGTTTGATTTGTGAAAAACAATTCAATATCTCTAAACCTAATCTCACAACAGAATTGCAGGTATCATTAAAATAAATCCAAATTAATGCAATTAAATAGATCATTATCAATTGTACTTTCAATAATTAATTATTATGATTATTTTAGAAATTATCTAGTTATGTTTATTGTCCGGAATGTGATTTAGCATGGCCTGGATGGAATTTAGAATCATATAAACAACATCCTAATCATGAAGGAGATCCAATCTCATATCCCGGGGTATACATTCAGGTAATTAATTCATTTTTAATTACTACAGTTTCAGCATAATATATTAGTTAATAATAATAGTAAATTTTTATATTCATACAGTTAAATTTTTTAACTGAAAATGAAGCAAAGAATTTAATGGATAATTTAGATGAATTATCTTGGGATTCTTCTCAAAGTGGAAGAAGAAAACAAAATTATGGTCCAAAATGTAATTTTAAGAGAAGAAAACTGCAATTAGGAAATTTCAATGGGTTTCCAAAAAAAACGAAATTCGTTCAAGATAAATTCAAGCATGTTCCTCTTCTTGAGAATTTTCAAACTATAGAGCAATGTAGTTTGGAGTATACACCTGAACGTGGAGCTTCAATTGATCCACATATTGATGATTGTTGGATTTGGGGTGAAAGAATTGTTACCGTAAACGTTATTGGAGACTCAGTGTTAACAATGATTCCATATCGAGACAATGAAAAACGTTACAACCTAAAAAATGTTTCAACATATTGTCCAATAGTTTTTAGACATAATTCAAATGATAAAAACATTCCAACACCATCAGAACAAATTGTTGTTCGGTTACCAATGCCTGCAAGGTCTTTAATGGTACTTTTTGGAGCATCTAGGTACAATTGGGAGCATGCTGTGCTTCGAGAAGATGTTAAAGAGCGAAGAGTGTGTATCGCTTATCGAGAATTTACTCCTCCATATCTTCAAGAAGGACAATATTCTAATGAATCAATAGAAATTTACCAAAAGGCTCAAAATTTTTGGTAATAGAAAAAAATGTATAATTCCTTCGTTTTTAGGAAGACGTATAAGATTATTTAAATATAGATATTTTTTATTGTTATTGTACATATAAAATATATACAAGGAAATATAATATGTTTACTCTGTATTATCATCCCACAATTACTCAGCTGTTCTGTGATCATATGATATTTCCTGTCATAAGATAAAATTAATTTTTTAATCAATAAAAATACTAACAATAACTTAATTTACACTCGACATCTTAGTTGGTTCGGACTGCATATAAACCACAGGAAATGTTACAGAAGGATCTGTTTTTTCTAATGGTTTGTAACCATTTACAAGGCTTTCTCTAAATTCCCAACGACGCTTTTCTCTTTCTGTTTTTTGTCTACGAATTGCTTTGCCCAACGTTACAGCAAACATAATACCAGTGAACTGAAAAATAGAAATGAATGACCATTTTTAATTGAGTACTTTAAAAGGATTCAATTTATAATTTTTAAGAATAAATTTAAATACATTAATAGCAACTATACTAAAAAATGTTCTTTTAAATATTAAAATTAGTTAATTGATTTATAGATCGCTTCAATTATTTTCCAGTCTTATTTTTAAAAATTTCTAACTCTTTAAATATAATGTTTATAAAACATGATTATTTTTTTATTTTCTAAAATAAATTCGCATCATTTTTTTTTTTACATAATATTTCTATAAAGTATTTTAAAATTTGCAATTGATTCTAACATAAAAAATACTGAAACCTCTTTAAACTTGAATAAACAAGAGGAGTAAGTCTTGCATAAGTAAGAGGTTTTAAATCTATACAAACAGCACTATCCTCTATTTCATTAATTCAATTTATATTGTATTATGTGGTTGCTAATGATTATAATTGTTGTAATAGATAAAGTAACAAATGAAGAGAGAGAGAAAAACAAGATAGAAATAGATGTTAAATAATATTGTATAGACTTACTTGTATAAGCGCAATAGCAATTGCTCCAGTTCCAAGGCTAATGACACTTTGATTTATTATCATCGAAAACCTTTCCCAACATCCTCGGTTATATACAAATAAGTAGTCACTCATGCCGCTAGGATTGAAAGTTGATGCATAACATGAGTCTGGATAAAGATTATCCATTTGTGTAAATCCGATCTGTATCCATTCACTCTTGTCAAAACATCCACAACATTGAAGCTATAAAATAATCAATGAAATTATGAACATTGAATGATTGTTAAGCGAATAATGATTATAGAAGATTATTTTAAAATACAAACTCGGGATTGCATAAGATCAACTGCTCTAGCAGCTTCTGGAGAAGTTTTATACATTAACATAGTAGTTTGAATTTTGTCAATAACAAGTTCTCGGATGTAATCTCGATAAGCATAGGCTGAAATCGCTGCAGCAGTTTCGAGAAGTAATACAATTGATAACATAACTGCAAACTAAATAATTGGTATTAATTTAATTCATTTTTGGGTTGAATAATATAATAAGCATTGAAAATATCATGAAATAAATTTTCATTATTTTTCTAGCATTCAATCTATAAATCATTTGGCATCACACAAATGAAATAATATTTATTTTGCAATTAATCAAGCTTTTCATGATAAGAGTCTTTTTCGAATGTTATTATACCTTTTAAAACAACAAACTCCATTATTCCAATTCATTTTAATTATCGAAATAATTATTTATTCACAAGAGTTTGCAACTTTCCTCAAATATTTAATTTTTAATTTATTTTACACCATAATTAAAATAATTTTTTAGAACAGTATTCTCTATTTTCTGCAATTTAATTTTCAAAAAATGTTATAGTCTCATCATACCCCCTCTCCCTTTTCTTTTCATTCATTTAAATCTGATACCATAATTTATAAAACTCGACCAGATTTCGCTGGATTTAATTTGATCCAATGAAACATTCCATGATAAATAAAATCCAATGCTGTTCTATTCAAATCTATCATTCATTTTTTAATATTTGATAAACTTACGGTTAAAACCATGCAAGTGCTTTCCTTAATTGCACCACAACATCCGAAGAAAGCAATTATAAATGTTAAAACACCAACAACAACTAAAAGAATTGCTGGTGATGCATAAGATGAGTCCAAGAAATCTCTAAAGTCATCATAAACAGTGTATATTGTCATACCAACAGATATGATCATCACTCCGGTAAGCTAAAAGCAAATAATCATAATCTAATTGTAAGAATTAAAATTAATGAACCTAGAAAAGATATATATTTATATCAATTGAATGTCATATAATTGTCGCAGTGGTGGAATTAGTGAATCAAATGTTTGTATTAAAACCAAGTTTGAAAGATATGATATCATGAGCGATATAAATGATAAAGTCTTGAAGACAAATTCTCTTGAAATGATAAAAAAAAGAACTAATAATCTTTTAATATTTATTCTCATCAAATGTATTCTTTCAAACATTATATGAGTAGTCAATTTGTATTTTATGCATATAACTCGTCATATTGACCGTATGACCAGCTGCGTGTGTACGTTATTGACCGATTTGACAATGGTTTGTATTATCGAGGCCGACTATCCATTGCTGTTTGCTATAAGAATGAAGAATAGATAATATCCAAGATAAACATGCATTCAATAGCCTTCAACATGACCTGTTACAGGGATTTTTCAGAGCAAAAACTATTTTAACTTGAACTATATGATTTATAACTCTTCAATATTAAAGTTGATTAGCTGTTGATTTTATAAAAGCCAAACTGAATTTTTAATGTAACATCAAGAAGGGGAAAAATGATAAGAGGGTAAAAATTCATGTAAAAAGGTGAAGAAAAAAGAACCGGAAGTCGAATAATTGTTTCCCTTTGCACGCAGGATATTAGAATAATATGTAACTGCACCTGAGGCTTGTAAATATTTTATCAGTACAACTGAAACTTCTATAACTCCTCCTTTATTTATTGATTGCGTTTTTAAAGCTGTTCGATAGTAACATAAAACTATGAAGCCATTATCGATATTTTTATGTTAGTAATGAAAGCGAAAGTCTTTTAGTAAGTAGATAACGATGGATGAATGTAGTACAAGAAGTGAAAAAAAAATATCTGAGATGATAATTCTGACGACAAAAAGTTGTTAGACTTGATAATAATAATGATGACGTTGTACTAAAAATAAAAAAAATTTTGTACGTACCACGAAGAGTGAATTGACTGCACATAATAAATATTTGATACATCGTAAACCAATATCCAACTGTGTTGTCGCCATGATTATATATTTTGAATAATCTTTAGGATCATAAAATTAAGTTTTAATACTTATATGAACAATTTTCTATTTGTTCAAAATCTCTTATATTTAACACACTTCTCACTATGCTTATACGTTCAAACTGACAATGGTAAATCGTTCGACAAGCCAACGGCGATCAGGTGCGCCGCTAGCTATCTGCTGATAATAAGACTTGAAAACATACACGAACAAACGCCCCGAGCGATATGACGTTTCATTACGACATCAAGGCAACCGCATAAAAAAGAAATTTAATGAAACCGTATTCTTGTAATCATTTTATTCAGACAATTTCCTTCATACAATATAACACACCAGTTTTTTTTTGTTTTATTCAAAACAAATTTACAATTGTTATAATTTTCAGGAACACATTTTTGTTAGCAATAACTTGTTTTTTAGAATGATTCAAGAATAAAAGCCATTAATAAATATTAGTCATGCAATAAAGAAAATACACAAACTATTTCAACAGATGATATTTCATTGAAATTGAGTCAAATATTATTGCATGTTTTTACATTATTATTGATGTTTTTAATTAAATTTTTATGCTTTACTGAGCAATATGAGTTTTGAATAAGTACGATAAGATTTTTTAGATGAAAATTAACATATAAGAAATATAACATAATTAAAAGTATCATCACAAGATAATATCAATGATAATGAATGAAAATACTTAGTCTAGAATCGGTAGAATAAATGATATGGATATTTGTTGTGAATGTTTGAAAAAAACTTCATTCTGTGAGATGATCCATCTTTATTATACAGTTTCATAGTTGTTTTTTATTGTCCTTGCTAGATATATAGCAAACCAAATACCGATTGCCTGAAAAGTAAAATTATAGAAATTAAATTTTGTATAAATTCTCATGTTGCAATATATTTAAATTATTTTTAATCGTTTAAAATAACAAATGTATTCATTCATCAAAAAATATAGAAAAAAGGATTATTTATAGACATAAGAGAATATTTAACATTATTATTAAATATGACCTTTGACAATCCAAGTAATATTATTATTTTTGATGATTTTTTATTTTACAAGGTCATTTATAGTTAAAATGGGACAATTATTTTTAAAATACAGCGAATTTTAGAGACTTATTATCTTTGATTAAATGTTCATTGTATAATTAATCTTTTCCAAGTGAATGCGTAATTTAAATTTGATGTTTTTAAATATTTTTAGTTACTTGAAAACAATAAGAAATTTTTTGTCATCTAAGTTTAAACATAACATTATTGTACACATACTAGAAAATTTGATTGAAATAGAATGAAAGTGAATTTTATAAATATGGATATTCCGTAATTTTTCATAGTTAACAAATTTTTAGAAGAATGATCTTACTTGGCTGTGATTGCTTAACATTACATTCTATTTATTGAGAAATAATTATTTAATGTAAAATTGATAGATTGTGTTGGTATGTTTTTCAAGGTTGTGCACTTCAAACTTTCATTGATACTATTTTTTTAGTTGAATATATTATCTATTGTAATATATTATCAAGATCATAAATCTAGCTTTTTTAATCAAGGGCTTATAAGGCCTGTTTATATTATTTATTTATTAACGGTGCATTGAATAAGTTAATGTCTAATCAATTTGTTATTTTATTTGATTTCTATCGATTCGTTTCAGTTATAAGAATTACTTTGAAGTCTCTTTAAAGGTAAAATACTTACTTGAACAAATGCAATACCAATTCCAGCACCTCCTAGTTGAACAGCATGGCTCTTAATAAATTGCGTGAAGCTTGTAGCACATCCGTTGTGATGAAAATCGGATTCTTTATCAGCAATAGTACAATTTGGTCGATTTATACAACAACTATTTGGTAACTTGTCTCCAATGATATTTTTCCAGTCGGTGTAATTGTTGAATCCGCAGCATTCAAACTTAAAAAATAAGTTGAAAATAAATAATTAAAGAATAGTTGATATCTTAAAAAAAACGTAACTATTCACTGCTACTTGGACAGAAGGATTGAGTAAAATTAACCCTATAAAATGGCCAAATTTTCTTTTTCATTTTGTAAAAATTCCTTTCTTTTAGGGTAAATTTCACTATTCTGTAAGATAAATTGTATTTTGTCTGTGGAGTATACCCAGATTACTCTAAAAAGCAGGGCAACTTTTACTCATTTCTTCTTTCCATGTAAAGAAAATATTTTATTTTTCAGATACTATTAATTATAATTATATTCAACATTAACATCAAAACTACTAGTGAAGTTTCGTCTAATTTGAAAATAATTATCAAGATAATTATTTTGTGTCATACTAGTCATAAAATAAATGAGTTCACTATTAATTTCACATTTACTTCATGCTGTAGTTCATCCCAGACTGTTCGAATTTCTTGAGTATTATTATATTCTTTCATTGTAGTTTTCATTTTTTCTTCGATTGCTTGAGCTGCATTATTACGAAGAGCATAACCAGATATTCCAGCAGCTAATTCCAGAATAAATATTAAAATCATCAACGCTGCAAACTAAAAATAAATATTACAATTAAAATGGTATATTATTCAATATTTTATTATTCGTTAATGTAATTATTGCATGAAAAATGGTGTATACCATATTAGTTTTCGATGATTTATTCTGATTCATCCTAAAAGAGTACTTACAGTTACAATCATACAGTAGCTTTCTCGAACAGCACCACAACAACCGAAGAATGCTATGAAGAAGATTATGGCACCCACGACAATACATAGTGATGGAACGGAGAAAAATTTATCATCTAGGAAGTGGTGATAATCATTATAAACTGCATGAATAGTTGCTCCAATTGCTAGGAGAATTATGCCAGTAATCTAAATTATAAAAAAAATTATACAATGATTAGCTATATGTATAATTTAAAATAATTTTTGATGACAATTTAATTTATGATAAATTTAGAAAATTATATTTAAAATGTTCATTTGAAAATGCAACTTTTATAATATATTAAGTAAATTATCGTCTCAATATTTCAAAGATATCAATAAAGAATTATTTTTAATTATTTAAAATATTGTAAAGTAACTTTAATCATTACGATTAATTGTCATAAAATGATTTCATACCGATTAGCAGTCATTATGTTATTTTACGCATGTTTAATTAAAATTTTGTAATTTTATTTAATCTGATGACCTTCGGAGTTTTCAAGGCCTTTATGCACAACTCTGAGCTGATAGTTTTTTACAAAAATTAGTTAAATTTTTCTTTAAAGGCTCCAGTTTATTTTTTTCCATTGATCTAATCTAAAATATCGTTTTGGAGTAGTTGAAATTATTTATGAAAATTTTTCATGTCTAATTTATCAGAATATAGAGTATTTATTAATGAGACCTAATTACTGATTATATTACTCTTAAAGTCAATATTGTATTGACTGTTTTTCTGAATAATATGAGTTTATTTTTGTACAGTTTTTCATACAGCTGCGGTGTCCGAGCGGTTAAGGAGATGGACTTGAAATCCATTGGGTTCTACCCGCACAGGTTCGAATCCTGTCCGCAGCGAATTTTTTTTTTCTGTATCCATTGATTTATATTAATTGATTGATTAATTATTTAAATTTAATACACTTAAAGTAATTAATTATAGAAGAACTATATTTATGTAATTACATCGATTCATTAATTTAATCTGTGAAAGTCTTTTAATTATCACAGAGCAATTATTAGAAAGTATTAATGTAGTAAAAATTCTTTTTTTATTGAAAACATCTTTCCAATAATATTTAATATTTAAGATATTATAAATATCATTTAAAACAACAATATTGATTTTAATATCGAAGCTGATAAAGTAGTCAGCTGAAACCATATTTTTACACATTTCTGGTCTTGATTAAAGAAAAATATTTTTTACATTTTTAAAAATAATTATAAAACTTTGTAATTATTTTCAACGTATAGACAATTAATAATAGTCTAAGTGAAAATTTATTAAACTATATATTTTGTGACATTGAATAAAATAGACTAGACATTTTATTTATATGTATGTTCAAGTGTCATAAGATTGCGTAATATAAAATAGTATACATTTAATCGGAGAAATCGATAATAAATAAATTTCATTCATGTTCATTTGATAAAAATATTTTATCTATAATTTTATATATTTTTTAAAAATTTCTATAAAAATTATACTTCGCATATTTCAGTATATTATTCTGTACAATAATCATTGAGTAGTTAAACGATAACACAATTATCAATAACAATCAATAAATCGATAAACTTACCACGAAAAAGAAGTTAAAGCTGAACAGAAGGTACTTGATACATCGGGATCCAAGCGATAGCTTCAGATCTGTGACCATGTTGCCGGGTTTGTTTTTATATTTAAAAAAGTATGAATAACGGTAAGAATAATATTATTGGTCTATCACACAATTAGAAAAGAGAAAAAATTATAATACTCTGCAAAAATAAAAATAATTATAAGTAACTTAAAACCTAGAGGTTAAAGTCAAAATATGATTCAAAGTAACGTGTTGCTTCTTCACAACAGACTCACGTTTTCTTGCTGCTTGCCAACGTAGTTGTTATGTCGTTGTGTCGTTAATCTTATCAGGTGGTTGGGTTCCTACAGCAGCATGTATTGGTGAAAGACAAGAGTGTGGTGAGAGAAGGAAAACCAGTACCATGTGTCTGCGTTCCAAGACTCCGCATGCGCCAGACCAGGAGCGTGAGCTTGAAAATACTTTTATTTACCTTTTTAACAGAAATATTTAAATTATTTTACTTTAAATGTCAAGTATTTTTAACCTTCACTTTGAATGCTAGAATGTATTTAACGTGAAACAACTAGAACAATAATTAAAACAATGATGAGAAAAAATATTTACATATTCTTTGATAGATGTTGATGATGCTATGACGACATTGATGTACAATAATGAAGATGTGATGGAACTTAACTTAATTAGTATAATATTGAAATAATCAAAAAAGGGTCTGTAGAGCAACAGGTACGACCCTGTCTTAAAAAATCAGTTGCAACTCGACAAACGTTGCAATAATGAGAGAAAGGAAGAAAGCAAACCTGGACAACAGAGAAAAATAATGTCTGACGTGGCTGAAACATAGGCTATAGTTACTAGCAGTTGTTATTAGCAATGTCGATTTGTCGTGAGCACGTGGTTAAAATAAAGAGTTAAAAGCACTTCTATGATTCTCAGTATTGTCTGACGATTGAAATGATCAAATAAAGCTCATGACAATCGGTCGAGGTTTATCTTAGTCTATTATTATTACAATGAAGTTTTTTTTTCAAGTTCACCTGATCATTTTTTTACTGTAAAATGTATTTATATAATTTTAGTAACAATTTATTTATTTTCTTTTATCATACTGGTTGGTCTTCTGGGTTATATTTATCTATCGGTCTGCTAAACTTATTACAAAAGAAACGTTTCGACGAATTACAAGATGAGAAACCAGTATAAAAATCGTACTTGCTTTGCCAACAGAAATTGATTTAATATATTTATATAAGCGCTTTCACTCTCATTCAACCAGTACATCAGAACATAATTATATGAAATGTTGTAATATTTCAAGTATTTGAAGATGAAAAAATATTTGATTCAGTTTTAGAACATCAATATCGATCTATAAGAATGTATAAATATGAATACCGTTATTTCTTCTAGGTGAAGTGCAGCTTGGAAAATTTTTTTTATTTTCCTTTTCAAATTTTTTTCAAATACCGTTGAAAATATTTCTTTTTAAAATGTAATCTTTATTTTTCAAGAATTATAAAGCTGACCCAAAAATTTATATAGATCCTTGAATGATAAGATTTTCTTTTAAATTCACTGTAAATATTTTTTTTGTGGCTAACAACTAGAGATTTGAAAGGGAATTCAAGAAGAATAAAGATTAAAGTATTTAAAAATTATCGTTAAGAAATAACTTGAAATCTAAATGAATTATTTTTAGGTAGAATATAGGTTTAAATAATAAAATTGAAAAAAAAAATAATTGCAGCAATTCGCATAAAAAAGTGAGAACACAATTGTACCATGTGTTTTCCAACACGATCGATCGACAACTTATGTCCTATCTGAGAATAAACGCCCTCGAATCACCGCTTGAACGTAATTTACTTGATGTTTTATTTGAAAAGCATATGCATAAAGTATATACTCCTACACACTTTTATTCTACTTAAGCTTGAATAGTATATAAATTACTCTTAAAAAATGAGAGTTTTCAGTGAATATGCTATTGAAGTGTTACTACAACACAAATGTCTAACAAAAGAAAAAAAAATTGAAATACAAATAAATTAATTTAAAATCAAATTCAGAAATTTGAAGTTATATTGTTAGAAAAAAGTTTTTTTTACCAACTGAAGAATTTATGTACTTTATGACATGAAAAATTTGTAAACAGATTTCTATATAAATTCACTCAACAATATTTCGTGGAAAAGAAGATTAGAAATGATTAAAAGCTAAAATCTCTTTCATTTCATTGTTTCATGGAAAAGTTTTTTGTACATAAAATTGTAAATCCGACGGTATCATTCTTATTTTTTTCCAGTTTTTATCATAATCTTTGTCTTTCTGAAATGAATAAAATGATAGAATCATAAATAAAAGATTATGTTGACATTGTTTAAGTCAATGACGTTAACAATTTCTTTCAGTTTTTTTATATCTATTTGATTACAATTATATCAATAAAAAAGAAGCAAAGCAAATACATTACATGAAGAAATTCCCCTCATCATACAGAGCCCCTTCCAATTATCAAAAAAGTGTCAATAAAATAATACCAGTATTGAATCCAATGTTTATTGAATTATTTAATTGGAATTATCTGAAAATAAATCAATAACATCATAACATATTTAAAAAAATAAGTATTAATTTAGTAAGCATTGATAGTTATGGAGTACATACATTTACACATGCGCATGATGATTTAGTTTAACACACAGAAGGCAAATTTTTCCCGGGGTCAGACTTAAAAATCGATATACAAATTTATTAGAGACAAAATTATTTTATTTATTCGTCAATTGAATGAAGTAATTATGAAACTTGGCTTGGCTCCATTGGACATGGACGTTGTTGATGCTATATTAGAGGTCACTGAATCCAACCTACGCTTGAAAGTTGACAATCAAATTAAATTAACAGATGCCATGAGCATTCATCTCTTCTTCTCACATTGCATCAATTGTATTTGCAATTGTCTAATGAATTTATCCATTCTTATACATATTCATAGATTTAACCAGTCTACATTGAAATTAGTTTGCGTGATAATCCCCTTTCTATTTCATTCTTCTTCCGTGTGAGATGATCACTCGATTGTTTTCTATCAACAATAATTGTATATGTACTCACTTGCACTTACAACGTTTCAAATTACAAAAACGTAATAATATGCATTCATCACGAAAAGTCTGCTGAATATTCTATGCATTTACGTTTGAATAAAAGTGTCTACTCGTGTCATTATTACTAAAAAAGAAAAAAAAAGTTTAGAGATAAAATCGAGAAGAATATTTTAAGGTTAAATAATAAATTTTATAGAAATGGATTGGTTAGAAAAAAATTATTACATTACATTTTTTATAATTGAAATAAAAATAGAACTGGGTATGTAATAAAAAAATATTTTATAAATATGTTTATTATTACTTTGTGAATTAATTAATTTTAATATTTTTTATTTATTTTAATTAATTACTCATGATAGAGGTATTTTGAAAAATCTTAAAATGATTACTTTAAAATGAACAATAAGGTAAAATAACCTAATTTCAAGATCTTTGTTCTGGAGACCACTAAAATTGTTAATAAATTAAATGAGATAAAATAAACTTTAGTAATTAAAATTGAAAAATGGCTGAAACTAAAATGTGAGAGTGAAGTTATGGTAAAGTTTTCCTTATGCTGTGGGAAAGTTTTGATCTTACATTTCAAAGATGTTGCTATTTTAGAAATTTATTGCACAAAATCAAAGTAATGTCATGACATATATAATGTTTTTTAAAGGAATTAATTCTATTCAAATTTATTAGCAACACATTTTCATTTAAATAATTAAGAAGAAACCAAATGTTTTTTATTTATCAAAAAAAAACATTACGGTTGAATTAAAAATATCTTTAAAAATAAAAATATACTTTTCTATCAACACTTACATCTGTAGCTTTAATTAATTCTAAAAAAAATAATATCCTAGTCTAAAATAAAATGTCATTTTGTTTATTTATAAAATAAATAAAAACTAATTTATTTAATTTTGGTTATTATGAAAAAAGACTGCCGCCACTCCTTCCAGCTATAAACCACTATACTCCTCTTTCTGATGCTTCAAGTCGTACTCGGTCCTTCTCTGTATAAGGAAAGGTGCGCGCGCAGGACAGCAATAGCCGCGACAACAAAAATATTGGCGCATTTCAGAGCGAGTCTTCGAAACGGACGGGTGAGTGTAACGTGAGTGCGTCAAGAAGAGAAAGAAGAAGAGAGAAACAAGTGAAAACAAAAAAAGACAAATAGAGATTCAAGAGTTTGCAGTTAACTGTGAAATAAAAGACGTTAAACGAGTGTGAACTACTGTTATTTAAGTCATTTACATTGAAAATCTAAAGAGTTTTAACAATCAAGATGGTGTCCGGAGGAATGGCCTGTGTGAAATATCTTCTATTTTTATTTAACCTGATTTTTGCTGTAAGTTTTACTACATTTTTCTTGTATATTTATTAGATTTTTTTCTCAGTTTATAATTCAATTGCGTCGATTTTTCTATACTCGAAGCTTCTTGCTTACGGGGCCGCTCAATAATCCACATGTACATTGAACACAACGATAGGAAACTACTGCATACACAAACTCAAGTTATTTATGTTTGAGTTTTTTCCCTTAAATTTTCTCCTCAGTTTCCCTTATGTTATGATGCAGAAACACAAAGACTAGGTAAATCACAAAGATTTACTCTACTAAGGAGTTCTTTTCTCAGAACTCGAATAAACGAATTCCTTTTATTACGTTTGAAAGAAAAGTCCAAGAAAAGGTGGGACGCTAGAGGTGGAGCTTTTATATCTAGCGTAGGATGAGATATTTTTTTTCAATCGGACTGACACGCAAGGAAATAAATTGGATAATTAGGATTATTAGAGGGCAGATGTTCATGAAGTTTAATATACATTTTTTAATATAATAAAAAAATTTATTTTAACAACAAAAAGAAAGTTTATAAACTTCATTATTTTTTTTTTATAGATCACAGGAATCGTCTTCATTGTTGTTGGAGCTCTGATTCTTGCTATGTACAATGACTACAGTAACTTTATGGACAATTGGTTCTTTGCTGCACCTGTCTTGATGATTGTCGTTGGCATCACAGTCTTCCTCGTTTCCTTCTTTGGATGTTGTGGTGCAGTCAAAGAACATCATTGCATGATAATTACCGTAAGTGGTCTAAAGCCTAAAAAAAAACGTACTTCAACACAAAAAAAAATATATATCCAATAATTATTTTTCTTTTATAGTTCTCAGTTTTGTTGTTGCTGATCTTCGCGATGGAGCTTGGCGCAGGCATTTGTGGTTACATGATGCGCAACGAAGTAGGCAGGATGTTACAGACTCGTTTAAACAACACAATGTCGCTTTACACGAGTGATCAAAAGGTTCACAAGTCTTGGGATGTTTTACAACATGATGTAAGTGTTAATCATAAATAATAGGAATCACAAATCAATGAAAAATATACAAAGATTAATGAATAGTTGATATTAATCTAAAAATATCATATGGGCACATCAAGTTTGATTTAATAAATATCAACAGAATATTGCACACAACGACATTAAAGCAGACCTTGCTCATATTGTAAATCAATATCGTTCCTTATACTCATACTGCACATATACGGTATAGTGACAATCTTCAGCGTATTTCCTGTACGTTGTTATATATTTCAAACACGTAATATGCTAGTGGTCAATGGCATGCTTATACGCATGGTACAAAAGCATGAAGAACCTTCCTCAACAATGAACGTTTTCAATAGAACTCATAAAATTGAGCCTCTGATCTATTACAAAGATCACGACTGTTAAGAATTATTACTGTAGCGAAAATTTAACTTTACAGACTCTTGTTATAAAAGCCATTGAATAAAAACCTATGAAAAAGTTGTCTAGACCCACGGGATTATGTACAATGAGGGAAGTCGCGTGTCAGTAACGATTATGGTATAGTCATGTGCCATACCACCCTTGTGCGATTCTCAGAAGTACTTCCCCTCTTCATTTTCTCCCTTTTTTTTTTACAAATAAGTGGTGTTTTCAACAACGCAAAAAATATCTTACGATATTGCATTCATCACGATTCCATTTTATATGCTCGATCAAGCTCGGGAACGAGGAAGGAAGTCTCCAAGTCACTGACCGCTAGGTCTAATTTGTTTTGCTTTGACTTTGCTATTCAAAAGTCTCCATCATCGCGCTGTATGTCGCCCTTGTTATGGTGAAAGGCACGTTACGCAATAATAATTATAATAATGAGAAGCTGGGGATATATTTATCTTTTATTGAACAAGGTCAGAGATATTGTGAACTTATGTCACATTAAATTATTGAAATAAATCCGCATTTAAGTGAGATGTGGTTGAAACTTTATAGTTTAATGCAATAATATCTAGTTGAAAAATATTAATGATAAATCAACAAAGATGAACATAAAATAATATAAATTATGTTGTTTAAACTTATTAAAAATGTTTATAAATTATTAGTTTTTATAAATTTTTAAAATTCAAAATACTATTTAATTTTTTATTATTTTATTCTATATCTACGTATCTTTAAATAAGTCAATTAATCTATTATGTATTCATCCTTACTTAGTTCAAATGCTGTGGCATCAATGGAACATCCGACTGGGCAGTTTTATTCCCGAACATTGAATTACCTAATTCCTGTTGCCATGAAATGCCACTCAATCAAAAATGTGACTCGAATTCTGTCACCGTTAGTACTGAAGGATGTATGAAGAAGTTAAAATCTGCTATTGAAGACAAAGCTATCATTTTAGGAGCTGTAGGCATAGGAATTGCCCTTGTTCAGGTAACTATGTTGTTCTTCTTTAAATTACGGCCTTATAACAATTTATAGGTAGTTTTCAAGTAGAACACCAGCTATTTATAGAAAACGATTACTGACAGTGTCCGTTAATATAACCATCTTATGGAGAAAAAGATACCAATATCAATCCAACATGACTAGAAGTGGTTAAATTCAATTCAATATAAAGCTGAGCTTATTTTACAATAAATTTTTAATGTTTTAAATGAGTTTAAAAAACTTATTTATAAAGTATGATGAATTTTTTATTGAGCTTCTTTTATAGGATTAGAATATTTGTTTATTTATTTATTCGAAAATGAGGTTGTACTAGAAAGTCAATATTAAGGTCACAAATTACTGTGCGATTAAATGTAATTGACAAGTACAATCATAAAGAATTTAAACGTACTTAATGAATAAAAATTATCAAGCCAACAATATGATGATATGTTATCATGCAAATAAACGGGATATATAAACTTATCAAGTTCGTTAGCAGAATAATAATTTTATAAAAAAATATAAAAAATATGTTACAACATTTAAAGTGAGTATTGTTGGAAATTTTAATTAATTATTGAATCATTTCAAAAATCTTTAATTAGGAACCAAATTAATTATGATTATTTGATAATTACAATAAACACATTCACTAGAATCTTATCTTCAAAAATTTACTCTTACGTTTGAATAGATATTAGTATATTTAGTCGAATCAAGATCCATATTATAAAATTTTGGATGATAAAGTTGATAAATATATTAATAAATATTAATAATTATATTTTTTTATTAATAATATTCTCTTCATACGATAGAAATACATTTGAATATTATGAATACATTTATTACTATGTATATAAATACACACTGCTTGATTACGCACATTATATTTTATTACATTTTATCAATAAATAATTGTTATTTTTCTTTACAGCTCATCGGGGTAATATTCGCTTGCTGTTTGGCTCGATCAATTCGTCGTGAATATGAAACTGTGTAAGCAGATAGATGTAATAATATTCATATTTCTAAATTGCAACAAACAATTATAAAATATAACAACAAAAGTACTTGCCTAACTGTGCACTTTTGTAATCAATGTTTTTTTTTACACAAACTATAACTTGATCACTTTTCTGTACTGAATCTCATTCATGTTTCAATTTCATAATCGATGCACAATCTATGGATGCATTTTCATTTTCAGTGTCGCGTTTTTTACCAATAAAAAATTATTTATTTTTTTATAAAATAACTCAATCAAAACACTATTATTGTAATTATAATCATGATAATGATTGTTATTTAATTTTTTTATAAATTTTTTCAATTAAATATAAAAAATAAATATTAAATGTGATATTTTTAAGAGAGAAAAGCCACTTCACCGTTCTCTTTTAATGTACAATTAATCCATCAGTTTCACTGAAAAGAAAAAATCTCATAATTTTTTATTTCTAAATACAAATAAAAAGGTGTGATGTATTATGCTAATTGTTATAAGCTATATTGTTCGGTCATTGTTTTTTCATTAAATTTATTTTAGCCTATAGGTTCAAAAAGACGATAGTTCAAGCTTTTGCTTTTGTTCGATCGTCGTAAGCATGTATGTACCTGTCTTTATTTTAGGAAAACGGTGTCAGGGCTTTTTTGATCGATTTGTATGAAATCTTTGATATGAATACAAAACCTAATTTTCACACTGGTATGGTTATAAAACTTTTATAACTCACGTATGACACTTGTATATTTTAACTTTTTTAAAAATCATTTAAAATGCTTCAGAACACAAAATTGAATGGCGCTGTGATCGAAAGTGTATAAATGTGTGTCTATAAAATAATTATAAAAATTATTATTACTATTATGAAACAATGAAAGAAAGAAAATATTCTCAAACATGATGCTAATAAATGTCGATAGAAATGAATTAATTACTCAACATAACGTGCCACACTTTTCAAGGTAATAAATATCGACGTTTTCAAGCATTCTTGAGAAAACGAATATGTTAGCTTTAACTTTTCTCTATGTGTATGCATATTATTGATATAGCAGCGAATTAATGATTTAATATAAAATATAAAGAACAAAAAAAGTAAGCAGTTAGATATTAAATATAAAAAAGTCCATTAGTGTTTAGTGTTAAGGAGTATTATTTTAAAATATAGAACGAATATATTCTGTATTATCCTGTTGTTTCCTCCTTTGTAAAGTCTATATTAGTGTTAAAGAACAAATGGATTAATTAATTGATATCATAAGATTAATACTTCAGCTTGCGACTGAAGTTTTAATAAGATTCAATATGCAATGTATCAATATTCTTTTCTACCGTTTGTTTCTTTTTTTTTTAACATTTCTGAAAGTACGTATCAGAACGTCACTTATGTACGTCGAAGAGGATCGAAATAAACGTCACCATTTGTGGACTAAGGATATTTTTTAAATGATGTGAGATTTCTGTCTTTTATCTTCTTTATTATCACTATTTATTTCTGCCTATTGTACGCTCTTTTTCTGGCGCTTGCGATGTATTCTAACAAACATGCATTTAATTGTGCACTTTGCAAAGCCTTTTGTAATAATAATTTGCCTTCACTCAATCGTGGACAACTAAAAATGTAACAAAAATCACTAGTTAATTATAAAGCATCAAATTTAATAATGATTTGTCGACAGTTGATCTACAAGTGATTTTGAAATATTTTACAGCGAGACCACAGCACACTGATGAACTACCAGTGAAGCATAACATTTCATATGAAACTAATATTGTTCATCATGCATTAGTAGATAAATAATGATAATTTTAAAATTGCAAATGAAAACAAATTCATTGATTACTTAAGAATTTTATTGCGACTTGAATTTGAACATTTATCGTGCTTATTGAACGTGTTTAGCAAGAGAGGAATGATGCATAAATGCAAAATACGTTGGATCACTTACCAATAATGTTGTTACGAAGACTCATAATTACATCAGTTTTTTATTAATTAATTAATGAACAATAAATTATAAAAAATCTCTAAACAATCGAAAGTTTTAATAACAAATATATCTAATGTGAAAAAAACAATCATACAAACGAAATTATTCATAGCGTAAATAAAAAAAAGTATTTCAAATTGTAATTATTTTATCAAATGGCATAATGTATTGAAAACTAATATTAAACAACTGATGTTATTATATGAATGATAATAATTAGTCAAAGCTCATATCTTCAAGTGCATATAAAATGTCAAAATAAATTAATCTGCGTGTAATAATAATACAAAAAAAAACTCGAGGAAGAGTCTGATTCAACTGCCAATTACCGCCAAAATGAATTTTATTATATAAATAAGAAAAAATGAACAAGTTAAAAAAAAATTGAATAATTCAATGAGTAAAACAAAATCATTATCAAAAATAGTTTTTTTTTCAACTTTTTATCTTGATTTTGTGAATAAATATTATCACTTCCTCGAGCAACATAATCCATCATTAATCTATCCAAAAAATTAAAAAACTAATTAAATCGTCAGAATAAATGAATGTGGGCATTTATATATTCTAACAATATGCCTCTTTTGAAGTAAATAGCTTGCAACGCTTCTGTATATTACAATTGAAAAATAATAGCATTTATCATTTATGTGTCTTTCTTGTATGTCAAATATTAATGGCAATCATCAGAATGTCTATTAATTCTAAATTCAATAGCATATTACATCATGTCACTGAACTAGTATCGATCCTTCCTTCTATTCTATAAACCTTACTTGGATGTCGCTCATTTCTCTGCGTCACTTCCCCTTCATTTGTACGTATCCGTAGTTTCAATCATCAAGAAATTTAATGTTTGATGAATTTTTATTAATTTTTTTAATTCGAATTCTTTAAAGACTATTATTCACTTTGTAAAACATCAAGTACAAAAATGTTGTATTTAAATAATGTAAAAATTAATAGATGATTTTAATACTTTCTGTAAAGTCTATTATTTGCAAAAAATAATTGAAACAATTAATCAAATGTGGAAAATTTGATAAACAATCATTTAACAAATTTTTATCTCTGGAAATTTTGAAATCTATATTTATTTTTTTATAATTTTCTGTATAATTTTTTATACTACTTTAAATATTTTGCAATTCATCTTGGAATGATTAATGAAATATATTATTGTAAAATTATTATAAAAGAGTGAACTATTATTAATAATATGTCTCTTCATCTTACACACAAAGGTATTATATGGCATTGTATATTGTATCCTTCCTCCTTCGCTCGCACGTTACTGATAAAAATGAAATAGAAAAAAAATTCAATGAGGAAGAAATACAAAAAGAAAATTTATATTTAATTTATTATTATATAGCCAGAAATTAATTGGAGTGTGCCTAATATATGTTCGTATATTTATATAATATAATATATAAATATATATTATATGTATATGAGAATAATTCAAATTAGAATTTTAATTAGATCATAATACTTTTAACATTAATTTTAATATTTCTTGTTTAGAAAATAGTCTATTTGAATTATATATAAAGAAGCTAAAAAAATTATGAGTAATGATAATGATATAATACAACACAGGTTCGAAGTTTTAGCTCCTAATCATTCACAATGAATCACATTATTGATGTTAAATAATACACATTATTTAGTAATCAAATGAGATTTCTCTCTTTCATTAATAATGATTATTATGATTGGCTTTGATATTCTATTGTATTTGAAGAAAATTTTACACATTTACTCAATGAATAAATTCATTATCAGGCCATACTAAAGACTGAACCTTTATTATTATAATCAGTATTAAAAATTTTAAAAAATCTCTAAATCTGAGGCAAATGACAAATCATTTACTAAATACTATAGAAAAACCAACCAGATTGGTATTTTCATTATAACATTTACACTTTGCGATTTACTATTTATTATTATATTTATTGACACTTTGGGTTTTTATCAGCGTAACTTATTTGTAATACTCTTCAAATAAAATCTATAAAAAGAAAAAGTATAAAATGTATGTGTTAGGAACACAGAAAAATTTAGTTTAATACAAAATATATTAATGAGATATTATGAAAGAGTTTTTTCTTCATACTTACTAGAATATACAATAGGAGCCAACAATTAATATTTAGCACATATTCGTCTAATTTTTATCATCTATAAAATGTCAATAAATAAATTATATCGAAGAAAATAAAACTAATGGTTGTATCATTCACTAATTTTAATATGTCTAATTAATTTGTATGTTTTTAGAGTAAAAATTTAGGATTATTTATTGTAAATGATAATCTGTAATTTGATTACAAAAATAACAAAAATAACTACACTGTAATTTTGTTCTTTTTTTTAATATTTTAAATCAATTTTAATGATTAAAAAATGAAAATAAAGTTAAGTGAGTAATTTATTTGATTTCTAAAGGTAAAGAGACCAGTACACAGGCGATCTAATCATATTTATGCATAATGGTTACAAAATGTATTGAGATATTATTTATGGAGATTTAAAAATGGTCAATCTTAATAAATAAGTAATTTCGTCATATTTAAATTTATATCTCAATTCATAAATTTGATAAAGTCTAGAACATTAAAATATGTTAGTAAAGTTAAGTTGACGATGAAATTACTTTTTAATGTTAATGAAAGTTTTTATTTTATTTTATGCTCAAATAAAGTCATAGTAAATAGAAATGCAGGTCAATGGCTATTTATCACTTAGTTCAATATTTGTATTTGATGTATTTTTAAATATGTGGATTTTATTATTAAAATTATATTTATTAACAGAAATAATTAATATAAAAAATTACGGGAATTTTTCTATCATTTACTGGTCTGTAAATCTAAATTCTTATAAATATATTTTAAAACCGAAATATCTAAAAGTATATGTCAATGAAAGTTTATCAATTCCTTGTAAAATTGCAGCTTGAATAAAACAAAATTGAAAAAATACTTAAGTATACGATTGTACAATATTTATTACTTTTATTAATTTTCTATAGATGCTAATAGCTAGCGTACTAACAATTAATTTAAACGTAAATTAATCAGTTCAATAAAACATTGAAAACATACAGGTTTTTCAGCTGGATTTTAAAATAATACAATAATTATTTTTCATTTTCTTTATTTTATTCTTTTCCACACACTTATTTTTAATATACCCATACTTCAATTTTTTATAGTTTATTCATCATTGCCACTCAATTGGGACATCGAAAAGATATGTGGATTCATCCACTTCACAAAGCATAACTCCACGCATGGAGATATTTACACGTCTGATACATTTAAAAATTTTTTATGACAATTTTTTTTTGTATTTTCTGTTTTTCACTATTTATTATTTTATTTTGATACTTAATCCCTTCTTGGACGCCTTAAGATTTGTAGAATAATCTATACAAGGCTCTGCATAAAGGCGGACTTGTTTCTCTACTGCTAATAATATTACTTAAATAATTAATATTATTCATTCAATTATTACTTATTTATTATTATTATTATTATTTATTAATATTGTTATTACAGTTATCATTTTTAATTTAATAACTTTTTTTCTTCAATTACTACCATTAATATACTCTTGATTTCGTTATTAGTATTGAAAAATCGGCTATCATTTATCTTTTAATTTTATAGCAGTTTAAAGCAAATATCTAGTACGAGAGTGGACTATTTACAGAAAAGTATTATTTGACTTGATAGTAACTCGTTGATTATTTCTACGAGAGCACTTAATGGTAATAATTAACTAATTGATTATTCAGCATTTTCTTCATTTCATGATTTTGTATATCAATTAATAAATTGATAGTCAATATAATAATGTAAATAAATGTTTTAATTGAAAAAAATTAATGGCTAACAAAAATCAGCCATACTGGGAAGTCGTATTTCGTTATTATAAAACAAAATATTTCATTTTTTTCCAATCATTCAGGCTACGAATCAATCACACTCATTAATCATTATACAGTCATTCCATTACTTATTGTTTACGTTACAATCTACAATCTATTATCGGTATTATTTTCAATAAGAGTTTCAGTGAATTAAAATGAAATGAAAAGCATTGCATAAAAACTTAAATTATCAATGATGATGTGATTTTCTGTTTACATTTATTTTCAACATTGCATTAATGATAATGATTTACAATTTACACCAATGTGTTTTCATTTCAATAATAATAATAATAATTACGGTAAGATAATGAAAATTCTTAAATAAGTAAAAAAAAAAAACGAATTGTTTGCATGTAAGAATTATAAAAAAATCGTATCAATTTTATCGTAATTACATCGCCTTTTTCTCTATTAGATGAAATCGTTTGTAATATCGGTTTTCTATGATCATTTTTATATTGTAAAATATACAAAAATTATACTTATTTACAATCACAATTTATGAATGTGTTGCTCGTTAGCAATTTAAACAAATAAAAAATCAAACGGTCAAAATATTTATTCACGAGAGGGAGAAATTGGATCTATCGAAACGATTGAGATTACTATAAAATTTTTAAGTTGACAAAAATAAAGTTCTATTGTTTTTTTAAACTGTCACAAGATAAATGAAAGCTTAGTCTTTCAAATTTCAATATTATCTCATTTTTACTTACAATTTATTTTACTTGGCTTTCATTTAATTAATCTCTCCTTCTTTTCATTAATTTCATTATTATTAAAGTAATTCGTTTTTGTGACATCTACTATTATGAAGATTGATCGTAGATGACTTTTACATTACCATTTTATAACTAACGACCAAGCATCTTAAAATACTACATGAAATATTTCCAATTCATACTATTATGTGTTATAATTTTTATCGCTTACTTGTTCTTATTCTATTAATTACTTTTATAAACTCCCAGCTCATGCCCTCACATACTATGGTAAAAAAAAAACAAAAATAAAAAGTACATTTAATTATTTTACTCATTCACAAATAAATTCACAATTATCTGACTTACACTCACTCATTCATCTTTTCATTCATCACATGTCTATTCCTCTCTTATGATAAGTTTATTTATTTTGTGTATTTTATAACCTTTTTAGATCCTTATTATGAGGTTTAAAACACAAGCACATAAGACTTGTGTTTAGGAACGTATTTTGCGCGCATACACACAAGATGCATTAAAAAAAGCTTTGTGGGAGCAGCGCAATGGATGATAAATTGGCATGAGTCTGATAGGAGTTTCGTGTAATTGTAAGTTAAAAGCTCATGTTGCATACCGTTTGGTCCAGAGCCGAGCTATGCGATCGTGTTCTTCTCGATTTTGAAGATACTGTGATGCTATACTGCCGACTAATGGATCAGCTGAAAAATACGAATATTTTATTAATATTTACTCCAAAATTAAATAATTGTAATGTTTTAAATTAATTATTACTTCATTTTAAAATGAATTTATCATTTTTAACCAACAATATATCTACAAATAATCAATAATTTATTGCACGTTAATAATAAACATTGAAAGTTGATCGATATAATTATTATTCAACTATTATATTTACAAAATAACTTTATTGATATGAATATAACGTATTAACTCAAAACAGGAAGATCATAGAAAATGTTTTATAAATTTCAATGTTGTTTGTAATAATAAAATTGAATGTAAATAAATTTTTCAAGTACGATTGAAAAACAACCTTTTAACAATGACAAATTACGTTACTATAATAAGAATATCATTGTTATTTGCTTACTTACATCAGTGTAAGTTATGAAAATTATAATGGTATTATTTATATCCTATTGTGAAATTTGATATCAGTTATACACCTATTGTTTTGAATTTTTTTATCGTTATCCGTTTAAGAGGTTAGAAAATTATTCTTGAATATTATTTTATATCATGTAATTTTATTTATGACTTTTTTAAAAAGTTATCTAATTTTAGTAACTTACTCCAATAAATAAAAATAATATTTTTATTGGTGACATGATAATACTTGATATCATCATCCAATATTAAATATAAATAATAATTGTATGAATTAACGCATGAATAATATGTAATATAAATAAACCAGTTTTTACAAAATCACGAACAGTAAAGAAGATACGATTATTTTTAATTGTAATAAGTTAAATTGAACTAACCTGGATTACAATCTGTTAATAGGGAGCAAATAGACAAAAGGACTTTTGAGATCGTTAAAGCTGGCGACCAATTATCCTTAAGGATGTCAAGACATATAACTCCTTGACTATTAATGTTGCAATGATATATACGTGTTCGAAAGGTGACCTGAGAATACCAATATTTAATACATTTTTCAAAATATTGTTGCCTATATGTTTACACGGTGTAAATGAAAGAAAAAAACATTATGTTACCTTGGGAGGTTTAAAAGGATATTCTGGTGAAAAATGAATATCTAAAAAGAATACACCACCCTCATAAACTGAACCGGGAGGGCCTAAAATGGTAGACACCCACTCGTATAAGTTATCGCCTTTTGGACCTGCACTGCAGTTTGGTGGAGGATCTAAAGTAATTTCAGCTAATTCTTTTTGTATCCTATAAACAATTAAACAATAAATAATTATTAACTATTATCTTTAAAAATAAAAAAAATAATAATAATTTACAAAGATTAAGTAATTAGATTTCACCACAAGTAAGGTTATAATTCACCTTTTAGCTGAAGTTCCTAAAGCTTTTGACATTTTAGGATTGGGTTTAGCTTCTTTATTTTCAGGTTTATTATCTGCCAAAGATGATCCTCTTCCTCTTCCTGTACCACTGGATCCTGCTCCTGAAGACATTGTGCTCTAAAAATGAAATAAGATACTCAACATCAAAACAGAAGATAAAAATCAACAATATTTATAGTCTCACGTGTCAAAACAATTATTAATACGTGACACAATTAACCACAAATGTTTTATTTTTATTATCAAAACATGATAAAACTTGATTGAAAAAATTTCCCAAAAACTATGTACATCGAAAAATCATAGATACCTTGCTTCGAGTTTGCACGCCGTGTTGGTTGTTCTAAGAATCAACTAGCGTCGTCGCGAAGTTACTGAATTAGAGAGTGAATGAATAACGATGATTTAGGGGAGTACGAAAATTTAGATACTTGTACCGGTAGCTCTTGTGGACACTTGGACTCGCCGGATTGTCGACAATGGAGGTTCAAGGAACAGAGACACAATGTGCACACACGACAAGGAACACCCGCAACACCCAGAGTTCGTCCGCATTAAGAGGTTGGACGGCGTCACTCTGTCACACACTTCACACGATATATTTTTTGGATATTCAGGTCAACTGGCGCCTGTTCTTAGGATTACCCCGGCGTCTTTTCCGCGACTTCTTTCTTCTCTTGGTCTGACTCTCCCTCTCTTTTTCTCTCTCACTCCTAACTTCTTTCTTTCTCTCCCTAGATTCCTTTTTGCACGCTGCACAGCCGGGAACCTCAACCGGAGAGTCACACAAGCGCACAAAATACACATAAATTTAAATCATCCGCCCAGGAAATGCCGACATTTTTTCTCCTGCTCATTGAAACTGATGATAATTTATCCAAAATAATTAATCATTGAATAATTGTCAAAATCTTCTTACTTTGTATTAGAAATAATATTCAATACTTGAATTGATAAGAAATTACTTTTTAAAACATTTTTTTTTCGTCTCAATTTCTATTCAGCTAAAATATGCTTGATTTTTAAATTTTCCCACTCTACCGGAAATTTGATCATTTCGAGAAAACGACACTGACGCTATTGTGAAATTTCCGGTAAGCTAATCAATAAATGCATTTTTGTGAATTTGGTAATCTTGCAGCAAACGATGTTGGTATTGATGTAAACAGAAAAAAAGAAATACTTGTATTGTAAATATTTGTGTTATTTATTTACAATAAATAAAATATTGATATTTTTGTGATTTAGAAAAAATTTAGGATAATCTTTATTTACAAAAGTTATAAATAAAAATACCAAAATGGGGAAACGACAGCATCAAAAAGATAAAATGTAAATAAAACCTTTTATTTTGAAAGACAGGTTATGTTTGAATGTTGAAAAAATTTTTTTTTTTTTTTGATAATACCATGAATATTAAAATTAATTTTGTTTTGTAAAGAAAATTATGTCAAAACTGTTTTCAGGTATTTAACATATACAGAATGGACAACCCTTTATGGAGGAAAACGGTCAGGAGAAAATTTTGATACAAGTGAAGATGCAACATTTCGAAGATTACCTTATAATCATTGTTGTGTGAGCTTACAACCATTTGAAAATCCATATTGTGATCCTCTAGGAAATATATTTGAATTAGAACCTCTTTTGGTATATGTAAAACATTTCAAACATAATCCAGTAACTGGGAAACCATTTGACCTTAAAAGTCTTATCAAATTAAATTTTCACAAAAATGCTGACGGTGAACATCATTGTCCTGTTCTCTTTAAAGTGTTTTCAAAACATTCACATATTGTTGCGATTAAAACTACTGGGAATGTTTTTTCATGGGAAGCAGTTGAACAACTTAATATTAAAACAAAGAATTGGAAAGATTTAATCAATGATCAACCATTTACCCGAGCTGATATTATTACCCTTCAAAATCCTTCTGATGCTTCTAAATTCAATTTGTCTAGATTTCATCATATAAAAAATAATTTAAAAGTTGAAGATGAAGGTAAGTTATCATAAACGTAGGAAAAAACATATTTTTACTCCATTTTTAGAGATATTTTTTTTTTTAATACATTAACTATTGAATTCTTTATTTACAGATGTAGTGAAAGAGCGAAATGATCCGAATGCAAAACTTAAAACAGTTTCTTCTGAAACAAAAGATATATTAACAGAACTTGAAAAAGAATATAAACCTGCTGCTAAAAAAGAACAAAGTGTTAAACGTACAGCTGATAAATTCAATGCTGTGAGTATTTAAATTGGCATCATGTGATATTTTTATCACATTTATTTGATTTCTCATGCCAAATTTACTGTAAATAATTTCAGGCCCATTATTCAACGGGAGCAGTTGCAGCAGGCTTTACATCAACAGTTATGCCAAGAGAAACAGTTCATGAAGCAGCAATTATAGCCGATGATTTAGTTCGTTATGAAAGAGTTAAGAAAAAGGGATATGTTAGGCTTATCACAAATTTTGGTACACTTAATCTTGAATTACATTGTGATATAGTTCCAAAAACGTGCGAAAATTTTATTAAACATTGTTCAAATGGTTATTATGATAATACCAAATTTCATAGATCTATAAAAAATTTTATGGTAAATTAAATCAATTTATTTCTCTAACATTTTTGATTTTCTTCTTTTTATTAAAAATATTCTATTTAGATTCAAGGTGGTGATCCAACTAATACTGGAAACGGTGGAAAATCTATTTGGGGAAAGCCCTTTGAAGATGAATTTAAACAAAATTTAACTCATCAAGGTAGAGGAATTCTTTCGATGGCAAATTCTGGACCGGGCACAAATGGATCTCAATTGTAAATATTGTTTAATTACTCTTTAATTATTTATCTTGTGTTCATTTCATTACTAAGATATAGGCTTTTATTTAGATAGTTAAAATTCAATTATCTGATATTTTTACAGTTTTATTACTTTTCGGTCATGTCGTCATCTTGATCGTAAACATACAGTTTTTGGTAAAATTGTAGGAGGATTGGATACTCTAAATGCAATAGAAAAAATAGAAGTTGATAACAAAGATCGTCCCATCGAGGATATTATTATTCAACGAACACAAGTATTTGTTGATCCTTTTCAAGAAGCAGATGATCAGCTAATAGCAGAAAGAGCAGCTGAAATCGAGAAACAAAATCAGGAAGCCAATGATAAATTGGCATCTAACAGTGAATCTAAGAATGAATTAAAAGCTTTACATTCTGGAGTTGGAAAATTCATTAATCTAAAAAAAGAAAAAGAGTAACTATATTTTTATTTTTTTTTCTTTACTAGAATCTATAACAAGTACTATTCTGTGATTGTTATTTATTTTAGGATTGCTACCACGAGTGAAGTTCCTGTTAAAAAGAAAAAGAAAGAAATATCATCATCACCTTTTAGTAATTATTCAAAATGGTAAAATTATTTTTTAGTATATATCTAAATGTTTTCAACAAAATAATTTGAAAAATATAAAAAATTTTATTTATAAAAGTCAAAGTTTAAAAACTTGAATTGTACAAACCTTCCTTTCCCGCTCCTTTTCAAATTTATGCGCACAGTTCGTTTGCGCTGATTATGGAGTGAGCAGTAAGTCATCCTGTGTTTTTCTCAGGAAAAACTTGACAAAAATAAATTGCTCATAAGTCTATTTTTAAATAACTAGTTTATATCAATATAATCAAAAAATAACTGTGATAAAAGATACTGTAGTATTAATGAATAATATTAAATAATAATAATTGCTAAATAAGTATAAAATTCTCAGAATTGAGTCTTCCATGTTTAGTTCAGTGGACCCTCCCTGACGTGGATACCTTGTTCTTATCTTTCATTATTGCGGTTGTGCTGTGAATTCTACAAGTGGTTAAGTGATTTAATTGATCTATTTATCGTCATCGAGAGAGCTCAAGGATTGGAATTATCAAAAAAGAATGGATGATTTAGGTGAGTCTAAATATATTTATTTGTCATCAATCCATTAACCTCTAAATGTGTTGGTTTCAAAATAATGAATTTTCATTTTGCTTAGAAAACCAACATCAAAAAATTTCCATCAAATCGTATAATTAATTATATTTTTTACTCCTAACAAATATTCTATAATTCATTCAATTTGTTTATAATTATGACAAAGGAATACTTCGGAAAGTGCGCGAAATTCAAATTTGATTATCAAATTGTTTCAAATATTTAGCAATTTAAAAATATATATTTTGCATATATTTATAAATAAATGTTTCAAGTTCAAATAGTTGAGTTCATCAATTATATAAGAAGTTACATTTTATGAAAAAATAATAATAAAAATAAAACAATAAGTAATGTTGTATTATTAAAAATGAAAACACTATCAACATTAAATAAGATGGATAAACAATATAATAAAATAGTTAAATTTGACATAAACTATTATTGTGCGGGTGTTCTGTAAATATAATCTCAAGTGATCATTCGAACTCCCTTTCCGTTACTACATCTGTTCTTACTGGTGTCTCTTATTTGTCGTGGGGTTTAAATAAAACATAGTCGCACATTATGGGCAGACCGGATTACAGAGGCGTCGCGACGCTTAGACGTTGTTGTTTCATGTTGAGAAAATAACGTTCCACTTAAATAAAAGATTGCCGGTGACTAGACTTGGTGATTCTCTTAACTTCTACGACTTTCTTTCATTCGTAAAAAGCAAATAAAGTGTACTGTTTATGTATCGTTTCATTTTCAATGTCTTTTTAGTTGACTAAAGTCAACAAGTGGCTTCAGTTATTTTCAATGGCTTATCAAAGTGATTTATCATAGTGATAACGATAATCAATACAATTTTTTCCAATTCATACTACTGTGTGATAAAAAATAAATATTTCAAAAAGTGATGAAAAGTTTATTTAATTGTTAAATTGGTTACAACGAGGTTTTTTTTTAAAGAATATCCACGTGTTCTAGTGCATGAGCTATTTAATTTAAATCTTAGAATAGACCCGGAAGTGCATAGTTTCTCTAGCTTTTGTCTTCTTGTAATTAATTAGATTTAGAATATAATTTTTTAATACTTATTGAATATTCTTGTTTTAATTTAAAAAAGTAACGTTTCATATTGATTTGAAAAAAAAAAAAATTAATAAAAAATAAAAATCAATGAATAAATTAGGAAAGTAATATTGGTTATGATCGAATAAAATTATCAAGTGAATTTAAAAAGACATAAAAAAATGGCAATGGATAGAACGATGTATGGAAAAGTACAGCCTGGAGCATTATATCAACCTTACAGAATTACTGTAAAAAAAGGAAGAGATGCTGAAGCTCCAGGATGTGAGTTTATGACATTTGTCTTTATTTATTTAACAAAAAATTTACCATGTTAAGATATGATTGTTTATATAATAATAGTTTGCATTCATTTAAATTTTCTAGGCTATCATTGACTATTCAACAATCTCTTATAGTATCGTTAATAAGTATACATGTAGTAGTGAATGTAGGATCAGTTCGCATCAAAGAATGTAAATTAAGGCCAGCATAAAAGTTGTCCTGTGTATAAATATCTGCATGACGGCAGTTAAAATATTACTCAATAACAAAGTCTTTTTTTCTAATTCTACTCACATTCTTAAGTATTTAGAGAAATTTATGGCAACTTGTTTACAGTATTACTTTGTTTTTATTCAGAGAAGTTTTGGAGTTGAAATTTTTTAGGCAATTGAATTCACTTTATCTTCATCAAAATTATTTCGTCAGAAAATTAGAGATTATTTGTATGACCTTTCATTAATTAAAACATTATTATTTCCTGAAAAAATATTACTTGAAAATTGAATGAATATTTAATTATTATAATGTTTTATATTTATCATTCAAAAAATATTAATTAAAATTTTTTTTAAAGTTACATAAGATGGAAATAATAAATTTTCGATAAGTCTATATTTTTTAAAAATTTTATTGTTTATGGAATAATACAATATTCACACTTGATATGAATTAATTTTAATTAAAGTGAAGGTTTCTAATAGAATCATCTTGTTCATATAAAATTAAATATAACACTACTCACATGTTCAGTCTTCATCATTAATACAGACACAGCTGACAAATTAATGAAGCTCGTTAACGATATTCTTTTTTGTATTTCCTTATTTACATCATTCTAAAATAGCTATGTCTTTGATGTTTTTTTTTCATTGTTACAAGAATGCTAGAAATTGAAGTAAAAATTTGATGTATTTCAAACGAAAATGTAAGAAAACAAAGATTTAACTTAAGAACATTGAACTCGAATATAATAATAAAAAATAACTATCTGATTCACGATGAATAATTAACAGTAATCTATTTTTATCCCATTGAATGACGTAAATCTCGATAGATCTCTTCACTCATTACGTATGTGAGATGCCTAACACTTTATGAAAATAAATGGAGTATTTACATTTGTGTGAAGCAAAAAAGAAAAATATTTATAAGGATCTTTGCATATTGGATACATATTGAGAAGAGTATTTGGGAGATTTAAAGTATGTAAACTCACATTTTTCATTTTTGCTCCAAAAATAAAAAGTTGTTTACATGATGGGAAACTCTTCTTTATTGACAGAGAGTCGATATAGCAAATTTTATTCTTTTAAATGACTCTATTGATATTGTTGGTGTGAAAGATAATGAATTAAGTTGTATAATTATTATTAGTTAATTATAACTTATAGTTATACAAATATTATTGAGTATTGAATTTTAGAGCATATTTGTACAATTGTCTAAATTAGTATTAAAAACAAGTTTATCATCCTTTTGAAACTGATTGTTATTACAATTGATTCAATAAATTAATCGTTATTTCGAGCATGTTCTTTCACTAAATGGAACTTGAAAACTTTTTTATGATCTTAAGGTAGTTCTTTCGCATAAATAATTTGCTTTAAATAATTTCTTTATTAAATATTCGACAGACGCAATTTTTTTCTGCATTATTCATTTGAAAATGTTTCCGAATAAGAGATACTCTCTCTCTCTCTTACTCTTATTTACATCAATGTAGAAAAGAGTACTTTTAAATTCGATTTTTTCATTGAAATGCCCGATGACTGAGCTTTTTTTTGCTTGTAACTTCGTCATGACAATTTTAAAAACATCATATGTTAACATTAAATTTATTTGCAAAATTTGGTCAAGTGCAAAAATTACCTTAAATCAATCTCGTGTCACTCTTTATTAAAGTTTCATCATACTTCATATAATTTACAATTAATTATATAATTCGATGATTATTATAATTTAAAAATTTTTAGAAACTTATCCTAGACATACAATGATTAATATAAATTGATACATTTATTTATATTGTTCGTTTAATTCACCATCATGCATAACAAGAAATTGACAGAGTAGAGAAATTAATAAAATTGTTGAGGTATTTCAATCAAGGTTAATGTTTTCTTCAGATTTTTTTTACTATATTAGAATTAAAGATTTTTAGAAAAGAAAACGTTTGTTTTAATAAAAGAAATTGATTCACCGTTTAGAACTAGAATGTACCAGTGAATGAACAGCATGTTTAGTATATCTATTACTACACTTATGCACATGGTTAAATCCTGGCTTTCAAAAAAGGTGACATTAATGTTCTTTTTGAAGAATTGAGCGCTATCTAGACTTTCATTGATCGTTTGGTTTTTGCTCAGGGTGTGATGATTTTTTAATTTGAGGGAAGCGTTTGGTTTTGGATTGAAAAAAATTCCTTCTTAAACAAATCATCAAATTCAGGTAAAGCGCTTGGTTTTTTTTTAGGAAGCAAGTTTTCTCTTAAATAATTTTTAAATTCCGTTGAAAGGTTGAGTTTTTGAGTAACAGGTGATACCTTGTCAACAGTAGGATCATTTCCAAGTTCAGACGAAGGGTCTTGTTTTGGTTGAGAAAGCCAGTAGTTTCTAAAATGATTTTCATATTCAGCTAGAGTGTGTGATTTCTGATCAGTATCTGATGATTTTTTAAGATCTTTACATTTACACCGGTTCCTTGATTGTTGTTTAGAATGCAAAAAAGTATTAACATAATCTTCAGATTTAGCTGATTTGTTTACTTTTATTTCAGGATGCGACAATTTCCATAAATAATGTATCATATCAGTCAAAAGTGTTTCTCGGCACATTTTTAATTCCTGAAACGAATAATTTTTATTTAATGAAATTTTTAACATGACAACCAAAGAAATTGTTTGTATTTTTTAATTAATTTATTTTATTAAAAATCTGCTGTATAGGTTCTTGTATAATAATTTTTTTTATGTTGTAAAACTATTTCCAATCCTAAATTGTTTATATGTCCCTGATCATTTTATAATTATTTTTTGCAATTATATTTTTCTAATATACTATGAGGAAAAATCAACGAACAAGTTCTTCTAAATAAACAAAAAATAAGTACTATAAAAGTATATGAATTTATTTTTTACTCACTTTTTCTAAATTTTCTGCCCGATTAAATTCAAATGCAGCAATTTTAAACATTGTTTCTTGAAAGTCTGAATCGTTAATTAGTTTTCCATTGATCTATATAAAAATTTCAAAATATTATAATGATTTATCTCGTTTAAATTGTAAATCAATTTTAAGTAGGCATAATTACCGGTGAAGATGCATAAATCAGAAGAATCGAAAGAATAATTTGAACATTCATTTTGATATTCAAACTATATTTTTTAATGAATGTGAATGTAATTTTTGGCGGATTCTTTTCTTTTCTTTTTCGAATAAGAAAGGAACTCAATTAATGTTGAATCATTTTGGATTAATCTATTTATTGCTTTTTACCCCTCTACTTTATAAAATTCGTTACGATACTATGAATAATTAAGATTAGAATAACGTAGTTCGTAAAAAAAATGATAAATCAATCAACACATACCAGCTATAATCATCTTATAGTTCTTGTTAATAACCAATCATTACAACTGAATAAATATATTTTGCCAGCTTTGAAGATATTTTATTGTTTTGATAGCAAACTACAATATTATTTTATCGATCATCTTATTATAAAAATCTACTTTTTAGAATTTTATGATAATCTACATCTAACTATAATCACTTTTAAATACAAGTTGTATGAACAACTGATGACTTCCTTTTATTATTTATTTTTGCTATAAAAAAAGAAAAATGAAAAATACATGTTTGTGAACCTATCTTTTCTATAGACATCAGATTTTTATGTTTATCAAAAAAAATTAATCTAGTTTGATTCAATTAACCAAAGGGAAAAGAATAATCCTAGATAAATACTAGCATTAATTAAATTAATTGTCATTGAATGTTTATTTATAAAGTCTAAACATTTCTATTTTTGTGGCTGTTTTATACTGCATTGCCTTTTTATGATAGAAGCAATTTTTCTTTATATGACCTTTTCGACCACATTGATGACACTTCACTTTTGATGGATTTATTTTATTTTGTTTCAAATACTTCTCCTTATTAAGATCTTGATGATTTCTTTTTAATTGTTTTAGATTATTATAATTACAGTTTTTCATTATCTCGTTTTTTGTATCACAACTCTCGATTTGCAATTGATTTTTATAGTTCAATAGTCTTGCTTTAACAAAAGATAATGTCAAAGTTTCTTCAAATAATGTTAGAATTAATGTTATAATTTCATTATAAGATGCCGGCAATGTCAATAGTAGCCATACAATTTTATCAGTGTCTTGAAAATGAACACCTGCTGCTTGTAATTCAGTTATTAAATCGTCAAAAATTGTAAAATGTTTTATGAGAGCAGTATCATCTTCGAATTTTAAATTTGACAATCTTTTCCACAGAAACAATTTAGTTGCAAAACTTTTTCGTTCATAAATTGCATCTAATTTTTGAAAAATGACTCTTGATGTGGATTCTGGATCAGCAAAACCAAGAAATGCATCATCTAGATACTCAATAATAGTGCCTTTTGCTGTTCTTTCAGCCTGGTTCCATACTTCATCAGGTTCCACAGGAATGTTGTCATCAATGACTTTAAGAACATCAAGTTCTCCTAATAATGAGCGAATTTGCATCTTCCATACACTATATTGTTCACCATTAAAAGGTCTAATGCTTCTTTCACTTTTTAAATCTTCCATTATGATTTCATAAAACGTTAATAATTATCTTTATATAATGAATCGTTACGACAAGTGATTCACAGTTTTATCACAAAAGTATTACACAGTTATTCAAATTTATTATGACATTACACAACGCAATATAAATTGAATTAGTATAAGATCAGTTTTATTAAAAAATAGAAAAATTAATTTAGCTTGATTTTATAACAATATTTGGAGAAAGACTTGATCTTTACTTATTGAGAGTTGTCTCTAGACTGATCAGAATGTTTAAACTAAAAGTACATTTTTTCATGTCCTAACGTTTAGGACCCAAATAATAAACAAAGAACAGCCTGCATACCACATATCAAGAAACTTCAATTTTATGGTTTATAACAAATAAATAATTTTTCTGTGAGAAAATCCAGAAAATACAATCACTCATCTGTTTATTAGGCTTAAACTTTACTTGAAATCTAAATTTCCATAAAATATTAGTCCTTAAAAAACCATACATAAAACGAAAATTGATAATACATAAATATTTATTGGAAATTTTATATTTCTAGGACTTAAGAATTAATTTTAATTGTTAGTTAAACAATTTAAATATCAATATTTCATTTATTATATTAAAAACTTAAAAATATCTCCTCACAAGAAGGAAAGCTTTTGTGAATTAACATCAACAGCACTTAGACTACGTAATAATTATTTTGTCCAGATCAGTCATAAATATTATCAAATAAAAAATATGCATATATTTTTAGGAGAGTAATAACTATATAAACATGTGCCAGATTAAATAAAGCATCATTTTATAATGATTAAATTTTGTTCATATTTTTGTAGTTCCAATAGATTTAAAAGAAATTAAAAAACAGTGCTTTAGCAAGATGGCTAACTTTAATTTCGATATTAAGTTTTTTAGTATTAAGTTAATAATTTTTTATTAAAGAAAAATTTTCAAATTGTTTATATTATATTTTATTTTTTTGTTAAAACCTTAAAAGAATTTATCCACTTATTATATGTAAAAAATTATTCGAAAAAAAACTTTATTCAATTAAGAATAATATACTAGCATGTAAAGGTGATCTCACCAATTCACTTTCACCCAATTTGTTTTCCTCAAATCGAATGACGACGTATCGTCAGATGTATGGGAAGCATACCAAGGAATGCAATAGTCACCTACAGTATAAAGACAGTGACTGATCTGCTCTCTTAACACAAGTTTCTCCTGTCAATTTTTCAAAAAAAATAATTAGATCAATTAAATTTTTTTCCTTAAATAATTAAATTCACTTCAGTTGTTATAATTATCAAATAAAGAATAAATTTAACCACTTTTTTATCAAAAAATGAAGTTATTTTTGAAATTTTTTAATTTTACGTCATGTTTGTGGTTTGATGATTCAAGAGGATTTTTGTTCTGACTTATCATCCAGTGACGCATCATGGATACTAGTAAAAAAATAATTACCAATAAAGACGTGATAATTAGAAAATATTCCCAGTGAGTCAGTAAAAGTGCAAAAAATGTATCATTCGAATTATATTTTTGAATAATCATTCAAAAAAATTATTGGTTATTGATCCAACATTGAATGAATAAAATATAGCATTTTGGGCGAGGTATATTAACGATTGAAATCACTGTCATCATTGCAATGAACCTAAACAATGATGTCTGCAAACAATGGTGAGTCCAAAAATAGGATTTGATTACCTACTGACCGAGATATTTGAATTAATTGAGATTAATAATGTATTGAGAGTAGATGACCATCATCACTCATATTCATGGATATTTTCCATGGTTCTTTTTATCAATAGGTATGCATAATAATTTCTAACTTGACACTAAAACATGGAACATAAAACTAAATAACTAAATATTAATATTTTAGAGTCAATGTTTTAGAAAGAATAAATAAAAAAAGGTATGTAGGTGTTTAAATCCTTGATCAAAGACATGTCCGAGGTCCAGATCCATATGAGGCAGGGAAACGTGTTATTAAGTTCCTCCTACACTATTCTCTCAGTCAACCTTTCTGATATATTTCGTTTTGTTCAAACCACTTTGAGCAATTACTTTATATATAATTTAAATTTATTTTTACTCCTTGTCATTTATAAGTTTTATTTGTCTGGACATTTCACGCTTGGCCAGTACATTCTCACTTACAATTTGTTAATGGTGAAATTCAACTCTGTCCCATTATTTCTAATCTTGGAATTCAGATAAATCTATCTTGTCTTCTTAAGATTATTGTTTGCTTAAGAAATAATGATGGAAAAAAAGGAATCTCGTGTGATAGAAATTTCATTTATTCCTTTTTATGGTTTCCATCATGTGACCACAATTTGAAATTATCTTTAGCAAAAGTTTGTTTTACTGTAAGTAGGTGATGAACATTCTTTGTTCAATTTGCTCATCAGATAGATGAAAAACATGATGATAGATAGTATTATGTTACTCCAGATATGTCAAAGGTTGTTTATTCCTGATAAAAATGTATTGGACAATCAATTTCTTCCCTCAACCTTTTAATTATAAGGTTTTTCAGAAAAAAAAAATTATCAGAATGAAAACCATACAGTATATTATTATTTAAAGCTCTATTAATTGACATTTATATTTCATAATAATGATAATGCTATTTTATTAATCCTTTTATGTGAATTAATTTAAGTATTGATCAATTATACATTGATGAAAATGAGTTCATTGATCTTGCCTATGTTTGAGAATTATCCACCCTCCATTTTTACATTTTTATGGAATTATTAATAGATTAAAATAAAGAAAATATTTATGTATTTAAATTGAACATTTAGTTTAGAAATTTAACTAAATAAACATTCAATGATATGAAATTTTTTAACTGCAATTTGTTTAACAACAAATCATGTTCTATGAATCAGAATACTGTCTAAAGAAAAATTATGTTTTTAGTTTCAAATAATATTGAATATAAAAAGCCACTTTTTCAAACATTATCAACTATTTACATGAAATACAATTTCTTCCTATTGGATCAATGTTTTTATACATAAAGATTATTTTATTACATCCAATATGTAAATGTTTGAATATCCTAAACATGTTTATTTGCTATAAAATCTTTCTATTTTCTAAGCAACGAAATAAAATAGATGAATATGTTATATTAAAACATTTGTTTTTTTTAGAAAAAATTTAAGATATAAGAGATTTCATTCGGTGGTCGTAGATTTATTTTTGGTCTGGTTCTGTTGAAACTAGGTGAAAAGTCTTTGCATTTGCTCATAGGAAGAAGTGAGATAGAACAGTAAGGCGCACCCTGGCCACAGAATATATTCGTTTAGCTACATTACTCATGCTAAGAGTTAGCAAGAGAGATAACAGATGAGCATAAATAAGAACGCGTTTTGATCTAAGCTCACCGTGGCTTCAGTTTGTCTCGCTGAGTCTTGCCAGACATTTCGGGTTTTTTGTTTTTGATTTTCACGTGTGAACATTAGACATTATTAATTGAAGCACGTGTTGACTTATTATTGCAAGTTGTCAAGATTCAGTGATTCTTTTCATCAATTATATTTCATATCAATTGTTGATAAAATATATGTCAACATTAAATAATCATTGAATTTTTCTATCAAATTCCAAAAAAAGTTTCCTCTTAAAAAAATTGTTTCTTTTTTTCTGTAAATTCTCATGAATATTCTATGCTTTTATTTTTGATATTCAATTATACTTTTTGAATAGAATTATTAAATCCAAGTTGTAGATAGAAAATTTAGAATTCTCTTAAAATCTTGTTCTAATTTGTGATTTATTTTTGGTTTGAATCCAATTCCTTAAACACATGGCATCAAACTGCAAATCTGAAAGGAAAGAAAATTGAATCATTTCTCAAAAGTCAAAAGGAAAATACTTATTTCCATATAATCAATTTATCTAGTAGGAAATTCTTACGTTTTACTGATTATTAAGTTATCTCTTTTTCAAAATCTCCAATTTGGTTTAGTGACATTTAATATAGCCATTGATTATTCCTTACATTAACGTAAATAATTTTGTGAATTTCATAAGGTCATCATTATAAATTGTTTATTTGTAATATTGATTAGAAATCAAAAAAATTTCAAGTATTTATAAACACAATGAATACTTCAAGACCAATGTCACCAGTTGTTTCTATCAGCCCCAATCATTTGGCAACGATTCAAAGACACGAGCCATGGGAACAGCACATAAGTGAGTGAAATACTTACTCATTAAAAACTGTAGATCATTCATTGACTACTGTAACTCTTGATTGATTGGAAAATTAGCTTATTGAATCATCTTTAAATAGAGACTGGACAACTTAGTGTTACATCATAATGCGAATCGTCAATAGAATCGTGCTTCAGAAGTTTTTATTATCCAATCCAATTCCGGAAGAACCGATAAGACGACCTCGAGGTCGACGAAGAATTCTTGTTTTTCTTTGGTTTTACTGCCTGGAATTCTCCCTCCACATTTTGCAGACGCATGAACCACTTCTCCTACTCCTTTTCATTGCACATCAGGCGACTTCTTTAGTCTGGAATTCTCCGGTGTATCGCTAACTTAACTCCCACAATATTTTTTTTTACTAATTTTATGATTTTTAAGTATATTATTATTTGTCATTATTTTATAGTGTTAATTTAATCCTTTTTTTTGGTCATTCCAAAGATCTGACATTCCTTTTGAATATTTTTTTAAGATTTGAAGTGTTTGAAAGTATGAATAGCAAAAGTGTTGATGTAAAATTGATTGAAAAAAATGTAGAAAAAATTAAATGTGAAGATAATGATCAATTTTCAGCTCTTGGTATGACACTTGCTTTTTTTTCTTTTTATTTGACATCGTTGACAATCATTCTAATAAGTGTATTCTTCTTTTTTGAAGTCTATTCTTCTGAAAAAAATCACTCAATTAATTCAAATATTCATTTTTATCATCTAATATCTATTTTTAATTTAATTAATATTAATAACCATGAAAAATATTCAATCATATACAAACAATACGTTTATTTATTTAAGATTATTAATAGCATTGTTATTTATAATTATTGTTACACAAAGCATAAAATTATTTTAAATTAAAATATCTAGTTTATTGTTTTTGAAATTTAACCTTCTTATTAGTTAGGTTAATGTGTTAGGATTTTTGGATAATTGACTTTTGAAAAAAAATGTCTTGTAATTAGGTTCAAACTTTATAAACAATAGAAATAATGATAAATAATTACCGTTTGTCATTTACTATGAATTCCAATAAGGACAAAGACATTGTTGTCATATTTTTGAATGGAAATATGCACAAATATTTGAATAAATGTCAGCACATTCAAAAAATATGAAACCTACTACAAAATATACCCAACTGCTGACGTCATATATCGAATTTCAAAATAGTATTTTTTTCTGTGTAACTAAAATAATATTTTTTTTTTACAGATGCTTTATTAGCGGATTTACAAAATACAGTGGCTTCTGAAGGGAGTCATCATGTGAGTAATAATACAACGCCTGGATATGGATCTTTGAACGGTAGCAGAACTCATTCTTCGAATTACTATCGAACTTACGATAATCGAACTTCTCCATTGCCATCGCAGTCGGTAAGTAAATGATGATTATTTTTATCGATAAAGCTGTCGTTAAAGTAGTCATTCTTTTTACGTACAATTCGTCGAGTTAATTTGGTAATCAGTCGATAGATGGCGATAAATGATTGCAAAATAATCGACATCAATTTAAAGTAACCTTACATCTGGTGATGTAAAAGAAATGAAGGAAATAGAATTACACAAAACATCCATTGAACTGAAATACTTTGATGCAAAAAGACTAGACTGAAGCACGATTGATGAGTCTTTTTGGCGCTTACTTTGTTTAGTAAATTTTGTTTCAAGATTCTCTTAAAATAAATCTCATCGTATACTTTGGTATTACATTTGGAATTACGCATCATGTCTTTCTACAATGTTTTAAAACATGATAATACATATGTTAAGATAATTAAGTTATTGAATTATTTTTAAACTCTGTTTTCGGTTAAGTTATTTGATAATAATTTATAATGTGCCATCAGAAATCTTTTTATTGAGATGTGTAATATATTGTGAAACAATATACATAACAATGCTCAGATTTATGGTAATAAACTAAGATATCAAGTTTATTCAAATAAATTAACAATTAGTAATAAATAAACAAACTGACAAATTAATAAATTGACGTATTACATCTCAATGGTAGAACTTACAAATATTTTATAAACTGTATAAATAGTTTATAGACTATCAAACAAGCAATTGTATTCCCTAAAGTCAATACTCTAAAATAATATCTATTTTTATGATGGCTTGAGTCACACTATATTATCTCTAACTATTTTGGTTTATTATTTTGTTATTAAACTTTGAATCATATTAGCAGGTACGTGCGTCAACAAACTGTTATTTTATTTTTCAATTTGATATTTTATTAATTAATTTTTTTTAATTTCTTTGAGGTCAATTAAAAGAAAAAAAATGTTGGCAAAGTAATAAAACAGGTAATAAAAAATTTTTTCATTATGAACAATCATTCGAAGAATAATGATTGTGATGGACAATTCGTTGAATGGACTTTATATTTCATCGTTGAACTTTACTTGAGGACATTTTAGTTGTATTATGAAAATAATTCAAAACACAATTACACGAACTAGGAAAAAACTTATGATCATAATCCCACTAGAAAATGATATAATATTCATTATCTTGACCTGTATGCTACTTCATACCATCTAAGGTTTCGCATAAAATCAATTCTATTGATTTAAATATCAAATTGTTCACACCTGTCATTTTCTCTGGCAATTTTTTGATCGATATCCTAAGGTTGCTGTTGAATTATTAACTACTGGTATATACATTGGTTGTAGCTACTTGTGTTATATTTTTTTCTAAGAACCGGTTGTCACTAATAAAAAAAAAAAAATTAAAAAACCAAATGAAAAAATATTCAAAAATAATTTTCGTTATAATACTAGATGTATAAGAAGTTTCATAGACCTGAAATTTTAGATATATTTAGGTACCATAAAATCTAAAAATAATTTGAGAAAAGTGATCAAAACTCAGGAGTTTTATTTTTTAAATGTAGGGTAACGCAATTCTTGTTAACTTATTTATGTTTCAATTATTATTAAAAATCAATAAAATAATTCATATAATTTTATTGATGCTTTTATATAATGATTCAATTATGTGAATAATGATTCAATCAAAAAACTTGAAATTTAATTCAATCTAAATGATGTAAGCATTAATCAATTGATTTGATAAATGATATAAAATTTGTATATTGAAAAGACAGTGTATCAGATCATGATAGCATTTTTTACTTTAAATTTAAAGAATCATCTTTCTTAGATTTTGAATATGCCTAAGATAACATAGAGAAAATATTTACATACAAAAAAAAATTGCTGTTTTGTCACTATAACGAAAAAAACAAAAATAATTCTTAGAAACTTTACTGAAAATATTTTAAAAAACTTTTAAATTTTTCTAAGCAAGTCAATTATTTTTACTTCTTTGGAAATATACAATTAAATGTATAACTTGAAGCACTGTACACAAAAAATCAATTTTATTATAATTCTAATTATCTTTAATTTCTAAATAAAAATCTTCAGATTTTTTTTTGTAATAAATATTATTGTAATTAACTATAAAGTGAAGTTTAAATATAAGACTCATCTGAACCACTTGATAAAAATCCCTAAAGATTTTATTTAAAACTTTACTAAATTATTTTTCTCTATTCGTTATTTTGTAGTAAATACATAGTAATTTTTGCAATAATTATAATTGTAACTTTTCAGTTTATGAATCCTTTTAGTAAAAATATATAAAGATTATTTCTCAAACAGATAGGAAATGGTTGCTAAATTCCAATATACACTGTCATTATAGTAACTAAATATTTTTGTATACATTTCTTAAGGAAGTTTAGTACTTACTAGCAGTATACAAGTGTAGAAGATTAAAAATAATCGTATTCACTTAACAGTGTGATAAAAATGACGAGCGTAAAATAGCTTATTTCCGACCATGTTCATTATTATTCGGTTAAAAGATTTATTATGTAAACTAATTAGCTTTTGTTTGACAAAAAACTGTGCTCGAGTTCATCTTTTATAAATTAAGTTAAACATTTAGATTCAATGTTAATTCGGTTATTTATTTCATTATTTTAAGATTTAAAAGATCAAGTCAATTTCAAGATCTCTCAAATATAATATAATAATAACAAACAATATAAAAACTGAAATTATTAATTAATGAATAACGAAGCAAAGTGATATTCAATATTTTTATTTAGTGAAATTATTACGATTGAAATCCATTAGCTATTTAAAAATAGTATTGTTTTATGACGAATAAATTAAGTAGATAATGTTTGTTTAGAAAAAGGTAAATTTTTCCTGAAGTACTTTAAAATTTAAAATTAGGATAAATACACTAGCATAGGGATAGTAAATATCAGAAGATAAACAAAAAATATATGTAATTAACATGTATATAAAATTAATTTATGTTAAGAGAATTTAATTAGATTTCAATTTAAAGATGAAAAAATATTGTAATACGTTTGAATCTTTATTCTTCAATAATGGAAACAATTGATTTATATATTGATATATTTATCACAGTAATCTAATTATTTATTACTAAAATATAGATAATTTTAAATAATGAAAATTATTGTGTTTTGGAGTAAATTTAAATGATAAAAAATATTTTATTTATTTAGAGAACTAAATAAAACTGAAAATTCATCATTTTAACAAGCATTAAAGTTTTCATTTATCATTACATTTTCTTGCATTAAATTTAGGTCTTTAGAGAATTTTGAACAAGGTTTGTACAAAAAATAACTACGACTGCATTTATACATTTGCAAATGTATTGAAACCATGTCTCTATGTATTTCCTTTCCTTGAATATGATTACGTCTGTTTGCTAACACGTATGTAAACACGTGTTGAGATCTTTGCAGCAGATTAGAATGAATTCGTAAGAGTAATATCTACCACAAGTATCCAAGATTTCTCTCTTGGGCAATTGAAAAGAATGGTTTATTCATTAATTTACTTTCAACAGTTTTGCTCACTGTTATTTATTTTTGATTTATATAAATAATTTATCGATTTATAAATAATTTAAATGATTTTCTACATCATGTAAAGTTTCAATGAGTCGAAAATTAAAATTATTTACTGATGCCAAATGTCTCAAATCCCAAGAAAACATACATTTTCTCTGGAGGTTGTGTCGATATGTCTTAAATTTATATTTTCTTACGTTTACTCTAGATATTTTTGTGCTAACCCAATTTTATAGTTTACTACTTTACGTATCTGGAAAAACATTGAATCAAATGAAAAAATAATTGACAATAAGAATAATAAATAGAAAAATAAATTGTTTCACAAAGTAGACTACGTAAAAAAAGTTCATCAGATAATGTTATTTATCAAATATTTTAACGATCAACTAATAATCATTAACTGATATATCAAATGAATGATTAAAAAATTATTTTTCGATAATTGCTTTAACATTATTTATTATCAATCAATAGACTATTTTAAAGGAGTTGACATCATCATTATGTTTAATATAATGTGTAAAACTTTGGCACACGACACAACTAAAAATTAAAGATGCCAACACAAATGTACACCTGTTCTCCATACTTTTAACATCAATTTCATGGTCTTGGATATACTGAAAAATGAATCTTTATATGTTTTCCTATATGAGTAAAATATTTTGACATATTTCAGCCAACTTACCAAAACCGTGAAGTCATTGAAGAAACAGTCAAGACATCAGTACCCTTTCCATCATCTGGGAAAATGCCATCACTTAATAACAATCTTTCAGAACTAGACACTCTTCTTCAAGATTTAAGTAATGCACGATACAACTCCAATTTTATAGAACGAGGTCAGACTTATTTATTTATTATTTAAGTTCTATTTTATTTAACATATATTTTTTAAAATCTTTTTTTTTTCTATTTTCTATTAACTACATTTTGCTAATAATATTCTTCAAAATGTAGTTTGGATTGTTGCCACATAGTAGCTTCGAATTCATCTATTAATACAAATCATATAAAGCATTATATTTGACATATTGTATATAAACTCCTATCTATTTCAATAACTTTCTTTCGTCAATGATATTTCTGGTTTTAAATTTTTGTAATTTTGTATTTTAGACACTAGAATATCCAGTAGTGGAGTCAATAATGGTGCAATAAGTCCTATGATGAGGTCACCAAGCAGCTTATCAGCATCCAGACCTACAGTTGATGCTCTATTAGAAGAGCTTAGCACTGCTGTGCCCAATGGGTAAATAAATCAAGTTTTCATAACAACATGATGTATAATAAACATTCTACTTGAATTCAAAACTCTAAATGTTGTTGATCCAATTTTTCTTTTATCTAGAGATTATCCACCAGAAGGAAGAGTCAAAGTAACCATAGAGGAAAGATCAACCGAGGTTCAGCCTGTATATGAAAGTTATCCGGGTCAACAAAATTCATTAGGACGTTCAGTAGAAACCCATCGGAGTTATACAAATGGTCATGCAGCAAGTAGTGCAACAAAAGAGCTCGATGATTTAATGGCTTCGCTATCAGAATTCAAGGTTTGTTGATAACAGATTATTGGAAATGATTATTTGAAAAAAATATAATCAAGCTTAATAGATACGGAAAAGTACTTATATCCTACGCATCATCAGAAAACAGTCAAGTTTTAAGCTTGCCTGCCCATTCTTGGCTGGCTAGGTTACCGAAATAGCGTCTCTATTCCTTCATCTTGCCGGAGAGTGAGAATTACCCACTGTCATTCTGCTTCCATCTCTTTTTTCACCACCTCCAACGTCTTAAGTTTTGGAGGGGGATCGTTAGTCGAATGAGACTGGACTTGAAGAGCTTTTAGAGTCAGTCTTGCAAGCTTAGTAGGAGCATTCAGGTGCTTTCCTACAATCCTCTGGTACTTTTTATTCGTAAATCATCCACTAGATATTAGTAAAAAAACTCTTTTATCATTTAAAGTATATTAGTTATTAATCACTCAAGTTAATAGTCTTATTGATATCATTTAAAATTTTCTTTGTGTTCTAGATAAATGGTAGCACCCACCAGCATCAAACAATAACTGATTCTCCCTACGCGAAACCCAACAAGGCAACGAAAAGTGCCCCAAGTCCGCTGCCAACAGAGACTGGAGAATCAACTCGTATTCACATCACAGAAACCCACACGTCTCACCAGTATCAACCGCAGCAGGGCGAAAGTAGTCATACATCATCCTACGTCAAACAAAACCAGTTAGATTCTATGCTTGGTAATCTTCAAGCAGACATGAGTCGCCAGGGCGTTAATACAACGCAAAAGGGATGCTGCAGTGCATGCGAAAAGCCAATTGTTGGTCAAGTTATTACTGCTCTAGGCAAAACGTGGCATCCAGAACACTTTACTTGTACTCATTGTCGTGAAGAACTTGGAACTAGAAATTTCTTCGAACGTGAAGGACATCCTTACTGCGAGAATGATTATCATAACTTATTTTCTCCTCGCTGTGCTTACTGTAATGGACCTATTTTGGATGTAAGAACTGAAATCAAGAGAAACTTTAATTAATAATAGAAAATATTACATGTGTTTTTAAAAAAAAAAATTTTTTTTAGAAATGCGTGACAGCTTTGGAAAAGACCTGGCACACAGAACACTTTTTCTGTGCACAATGTGGCAAACAATTTGGAGAAGAAGGATTCCATGAACGTGATGGAAAGCCTTATTGTCGTGAAGATTACTTTGACATGTTTGCACCCAAATGTGGAGGTTGTAATCGAGCAATTATGGAGAATTACATTTCAGCACTCAATAGCCAATGGCATCCGGACTGCTTTGTTTGCAGGGTACATTTTATCAAATATTTTTTTTTAATCATTTTATTTTCAGGAAATAAACATTCTAGGATTTACAATGGATTAAAAAAGAAAATTCTTTTAGTGGATGTTGTATTTTATTCTCTATTGTAGGATTGTAAGAAACCAGTATCTGGCAAGTCTTTTTACGCAATGGAAGGAAAACCAGTGTGTCCCAAGTGTGTCGGAGTTGATGAAGACGATGATGATGATGGAGAAAATGAAGAAGCAGCTTAATTGATGATGATTTGTTTGCTATTTACAAATCGTTAAAATTTTTCATTTTACCTATCAGATCTCATACTTTCAATCACCCTATATGCCCTCCGAGTTTCAACTATGTGGAACTCATGACCCCAAAAATTCTTTCAGACCAATGAGATCCAGATGTTCATCTTAATCAGATGCTATCAATTGTATAAATTTACACAACACAACACTAGAACACGCACAAATCAAGGTTTTTTAGAACAAAACACTCCGTAAAATAGATTAAGAGGAAAATTTTTGTCTTTGAGTTTTTTCTGTCCTTTTTCTATGTAGACATACGTTATCTTAAATACTTAAAATCATTATGTAATAAAAAGAAAAAAAAATAAAAAAAAACAAAAAAAAACTGTAAAAACAAAAACAACAACAAACACGATACATCAGAAGGTGCGGTCTGTGCTTAGTTTTGAATTTTTTTAGTTAACTTTGACCTTCTAAATGAAGGTAAGATTTTTAAATTCAAGCATATGACCTAGACACCTAGAAGAATCAGAAACTAGATTTTTGCGTGGATCTACTTTTATATGTTTACTATGAGTAGGGAATCCCGTTCTTTCTTTCTCTCTTTTTCTTTCTTCCTTTCTCTCTCGCTCTTTTCTCTCTATTAGATTCATTCAAGTAATGGACAATTGAATAATGTATTTTATTCAAAACATTCTAAATCATGTTTTCTTAATAGAAGACAGATCTAGCGGTTACAGGATGAAAAGTGTTCAGTCTTGGGAGTAAATGATGCTTGACGTCTCGCCAGAGAGAAAAAGCTCTTGGCAGACTTGTTCTTATTGACCAATAAAAGGAAAATATTGCTTAAAATCATAAATTTATTATGATTCTAAAAATATGATCTTAAATGAAGATATTATCTGATAATAATATCATCTTATTTATGTTTAAAAAAAGAATTGTAGAAATATTTTTTGTTTCATTGATTAAAACCTTTTTCAGGATTGTCGACAAAAATTCCAAGGGGGTTCATTTTTCGATCATGAGGGTTTACCTTATTGCGAAACACACTATCATGCTAAACGTGGATCTCTTTGCGCTGGATGTCATAAACCTATTACAGGTATATTCCATCATTGTTATTATCTCATGAAATCAATAAATATCGTGGATAAAGATTTTTTTTTTTATAAGTTTAAGTTAAAAAATGAATTATCAAATGATAAGATTTATCTGTAAAACTTTGCTCTTTGATGAAAAATATTTTAGATAAAATCATAAAATTATCGATAAATTATTGAATGATGAAAATTTTCTTATGAAAATCATTATATTGTTTTGACTTTTTTTTAGGTCGTTGTATAACTGCAATGTTCCGGAAATTCCATCCTGAGCACTTTGTTTGTGCCTTTTGCTTGAAGCAGCTCAATAAAGGTACTTTTAAGGAACAAAATGATAAGCCGTACTGCCATAATTGTTTTGAAAAACTTTTTGGATAAACTCATTGATGTCAAGAATTTCTACAAAAAAAAAAAATCAAGCCTATTCAAGATTATACACCTTTAAAACTTATATTTTATTTACACGATGCAAAAACTATTTGTACATTTAATTAATTAGTTATAATTTATAAATCTAATAACATAATAATTAACTTTTTTTTAAATATTAAAATTGATTATTAAATATCAATTGCTAATTATTATCAAATAAATAATTGACATGATCATGGTTAAAAAAAGTTATTAAGATAATCTTACATTAATGTTATTGAATCTATAAGAAAAAATTTTACACTTAGTTTATTCGTTATATTTATCACATATTTATGTACAGTCAAGCAGAAAATTTTTTTTCCAACCGTAACTCGATTTTCATTGACGTTTTAAATAATAATGATGACTATTTCATTCTGATAACTACTAAAGGGCAATTTTTAACTCATAAACTCTAAAATAACTTCTTTGGTACTATTAATACAGTATTAACAATGAAAATCATGAATAAATAGCTGACTAATAATATTGTTCAAGAATAGAGGGTTTAATTATAAATAATATCTTTGACCATTTGTAATATTTGTTTTTAACAAATGCAACGAAGTATGTTGTAATATTATTATGCATAAACTAAAGTAGGAAAAAATAAAAAATAATGACAACAAAACGCATGATTATGAATTTTTTTCATTTATTAAAATGCAGTTTATACACACGTATCGTATCTAAATTAATTAGATTAATAACTCAAACTCATTGAGGGATCGTTCAATCAATATTACAAAGTTAACTTATTAGAAATAATCATTAAGTTACTTATGTAATAAAAAATCAATTATTCAAATGTTTATATGACTAAGTTAATTTTTTTCATTTCAAGTATACAAGGCATAAAAATAAATAATGGAATGAAAATTTTGTGTGATTATAAAAATATATGAAATATTTTATTTCTATATACAGGGGGGAGGGGGACTTTCAACAGTGCAAGAATTAACTTCTCCAATGTCCAATATAACAAAAGAAAACATCTATAAGTACGTATTCATTTGATTTGGATAATTAAGTATTTATCTTTATCAGGCAAGACTGGGAAACAGTTCAGAAAAACTTTCATGCCATAAATCAGTAAGTGCTGGTGTACTAGTACTTTTACTAGTTTGAATTGAATCATGAGATTCATAACCACAATCGGACAAATTAGATTCAAATTTGTAAGAACTAACATCAGAGTCATCTGAATGAAAGCTTGATGGTGACATAGAATCTGCAAGAGTGTAAGCTGGTGAAAGATGATCCTTATATGAATAACTAGGTGTCAAGTTATCTTCACTAATGATTTCTTGAACACATTCTTGTATTCTTACACCATCATCTTCACCCGGATAAATAATAGTTATGCAATTAGTGGCTTCATCGTATGTTCCGTAGACTGTGTCCAGATCATTGACTATAGGTTCTTGTTTTACTTCAATTTCACTCTTGAACGATCCCGTTGGATTTGTTGACGATGTTGTGTGTTGTGACACTGCATTCGATCCTTGGCAAGGATTCAGGCTTCGACTGGTTGCACTGGTTTCCACATCTTTTGATGTCTTCCCCACCACTCTTTTTGGATCATTAAATTCTTCAAAGGAATCTTTCTTGATGGACTTCTAGAAGAAGAATTTTAAAACTTTTTTTAATAAAAATTTTCTACAATCGATCGAACTTATTTTTAAATTGGGGTTAATTTATTAATAAGCATGTTTTCATAATCTCACCTGTTCATTTGATTTGTTAGAATAAGCTTCCACTTCAGAGGTAACTTCTCGCAAAAGGCTTTCTGCAAGTTCTTCGAGTCGTTCGATGTATCCATCACTTTGGATATCGCCGAAGAGTTCCTCCAGAGGAGGTAGAGAGTCAAGATCTTCAACAGAATCTCGGCACTTGCTGTCGGTGTTAGGGACAGTGCCAGTTGAGTTGCCCCACCCTGCGGCAGAGGGTTAGGAGATACGGCTGATCCCAGTGAGGATGCAACACAACCGACACGACCCCGACACATTGAACAAACCCTTTCTTCTGTTGAATTCTCTTCTCGTTGTCCTTTTAGTTTCTTCGTTTCCTGTATCAAAGCCTCGTTTTGAGCTCGCAACATAGCACATTCCTGGGTCAAAAATGTATTTCTGTCTGTTAAAACTCGAACTGTGTCCTCTAGCTCATCTAGCTTAGCCTTTTTGCGGTCTCGTGATGTTTGAGCAGCTACTCTGTTTTTCAACTTTCTACAAAATGCAACAAGTCTTTTAATACAAATGACAATGAACAACATGTATTCTTTTATAACTCATTTTAATAATTTAATTAAAATTAATTAATTAATTATATCTAGTTTGTTTTTGTTATGATATTATTTCTAAAATAAAAATTTAATATCACCTTAAAATATAATGTATATAAAATAAAACAATCAATTATTGTTATTATCTTATTTTTAGTATATCAATTAATAAAGAAATATCACAAAACATCAACATACTTCCTTTGAAGCTTTTCTTCCCACGTCAGATGATCCAATCGCCTCTTTTTACCTCGCAACCAACCATCTGGTTTATTGAGCTCACTTTGTGTGTCTTTAATCCCACAAGACTGCATTTTTTCGTCTTCAGCCTTGGGTTTAGTTGTTGATAAAATAGATGTTGAAAAATTAACGTTATTTGTTGATTTGATCAAATCGTTTTTAGAACTAATTATGGGTGTTTTTTGAATGCCTTTAGGCAATGTGATAATGACACTTCTCAATGAGCTCATACTCTATTGCGACACAAATTTTTATTAATCCAACTTTAAGAACAATGTCACATTCATTCAATAAAATATATTTGTAAATTTGAATTTACTTTTATTCACAGATGTTTCATATGTCTAGACTCCTCAATAGCTGGAGAACAAATGCTATCATATATTCTTTGAATCTCTCATTTCAACTTCGAACCTGATGCAACATTTCTAACATACCACAACATACTAACCATCCTGGTGAGTAATATGGGGAGAATGAGTGGGGACGAGAGAATATTCTCGATTTCAATAAATTTTCTGATTGGTGCAACTTGGCGTCGACTTGATGTGGTTTATTTGGATTGGCTAAAAAATTCTACTGTTATATTGTTTATCGTCGTCATAACTACATGATTATCACAAACTCAGTCATTAAATATGTATGATCTACTGAACGACTTTCTTACATCATCAAAAGCAACCTACGTTCATCCCCTCAAAATCAACTTGGAACATCCGTTTATTCATTTAATTGTACTAATTTAATCACCACTTAAATATTCATGATTCCAAAATAAACATCTTATCTATAATTTTGAATATCAGTTTCCATTATAAATTATTTAGTTATACTTAGAGAATAATGTCAGTAGAGTAGACGCCTCTTTGTACAATACTGCTCCAAAAAACAATACTTTATGTAGCTTCTTTCAGAACCACACAATGAAATATTGATAAACATGAAAAATAAAGAAACAAAGTAGTTCAATGATTATTTCAAGACAAAAATAGAGAAATAAAATATTTTTTCATTTTGGAGTAATATGTTACCTTATCTAGAATTAAATGTAAGTGTAGTTTGTAAGAATCGAAACAATTCTAATAATTATTTTAAAAAAATTGCTTCACAAAAATTTAATTTGCAGTTAACTTCAATATAAGTATTTAATCATTTGTTAAAATTTTTTAACCTTTTTTTGAGAGAATTTATTATTTTTAGATATTAAAATTATATTTTTTTTACAAATACAAAAACAACATTTTGTCGATCAAGGTAATTTAACCCTACTTTTTATGTAATATGTAGAATAAAAATATTTCTTGTAAAGATTGGTTTATTTTATGCAATTATTAATTAAGAAATGATAATTAATGTCGAAAATTTTCTTATTAATTAAAATAAAAAAATTCAAAAATCGATTGGAAATTGTAGAAGGCGGCATCTGTTGGTAAGTATATCCATGAAAAGTTTATTCAATGGATTACACTAATCTGTATCCACGCGTTTGAGAAATTATTTGCCAGATTAGAATTTATTAATTTTAACTATATTAGTTACTTAAATAAATTAAACTCATTTTTGTATATGGCGACTGTTGAAGAAATTGATATTTTGGACAGTGGTATGGGCAGCAGTGATATGCGTTCTCCAGAAATAAAGTCTATTCTTCCTGAGGAAGAAGATGAAGAGGTAAGGGAATTTAAACACTTGGAAATTGCTATGAATCAATGAAAATAGAAATGAAATTTACATCATTCATCATCACTCATTTCATCATCATGACAAGTATCATTCTTTTAAGTTCATTTTGGATGACATATTCTTTTATGAAGAGCATAGATTTATAACCTCGCATGTTACCATGCTACTCTAACTCTTTTTTTATTCAGCTTTCTTGCATATCATTCTACTAGAGTTTTAAATTTTATTTCAGGATGAAAGCTTATCAGAGAGACTTCTTGGTTTAACAGAAATGTTCCCTGAAGAGGTACGAAATTTCGGGTATAATGTAATAACAGGTTTAACTTCTCACATTAAAAGTAAGTGAATTTGTTAATTAAATTAGACTAATTAACTTATATGTATAATTTTCCATCTTTATCTTCTGATTGTAACAATTTTTAGCTCTCTACAATTTTTCATGCTCAGCAACGTGGGTATTGTTTAGTTCATCAGCTATTTTATTTGCACCAATTTTGATTGAAATAGAACGAGCACAGATGGAAGAAATGCAGCGTTCACAGCAAAAACAAGTTCTTTTAGGACCTAATACATCTGTATCTCATATGGGTGGACCTGGTATGGCAATAGGACACCCTCTTCAACGATAAAAACTTCTCAGTAACGAAAATAACGCGATCAAAAAATCAGCAACCATTACTGAAAACGTTTAACCACATTCTCCATCGTTAATGTTGTAAAACACCTAAAATACCTTAAATAGATGTAATCCCATTATGTTGAAATTTATTTATATATTTTCTGAAAAAATTAAATATTCAAAATGACGAAGTAGTTGAACTGTTCAGTGTGTTTGTTTAAATAGTAATTATTACAGATATTTTTTACCTTTGTTCATAATGAGGTAGAAAAATATCTACTGAATGCGCAAAATTAAAAATTTGATAACTTAAAATATCATTGTTGTCTTATGCATTTATCTTAATATAAATACAATTGTTTTCATAGATTTTTTTGTGTATAAATATTTTTATTCTTTAATTAAATGCTTTTAAATCATTAATATAACATCCGATGTATTAATCCTAAATAAAACCAAATAAAATTAGAGAACAAAATTATAAACTTGTTTTTTTAATAAATGCATGTTTCTTATATTAATTAAAATTATAAATATCATAAATAAAGTTTATATTTTATTAATAACTGAATATAAAGGCCAAAACATCTTTGATATGTTAAAACTCATTTTATATTTAAATTTTTAAACCCTTTTTTTAAAATCTGGATTCTTTTATCTTAATTATTTTATTTTTCAATGACCCTTTTTCCAAAAATAATCTTACTAAAAGTATAGCGAGACTTTTGCACAATTATTATACACATATTCATTAAATATTAAGTTTAAATGTATATCCAGTCTGTAAATTCACTCTTTGTCTTCATTTGTTTTTTCATGACTTAAGCTTTAAAAAATCTCACAACTCTGACAACATATTGACGACAAATTGGACATTCATTCATTTGCTTGCCACAATTTATACAGCATGCCATATGTCCACATTCAAGGATTACACATTCTATTGGTGCATCCCAACATATTTTACAAAGACTTTCTTCGTAAAGATTTTCAGAATTTAAATCTGTAACAAAAGTTAAGTATGAATCGAAATTAGTTTATTGTTGTTTAGGAAAAATTTAGAAAGGAGATGTAATTTACCTTCTCTAGATCGTTTATTAGCATCCCAAAGCCTAGACGCTTTATCAAGAAGTTCAGATCGTTCAACACAGCCTCGAAAATCTACTCGATTTGATCTGAGAAGATCTTTCAGCTGTTTAATATTCAGATACTCCAAATCTGACCGTTCTACTATATCTGCTAATTTTACATTGCCAGTCCACTGAAAAAGATTATCATATAAAATGCATATTTTATTATTATTTGTACATACTCAAGCTACTGATAAAAATATAATTCTTCAGTTTGCTCTAAAATATTTGACATCATATAAAAAAAGAATTAAACAGAATTAGTACCGTAGGTGTAGGAAGTTCCTTCAATGCAGTGCTCGATTTTCTATCATTGCCTTGATTGCTCTCACTACCTTCACTGCTACTATTACTTTGATTATCATTAGAATCATTAATATTTTCCTGAGCTCTGTTATGTTCTTCTTCGTTTTCCGTAACCAAAGGTTCCGGACCTTCAGTTGGAGAAGTTTCTTCTTCGGAAGTAACTTCTTCTATATCTATATTATGCAATCTTTGTGGAGGAGATGGTGCTCTTTCTGATTGTGGACTTTCAACAGTTTGTCTAACAGTTACTGGAGGGCTTCGTGATCGCCTCGGTGGAGAACGAGGCGGACTAGTTCGTCTTTCTTGACGTCTGCTGATAATATTTGTCATTGAATTATTAATTATTTATTTGGTGAAATTTTATCAGCTGTCTATTTATCATAAGATAATATACATACTAATCTGAAATATTTATTTACCTTACTGATTCGGGAATATTTTCTGTTCTTTCGTTGTGAATTGGACGATCTCCATTGGCATATTGCATTAAAATATTAACTAAATCTTCTTTTTCTAAATATTCATTTTATAAACATTAATATATGCTGATGAATATAACAATAAATTCATCAATAGTTGACTATTCTTACCGACACATCCTCTGAGTGAAACTTTTTTAGCTACAAGATACTGTTTTAGATCTTTAGATTTCATCGCAAGTACCTGAGATCTGATGAGTGGTCTCCTAGATAACATACTACAATTATCACAACTTAAAACTCTGTCTCCTCTTCTTATTACACAATCTGTGCAATAGAATCTCAAACAATCCTTGCATTGTTTCTGTAGAGATTAAAAACAAAGTTGTAGAAAAACTTTGCTGTGATTTGATATACATTTAAAAAAAATATTATATTAAGCAAATACATACTTTTCTTTTGAATAGTGTAAATTTAGTTGCACAAGCCTCACATGCCATATCTTCAAACAATTTATTAAATTGTTGAATACCATTCAATATTGATTTATAGGTTATGTCATTATCCATCCATAAAGTGTTATTTTAATATTTTTCGTAAAGACAATTCTTTGATTTCTGTAAATTTGGAGGTATTTATAAAAAAAACTATTAGTCAAATATTTTAAAAATATTTTCAACCATTTATAAGTGATTAATAATTTGTAAAATTCGTTGATAAATTTTAAGTGTAGCACAAAATGAGTAATATCGACAATATCTTCGTCATCTGAAGTTTAATGAGTTTTAACACTTTATCTACTTTGATAATTACTTATACGCAGTAAAATTTTAATCCACTGATTTACAATATCGTAATAAATGGAGATTGTTGTTAAAATACTAGAGAATTTACTTTTTATATTTTTCAAGACTGTTTTACTGTTCGCATTTTTGTAAAATAATATTTATGTAAAAACTTAAAGGTGAATTTTCAACACACAGTGTTTATATTTCATATATCCTTGAATGACCTTTTCACCGCGTTTATTTGAAATCAATAATATTTCTATGTTTATTTAATAAACGAAGTAGATAGTAATAAAATTAACGCATGCTTCTCAAGCTGCAATCATCGATAACGAAGTCATAACGATGATGAACATTTGATTTATTCAAAAACCTTGATATAATACAATAAATTTTTCGAAACTGCACCGAAGAGTTGGTATAAAATTTGTGCTCAAAATACTTCAATATTGATAGAATAAAATACCAGAAATCTTTAATTAAGTTTTTCACTTTACATATGAATATAGTTATTGATATTTCCATGATTGCTTGTATAGAAAAAATGTTAATTTACGTTAGATCTAGATTTTCAGAGTAAAGCATTAAATTATTTTATAGAAGCATAAGGAATTTCTACTTAATAACTTGGATTGTGAAATATTTATGCCTTCAGAATGGGTAATATAATTATCATACTTGTAATGAATAGTTGAAATAATTCTATTCACATTATTCAAACCATTTACACAAAACTTCGAATATTTCCTCCAAAAAGATTAACATCAGAATTCAAAGTTAATATATTAGTTATAAATAGCTGTTTGCATAATTATTAATCTATTTTGAATAAAAAATGATCCTTAATTAATAACGAGATTAAGTAAAATTTATCTAGTAAAATTATCTCAACTTATTGATGAATCATTAATAAAAAATATTTACGAGCGAAGTATTTACCAAAAATGAGAGTAATGTCTAATAATGATGCTAATTTGATTCTAAAGGTTTATAATATTTTCCTTGAATCCAAACTCTGTACATCTTTAATTGTTTTCCTCGGTTGACTTGTAATCTTCGATCAATTATATTTTGTTTTTCTTCAAAATTACAACTTACAAATAAGTTTCTCAGTTCATTTTGAGTAAAAAAATAAACTCTCGTACCATCTCCTCGGGCATAAAAATTATCACCAAGACAACATCCTTTCTTGAACCTCAATTGAGCTAAATCGAATCTTCCATAATCTCTGAACAGAACTAGTCCTCCAGGCTTCAAGTAATGATAAATTTGTTGAATTACATGTCTTTGTCTGAAATTTATAATTCAACAAATTAATTTGTTAATAATCAAGATTTATTTTAACATAAAACATTTTAAATAATAAATGCACTTACTTGTCAGGATGGATTGCAGATAGAACAAATATTAATAAAACAATGTCTAAACTTGCTGGCTCAAATGGTGGATTCCACGTTTCACTTGTTACATCTAAAACGAACGCTTTACACCTAGCTGGATTATAATCTTTATGCTGCTGTAATATTTCAACAGCAGTTGAAGAAAAATCACAGCCGTAAACAAAAAGTTTTGGACTTGGATTGTATAAAAGAATGGGGAAAATCGTATTCCCAACTCCACAGCCAATTTCTAAAATAACTTGTTCCTTATCATTGGACTCTTCTGTCAACCGTAAACTTTCTTCACTTTTTGATGTTACTGGTAATGATCTTTCCGGAACGGTAAGATCATATTTAATTTTAAATGGAGCTAATTCTGGAAATTCAGTAAATAACCAATGCCGATCTTTGAAAAATCGATTTTGATGAATTCCATAGAATTTGTCCCAGAATTTATCAGCTTCATCATTATATTTTTGTAATTGCTGCTCCGTAATTGTGATGACTGAATTTTCCGTCACCTTTTGTTGAGCCAACTGCTGTTGCTGTTCATCCCATTCGACATTATCCCTAAAAAGTAAATTATATTTCAATTAGTGATTTTTTTTATCTGTTTAGAAATACATAAACAACACAATGTACAATTTATTTTGAATCAGTTAACATATAATTCTCGAAGAAAATTCATGAAAATGTTATAAATATATTAAATGTTCTTTATTTATCATACCAAGCATTATGTTGAAATACATTGTCATCCACAGAAAGTATTCGGTTGCCAAATTGAGGACGTTTTTGTTCATTTTCGTCACTGTGTGATGCCATTTTTGTACACACGTATGATTACTCCACGTGCTTGCATCTGTTTTACCGACTGGTTTTTACAAACATCACATGATCTGCTTCAGTTGATAATTTATTTACTGTAAATAAAATTATTTTTTTAGATATTAAATGAACCATTTTTTATACATTTTTATTATCTAAAATAAACAAAAGATATTTCTGAATCTTTTCCAAGTACTTGTTATTTTTTTGATTTCATTTCTTTTCATAAAACTATTTCTTCTAGATATCATTGAACAGTAAATATATTTTTTCAGGTATCTCTGTTCTTATTTATTTAATCCTATATTAATAGATTAATGTAAATATTATTTGACTATGATAATAGGCTTCAAAATTAAAACATAATATTAAAAAACTAAAAATAAAATGAAACATATTTCAACTTAATCTTTCAGTTTTCATTGACGAAGTACGTTACTAACGATGTCGTAGTGACGTTCGAACGTTCTCTAATGGAAGTACGAGGGCGGCTTTATCCCTCTTTTACTTCTAGGTACCCACCTATACAATCCCCAAGGGGAGAATCGATACATTCATCTGCTCCTACCTTTTTCTGTTCTCTCTCCTCCTCTGCTTATCTCTTTTTATTGAACATATTCAACTTTCTATATTTTCCATGTCTGCTTTATGATAAAATTCAAGCAATAATAATATTTAATTTTTAAATTACAAAAATTCTACCAATTATCATCATGTTATTCATATTTATAGCTCATAGAAGAGTATTAAATTAAATTATCAACCAAATAGCTAATTAATTAAACAAATATTTATCTGAGTATAATTAGAGGTATCTCTTTGTGTATTGATTAAAACTGAAAATGACATCATACACTTTTTTAAAAAGTTATTGACCAATAATTATGAATTATCTTAATGAGTTATCTAAAATTGACAAGTTAATTTTATTTGAGTATGATTATTTAATAAAGAAAATGCTAAAATAATTTTCGTTATTAAAATGGATCAAGTGATTAAGAGCCTAATAAATATAATAATTCAAGAGGGTGAAAATGGGTGTTATGCGTTATTGAACGAACTATAGTACGTGAAGCGCAGACGAGAGCAACCACCCCGTGGTAGCTTACATTAAACTCAGAAACATCAACGTATCGTGAGTGCTACAGCATGAATTTCCTGTCTATCCCGTATGTAGGCAGCATAACTTGATCTTCTTAACAACCATGCGTCAACGAACTTCCAAACATTTTCTACACTGATTCATTTACTTTGACATACTTTTACATATTTAGATGCATAGCAAGCATCAAATTAAAATGTTTCTTTGAATCATAAAATAAATCATAATTGAATTAATTAAAAATTTTCATCAAATTCTTCTTCAGAAAATAATAAAAATCTCTTGATTGAATACAAGTCCATTTTTCTTTGTCCCAATTGAATTCCAAACATCCTTTCTCTCTCGTCCTAGACAACCTCACCAGGGATTTTTTCTGTCTGACGATGGAGGGAGGACCGCGTCTCCAAGGGTAAAAAGGGTCCGCCCCGTCTGGTGTGTTTGCCCGTGTATATATGAGTGAAAAGAGAGAGAAAGAGAATGAGAGACAAGAGACAGAAGTTGGAGTCTGACATCAGCGATGCTCGGAAGGGATTGGATGTAGCATGGTGGTGCTTGTGGAATGGATGGTAGTGGTCGATTTTAACTCTGTGTATTGGGGTAGTTCACCCTCGCGCAGGAACTGAGGGTCCAAAGATCGTTCGGGCGATGACCTCAAAGTTCAGAATTCACTGCTCTCTCTCTTTTCTCGCTTATCCACCTCAATTTTTCTCTCGTCAGTTTATCCTTATATTCTCGATATTCCATTTGTTAGAAGCTTCCAACTGGCACTACGACCATGTCTGCATGGTAAGATAGGTCTTGAAACTCCAAATCAATTTATCAAATTAAAGAGAAACTTTTTTTCCATAAAAAACCATTTCACATCATTTTCGATGACTTATTTGAAACTCTTGATGGATCAATAAATTCTGCGCATGTTTTTCTCTTTCATAAATGATTTGAAAAAAAATTTTATCATATTTTTTTTCGCTTTAATATAATTTTTTCCTGTTATAAAATAAAACATTGAAACTTTAATTCCATAGTAACATAAAAGTTTATAGAAAATAAAGTAATAACAATTTAATAACATAAATAGCATTGTTTTCAATAATCATCTTACAAATAATTGTTACTTACTATTCGAATATATTTTTTTTCATCAAGAGACTTATAAAAGTATATGACTATGAATAATGATGGAAATAAAAAGAGACTCACTTGATTTTTTGATTTTCGTACTTGGTACGAAGGCTAGCAGAGATGAAGTCAGTGAAAACAAAATGAAAATCGATGCTCGAATATCTAAAAGTTAATTGAATTAGTACATTGCATCGTCTCTGTAAGCGTGACGAATAGAATAAGGTTGAGAAGAAAAGATTAACTAGAGTAATTATACTTACATTTAGCATGTGATTATTTAGAATCTATTTTTGAAGGAATATGCAAAAGGCAACTGACCGATCAGCCTTGACTTCCTTTGACCCAGCTATGTAGTTTGGTCATTTTTGTTCATCATATTATTTTGCTAAGTTTTCTCCAACATTTAATTTTTTCATCATCTCTATTGACTGACGTCTTAAAACAGTTCAAAGACTTCTCTATTTACTTCACTTTTTAACTGAAACCTTCAAGTAATATATTAGAAAAAGGTACCTTCTTCTAGATTAAATTGATAATTAAATCTCAAGGACAAAGGGAGTCTAGACTTGAAACATTTCTCACGACCAGGTGTTGATGGTTTTCTTATTTTGATGTAGAGAGTGAATAATTCAAATCGTGTACATGTGTGTTACATATGTATATAAGAGGTTAAATAAAAGGAGTGTGAATGTACACATAAGACAACTAACGGCCTTGACCTTGTCCCTGAGTATAGAGTAAGTCTCAAGTAAACGAGGAAGATCGAAAGAAAAAATGTATAATCGATAATCGATCATTATTAATTTTTTTTTTCTTTACTCGCGGCTCTCTTGTAGCTAGGTTACGTTGACTAGAAACTACATTCATTCACGAACTCTCTGAAAGCTGGTACTTTATTTCTGCTTGTAGAGAGGAAGGAAGGAAGGAAGGAAAAGAGAATAGTAAAGATCGATAACCAGAGAATTTAGTCGACTTCTCGAAACATGATAGTGCATATGAGTGCAAAAGAGAAGGTACAGAAAAGTGAGAGAGAGAGCAGAAAGAGATGTACGTATGTTGTGCGGGGGTGAGTGGTCTCTCGTTTTCGTCTGACAGTTGTACCAACTGACTGATGGCGCTTCGATCGATTTTACCAATCTACGAAAAAAAAAATAAAATATTTATTTCTTTTTTTCTAATTCTATTTACTTTCTTTACAAGCAATAATTCTATAAAAAAATTTTCCTTAGCATAAAGAAATATTTTAAATGAATTTTTCTATATTTTTAAATATTAATAATTATTATTTTTGACAATTGTTCTTTGTAAATGTAACCGACTTTGTAGCTACAGTGACGCCACCGCCCGGTCATTACGCTTAGTTTCGGCAAAGATGGGCGAATCTCGCCGGGCAGTAGCTTAGACTCTACCTACAAGACAACACCACATCACCCAATGTTTCCCAATTACTCGCGAATTTGAAGGGTGATCTCGTTCGTCGCGTAGTATTTAATAAGATAGCGTGTGTGTGTGAGTGTACATGTATGCCGTGAAAGCAGCAGGGAGAGGATAAACGACTGAAAAAGAACGAGAAAAGTCTTACAGCCGGGTCCCAAACGGACGGCTATAGTAGAGTCGTATAGTGAAGAGTTGTAGAAAGAAAATTCACATCAAACCCCGGTGGTTTAGTGAATTAATAATCATATAAGACTTGAACTAATAAATTATACAGTAACTTGAAGCTAATTAACATTTTTTGTCTTGTTATTTATCGCTGTTGGACACAAGGTGGAGGAACACGAAGTAGAAACGACCAAGAAAATTGAGGCAAAGGAGGAACACGGAACGACGGACGATACAGTGGTGCGCGGTGGAAATATATCGAGAAGAGAGTCCAACTTTGTAGAGAGAATCAGATGAATAAAATAAGTAACTAAGAGCTTTCCTCTCTCTCTCCCTTTTTCTATCTCTTTCTCTCTCTCTCTCTCGTTCTATTTAAAACGCACGAAAAATATTAATTAACAAATAAATTGTACATTATTTATTAGAAACGAAACATTCTATTTTTGTAAATCAAAGAGCATTAGTGAGTGAAGAGATTATACGCTAGTGTGTGATTTGTAGTGTTTTCGTGACGACAAGAAGCTCTTTATTTTAGTGTCTCGAATGTGTGTAAAAAATTTAGGATAAAAAAAGGATTAATAAAACGTTGCAAGTGATTGAAAAAACCTGAGAAGAATCCTGAGAGACACACCCTCAGTCTTGGTAGCTTCCTCTCTCTCTCTTTCCTTCCTTATCGCCTGATATCTGCATTCTTCCTCTCCCTACCGTCTCGTCACTCGAGCAATCATCGCTTTGCAAAAATTCCCAGCAACGTGATCATCAATCGGGAGGAGGAAAAGAGCTTCCCTGAGAGGATTGTGTGTATCCTAAGTGATTCTCACCGGCCCTAGATTGTGTGAGAGTGTGAAAATTATTTAACGTGAAGTGCAAAAGTTGAACACCTTTTATTTCTCCTTTTCTATTAAATAATCGCAACGTCGTCCCAATCGTCACCGACATATCGTCGGCAAGTTTCTGCACCCTGAAATCAACCAGCTGCGTCTAACGACAGGCAAAATGTCCGTAAGAATGGAAAATGTCGCGACGGCGCCGAGAAAACTTAACTACAAGATGATGGTAAGTGTAATATTGTATACTAAAAATTACGTTAAATTCAACTAGTAAATCATGGTGATGTTTTTGGTAAATTTCAATCAATTAGTCAGGGGATTTCCATGAGCATATTTTGATGAAGGCATGCGATGGCCGATAGATCGTCACGGAACCGGCGTAGTTGACAGCATGCCGCGGGGCGTCTACTGTCCCACCCAATCTCTTTACCCCTCTATTTTTCATCCTTCTCATTTGCCATTTGCTAATACTCATAGTTCTATCTTTCTCTCTATTCTCCCACCATCACTTGTGGAAGCTCCTTCTCCTCGTCTGGTTTCGAAGCGCGAACACACGCAAATCCTCTTGTGTTCAAGTGAATCTGTACGAGAATTCTCGCGGAGCAAACAGGTGCGAATCTTGAATCATCTAGTGACTCTTTTAGCATTATGCATACGATAAATATAAAAATAAAGATAGGAAATATAACATGTCCCTTTTTTCGCGGATAAATAAAGCTTTTAGTCTTGATTATTGTGATGGCAGGAGGGAGGGGGGGGTCAATATGAGTACCGGTACTTCCGGTCACACGGAACGAGTTTGGACGCCGAGGAAGTACTTTATTGACGCTTCTCTCTTTTTCTGTCTTTGTCTCATTCCCTCTATTTCACTGTTTAGGTTTCAGTCATTCGTACTGTAAGATATTTTCTCGTTGGATAGAAGTGAAGAGAAAGAGAGGTGGCACATGGATTGATCCAATAGCTATGGCGGCGTTCGACGTACTAGTCACGTGACTAAAGAATTCGCCGGGCGTGTTGTGCAAATCGACGGGATGTCTGCGATTGACCTGCTGACGTTCTTGTAGAGTAACTGCACATTTCTCTTACGAGTTACGCTTTATTTCTTCAATGAATTCCTTAAACATTCTTCCAATATCATCACAACTTTTTGACTAAATATACAGTTATTTATGGATGAAATTATATTTACATACATCAGTACTGTACCAAGTATTGTTATAAGTACTTGGTTACTATCACTATTTTTATTGTGATAATAGTCATACATTTGGACGACACGAATTCTTGTAAAAGCAATGCTACGCCACAATTTCGATACTGTTGTTGAGCTAAATAGAGGTTAGCAAGTTCGCCATGACAGTGATACGTTTTGTTATGATAGCAATATTTTTTCGTGTAGACTCATTTGATAATTTTTTTGTTTCATGAACTAAAATTTCGATGAATTTTATCTCGAGACATGTTTATTCAATAAAATGTCATAATTTTTTGTGTCCTTAAATTGGATTGGAGTTGATGAATTAGTTATATGTATTGTAGCGATAAAGTGATTTGATTTTGTGTAATGATAATCTAGTGTTGAAGTACACGTGAATTGGTTGAGAATGTTGACTTCTGGCTGTAAAAAGAAAAAGATAAAAGTTTTAACTCGAACAACGCGTTTCATTTTTCTCAGTCTGTTTCCCGAAGGCCAAGGCAGTTTGCTATGCCGGCCGGTCTTGTTCGCTCGATTGCTCGCGTTTCAAGATGGACTCTCTTGTGTATTGGTCTCGTGTAGATGGTTCTTTCTCCTTTTTTATTCTCTTTTTGGTTCTTTCTCTCTGCTCAACATGCCGGATATCGTGCCTCTCTACATATCTCACTTCAATCCCTACTATATAAAGCTTATCCCTTTATTTTTTTTCTCTTCTCTCATTTCATTTCTCTTACTCGTGTTTGTCCGCCATATACGCACGTTCCACGTTGACACTTGGATATCCTCTCGAGATGTTCTGATGGGTGGAGGTAATGCGTTTGACGGCATCAGGGACGTTGGCCTTGATCGATACCCTTTGCGGGAAAATTGTCTCTGGTGACTGGAGGAACAGAGGACGACACGAACGGAGGGAGAAAAGAGAACTGTGAAGAGGAAAAATTTTACCTCCCCCTCTCTCGTGAGGTCGAAGGACTTTCGGGTGGGGCTGTTGAACTTGAAAAAGAAAAATTACAAATACAATTTATCAAAAAAGATTAAATGCCATTATTGTTTGATTTTATACTTTTGTCCCCATTTTAATGATCATGCTTTGTGTAACTATTTTCCTTCGATAATGAATTATGTTTTCAAACAATATATTTATGCTAATTAAAGCAAATAAATTATTCTTTCGAATCATTAAAACATTCAATGTTTCATTAGTAATTCAGTTTTATCTTCATTCTAAACTTAGTTTTTAATGAGATCGGGCTTGAAGTTTTGGCTACTAGACTATTCATAATTAAAACTATTATTTTTGGATAAATCTTTTTTAATTTGTAATTTTAAAATAAAAACCAACTATAAAATATATAATACTGATATTTATTTGTTAATTAAATACAATAGTGTAAAATATCTTATCATATTTTTTGAATAGAGCAAAATGTTGGATGGTTTAAAGAATTTACAGTAAAAAATCAATTCTAAAAATAAATTGAAAAATTCTGTTGATTGGAGTATGAAATGATTTGAAAAATGTATAAAACTTGTGCCAAGTATTTTATTGAATTTTACACTTTCAATATAATGTAATAATGAAAAAGATACTTAATGAAAGGTTGAAGTGAGTTAAAAATATATGAAGATGAATTTAAAAAGATGAAGGGCAATGGTTGAGGAAACTGAAGGCAATAGAATCCGTGAGAGGAGTGACGCGAATAGAAGGGTTAGGTTAGCCGGCGTAGGCGGTGCAAGAATATCGATTATTTGTATTTGCGACATGCTGCCACTACTGCACCCGTTGTATTGCCGGCTGTTTCAAAAATTCCTTGTTATAACCAGTTTTTTTCGGTATTGAGTAAATATTTTTGGTGATGAACTGTTTATTTTTTTAATTAAGATAAAATACATATTAATAGTAAGTAATTTATTGGATTCATTATATGTTTTTTGAGTGAATATAATAATTTACAAGATGATGCTAAGCTAAATCAACTAGATTGTTGGTATCAGGTCAAAGAAAGTTTCTGTCATAGATTTTTAATATTTTAAATTACTTTCCTTCTTTTATTAAATGAATTATTTTAATTTAATAATTGAATTCTGATTATTCAACTTCCTATTAAAAATTTTTGTTTCTATTTTGTTTGCTGTTAAAATTAATTAACAATTTTGAAAAATAATTAATGTTTTATTATTTATTAGATTATGTAATAAAGAATGAATTAGTACAAATCTAAATAAAAACAAATTTTATTAAAAATTATTTATAATTTTATTGAATTGATAAAATTATACTTGTGATAATAAAATAATAAATTGCAGCTAATTTATTGAATATGTTATTGATGGTAATTTTTTCTTAGAATATATTGAACGCATTTTTCATAATTTAATAACATTAAGTGAAACTTTTTTATTGTAAAAGATAATGAGAAAAGTTTTTATCACCTATTTGGTTTACAATTTATTCAAAAGTTTATTATTAATGCAAGTATTGTGTATTTGTTTTAAAATATTTAAAATTTTAGTTTTAAAAAATACATTTATCTGTAAAAATCGTGAGGAAAATGATAATATAAACTACTAAACAAACTTTTTTACAATTTTTTTTTTTTTCATCAACTTGTATACATAAATATGTTGGTCGGAAATGAATCAGATTACGATTTACGTCATAGTTATTATTTTGTATTTCAATACTTTTTATCTAGAAATATGATTATCTTTCATTCAACATACGTTATTTTTTTCTAAATTTACATTTTACGGCTATAAATTAACTAAATCATTTTATATTAGTAGTAAGTCATTTTGAATAATAATTTTAAGAATTAATTTTTATTACTAATTTATTCATGTGTTCGTATTTTTATTAAATATATTTATTAGTAAAAATGTTGATCATTAATTAAATAATCATTCAAAATTATCAATTTTGAATGTTTTGAGTGTTAAACCGGACGTGATTGGAGATTCTTTAAATTGTCAAACTAACAATGCAGATGTTAATGAGTAGGAATAATTTAAATTCATTAACAAATTTACACAATCTTATTAACCTTCCTATGAAATTAGTTTGGCTCTACTAAAAAGATCTAACCTTGTACATAAGATTAATTATGCTGTCAGAATCATCAACATTATCAGTTGCTAAAAGAAATACAAATGTAACAATGTTAGGATGAAACTATTTTTATAATTCAATAGATCAATTTGTATTATTCCATAAAAATGTCACAAATATTCTATTTTATTTTTAAAAAACTATCCATAATTTAATACCATTTATAACATACATTAATTTAACAGTCAAGTCAGAAATGATCTGAAAAAATTAATGATCCACCATCTTTCTAATTACCATCATTAACATATCGATAATTCAAATAATCAAAAATCATCATTTGGAATATCTAGTGTTTATTAATCTACTTGTTCCATCATCATTCTCCATTATATTGAACACACTTGTTATTTATTAGATAGAGTATTGATGAAACATGTAAAAAAAGTGAAGGTTGACATATCAAACATCAATATGAAGTTCCATTCATCCAGAAGATTGTCAATGACTCAATAGCACTTAGCTCTTGGGATGTTATACGTGACCAAGATCATGTTCACAAGCTCTTCATGATTATCCGCTTATAGTTTAGCTCTTTCTCGTTAACGTAGCACGTGATAACTTGCTAAAACGTTTGGATCCATATTGAAGTAATGAGAAATGAAACAAATAAGGCACGTGATATATGTACGCGTGCGTTTCTTCAAGGCAAGAACCTGAGGAATGTATGGAATTTGCTTGCTGTGACTCTAAAGAGATCCCTGAGACTGGTTTTGCCAGCCACATCTACACCTCTTTTTCCATTACTCCATTTTCTTTGTCACCATCATCCACCTCTTTAACTGCTTCCTTGATTTTAAAATTAATACTCAGGATACTCTGGATGCATTTAACTTATTTGCATCAAGTTTATCAATTTTTCACCTGACCTAACTGACCATTTTATCAGTATTTCAAGGTCTCGATAGACTCTTTTATCATCACTTATCAACGACCTTACTTGGTAAAATGTTTCAATAAAATAATCACAAGTATGTTTAATTATTTAAACAATACAATAGATATTTTTTTAATGTACTCTGAATCAAGAGTTGATTATAAAGAATTTAAAAATTATATAGATGTTATAACAGGAAGTTATTTCCTGTTAAGATAGTGAGTGCTTTGACATTTAATTAATTTTCTAGTACTATTAAATAGTAGTATTCATCAGTACACATATCTCTACTTTCAGTTATTGACCCTTGTCATTTAAAAATCTGACATGAAAAAGTCATTTATTCTAGATATATTTAGAAATGATGCATTATATTTTAGTACTTATTCTAAATAGAAAAATGAAAAAACTAAGCAAGTAGTTGAAATGAAATCTATTCGTAATAATATTCAATGCAATGTAAACTAAACTTACTAGCAAGGCTTCCATTTCAATAGTTACTTTTTGTTACGTCTAGTATTCATTATCAAACAATGAAAAATGTTTAAATTTCTAATTAAACTTTATTCCTAATGAATTTATGTGTAAAAAAGTATTTGGAGTAAAAAGAAAAATTTAATATCTGTAAAATGATGGATATGATGATATTTATCATGTGTAGAGACCTAAGAGAGTTTTATTATTTGTCAAGGTGGAAGAGATATGATGATAAATTGATAAAAAAAATAAGTTGGTAAAATATTAATGAAATAAATAAGTTAATCAATGATGATGTGTAAAAATGAATGTCGATGTTTCAGGGAACAAATGGACCTCGGCCAGCATACGCAGGCGCAAACAACGGTAGCGCGGGTAGCGCTGGAGCCGGTGTTGGCGTGGGCGTAGGACCAACAGCAGGACATGGTTTAAAAGGAGGTGCAGGCGGTGCTCCCCGCGGCGGAAACCCTGTACAGTATCGGGCAGGTGGAGCTGGTGCTTGGGGTGCTGCGCCATCCCACGCGGCAGCCGCTGCAGCATTTCCGCAATACACGAGGTATCCAACCGCGGCCGCGCAGATGCCGGTTAGTGCTCAGCAGCTACCACCAACTGCCTATCCCGCTACTGCTTATGCGCAACATGCTAACGTGAGTCCCTTTATTTATTTACATTTTCTAAAACGTCTCACCAGAAAGGAATATCTAGATTCTAATAAACATTATTTACCCTAAAATATATATTTCTATTTATTTTTTACAAATTCCTTATCTATTTTTATCATATTTCAGTATGGTGGACAAAGAGTACCAACGGCATCATCGCCAGCTAATACGAGTAGCAGCTCTAGCAGTGCAACTGGTAGTCAAAGTGGTACAATCAGCACAAATTTGAGTAATAACGCAATGCAGGGCCAACAGCCAGAACAGCTGTCCAAAACAAATTTATATATTCGTGGTCTTAATCAAAACACCACTGATAAGGATCTTGTTAGTATGTGCGCGCAGTAAGTAATGATTTTTTATTTCGTTTATTAATTAATTTTTTTCCCCCCTAGGGACTTTTTTAAATTATTATCTACAACATATTTTTCTAATTTACAGATACGGAAATATCACTTCTACAAAGGCGATCCTCGATAAAAATACTAATAAATGTAAAGGTACTTAGTTGACTTTTACACTTTTCAGTTTAATTTATTATTTTGCTTTTCCATCACTTAACCTTACCTACTGTCAAATTATTTCTAAATGATAAAATGAAATAAGTTTCAATTAATCTTTATATTAATTATAATTATTCTTTTTTTTTTTTTTGATAATTGAGAATTCAGAGTCATTATTTTGATAAGTCTTTAAATTCTTCTTTTAAAATTACTACAAGTTTGATATCAATAACAGAAAGTTTTTTTTTTTCTAAAGTTGAAAATATTTTTAATTGTTCCAGGTTATGGCTTTGTAGACTTTGAATCACCGACGGCGGCTGAGGGTGCTGTGAAAGCACTGGTCGCCAAGGGCATCCAAGCACAGATGGCGAAAGTGGGTATCTTGTTGCATCATAGACTGGCCAGTGTACGTTGGTTGTGCATGCAAGTACAGTAATACCAGAGTAACAGTAAACCTTTCTCTCTCTCTTTCTATCTTTATTTCTCTCCTTCTTTTTCTCTCTATTTCTCTTTTTACTTTTCCAGCATCTAATCATTTGATTTTTATTTTCTTTTACTTTTTTAATCTATCAAAACCAGCTCCCGGATACCAACATCGACTTCTTCGCGGTCATGGAGATTGTATCCTGTTACCTATGATTTCTCTCGCCCCAACTTGTGCGAGAATGCACTTCGTATGAAATATCAAGTAATTCCTGATCCTCGATATCACAATCAATTTTTCCTTATCCTCTTTCTTATTTTATTTTATTTTTTTTTCCACCAACCGTCATTTTGACTTTTTATACCTATTAATGTTTGCTGCTATACCTCGGCCAAACACAAAGCGCTAATTTAACTGCTATTAGAGTTTCAACGACATTAATCGCGTCTCATCAACGAAAAAAAAGACACTTTTTTCTGGATAAACCCCAAACTATTCAATGAATCATCTGCCATACATCCAAGTTTCATTTCAAGTCCATAATCTAAAAAAATAAAAAATTCTATTAATATATTCGAAGTATGGCAGCATAGTATCTTATTTAGATATTAGATTGATGTCTCTAAATTTTATTTTACAAGCATAATTGATAATAGTAATTAATATACAATGTTTAGAAATATTTTAAAATGATAATGATAATTTAATAGAGAAAGAGGAAATGAATGAATAAATTCAAAATATTATATATACATAGTGAGACGTGAAATAGATTTATATATTTATTTCTGTTCTAAAAAACTTATTCTTTATCTGAATCTGTTTCTCTGTCATTCTGCTATTTTACAAAGTAATTATCTCGACATTAATATGATTGAATTGGACGAATATAAATTAATAACTAACTAAAAAGGAATGGTTCTTCTAACCTGGCCTACGGTGAACGAAGTACACGGGGTAACCCATATTTATACATATATACATATCCGGCAGGCTATGACGATGTATCAAAACGCATGTGATATGATTTCAAAAGACTGAATTAACCAGTAAACATTGATTAGCTATATGAATATAATCATTTTTATTAATTTATTTCTTCGGTGTACATGCAATTATTCTTGCCTAACGTACAAAATAATTAATCCTTGGCTGCTTACGATTCATTCAATACTTTTTTTATTTAAATAATTATTCAATGTTTATTAAAAATTCTTATTTTTTTTTTTTTTTAAATTAATAATTAAGTTAAATATTTTTTTTAAATAATTGATGTAAAAAGGCTATGATTGAATAGTTTGTTAGCTGTGTATATGTTTGAGGTCAGATAGAAAAGTAGATAAATTGATGTTATGGATTAATATAAATATAAAAGTTGAGGGAGGGGAACAAAAAAAAATTATTGAAGGTTTATGAGGATGTAAAAATGTGTAAATTAATTGAAGGAATCGTTTGTAAGTCATGTACGTGATAACAGAGTCACTTTATATAAGCAAACTGTACTTTATTGTACTTCTAATCATACAAAAACAAAAAAAACGCCATCAGCTTGGCTTATACCATAATGTTTTCATTATTTATTCTGTTTTTGTGTTAATGCATTCGCAAGATTGAAGTAAATTGTCGTAAAGTATAAGTATACTCAAGTAATAGTAGATTTGATTGATTAATTATTCTCGTAAAGTATTTTTTTTCTAATTTTTTATTTGACATTCGAATAATACTCAAAAACAAATTACATCAAATAATAAATCTTGATGATATTTATTGAAATTATTAATTATCTAGTATTCAAAAAAAAGAAAAAAAATATAATAGAAATACTAGTTTTTATAAATTTGAATTAATATTATGATCAATAAACATCGAGATTTATTGTAAAATAAAGAATGTTATAATTTAAATTAATGCCATGAAGCATGTGAAATTATCTGAAAATTTGGTCGAGTCCTATTTTTAAATTAGTTAAACAGACAAGAAATTTATAACGAAAAAAAAGTATTTGTAATTTCCTGCGTGCGTCCAAAAATTAGAAAAATGATCAACAAATTGATTATCTAGCTTAATTGGTTTTTTATCTAGTAGATCTCTTGTAGTGAATTTTTTTTAAATTCTTTGTCATTAAGTAAATAATTCATGTTTTATATTGAATAATTATTTTTTTCAGTTATACGAACGATTTTATATTTTATAACATGTACAAAGATTATATTTTATCATCATGCTTATTTATTTAAATCATACAAATAATTTTAATTATAACTTGAATAGTTTTTTTATTCAATGGAGGCATCAAGAATACGCATTGTATCTATTTGTCTTTTCATGTATATATATTTTATTTTATAAGCCTTATTATTATTCTATTTTTTTTATTCAAGATTGAACTTTGATCCTATATCAATTGAAGATTATATTTTATGACCTGATTCATACAATATTAAACTTTAGTGTGACAATTTAAATAATGCGTATTCTTTTGGTTAAAATAATGTAGAAAATATTTTTATATATGTTAATAATTAATTTATTATTGACAAATTGACAAATCATTTTGCATAGATCTTTTTTCTCATTCCTTAGCAACAGGAGCAGGATCCAACCAATCTGTATATTGCTAATTTGCCACTGAACTTTAAAGAAAATGATGTGGAGTCTTTACTTGCACAGCATGGACAAGTTATATCCACCCGGATATTACGTGATACACTTGGACACAGTAAAGGAGTTGGATTTGCAAGGTAAATTATTACCTTTATAATCATAAATTATTGATAGTAAAATCTAGTTATTATTACTGTGCAGTATGTAACTCAAATTTTTTGATTATTTTAGGATGGAGTCCAAGGAAAAATGTGAGCAAATAATTCAAATGTTTAATGGAAAAGCTCTCAGGGTGCGAAAGATCCACTTCTAGTTAAATTTGCTGATGGTGGTAACAAGAAAAAACCGTATAAAAGCTCATTATGGCGTGAAACTGGCGAGGTAATTTCTGTTTTACTTGAAGTATTTTAATTGTTTCATTTCGTAACTTAAAAATAATGGAAATTTTTACGTAAATTTAAGCTTATAAAATATAACTTTATAAAGCAATTTCTTCTATGTCAATCAAATTTTAGAATAATGAATTTAAAGAGAATTCGTTTTAAATTTTAATTTATTTATAAAGTATAGATTTAGATGGTTCAATATGAAATGGAACAATTAAACAAACATGTTAATTGAGGTAATTAAATTTTCGAAATGATAATTGATTGTAATTTTATTAAAGAATATAGCTATTAATTATGACGCAAGCGCAGTGGGTCAAAACGGTGTGCCAACAGCTCACATGCTTCCAGCTGCAACCCTTGCTCAGTACAGTCGTCATTATGGTCAAGCTGTGCCAGGTTACACTGTTCAAGGAGCACCTTGGGTTACTCCATACGTCTTACAAACTGGCCCTCCTCATATGCAACAGGTTGACGTGAGTCTTAAGCCTCACCAAGGTTCTTCATTATTTGAAGACTGATTGTAGACAATTGAAGACATTGAATTTTTTTTGTTTTTAATGCAGATGATGCCCTCAGCTGATCCCAGTAATCCACAGTATAGCATGATTCCTCAAATAACTACAGGAATGTCGGCGCTTCATCTTGGGACTGGATCCGTAAGTATTATTTATTTGTAAATAGTATTTTAAAGAACAAAACGTTGATTTTTATGAATATTTTTTTTTAATTTCAGTATATTGCTAGCCCACATCCGTACCCTTATCCTTATCCGGCGCCCAGCATCATTCACACCATGCCTTTGGGCGATTCTGAACAAACGAGCAATGCGGCATCACCTGATGATTCTTATCAACAGTACCAGGCTCAGCAGCCCAAGTAGGCTACATTATATAGGTTCGGTTAAATTTAGTTTATTAGACAATTACGAATTGTATTCATTTTGTTTGATCCTTTCATTGACGCAATTTTGTTTTTTCGCTTTAACGAATTAACAATTAAAGCTTTATATTTTGTTTTTTAATATTAGTTATTGATTAATATTTTTTTTTTTTTTTTTAATTTTTTAATATTTTAAAGGAAAAACATTTTTTAAGAATTCCATTGTGAAATAGAATAATTATTTTTAATGAAAGGACAACGATATACAATAACGAAATTAAGAAACACTGCGTTTGTAAATTTTACGTTTATTGTTAATTCAATTCTGACACGTTACTTTTTATTTATTAATGTATTTGGATTGACATTGATAATGACATTGAATGGATATGCATTTTTACAAATGGTTTGAATAAGAATGAGGAATGTTTTTTTTTTTATATACGACTGATATAAATATTAAAATTAATGATAAATAAAATAAATGCAATTTTTTAATTTAAAATTGATCAACGTGACGAATGAAAAAACAATTATTTCAACTTTGTAAATTTGGCCAATGAATCAATAAATAATTCCAATTCTGTATAATATCGTGTTTTTTAGTGAAAATAATCATAAAAATGAATACTACATCAAATTTTTCCTAAATAATTTTTGGAAATATTATTGGTTGAATATACAGTGAAATATATTAAAAACAATTCATAATAATTGTAAATCTAATAAATTAAATTAACTTTCATCTTGATAAAAAAAATTATGTATACTAACTTTTATCTTGCAAACATTTTGAAACAATTAAGTTTATAATCATTAAAAATTATCAAATAAATGACTAAATTGAAAAGTTATCTCTACCTAAAATGGCTGTTATTTTAAGTTTTTTATTCGGTTTATTCATTGAGTTTACGAAAAATCAAAGATTTATCTAAACTTTTGCACCGAATAATTTCTATTATTTTTTAGACAGAGACACTTTTTTTCATTATAAAAGAAAGTCAATTATATTTGTCTTTAACAACTATCAAAAATTCTAATGTTATTTTTGATGGTTTTTGCTCCAGGTACGAGTATGGCGAAGGTTACATAAGTTAAAGCAGTGACAAGAGGAGAATGTAAAAAAGCGAGGGAGAAAAAAAAATAAAAAAGAAGAAAAAGGTGATGTAAAACGTTAAATGAATATGCGACCGCATAAGTTTGAAAAAAATGATTTAATAAAACAGAGATTTACGTAAATAAAAAATAAAAAAAAAAAAAACATAAAAACAAAAAATGGAACTTTAGTGTTAATGAAAATTATGAAAACGAGTGAGCGAAAAAATTGCAAATGAGAAATGGATGCAAATTAATATTTACGAAATGAATTCTTCCTCACAATTTTTGCAGTGAAGATGAAAAAAAATAAAAATTATTAATAAACAGTTAGAGAAGAGTGTAAAGGTGATTAAGAATGAAAAACGATAAGAAACTATAATAATTGACTTGCCAGCCATCTTTTATACATTTTATCTAAAAAAATAATTAAATAAAAACAGGAGATAAAGTAGGGTGAAAGTAGCTGATATTTTGCAACGAGTAGATAAATGATGACTTACAAATATCTTTGACGATAAAAATCAACTATTATTATGGTGCGAAAATGTCATCATTCATAATTCATTCGCGCCAAATTAAACTAATTTTCATAAGGATGTTTTAAAAAACAAAGTACGTGATGTTATAAAAAAATTCTTGGAGATATCATGTCTCCATGGGCCAATGATGTTTTTTTTCTTTGTGTAAAATCATTGATAAATAATGAGAATGAGCCACACGTTGACGGGACAGGCTTCCAGGATAAATTTAGGTATTTAAACAAATCACTTCACTAAGAAGTCTGAGCGTGAGAGAGAGAGATAAAGTGACATGTGTTGATACGGAAAAATGCTTGATAGTGTGAACAAACATTTAACAAAACAAAAAAAGATTGAAATTGCAAAAATCTTTGAGCGGGCAAATAATAGATGTGAATGAAAATTTTAAGCGTTAGAATGATTGATAATTTGTGAGAGTGAATAAGTGAGTGTAAGAAATTGTAAACTTTATTAAAAATAGTAAATAAAAAAAAGGGAATAAAAACGATAAAAACTACAAAAAAAAATGATAATCATGATGCTGCTCAGAAAATTTACAAAAATGAATTCTTCCCAAGACATTTAGACAAAAAACAAGCTCAGGGACAATGACAGTCTTAATTATTGACATTTTACTGTCCATTTGATGTTGTTGTCTGAGAGCTGATATAATATTATGATAGTCCATTGAAAAAGATAAAATTGTTAAAACACTTTTCACAAGTTACATGGACGATATTAAAAATTTCAATGTTTTCTACACTTTATCAGAACACTGTTGAAACTCTAGGGAAATATGAGAAAAGTAAAATATTCAAATACAGATTTTCTTTTTTCGTACGTTCAGACATTCCAGAAAAAGAACTGAGCGCGTATATTCTACTGATTCTTCTCAAAGACGATAAATTTTTTATTTTTTTTTATCTTCCGTTTATATAATTTGTTTTATTTATTATTTCCATTCGATAAACTGAACGATGTTGACCACAAATAATTATAAAAATAAAAGTGAAAATCATTTAAACATACAAAATAATGACGATTTCATAAACGATTTATTTAACAGAATGATAATGATGATGATCCATGGAATAAATAATTGATGAATTATTGTGTTAAATTGCTTGAGAATTAAATTATTAGTAATTGAATCTTAAACTCAATTAAAAATAGATTTATTGAACAAAAAAATCTTTAAGAAAAATTGTCATATCTTTTTTTGGCTGTACAATAATTAACAAAACACAATTTTTTATTTAGAATCGTGCCTTTCCAAAGTATAATTCACTTAGAAAATGGGGGGTTTTATTATTACAAATATTTCTGGGAGTAATTAAAAAAAAAAAACAAAGGATAAAATTTACAAAAAATGAATGACAAAAGTACTATATTATAATATATTTTTAACATCATTAAAATCATTAAAATAACAAAGAATGACTCTCGAGCAAATTTTTCAATTTTTCTCTAGTTGCTACGAGGTTTATTTTTTTTTATAAACTTTTTTATTGTCGTTTGTTGAATAAAATAACATTTATTTCTTTATATTTAAATAAAACGAAAAAAGAAGACGTAGATTTTGTACATGTAGACTTTTTGCCATGAAATAGAACAAAAATCGAATCAATGATGAATAGGAAAGTGAGATAGGATTTTTAAATAAATGATTTGAAATATCACAAGACACAAATATTAAAGATAAAAGAAAAGAGTATTTAAGTAAAATTTGCATTAAATTGTATTTTTTTGATAAATAATTGAAAATGAAAAATGTTAAACTAACTCTAAATAATAGAAAAATAGTTTTTTTAAAAATATTTAATAAAAATGTCAATTGATAATCAATGTTGATGAAAAAAAAACATATTTTTATTGAACAATAATTTATCAAGATTATAATGAATTTCAATTTTCACACTATGTAAAATAGTAATAATTGTATTTGAATTTTAAGCGGTTTAATGCAGATTTTATGATGATTTATTAAAGTAGTCTTCGGAGGAAATCAAATTGAAATAAAATACTAAAACTTTGTGCAACTTACAGCGAGACTATAAACGAGATTGACAGTAATTTTGTGAGAATGTGTGAATGATTAATTATGAATAATTGCGATATTTAGTTAAAAAATGTAAATTAATTTATTGCTAATTTAGAGAAACTAAGTTGACACTTGGCGTAATGTTGAAAGAAAGAAAGGATAGAGAGCATAACTAAGAATAAGATGAGGAGAAAAAAAAAGAGAAGAGAAGTATGAAAAAGAAAATGAAGAAAACATCGCAAGTCATTTGAAAGCCTATTCTTCATCTTTCACATCTTCTATTTTCTCTGTCTCAATCTCTTCTATCTCGTTTTACTAAAATCTTAAACTTGTTTAAATATGATAAAAAAAAAGTCTTCATAATCCAGCCAAGGATTTCAGCCGAAGATTCTTAAGTAAAAAAAGAAAATTTATTGAAGCCACAAAAAAGCTTTCTACCAAATAAAATAGAGTTCTCAGAGTTTTTTACCTAGTGAACTCGATATGTGTAACCTTTTAAACATCGCGCACACCTTTTTATTGACACATGTGACCGATTAAATAGTTAGATAGAGTCTAGAAATGATTAAGACAAAGTAATGATTATGAAGATAGGAGTTAGGATGATAATTATGAGTGTATATGTGGATTGTGTTGATGATGATGATGATGATGATGATAATGAAATTGGAAACACTACTTGTAGCTTTTATAATATTACAATAACGAATATTGTACTATTATAATTAATTAATAATAATATAATTAATTAATTATTCAAGAAAAGCGTCATCTTAAAGGATGGAAGATTTTTACACTGTTGAAACTTGAAGTAAATAATATATTTAGTTTATTTTGGTACATCATAATTCGAAGAGTAAGAATGATAGTGTATGAATGGAAGGACAAATTCGTGAAAGCAAATAAAAAATGATTGATAATGAAATGAAATAAAAACGTATGAGAGTGCCTGAATGTAAGGAAGAAAGCAAGAGAAAAAGAGACTTTGATTGACTGTAAAGAAAGATAATTAAAGAGGAGAAAAAAGCGAGGATAGAAGAACATGAAAACTTATTTTAAAAAAGTCAAAACTATTTTTTAAGATACTGATTATCGAGCTCACTTTGAGTACATGATGATAAAGATGGCGGAGGAATGTAGAAGATGTAAAAAAGAGTCAATGATTTAATTAATTAATCATTAAGGAAACAATTTTATGTGAATTAGGATGAATACTGAAAGAAGAAATTACTTTTAGAATTAGAAAACAAAAAGTCTTCTTGAGAAAAAAAATTATGCAATAAATTTAATTTATCGAGATTTTTATTATTAACTTATAGATAAATATTATAACACAATTGTTTTTTTTTACATAAAATAATGTCAACTATTTTTTTTATAACAGAATGTAAATTATTTCTTATTAAATAATTTATTACATTTAAATGGTAAGAACTGCTTTAAAATATAAAAGTATTTTATTTAAATTTTTATATAAAAATGATTATACATATAAGAAAGAAACATTATTAATTTATATTAGTTTCATTGATTAAAATAGAAATTTATCAATAGAAATATAATCTTGAAGTAAATTTATATAAATATATTTATATGTATATATACATATATCTTAGGACTTTTCATAAATGTTTTAAAAGCAGTTTCTTTTTTCAGTAATAGATGCAAAAATTACAATTTAATAATTGAAACAAAAAACTTTATATGGGTCTTCGTACAAGTTTTTAAGAAAAAAAATGCATGTCAAATGACTAGGAACTAGAAAGAAAATGATAAAAATCATGTGATTGAATCGTAATTTTTTTCCAGAATTTTATTAAAAAAAAAAAAACCTACAGAAACTATAAAGTCTAGATACTTTTACTAAGCTAGACGTAAGCTAAAATATTAAACTGCGATGACCAAACGTATTGAACAAAAGGAAAAACTTCGGCTGGAATCGTAAGATAAGAAGTGAAAAAAAAACAAACTAAAGAAATAAAGTAATGAATTAAATGATAAGGGAAGGAGATGAAAAGGATGATGATTTAAAAAAAAAAATAAATAACGAGAAAAAAAAACAAAAGATTGATAAAGTTGATGAAAAATTTTATTGTACAGGAGATAAAAACGATGGAAAATGTTGAGAAGTGTAGGTAGTTAGGTGTTGAATTACGGAATTAGGATAGTTATTGATAAAAAAAAGATGAGAAGAAAAAAAGCAAAAAAAAAAAATAAAAACCAAATTTTGGTTTTATAGGCATAAAAAATTAAGAATAAAAAAAAATAAAAAAGTGTCTAGATGTAAGATATCTTTTAAGTAGATAGTAATTAGAATGTAGTTAGATTATAACTGCCTCCTCCTCTTTACTCCTTGTAGATTTTTTGCTTCTCAAGTTGTCCCTCATCCAGGATATTTTGCTGCAAACTTAGTGAGGGTGACTTGATAACTAGAATTAATATAAAAAATATTTAAAAACAAGAATTTAACAAAATTGATGGGATAAAAAAACAAACTCATGGAGCATTATCGAGGCAGGCATAATGTATAAAAAAATGTAATCATTCAGTCCAGGCACCGTAAAACTCGTTAAGACTGACTGGCTTTTCATATAATAATGATTAATGAATGAATATATTAAATAGTATATATATATATATATACATATTATATATATATTGTAATAATAATTATTATTATTCTACAACATTAATTAATTAAATCTGTAGTATAATACGTGATGTTTACAAAGAAATCGTTCAACTCACAATTTAGCAAGGAAAATCTAAAGTTTTGCTTGCTTATCGCGAGTCTGGTGTTTGGGCTGTTTTGATTATAGTAATTTTTATAGATATGCAAAAGAGTGTGGTTGGCTCGTTGAAAGTTATTCTTCAAGCTTCTTTTTTAGCTAGAAAAGAAAACAAAAAAAATGGAAAAAATATTTAGGCATATAATTAATATAAGAGTGTGAATGAAGTGATAAGAAGTTCACACACACTGACAAGAAGAAGCCAAGCAAAACGTACACTTTAAAAACTGACACACATACTAATGAGTTAGATTAAGTGATAAAGCCCATTTTGTAGCTCTAGAGTCCGTTGTGACGTAGTCCCTAGGTTAAGAAATATTAGTTGAAAATAATGAAATTGATTAAGGAATTAAAATTGAAAATAAAACATTTTGAAGTAATGTTTAAGATGAAAAGGAATGATGGATTGTGTGTGAGTGTATGTGTGTGTGTGAAGATAAGGAAAAAAATAAGGAAAGAGAGAAGGAGGCGATTTTTAGAATACGGCTTAAAATTTATTATACTAGATAAGAATGATAAAAATAATAACAATGGGAAGATTTACAGATTCCCAAAAAGTCGTAAAAAGACTTTGTTTCTGTTTCTTCTGATATTAAAATATTAACTTTTTATCATTTTGTTTGTTGGAGAGGAAACAAGAACAGTTCTTTGAGAGATTCTTTGTACAGTCCTTTTACGTAATTATTGTTTAAATAATTTGTCAAAAAAAGTAAATAACTGCGAAGCTGAGTGTGTGAGAGATTTTAATGAGAGTAAGAAAGACGTTTTGAAAGTTTGATGACTAATAGAATATTGTAGTAACGCAAAAAAATGAAAAAAAAAAACTAAAGAAAGAAAAAAGTAAAAAAAAAAAAATAATAAGGAATGCTCTTTTGATGATATTTTATAATGCGCCTCCATTTTTATCTTATTTCATAAAAAATATTCATTTAATTAATTATTTTGTTAATTAATTAATTAAATGTTTTTTGTATTTTTTTTGTCCTCGTGATGGTTCTTAGTCTATTTTTCATTTTGAAAAAGGATGAAATATGAGAAATCAGAATTTTTGATTGCGAGTTAATTAATTTTATTACAGATTAATATACTGAAATAATAATTTTTATTACATAAATTCAATTAAATTATTGTGATGAGACAAGAGTAAATTAGACACTAAGACAAGTGTGTCATAGATAAGGTTTAGAAAATCTTTAGAAGTTAATAGGTGCTGTAATTAAAGAAAAAAGAAGAAAATAAAAAAAATGTAATTTATGAAGATTTTAAGATAAAATAAGTGTTTTATGCAATCAGAATTAGATTTTTCATGAAATTTGAATAATAATAAGGGTATAAGCCATTGAAAAAGTGCCCTTAGTTTATTTTGGATTATTTAACTAAAAAGCTAGTCTTTGTGTGAAATAATTTTTTGAAGATTTATGCGAGTGCGAAAGAGAGAAAACGAATGAAACCGACATAGTTGAGTTATTGATTAATTTTTTTTTTTAAAACATCATTAAAATAATGCCAACTTAAGAAGACCTGTCAAGTTAATAAGTTTTATTACTTGACCTTTTTTTTTTTGTTAGTTATATTATTAATGAAGAAATACTTTCTTAGCGCAAATTAGATAATAATAAACTCTTAGAGAATAGTATATCAAATAGGTTAATAGATTTTATGAATGAAGAAAAAAATCAAAATTTCTTCTCTATTTTTCTCCCTTATTTTATTTTTTTTTTTCAATCAATAAAAAATGTTTTCTGAGGATTTCATTTTTTATTTATACTTTACTCTCCATTTTTTTACATTAAAAAGTCTACATTTTATGTCCATTTGAGTAACTTTTCAAGTTTTCTTCTTGATAAAAATATTTTCTTCACCTTCAAATAAACACAGCTGTTGGATTATTCAGTATTTCATAGATTTGTTATATTTTATCTAAAGAAAATTGAAATTAAATAATTTTTTGTGAATAGACAAAAGTAAGATTTAACATTATAAAGTTTTTTTCTATATTCAAATTAATTACAAATAGCATGTAACAAAATTATTGATAACTTGATTTAAATATTCTGACGGTATTATCAGCTCCCCCTGATACCATGAGTTTTGGATTGGACCAGTCACATGAAAGTACTTTGTCTTCGTGACCAGAAAGTTCATATAATGGTGCTCGCGAACTATTAAAATAATATTTGATATAATTAATACTGTTTTTACATTGAATTTTAACTTGTAATTCGAATATTTTACCTTCTAGTGTCCCAAAGTTTTAAACAATTATCGCAAGCTCCGGAAATAAATAGATTCTGGTCTGTCGTTGACCAACGTACAGTTTGAACCCACTGAGTATGAGAAGTAAACGTTGTCTTAACAACAGATCCCTCTATAAATAAATTTACATAAATTCACTAGTCATATACATAGATATAGTGATTTAATTATAAATTATAACAAACCTGTTGATCGCGGATCGTAGAGTCTGATGTGTCTGTCAGCAGAAGCAGTGATTACAGCACGTGACAAATCTGAATAATCAACATCAAAGAAGCTTTTATGACCATGAATTTCGTGTTTAATTCCTCCTAATTCAGAATCCCACACTTTGAGAGTATGATCCCATGAAGAAGTAATTATTTCTGTTTTATCTGACCAAACAACTCCACTTACAGCTTCTTTATGACCTTTCAAAGTTCTGAGTGGCGTCTTCAGAAAAATAAATAATGAAATGCTAATAACAAAATATCATCTATTGATTATAGGAAATACATACCCTTGTTTTTCCTCCATCTGTTTTCATTTTTTTACTCATCGACTCGCCATCTTCACTTTCATCGTCAGCTGCTGTTGACCAAATTTTTATCATTGTATCCCAAGCACCAGTTGCCATTACTCCACTTCCTTTATTGACACCAACAGATTCTAGTGCTTGTTCGTGGCCACGACACATATGGATACAATCCACTGAGTTTCTTGCAATGTTCCAGTCCCAAATGATTGCTGTTTGATCCTGTGATGCACTGAAAATTATAAATAATTTCCATTAATAATAAAAATCAATTTATTAAAATATGGAAAGTTATTTGAATTATATCAATAAAAATGTTAAACTTAATGTCAAATTTTTCAAATATACCTGACAAATATGCCTGTTTCAGAATCCATGGATATCCAAGCAACAGATTTTATTGGAGCACTGTGGCCAGGAATAGTTAATTTATGTTTCCCTTTAGATGTCCAAATGTGTACAGTATTGTCATAACAACCAGTGAGAATCCTAATATGATTAAATATTTGGAGTTAAAATTACGAGCACTGTTTTAATAGGAGTAACTGTTCAAGTAGAAATATGTTATTTACCATTTTTCAGATACAGAAACTGCTGCTACCCAATCATCATGAATCAAACAGTCTTTAGGTTCTGGTGGTGGATGTTTTTCTAAATATTCTACATCGATAATATTCTCAGTTGAAACACCTCGTATATTGATGTGCTCTAATAGGGATGTTCTTAAGAATTCAGAACATACAAGAAAATCAAACTCAACTTCTCGTACATCTTGTGTTGTTTCTATAATAAAAAAATTATTAAAATGAGTTTTATCATATAATTTATTATTATATTTTATAGAATAATTATAAAACAATATAAATAAAATTTTTACCTTTTAATAATTCATTGACTAATGTGTTCAACTCATTAGCAACAATATTAGTTGAAACAGAAAGTGGATAATCAGGCACAGCATATCTTTAACATCAATGAAAATTAGTTAGTATTTAAAATTATTTCGATTTACAGTGAGTTAAAGTTGTAAATGTTTGTTGATAATACTGAGTTTATAACCTAAAAACGAGTTATGTATTTTCAAGAAATACTTACTGTATTTGCTTTGTAACAAAGCGAATTTGCATTTGTGCTGCATCACCATCATTACCTATACTGGTCATCTTGCAATTATAACTTTATTTTATAAACAAAAATTAATAAATAATGTCCATAGCAACCACGCGGTTCTGTAGAAAAATTTCTATTTTTCTATTTATTCGTTTTATAAATTCATTAGTGATGTGAAACATCAACAATTGTTAAATTCAAATAAAAAATCTTCAATAAAAAATTTTTCGTAACAAATGTAAATAAAATAACTTATTAATTTTCACTATTTAATAATAAACACTTTATCAACAAAAGGTTATTTTTTATTCAATTTTCGTCACAAATGTTGTCGACGCTGTCATGAAGAGAATAATTTTAATATGATTGGTGAAACGATTCAGGAGCGTAGTAAAAAATATCCCTATTTTATTTTATTCCTGAATAGTTAATGTACCCGCGTAATTTAAATCAATTTATTACTAACTTTGAATATTAATCATTTAAACTAGATTATATACATATACAATACTTTATTGTATACAATACATTATTTATAATGATAAATTTTCTATTAATTTACTAGCTGCTATTTATTGATTATGTTGCATTATTTTACGTATTAACAATGACATAGTTTCCACCTATGGCGAATCGAAAAAAAGAATCGAGTTTAATCATGAGTGTTTCGACCAGAAACGAAACGTGTTGTATTCACCCGAGTCGAGGCAAGTTCAAAATTGAAATGAGTTTCAACTGTAAACTTTAATTCAACGATGGAAACGGTGAAAAATCATCTTTCCACTCGATTCAATTGAAAATCGAGCTAGAGACGAGTTGAAAATATATTGTTTCCACCGAACATGAGGGTGAGGTTAAATGTAGAAAGAAATAGACATAGATGCAAACAGCTATTTCACTGAATTCACTTAAATTTTCTGTTGATATTAGTTAAATCTATTATTAAAATTGATCACTTAATAGATCGAAAGTAATTCAAATTATTTCTACTTAACATATTTAATGATTTTTTTGTTATTCGCTTAATCAAATTAATTTGAACTGTTTTCCGGTGTTCTTTATTGTATAAACTTTCAAATGAAATTCGTACGAAGTCATCAAATCTTGGATTTCATTTTTGGCGTTTAGTATAGACAAAAATCGGTACATGCGCTACTTGGCAACGACTAAACACAACAGAAAACTTCATTACCGCCATAGGAATTAAATAACTACTACCATCTGTCGGGAGGAATGAGAAGCTCATCTTTAAATTACATATGGCCGCAGGAATGCGAGGTTATGAAGCACGTGTTTGTATACAACAACAACGATCAAATCAACAGTCGATTTATATAAATTAAATTGTTTTACATTGAATTAAAAAAAATGTATTAAAGCATTTATTGTAAAAAGTTACGTTTATATATAAATGTGTTTGAGTATTTATTGTAACAAATAAATATCATTGAAGAAAATGAGTACTTCCAATCTTAAAGAGTCGTAAGTAAAACTTGTATTATGGTGCTGTTGTTAATATTTAATATATTCCATTAATAATATTCGTAGTTATATGTGAGATAAATTTTAATATTTTTAACTAAGATGTATGTATTTTATTTATTAAATTATTTTCGTGTTTAATTTTTGAAGATTTGAAGTAGAAGCAAAACATGGAGCTTTTTACATCGGTGGAAGAGTCAAGGTATTTTCAGAAAATTAAAAGATTTAAATACAAAAAATGTTAATTTTCATTTGTGATAATTTTTTGTGATGTTTTATTATTTTTTAACAGTGGAGTCAAGACGGCGAATATTTGTTTTGCCAAAATGGAGCATCAATATCTATTTTATCAATTAGCAAAGGAACTGTTATAACTTCCTTGGGACAAGTTAAAGATGAAATAGAAGAAGATACAATAAACTGTTTTAATCTCAATAATAAAAATGATCATGTTATCTCACATCACAAAAGTGGCTTATTTAAATTATGGTCTTGGAAAGGTAACATCTATGCTTATTTAATATCAATTTAATTTCACCAATGTATGATTTTTTAAAACTTTTAATCCTTTTCCTAGATGAGAAAATCACCAAATTATGGAAGTCGATTCATAAAGGACCTGTATCACAAATCGCTTTATCTAGTGACGATAATATAATGGCTTCTGGTGGAAGTGATTCTAGTGTTAGATTGTGGAATCTCGAACATCATTCATGTCTTTTTAATTTAAAAGGAGCTGAAGGAGTCATTAGGTAATTAAATTGAAAGTTTACGACAAAATATATTTTTACATCATTTAAAAATATTATTTGATTTAGTGTTCTAGAATTTCATCCAGATCCCGAACAAAAATTAGTTTTCGCAGCAGGCGATAATGCTATAATTCATGGATGGGATATCAAAACAGGAGAAGTTAAAGTCCTCTTATCTGGTCACTTTAGTAAAGTGACATCACTGTCATTTTGTAGCGATGGAAAACATCTAATTAGGTAAATAACTGTTTATTGATAAATAATAACAACTGAAAAAACAATACATTTCAAATAAATTATTAAAACAAAAATTATTATACAGCTCAGGACGAGATAAAGTACTCATTCTGTGGAACATTGTACAAAAAACATCAGTGAGAATACTTCCAGTTTATGAAGGATTAGAAGGAACATTTATCATACCTTCGAATATCAATTTTCCTGGTTGTAAAGACAAAGACAAGTCTAAAGGCATTTTTGTAGCAGGAGCTGGTGAAAAAGGATTCGTTACAATATGGGAAATGAGATCAGGCCGTGAAATTTATACTCAGATGAATTCTTTAGTTCCTGCAGCTAAAGAAGATGGTGGTTTATCAGTGACACATTTATTATTTAATAAAAAAGATGAAAGTTTTGCTATGGTTTCGACGGATCATAACATTATCATACATTCTCTGAGTGATTTTGAGTGTCAAAAACAGTTTATTGGATACAGTGATGAAATTCTCGATATAGCTTATATCGGAGACAATGGCAGTCACATTGCCATTGCTACTAATAGTTGTGATATAAAATTATATCAATTATCGACAATGACCTGCCAATTACTACGTGGACACACGGATTTGGTTTTAGCTCTTGCCACAAGTCGAGCAAATCGAAATCTTATGATTTCATCAGCAAAAGTAAAATGACATTATAAAATTAATAATTTATAATTTAATTTTGACTTCAGTTAAATAAAATTTTCTCTATTTTTTTCAGGATAATAGTGTTCGCATTTGGTTTATGTGTAAAGAAAGTGAAACAATGTATTGTATCGGTAGTGGAGTTCGTCATACATCGTCAGTTGGGTCGGTTGCTCTTTCAAATTTATCTTCAAATTTCTTCGCATCAGTTAGCCAAGATTCTTGTTTAAAATTATGGTCACTTCCTCACGAACTTTCTGCAACTGGTAAAATATTATAATTTTTAGTCACATTACTTAAATTGATAGTTATTAATTTATCATTTACTTGAATACTTCAATTTTTTTATCGATTTAGATCAAAATATTGCTTTAAATGTCGAGCATACTGTGATAGCACATCCCAAAGATATCAATAGTGTGACGATATCTCCAAATGATAAACTACTGGCTACTGGATCTCAAGACAAAACAGCAAAGGTAACAATAAAAGAGATCTTGTGACTCTTTCAATAATGCAACGTTTTTTAATATTCTCAGAAAAACTTGGAATAAAAATTTTCTTTTGAATTTTGATTAGCTATGGAATGCAGAAAATTTACAATTACTAGGTGTACTAAGAGGACATAGGCGAGGAGTATGGTGTGTTCGATTTTCACCTATTGATCAAGTTTTACTTACTTCTTCTGCAGATTGTACTGTAAAACTTTGGTCATTATCAGAATTAAACTGTATAAAGGTATGTAATAAACATAATGGATTTAAAAATGTTTGAAAATATTTTATAAAAATTCTACATAAGTTATTGTTATCAATTAATAATAATATTTATCATCTAGACTTTTGAAGGACATGAATCCTCTGTGTTGAGAGCAGAATTTATATCTCGTGGAATGCAACTGATAACATCCAGCGGTGATGGTTTACTCAAGTTATGGTGTGTAAAGACTTCGGAATGTATAACTACATTAGATGCACATGATAATAGAGTGTGGGCTTTGGCTGGTAAGCTTTAATAATAAACAAATAAAATACAAATATTTTATAATCAGAAACATTTACATTCTTCATACATGATTCTTTAATTTATTTTTATAGTAAGTAGAGATGAAAAACAATTAATTAGTGGTGGAAGCGATTCTCTACTAATAATTTGGCGAGATGTCACTGAAGAAGTTCGAAGAAAAGCCGCAGAAGAACGAGAAAGAATAGTCCTTGAAGAACAAAGATTAGCAAATTTATTAAAAGCCGGAGAACTAATCGATGCGTTAAAGTTAACGCTGGATCTTGATAAACCTCAACATACTCTTCGAGTAATTGAAGGAATTTTAAAACGTGGTGGTAATGAATTAACCGATGCAATTAACGAGCTAAAGCCAAGTGAAAAGGAAATTCTTCTTAAATGTACTACGATATGGAATACAAATAGTCGGAATGCACATGCAGCTCAGGTAAGTCTATTGAAATGAAATCACGCGATAAGGTGGTGATTTTTAAACTCGTGAATTCTTTCAGTTGGTCATTAATGCTCTAATGAGTGACATTGGGAGTGGCTATTTGCAATTGCCTGCATTATCCTCAACATTAGAAGCATTGATTCCATATACGGAGAGGCATTTTAAACGAGTTACTAATTTACTTCAAGATCTTCATTTTTTGAACTACACCATCACTAGAATAAAGCCGCATATTGAACCAAAAATAAACAATGAAAGTGATTCAGAGATGGAATCATAATAATGTAAATAATGAAAATTATATTGTGAAAATTTCTCGATATTTTTTTGAATTAAAGCAAAAATATTAAATAAAACAATGAGTAATTAGTATGTTTACTTGAAATATTGGAAGTGCATAAACACACGCGAGAGCAATTATCAATTTTAATCCTTAAGTATATATGATCTACTGTCTCATCAGATGTCTATATACTTAAATTATAATTGTAATAGCATATAAATGTATGTGTTTGGTAAGCGACGAGCAGTGCAAGTGGGATCAACGCTTGGTCGGCGCTTTTTGCTTCTTTGTAAATTTACCTGTTTAAAACACCTCAGACTCCATCACTGCATCAGTTTAAGTCTACCAGCACGTCTGATCACGAGTGTATAATTATAAAATGCGTGGATGTAAAAAATTAATTTCCTTGAGAGAATTTTTATTTTTTATCAATGTCTTTCACTTTGTATCAAGTGTTCCGAATACGTAAGTTTTTTAATTATTAAAAACATCGTTTTTATTCATGTTTTTTATCAAATTAGTTCAATCGTTGAGCACGTGCAATTTTTGTCAACTCACTACCAGTCAAAAATTATCCATAAAACAATCGATATTTGATATTTCGTCAGATTAGACTTCTTTCAAAAAGTATTAAACTATTTATTAGAATAATAAATTATTAAAATAATTCCGTCTGATGTAAAAAAAAACAAATAATTCTATTTTCTATTGGTGATGAATCAAATTTTTATTTTGACATATTTTTTTTGAATGTTGCATGTGGTTAATGTGGTCTACCAGAACATTCGAACTAAGCAATTAGTAATTGTAAATTTATTATTTAACAGTATGACCAATGTAGTTGATATTCAGTGAGATCTCTGCATGATTACTCGCGCATGACATGGTTGCGGTCTTTTCTCATGTTACAGAAAAAACATATTGTCACTTTGAAGGACTCTTAAAACATTTTCAAGATTTAAAAATCGTTAGAATATCTATTGAAATGATTCTGAAAATTTAAAGCTTTACAACATCTATTGATATGTAAAAGTAGTTTTTTTTTATTCACTTTATACAATATTAAAGTCAAATTCAGTTGTGTAAACTTTATTAGCGGTATTATGAATATCTTAAATTACGATAACAAAATACCTGCTGCCGAAATGTGTTTAATTAGTCCATAAATAATTGAAGGCAAAATAATGTACTGAACGTTTTTAAATTACTAAATGGAAGCAGTAGCTGCTCTTTTATTTCATTCAATCAGTAATTGAGAAATATTTGAATTATAATGTATATTTATTTTGACTATTATTTAATGAATGAACAATACGTCATTTATTGTAAAAATGTTATTTTTATCAGGTGATATTTTGCAATCAAACATAAGAGACTTTACATATTTGATTGTGACGCAAATTGTTTGTTTCTTTCATATTACAATCACGTGTGAAATATCATCTTTACGTGTCATTTCTCTACATACTTTCAAAATAAATGACACGTCTATCAATTTTATATCATTTTATTATAGCCTTCAGAAATATAATAAACTATGATAAAATACTTTTTTAACATGCAAGGTATTTGAAGACCTTACAAAAATTTGATACTAAATAAAATAAGTAGCTTCTTACAAGTGTTCCATTGTATCATTTTTTATTAAAGGTATACATGTTCTAGAATATTAATCGGTATAAAACATTTAAGCTTGAACAATATAAATGATTAATCGTTTTCATTAGATCATTAGCAAATGTAATCAATTAGTTAATTTTTTGTATTACAAATTTGTTTTAATCTACTAATTTTTTGTATATAGGGCAATCGATGGAGGTAGTTGTCCAATGATTAATCCAGCAAATATATTGAGACAAAAAGAGTTGCTTCAGGAATTAACGAATGATTGTAGGTACGATAAGATGGTGAGACCACCAGGTGAAATCAATGCAAGTGACCCAATTCGAGTAGCCTGTAGGGCTAATATATATACTATTAAATCGAATATGGCCAAAACATTGGTAATTTAATATTTTAATCTTTACTTTATGGCAATCGTTAAGATATGTCACTCCAAACTTGCTTATCAATCATTCGAAAACTACTTTTCTCAGGAAATAATATTTTTAAATATTTGGAAAGTCTTTCTATTTTTAATTGAAATTATAATTAATGAGAACATTTAGATGTTTTTAATAATGGAAAATAATATGAAAACTTCAAAGTTTTTATTTTATATCGAGGATTTATTTTAGTAAGATAGTTTGAATGATTAATTACCAAGTTAATTATTGCATTCATAAAACTATCATGATAATTCATAAGATAATCAGATAATTTTATACATTATATCATTAATTTGATGAAAAAACTGATGGGTTCTATCAAATTTTTCAAACAAAATATTATAATTAATCATCATAGTTATCTGTCAATCAACAGACAAGCTCTATATCAACACTAAAAATAAAAACAAAAAATGAATAAAAGTAATAAAAAGGAAATAAAAACATAGCATTTGGATATTCTGAATGATAATAATTGTGATTATTTTCAAGAAAACTTATTATTTCTTATTTTTTTAAGCAATTTGATGTTCACATGATGCTTCAACTTCGCTATCGTGATGCACGACTTAAATATACAGAAATAGCACCACAATATAATCAAATATACGGTGGTCAAGAAGCACACAATTTAATTTGGACTCCAACTGTTTTTGTTTCGAATGAAAGAACTTCGGTTATTATGGGTAATGGAGTTAAAGATTTGTTAATTTCTATTGATCCTACTGGAATGGTTATCTTAAACACTAGGTAACTGAAATAATGTCTAAAAATATCATAAATAAATTAATCAAATACATTTGGAAGATCCAATATCTATATGAGAGATATACAACGTATCATATTATGTCTCTAGAATTGAAGCTACCTTGAACTGTGCTCTGCGCTTGGAAAAGTTTCCCTTCGATGTCCAAGAGTGTCCCCTCATCTTCGAAAGCTGTAAGTTGGAATGAAATAATGAATTTTTTATGAGGATTAACTAAAAGTTCATCATCATATTGATTTATCATGTATAACATTGATTATTAATTCATAACTGTTTTGGTATTATTTCTTTATTTTGGTAAAGAATAAAATGTTGATAAATTGTTAGGGACATATAGTGCTCAAGACATGAAACTTGAGTGGGACGAAGCACCTATCATTCTAGCTGAAGAACTGCATTTAACTGAGTATCGACTGGTAGAGAAATGGGTTAACGAGTCTGAGGTCTCTTACACTGCGGCACAGCAACATTATGGTCACTTTGGTAAATTGAACAATCGATTATTTTGTAACTTGACCCTCTAGATCTTTTTTACGATCGATACAAGATCACTTGATCTGTCATTCGCGTAGAAAAACATATCTTATAATGCATTTATATTAGAAATAACATTTATTACAATGATAGTAGCAGGAATAATTGCAATTATGATAAATATGATAATCATTTTACCTTTATATTTATTTTTTTTAAATTAAAAAGTTGTAAAAAAGATACAATCCATTAAATGTTTGCTTAATTAGTTCTTAGCTGTCAAAGAATACCTTCTATTCTTTGAACTTTGTATTAAATTTTAGGATAGGTAATGAATATTTTAAAAGGTTTCTCCTGTAATTGATTACCTAGACTATTTTAATACAATACAATTGTTTTGTCGAAAATAAACAATGGCTACATATAAATCTGAAAAAAAGGAAACAATTTGAAATCATATCACTGTATGATCCAGTTATCGGTTACTTAATAAATAAATTACCATTGTTGAAAAATAATAATAAAAGTAATATTTCTAAGAAAGGAAGTTTATAAACAGATAGAATTTATTTTTTACACAATAGGTAATATTTTAGAATTATTTGTTTCCAAGAAAAATCAGTAACTGTGAATTTTTAGATGAATAATGATGCAAAATGTCAAATACAATTTTTAAAATAGTTTTAATGAAATTGAATGTAAATATTGTTCTAATTCTGTGTTTTAATAACTATTGTAGCAGGTAATTTCAGTTCAATCAGTATAACATTCAAATTAGCCAGAGAAATGGGATTCTTTGTCATGGATTATTATATACCATCAATATTGATCGTGGTGGTTTCCTGGGTTTCATTTTGGCTTCATGTAGATGCAAGTCCACCAAGAATTGTTTTGGGTACCAATACAATTTTAGCATTCATGACTTTAGCATCTAAAGTTGAAAATTCATTGCCTAAAGTGTCTTATATTAAGGCTAGTGAGATATGGTTTCTTGGTTGCACGATATTCCTGTTTGCAGCGATGGTAGAGTTTGCTTTTGTCAATACGATTTACCGTAGGAAGTAAGTTCAAGTTATAACTGTTGATTTAATATTGAAGTAATTATGTAGCACGATAATAACAGATTTGTAATAAACTTCAATGACTTTTGTTAAGGAAAAATGTACCCTTGAAGAAGGTCAATAGTAAGTACATTTTAAAATCAACTTTAACACCACGATTAGCTAGAAAGCAGTTTCATAAAAATACTACAAGCCTTGAGAGATCAAAATCTTGGTCATCTCTAGATCATGGACGACTTAATGGCAATGATTATTCAAGTCAAAATTATCTCACAGTTCATGTAAGTAAAATAATCAAGTTCTTTGCTGAAGTTAATTAATACTGATTACGATATTTATTAAAATACACGTAAATAAGTGAATAAATTTAAATAGTTTTATCATCATTTACAATCAAAGAAATAATCAAGAAGTCTTATTTTCAAGGATATTTTTCTATAAAAAATATTCTTAGGAGTTTAGCAATAAAAAATAATCTTCTTACATCTCTAGGTAAAATTAAGTCATTGTTTTTCAATAATTTTTATCAGCAATAAAATTTGTCATTTCTGGCTCAAATTTAGTATGTAAAATAGCGAATTTATTTTAAAACCAAATTTGACCATCAATTCTAAATCAATAAAAGGAACTTTTCATTTTTGCTTTTTGAATGTTCCAAACCCGTTATATCTTCTTAACTAATTACCAATGATATTTACATGTATTTCACGACATTTATTTGCCTGAGAAATTCCTGAGTAATAAATAACACGATAATTTGTGTGTATGTTTTTTTTAGAGCTTCCCTAGCACGATAAATATTCCATCAGTGCGGGTAGACGATGACAAAGAGCGAGATTATTCAAGCGGGAGTATAATGACAGTGGAAAGTTCACCATCACCACCAGCCAAATCATTTGCCAGGCGACCAACTCTTGCTAAACTTCATAACTTTACTACAATGACACCTCAAGAAATAGCTCAATGGATTGATAGACGTAGCAGGATAGTGTTTCCAGCAGCTTTCTTGATATTTAATATACTCTACTGGTCATTCATTTGGATATAACTTATAATTTTTTTTATACCTCGATAATTATTTATAATTTAAATATAAATCATAATAAAGATACCAACAACCTATAAAAAAAGATGAATTATAAATTTGCAAAGTTTCTGAATGTCTTCCTACATCGATCAATGATCATTGACATCGAAAAACTATAATTTATAATTTCTCAATGCCTTTTAACGAGTCAATAAGACAACCTCGAGCTTATTTAACTTACTTTTATCTATTACACCTAATATGTATAAAATATCAATAGTTTTGTATGATAGAATGGGGTCATTATATGATTTTGTAAAAAACTGAGACTGGCCTTAGTGTGGCCACGTAAGCATTTATATGTTCACTCGCGTGTTCGAATGTATAGATAGAAATCTCCCTTTCGCAGTCAATCTTCAAGCAATGGGGGTGTGTAAACTCTTTTTACTGACCTAAACTTCAGGAATATCTTGTAATAAAATAAAAAAATTCTAATATAGGATCAAACCAAGGTCGTCATTTAAAGGCCTATCGCTTATGACAAATTTCATGACTCACGCAATACTTTGCTTCTATCAAGGGTCCACTGGGCTTTTTAAAAATAATCTTATTAATATTTTCCCTATACTTATATTCAGAGGAAATAAATTATATTACTCTACTGTAAGATTACTCTGCTGCTTATTTGTAATTTCATTCATAATCATTTATTTATGTAAATCATATCACATTAGATTGTTCGTGATGGTGTGTAAACTTACATTGCAATTATCTTGTTGGTTTGAATATTTGTAAATCGATCGACACAATAGAAAAACATATTGCCATGCAATTTCTAAACAATAACATATAAAGAAATGTAATAATTCATGATCAAGTGTTTATTCATTCACTTATACTGTTAAATGTCATATATGTCATTTTAAAAATGAACGACTGATTGAAAAATTATTTTATCATTTTAGTCAAATAAATGAAAATGTAATTGAGACTTTATCCAGTTTGTTTAAATTAATAATATGATAATTTATCGTATTGCTTTATTTAAATGCTTTTATTATAACAGCCAGCTGATGTGAAATTTCCCTTTAATAATAAATAATAAAAGCACAGGATGTGATAAGAAAAAGAAAGTTTCTTATAAATTATAATAAAATTATAAAAGAGAATTAAAATTTAATGAAAAATCATATTATTTAACTTTATTATTATTTTTTAATATTTATTTATGTGTTGTTGTTATTTTTTTAAATGTTTGTAATATTTATATTAGTTATTGTTAAAAAAAACTTATCCTTTGCATACGTTCAATTTTATGATCATCCTTTGGTTGCAAGATGTTTCATTGTTTATCGTCTTTTCCATAAGATCTTTTTTGTCATATTAAAAAAATTCCCAAGGATCGCAGGTCACTTTCCCTTTTCTTTAACTAAACTATTATATCCCTTCTGTTCTTTAAGATTTTCTAACAATTCTCATCCAGTCTTTTGTCACTTTTTGACGAGTTCACTTTGTTTAAAAGGATCTATTGGCAAAAACTGTAGGTGAATATAATTCAATGATTAAAAAAATATAAAAAGTTTTAAAAATGAATATAGGAACAAGTTCTTCGATTGTTGTGCCTGAAAACTTTGAACAAAATCATCGTTTATCAGAGGATTTTTCACCGTGGACACTTAATTCACCAGTTTTACTTGAAGATAATGAAAATAAAGTGACGAGAAAAGTTAGTGATTCGTGGTATGATCAAATTGATGATCTTTGTTATGTTGATTTTCTAAATGAGATTCCTGAACCAAATGATGCATTTTTTGGTATGTATAATTTAGTTGTTTAGTACATTGATTATATTGTAATCATATTATGAATATTAAATTATTTAAATAATTGTTTTATTTAAGATACACCATGTACTTCTACACCTAAAAAAAAAGAACAATCAAATCTATCAACATCAAAGTCAAATACAATCAGGTTTGTATTTGTAATAATTGAGATTTGATTTTTAAATTTGAAAAGGAATTAATTGTGAATAATATATTTTAGCTCACCTAAAATTAAGGATGATGTAAGAGAAGACAATAGCATTCGTAAGGGCTTAAAATTGGTACAAAGAAGAGAAACGAAAATGTATACTAAAAAAAGCCAACTGTTTTCAATTACAGAACAAATGAAAAAATTTTTGAGTGAAAAACCAGTTTATAAGGTGGGTAAATAAGTGAAAATATTAAAAAAAATAATTATAACTAATATTATTATAATTGTTATTTTAAGCCGTGGATTCAAAAACCAGCTCAAGTTTCTCTTCCTAAACCTGCAGTATGTATTTCTCAATCACCTCAGTTTCGCGCTTTAAAACTAGCAAGATCCAGACAATTATTCGAAGATATAATGAAAGAGACGAGGGACGAGTAATACGAAGTCATGAGGGAAAAAATAAATTAACTAAACTCTTTCAATATTTTATTAAATTAAATAATTAGATAAGCTAAAGATTTTTATAACATTATTTATATAATATATATAAAAACATGATAATAAAAACATAATAACATAATCAATTAATTTTTTTTTATTTCATAAGTTTGTACTTTTTTATGACTTAGACAGTCTTTAATTGCAGAATTCAACTGCTAAAAAATGTGGAAAACCAAAAAATCAGAAGCTACTAAAACAATTTTAAACCTTTTATTATTTTATTCTTAAAGTTTATTTTTAAATATAATATTATTAAATTATTTTTTGAGAGTATTCTAATTATAACTCAAATTTATGTATAATCGTGTTAATTTAATCAATCATTAAATATTACTACTTATTTGAAAAATCAATTAAAAAGTCTTTTAATTTTATTTTAGAATTAATAAAAAAAAATAATGTTAAATTTATTTGAACTAAATTATCAACAATTTGGAATCAATTAACTTTTATTTGATTTAAAAACAAAGAATAATATTTCTGTTAAATAATTTTAACAATTCATTGTAACAAATTGATTATTAAATACATTTAATTGTTACAATAAAAATGATAAGACTTATTTAATCGTAGTTTAATCATCAGCCATAAAAAACAAAAAAGATGATAAGTGTCTCATAATTGAACGATATCTTAATGATGATTGTGCCACCCATGGAGTGAAAGTAAATATAGGGGCGAAATCGAAATTAATTACATACAGGAAAGCTCGAATATGTGTTTTATGTGGTCATAATATATATACATAGTGAAATGTATAAGTAGAGAATTCCTGCCCGCGCATTTTATTCTTCACTATGTAGTATCCAGGTAAGCACACGAGCAAGTGGTGAAACGTCAGTTGGAATTCGTAGCTTGAGTAGTTCACTTGTGCGCTTCGTTGAACCACTTTGACTCAAACTTTAATGGTATTAACTCATTAAATTCAAGGATCGCGTGCTAAACCCTTGGCCCTATCTTATACCCTACACTCTACATAGAGACTTTCAGTGACATAAGTATAAGATTTCTAGGGCATACCCCACGATCTTGATACACTTTTTTTTGGGGACATGACCATATTTTATACTTGGCATCTTTTCTGAACCTTGACTATCACTCGAGAATATAAATCTAAAATTATATATTCTAAAATAGTTTCCAAGTCTTTATTATTTATTGATATTCTAATTTGTGTTTGAAAGGTAGTGCTTTCAAGTTGGTGAAAACTACCTCTATGTACTAGAGTGATTGACTAGTACTGATTGCTCATGAATGTGTAATTATTTCATTTTCTGAATGTGACTGATAATAATGAAATAAAGTCTTACAACGTTTAATTATTAATTAACTATAAATGACGTTATTTATTTTTCTAATTATTGTAAAGAACAATTTTAAAGTTGAAAATGACACAATACGGTAGCAGTGGTAGCGGAAGTAGTAGTTCCAGTGGAAGTACAAGAAGAGAATTCAAAGATGAAGGACGTTCTCTTACTGAAAAGTTAATGGTAAGTTTTCAATAAATTCACCTAGAAATGCTTAATAAATAGTTTTATTAGATTTTAAAATAGCCTGATAAAAGTCCCAAAAAATAATTCTTGCTCAAAATGTAAAGTTTTACTCTTTGTGTTCAAAAAATTTCCCCAAATGTTTATTTATTTAAAATCTATTAGCATTTTATGTCAAAGCATTTATAACTAACGTAATATATCGTATAACAAAATGATTCTAATGATATAACAAAACAGAAACAATGCAGTAGAAAATTGTATCACTTTACATACACAGCATTGAATTATTTATCATCTTTTCCAACTACATTACTGGCATAGATATTATTTAACAAAATTATTGACAATAACCGTTAAGTAGCTGACAATAACATAACAAGAGAACAATGTTTGTAATTAGTTTAACAATATAATATTATCTGATTAAAAATTATTATAGCAACCATCATGCTTGTTAACAATTAAAATCATTTTTATCATCACAATAATCTTATTCTTTTTAATAGAAATTGAAACTTTGAACTTTTAAGGAATCTTTTAAGTTCTTAGTAAATATATTTCTTTTACAAATTTTTATTGCTTGTTTCTCATAAGAATTTCTCCTTTTTATAACAAATTTCTAGAAATTCGTCATATTATTGCATGACAATTATTAACAATTAGGTATATTAAAAATTTTCATAAATTCCAACTACTGGTGTACATGAAATTCAATGATTCTAATAAATTTTATCAAATGGAATTTTTTTTTTCTAATTTAAAATTCTCTAACAACAAATGTTAATGAAGTTCATGGCATCTTATCTCATAGATACAAAGTGATAGTATTTTACAATACAATATCGCGTGTGTAGTATAATTTTAATGTCGATAAATGAAAGCAACTAACCGATATTTCACATTAAAAAACAAATGATAATAGAAAAGTGAACTAAACATGCAAGCAGACAATTGCGAAGAATAGATCGATATTGGGTCGTTGTTCCTTGCAATATAAAATTGAAAGAATAACACATACGTTGTTGCATTGATGCTCACAAAGTGATTTCGAGGTCACTGGAAGAAATCGATTGACCGTCAGTGAAAGATGACTAGTGGAAATTATTTTATATTTTCTATTATTTGTATTACAGGTAGTTGTACGAATCAGACCATTAGGTACTGATGAACCAGGCCCTAGGACTTTACATGCTTTAAATAAAAAGGTATGAATTTGATGACATTTTTATCAGGATCATCATGAGTTTGAAGTTGATAGATTTAATTAAAATCCAGACATTCCTTAAGTCACAAATACATCTAATAATATCAAAATTAAATTAATACTTAGCTTAATAAATCAATTTAATCACGAAATGTATTTTAAATTAATTAACAATTATTATCTATAAGTTCGAAAAAAATATTAATTATAAATATAGAACAAAAATATTCTAGAAAACTCTTGGCTCTATTGAATGATTATTCATTAATAAAATAAGGTATTTATCAAGAAATGAAGGTGAATTTGAATGTTTTCAGAATTCTATGAGTCAACATATTTTACAACCCTTCATTTAGTTATCTATTAAAAATAGTATCAAAGTAATATTATTAATCAATGAACAATAAAAAATAATTTTTTGTTATAAATAAAGTTTTCAATGATTTCCTACAATTCATAGAACTTATCAATATTCTCAAAGTAATTCTATTTCACGTGAATTATATTAAATATAGATTAGACTAAAAATAGAACTTGTCAAAATGCGGAAATCAAAACTGATTACCATGTTTAACCCAAAGTTTACATATATCCATTAATTAAAATGATTAGATCGGTATATTATTATAAATAAATTTATAAATAAAATTGATCTATTATTTCAGATAATTGTTTTTGATGACGTAGAAATTGAGAAACAAAAACGTGGTACTCCAAGACAATATTTATATGATTTAGTATTAGGAGAAGATTCTTCTCAAGAAGCAGTTTATGAAGGAACAACAAAAGTCATTAGTACAAGATATAATCGATGGTTACAATGCAACAGTTTTTGCCTACGGTGCTACTGGAGCAGGAAAAACTTATACAATGGTTGGTAGTGCTGAACAACCAGGAGTAATGGTACGAGCATTAAATGATATTTTTCTTGCTGCTCGTAAACTTTCAAGTGCTGCTGATGTCCAGGTAAGATTATTCAAGAAGTTATAATGTTCATATCAATGTTTGAATATCATAAGCTCTTTAAGTGTAAAAATGGCCAGTATTAAATGTAATAATTTATGATGATCAATTAGGTAGCAATGTCATATCTTGAAATATATAATGAAAATATTCGCGACCTGTTGAATCCAAGTACGGGTTACTTAGAGTTGCGTGACGATTCTCGAGGTCGCAACATTCAAGTTCCAGGTCTTACAGAAGTTTCAACAAACTCGACAGAAGAAGTGGGTATTAAACGTGTACTCATTTATCAACGCCCAAGCTATTTTGAACTGAACATTTTAATTTACAATTACTATTTTAGGTAATGAAGCTTTTGCACCAAGGAAATAAAGCTAGAACAGTTGAACCAACTGCTGCTAATGAGACATCTTCAAGAAGTCATGCTTTATTAAGTGTCGTAGTTAAACAAACAATGAGGCCATCATCAGGACGTGATTTAAAGCATCGAGCAAAAATTAAGCAAGGAAAATTATTTATGATTGATCTTGCAGGATCAGAAAGAGCAAAGCAGACCAAGGTAACTACAAATTTTATGAAACTATAATCAGAACAAGGATTTAACTAAATGTAAATGACAATCAATATATTTATTAAACTGAAAAAATACTTCTATTATTTAGAATCAAGGAAAACGTTTACAAGAAGGTGCTCATATCAATAGATCTCTTCTAGCACTTGGAAACTGTATTACAGCTTTATCAGCAGGAGCTCGTTATGTTAATTATCGTGACTCAAAACTTACAAGACTGTTGAAAGATGCTTTAGGTGGAAATAGTCGAACTGTGATGATAGCTCATGTTTCTCCAGCTCCAGTTCATCGGGAAGAAAGTAAAAATACACTGATGTATGCTGATCGAGCTAATCGTATTACTAATAAAGTTGAACAAAATGTTGTCGATGTAAATTATCATGTATCTCAGTATAAAGACATTATAAGTGATCTTAAGAATGAGATTTCAAGGTTGAGGAATAAAATGAATGAGACTGAGAGGCCAATAAGTCAACAGAGAGTGATAACAAAAGGAAATGATTTGAGAACGTTGAGGGAAAAAATAGTGTCTGCTTTCAAAGAACAAATGAGATTAAGGTATTATTAATACAAATAAAAAAATGAATAAAATATTATTTTAGAAAATTTGATGAGGGTGAATATTTATAATAAATTAATTTTATTTAAGGCGAAAACTTATGGAGCTGGATAGTCATCTTCTAGGTCTTAATATTGCCGCCGAACAACAACATGCAATCATAGCACATTGGGAGTCGAGAAATAACAGACTTTACAGAGCGAGTAAGGACTCAAAGAAACGATTAAGTGTTGGTAGTCAGATAGACGAAGGTGATAATGAGGGTGAATGTAAAATTAGTACTTGATTCTAGAAATAAGCATGCTTCTTTTATATTTATTTTCTCATTTATTATGTTGCTTGCAGTTATTACTGTCATATGGCATGATTTATATTTATAATTATTATTCAAGTAATAATAAATATTTATCAATTTGTTATTTTTACAGAATTAAATGACGAAAATGAAGTAGATGATGTTACAGTCCAACAAGCTTGGACAGAATTAGCTGAAATAAATAAAGAACAAGAACGATATGCGGAAATTAGAGCCATAACTGAACGAGATTTAGAAAATTGTAGACAAAAAAGTGCTCTACTTGAAGATGTAAGCAACTAAATTAATTAAAAGATTTCATGAAATTTAAATATAAAATCTTCTTGTAGGAATTGCCGTTACGTATAAATTCAGAAGAAGAACGAGAACTTTTAGCTTTAATGCTTCGTGTTCATGAACTTGAAGCAGATAAAATGATGCTACAGAGTGAAAGACTTGTTAAACAACATGAACTTAGAAGACGTGAGCTCTTATTGCTTAGATATGACAGACAAAGACAGATATCTGATGAAATAATTACTCGACAACGGAGGATAATGGAAGGTAAATTTTAAAAATGATAGTGGAGAATTATTTTAGAATAAATTGGTAAAAAATAATATATATTGTGTATTTTATACGGTTGTAGATGGTAAAATAATGCTTCCATCTGATTTGCAAGAATTATATGTTATGTATCAGCGTGAAATTCATGCGGCTGCATATAACGACAGTAATCTAGTGGATTTATCGGTTTCTTCCATGCTTTTTAACAATAAATTACCGCCAATTAATCGTGGAATGCATTTTGACAGTCTTGATGATACACGATTACCCAGCAGGTATAATACAATATTTTCGTAAACATAAAAAATTATATTATAATTATCCACATACTTGAATTAAAATCATTTCAGCTCCACAGACTCTGATTGGGAGTCTCCATTGCCTCCAATTCCAGAACCTCAAGAGATCGAAAATGTCATGGGTCCTGTGGTTCGACCTTTAGTATCACCGTCTGTTTTTTTTCCACCTATACCACCATCAGGCAAAAGAAGCCAGTGAGTTAAAAAAAATTTCATAAATTGATACTTGATGATTATTATTTTTAAGACAATTATGTCTAATCGACACTAATGTTCTGTCAATATTTATATAAAGCTATTTGATTTTTGCAGAGAAAATAAATTACGTCGAGTCTCTAGTGACATTAATGTAAACTCGACAAAGAATACACGTGATTCACGATTAAGAGGATAAAATAACTGCAGTGTAAATCGATTTATTACAATTACTGCAGTAGAATGCTACTAGTACCTGATTACAAACCAAAATAGCCATCTTGATGTCTGCTACTAGTCATTGTGGGCTAATTTAAGTCGACGACGTCGTCTTCTAGCTGGAGAATCAACTTCTAGAGAAGTGGATAATGAAAACGGCCTTGATGTTGATGGTTGATTACTTCTAGATAATTGTTCCGTCTCTATAGTTGAAGATTGTAGTTCTTGATTGACCAATACTTCATCAGTAAGATCAGCCATTTCTACATCATACTTGGTTTGTCTAGGTCTATTTGTTTTCAAAGCTACTCGTCTTGGAAGCAATAATCTCATATTATCATCCTGCTAATAGGATCCTCGAGTTAGGATATATGTTAAGGTAAAAATTAGAAAAAATTGATTACACATTTTTATGATTTTAAAAACAAAACTTAAAATAATTTTCTTTAATTAAATCAATTTTTTTAACGAACCATCAGTTGTTTATTGGTTCTAGAATTTTTACGTGGCTCCCAGACTTGAAAAGACTCAACTATTTGAATAGTACTGTCATCATTTTCCTCCTCAATGGGAGTCTCATCTTCATCTTCACCAGTTGAAGAATCCTTAGAAGATACGATCGTCATACGTGTCCGAAGCTTCCAATCTCTTAGTCGCTCCTCCCACATGCGCTTCCGTTTAATCCAGTAATCTAACTTATGACCATAAATCAATTTTTCTCCTCCACATCTCCAACCTATACATGACTGTAAAATAAAACATTCAATGTAGTACTATACAAAACCAAGTACCGGCAAATTGAATTGTGAAAATTAATTCTTATTCCTTACATAATTGAATTGTTTTACAAAAGGTACACTGAGCAGTAATTTATCATTTCTAAAATTTTCAAGATTTTCCGCGATTTCGTCAATGATTTTATTAACATAATTCGATACTATTGGTTCCGATGCAGAAGACATCAAATCAGGAAATGATGAAGCCAAATAACTAATTAAACTTTCTGCAAAATTCTAAGAGTAACATATATATACATTTTGTTGAGAGTATTTTTAATATTAAAAATTCAACAATTATCCAATATTTAATTAAAGATTTTAGATAATTTTATACCTGAGGAAAAAGATGGAATTTTAAAAAGTTATTTAAAAAAAAAAACGACCAAGTCAGCAAATATTTTTGAATTGTGCTTTAATAAATTGTTTAGAAAAAAATTTTCTAATGAACAAAATCTATAAATTGATATTTACAGTCATATCCTCCTTCATAAGATCCATATCCTTATGCACCATTGCAATATAACCAATTAAAAATTTCAATTGTTTAGGTTTATTGTAAAAATATATGAGTAAATAACTCATTGCGTCCATGATGATCATGAATTTAGCGTTTGTTTGGACATCAATAGTCAACGGCATATCCGGATCAAAAGTAAAATATTTTGTGTACTGTGGATATGTCGTACAAAAGCTAGTTGTTATAAATATTAAATAATGATTAATAATTAATTTAATTATAATTACGAAGAAAAATAATTTTACTAAAATAAATAAAATGATATTTGTATTTACTTTAAAAAAAAAATGTTTGCATGATATTGAAGATTATTTTCAATTCCATTCCATATTTTTTTTAATATTACTCGTTCATTCACTATCGATTTTTTACTTTCATTTATATGGCTCGTTATGTTACCCATTTATATACAAGCTTAATTATAAAGCTTACACATTAACTTGAAACACACATCCTTTCCCTTACAAAAATAATTTACATTAACTATCATCAATTCACATGAAGTCAGCTCGCATTATTTAGTTTACAGTTGGTAAGTAAAAATTGTCTCATTAAATACAATTAATCGATTAGTTATAAATAAAAAAGTACAAATGTATTCATAACTTATGATTGAATTGATCTAGATTGTTCCAATATTTTTTTTCTAATATATTATCCACATTTATAATAAATAAAAATGTGATAATTTTTATACAGGAAGAAATTATTTAAAATTTTTTTAATAATATAAACTACAATTATTAGGTCATTTCAAATACGAATATTATAATTCGTTATTTCGAAATATATTATCAGTAATTAAAATTATCAATTAATGATTAGAAGCTTAAAAATCGTCAGAAAATATTCCAGAAAAGTCTAATATTTTATAGTTTATTTTCTTAAATTATTTATCAATGTCCTTCAGAATGCATGTTTTTACTGGCTCTAACATTAAATCTTCCTGAATGTCTTTTATCAAAAATAATTATTTACATTATAGCTGTTTTCTATAAAAAAATTATTTATGATTGCAGAGGTGTCCCACCAGGAGTAAATAATTTAATTTGTCGGTCTAATAATTTATATAAATAAACAGTCCTATCAGCCCAATGATACTGTTTTCTAATCGAAGCAACTCTCCACACTATACTCAGTAAACCAGAAATTTCACGAGAATGGCCAGTACTCAGAGGTTCTGTACAAACATAAAGATGAGCCATACGTCTTAAAACAGTTACGACCATGTTTGAGTAACAATTATTCGCGTCAGTCTGATAAGAGTGACCCAAAATACACATTGAAAGTTTTGGCTCTATCTCCATCAGTGATCTCAAATATCTTGTATAAAACCAGACTTCTTTGAGGCTTAAATTCAAGTCAATTAAATGAGTGATGTCGTCGATGATTATCGTCACATTTTCATTGACTTTTTTTACTTCATAATATTGATCCCTAAGCGATGCGAACAGATGTTGGACAAGATTTTCATTGAGCTTCGTTGGACACGGCATCTTGGTATTATCAAAGGAGTCTCTAATTTTTTCCTCTAATTCAGTTGTTCCTGGATCTACTGAATCATGTCCCAATTCTTCAACACTGTAGAGAATTGACTTCATCGGTTCAACGACAGTTATTCCTCCACGTTCTCGCAAAATATTTAAATTATATCCTAATTTCATTCCTATATTATGATAGTGACCAAAAGTGTTGTGAAACAATACCAAACAAATACCACGGCCTTTTTCTAATGATTTTGATAGAACAGCATTGACAAGAAAATTGGCGTCACTCCCATGATGTTCATCAATCATTATAAGTTTTCCTGATAAATCTACTTGTTCTAATCCAAGGGCTCTTCTTATACAATCAGTCATTTTGTTTCTATAAGAATTTTAAGTGTTTCAGTAATTGTCTATTATTTATCGTAGAATGAAAATTTAAAAATTATCAATGACTAGAACATAACCTTCGGTCTTACCGGGTTTGTAGAGACTTTTTTCTTTAAATACAAACTTGATTAAACTTGTCCGTCTATGATAAATATGTTCGTTAATATAAGAACAATTTTGCGTAATTATTTAGATATTTGTCAAGTTAAAACAACTTTTTTTAGATAATTAAATTCTTAAGTTAGACCGCTGCTCGTTTCACAACTGCACGTCAGAACCAGTGGTAACCTCTTCACCAATCAAATCACGCATGCGCAGAGTACACTTCTAAAAGCGGGAAATACAATTTTTTTCAAAATTGAATCATCATTTTATGCTCCAGTGAAGCGTGAAAATATAATTCATGTGATTAAATAAAAAATTTTACAAACATCGAAAAGAATTAATTGAATTAAAAGATAAATCAGATAGATAAAAATATTTAATTAAATTCATAATGATAATAATTATTATTATCATTTAAATTTGACATATTTTATTTATTTTAATAATAAAGAACCTTTGTAGAAACCTTATTTATTTTTATTTGTAAACTAGATCAAGTTTGTTGTTAATCTTTTAGCGTCATACTTATTCTACTTTAAACCAAATAAAAGTATTAAATAAGCCTCAAAAGTTTAAGTCTCTGTTTACGATCCAGTTCATTTCAATTTACTATAGTAATCTCTGGGAAAATCTGTAGTGTTGATAAAGAAAAGGGAAACCACAATAAATATTACTGGTGAAGAAAAATTGATCTAGTAGTCTACTTAAATGTTGTTTGATCATTTTCTGAAATTTCAAAAAAAAAATCAATTTCAGTTTTCTGTCAACAAACACGTGGCTGTCAGCTGATGCGCGCGCTACCATAATTTCCACACATTCCAATTATTTTCAATATCGTATAGCTTATCAATCCCACTAGAAACCAACGGCTCACAGTCGATCGGCACCAGTATTCGTCAGTCATTCCACTTTTCATCGCATGTTAAAATTACGGTAAAAACTAAAATCAAATAATTATCTCTTTTGAATTAAAAAATTTCGATAAAGTCTTTTTGAATGAAGCATGCTGTTAGAATTCGATGAAATTACACATTAGATTCATTATAAATTATCTACGATAATTAATATCTACTTAATAATTGTTAATAGATTGATCTTTATCTCTAATTGTTACTATCATGATAATGCAAAAAATAGAGTCATTCACCTCATTTATAGCAAACTTGATTATTGCTTTGATAATTAATTATTTACTCAACTTTTCTTACTAACATTTTTGCACAAATTTTGCAAAAACTATATTTTAACAAATTTTTATTTCATTCAAAAATTTAATTAAATAAAAATTATCTGGTATTTTGTTATTCATAGGCTTGATTATTTATAAACCATTAAAATAAGTAGATAAACAATTAGAATGGGTTCAAAAGACTCGCAAAAACTTTCAAGATGGTATTTTGGAGGACTTGCATCATCAGGAGCAGCCTGTATAACACATCCATTGGATTTACTAAAGGTATATTCAGGAGTCTTAAATTTTTAAAATGTTTAAATTTCTTGTATTTTCAAAATAGTTTTCTGCACAAATTAGTTATGCAATTATGTAAATAAATTTGTTAAATAGAATAACTTTAGAGTAATTATCATTTGCATGTAGTGTTCTATATTTACCTATTATGTAATATTCCAGTGAAATATTAAAAAGGCCGGAAAGAGTATTTAATGACAGAGCATTTTCGTTTTCATAATTTTCAATTAATTAATATTTAAGCCTATTGACGTCGTCAATAACGAAGTTATTTGTAATATTTTGTACTTTGCATTTTACAAACAGGTTCAACTACAAACTCAGCAAGGACGAATGTCAATAGTTAAACATACAATAAATATAATAAAAAAACAAGGAGTTCTTGCACTATATAATGGTTTAAGTGCTTCATTGTTACGCCAAGGAACATATTCCACTACGAGATTTGGAGCTTATGAAGTAAACATCTATTTTTAACATAGAATCCAATCATTCAAGTTCTAAAATTATAACCAATATTCATTAACATCGAGATATTATTTTTACATTCATGGTCGTTATTGAAATAGGTTATTAAGCAGAAAATTGAAACTCCTGGTCAACCTCTTCCCTTTTATCAAAAATTATTACTTGCTGGATCCTCTGGAGCTCTTGGTGGAATCTTTGGGACACCAGGTGACCTCATTAATGTGAGAATGCAAAATGATATCAAATTACCACCAGAGCAAAGGAGAAAGTAAGTTTGATCAGTTACTTTTTGAGTTATTTTATTATTAAAATATATTTATTTATTTATTCAATCTTAAATGATTATTGATCAAATCTGTTAAATTGTTTCAGTTATAAACATGCGATAGATGGATTAATTAGAGTAACTCAAGAAGAAGGTTTTTTAAAATTATTTAATGGATGTTCTACTGCCACTGGTCGAGCTATTTTGATGACTATAGGCCAGCTAAGTTTTTATGATCAAATTAAACAATACTTATTACAATCTGGAAAATTTCAAGATAATTTACTCACACATTTTACTGCTAGCCTATCAGCAGTAAGTTGAAAAATATAAACAAAAGTTAACTCTTTAATTATTTAAGACAATTATTATAAATAATTATGTTTCTGCTAAATAGGGAGCTATTGCTACGACTCTAACACAGCCTTTAGATGTACTCAAAACGCGTGCCATGAATGCAAAACCTGGGGAATTTAAGGTAAAAAATATAGAATAAATTAAAAACTAGACTTACATAAATTATATCTTAAAATATTCTTTACTATACATTTTATTATTTTTTTTTATCATTACGATTCGATTATTTAGCAAACGTTTACAAGATTTTGCAAGCTTTAAAACATCAACAAAAAACTTCATTAAACATTAAATTTTCTATTATTAAAAATCAAACTGATAAAATTTCAAAATAAGTAATATATGTTAGTTAATCATCCATCACAAAGTTATGGACTAAAATGATTATCATTTCAGAACATGTGGCAGTTGATTTTGTTTACTGCCAAACTCGGACCACTGGGATTTTTCAAGGTAAAAAAGAATTAAAATTCAATAAAAAAGTTATAAAACAAGGTTATTCATGCTAATAAAAAATATTTTACAGGGATACGTTCCAGCATTTGTACGTTTAGCTCCGCATACTATTTTAACTTTTGTCTTTCTTGAACAACTGAGAATTTACTTTGGTTATATACCGAATGTTAAGTCTACCAAATTCCAATAACTGTAATAATGACAATAATTAATTTTAAAAGAAGAACGAAACTGCATATCATACAAAATATCGATAACATGCAGATGATTAAGTTTTTTTAATAAGTAAAAATAATTATTATATTTTATTAGAACAATTGTTTGATGAGATTACCATATATTTTTTCAGATAATTGTGATATTATTACATTCCGTAAAATTATTTTTATTACGTATATGCTGGCATATGACGATGTAGATGTATACTGAGAGAACGCACATATATTAAATGGTAATTTTTTATAGTAAAGAAAGAATAAATATTAAAAATATTATAATTTATAAGCGTGACAAATAATTCAAGTTATAACTCAATATATTTATTGTAATTTTTATAATTAATTTTTAGAAAAGAATCCATTCAATATTGAAAAATAATATATTTGCATTTTTGAATGTTTTTTTTTAAATGAGAGACTAATACTTATATCAATAGTACGCTCTACTTATATGTATCATTATCTGTACGATTATATTACATAAATGACAATTGTTGACAGTCTTTCTATTATGTATTTTTTCATTGATTTATTTATTGTAATCTAATTGACTCAAACAATCTTACTGAATGCTGTTACAAATTAAAACAATAATTTTTATATTTTGGTGGATTTATTTATTTATATATATTTTTTTCAAAAATTTCGTTGTACCTCATACAATTATGTACACTTTCTATCACTGCTGAATTATTTTATATAGAATTTTTAACTATTTCTCTAAATCTAGTCATTATTATCAAAAAAATATTACATTGGATATTTAACCATGTTTAATTATTGACAAACTTTTTAAAGAAAATTTTTTCAAGAAATGTACAGACTTTTTAACCTGAATAACACGATAATAAACTAACAATATAAAAAAGAGAATTTAATAAATCAGCAGTTTTTATTATACATCTAATAAATGAAAGAATGATGATGGCTAATTAATGAGAGTCAACGTACTTGTAATTATTTCTGAATAAATGACATACTAATGACATTGATGGTTATAAAAATTCAGAGTTAATATAAGGTCTCATCCGGTAGATATAACGCGCTAAACTTACGTCCATGTTTATGTTGACAGCTACTAATTAATAATGAGTTTATTACTGGTTTTACTATTTAGAATTTGGTTCTGGATCTGGTAAATTTAATATTTTATCGACAAATCCAGCTACATCGGTATCTTTCTTTGAGTGTTCGACTATAAAATCTAACTCAAGTAATTGACTATAATTCGGACGGGCTGTGTAGTCTTTCATTAAACTGAAAAATAAGATGTTAATTATTTAGTATTGATATTATAATTTTGAATTTAAAAAAACTTGGACTTATGTGGATAATAAAAGTACCTACCACTTAGTTATAACTTCATTAAAGGCATCAGAAAACTGTCCTGGTGGTAATTTCGGTGGATCATCTTTAACGACTTGTTTAAGTTGTTCAAAAGGTGTGCCCCAAGATTCATAAGGAAATTTTCCTGTTGCCAGTTCGACCAAGGAAATCCCTAATGACCAAACATCAGATCTTATATCATATTGGGAGGGATTTCCTGATGGGTCTATCCTTTCTGGCTAAAAAATTGATAACGATGAAAATATTTTATTATTTACTGTTAAATATAAATTGTTAAGTAACTATGAATAGTCAATATAACTTACAGCCATGTAAGGTTTACAACCAGCATCAATGGTTTTGGCTACAGAGTCAACGAGGTAACCAGATATTCCAAAATCACAAATTTTTACTTCACCTTTTCGATTGATTAATATATTACTAGGCTTAACATCTCTATGAATGACTCTAAGGTGAGAATAAAGATAATGCAGCGCACTCACTACCTACAAAAGTAATTAATACATGTTAGCATAGCTAAAGTGGATAAAGAAATACTATTCTGTTAAAATGTTATGATAAAATATTCACTCACTGCAAATGCTATTTTTCCTAGAATATCTTCAGGTATGGAACATCCATTTTTATAAGATTTCATATAAAACTTATCTAAACTCATATCCATGACTTCCATACAAATCCAAACATCACCTTCTCTAAATAATGCACCATAAAATTGTACTGTGTACGGGCAATCTGAGCTGCGCATTGAAATATCCAAGTCCATCAGTAATCTCTTTTGCTCTTGTGTATTTACTGTTGCTGTTATTCGCTACAAACAAACATACATATCAATGCAGCAACTCATTAATAAAATAATTATGATAATTACAATGCATTTTTTTTTATTGTTATATATTTTTGTTAAACAGTTTAATTCTCAATTAAAAACTGCATTTCATCAGTCATGTTCAAATAATATTTATGCAATTAATGACTTCGAAAAGTTCAATTGTTATTGATTCAAATTTGACTAACTGGAATAGATAAAAATAATGAATATTTTCTTACTTTTACCGCCATTATGGTACCACTTTGTTTATGCTTTACTTTATCAACAACTCCATATGCTCCTCTGCCAAGTATACATAAAGTTTCAAGATCATCGGCCTCTACTTCAAAAGTTTTATCTTCTATTGTAATTGTCGTTCGCTTATCAAGATTTCTTGGCGGTGTTCTGTAAAAAGATTTCAAGATAAAGTTTGAGACAAAGTAAATATATATTGATACAAATAGATACTTTAGCGTATCGATTCCAAAAGAATATATTTAATAGATAGATAAAATCTTACATAGGAACAGTTTCTTCAGAAACTTGAAGTTTTAGATTTCGTTTGCCTTTGCGTGCAGCCATTATGAATACGTCTAATTCTTTCTTTCTAGCTGTCTTTCTAAGTCCGTTAATAACTAATAAACAACATTTTCAATTAAATAACAGCCCATCAAGAATACTATCAGTTGACCTAGACAAAAAAGTTGTATATAAACACCGCTATATACACACTCATGCAGAATTCGTTAGGTTATTATTAAGGATCTTTATGTTTTAATACTTAAAAAAGAAAGAACGTACTGAAATAAAATACTCAAAATATTAGGCTATCAAAAATATGATAGTTTTAATTTGTCAAGTTGATTATTAATTTATTTTCAACCTTATTTTCAATAACAAATTTATCAAAATTATTGCCCATATATGAAGTTTTCGTGCAAGTTAAACGGTACTGCGAAGTTAGTTACAATTGAAAGGGATGAAAAAAAATTTGATTTTAATCAACTGACTTCAGATAAGTTTTATAGCGACATTATACGACAGCTGACGGAGTTAAATAGAAAATGATCTGATTTTTCATTTTAGCGTGACAGATCAAATGTTTGACAGATTTTTTCATTCCAATATAAGTGCAATTTTTTAATGTAGTGCTTATGTAAGTTATTAATATTGTGAATTCATTTTTTTATAAACGTGATAAACGTTAAATGGACAAATAATTATTTTCTCTACGCAAGTTGTAATCAGTACGCCATGCCGGTGACGCCCTTTCCTTTCTAAGAATTAGTCATTTTTCAGACCATTTATTAGTATTCTTCATCTTTTACGACTGATCTAAAAACTACTTGAGTGATAATCAATCAATTAATATGGATGATAAAGGACGAAAAGTTATTGTTTGTGACAATGGAACTGGGGTAAGGTTATGAACTTTGCACTCAGCAGGAGTTCGTTTTGTCTATACTTTTTGATATAATTGTTATGATTTCTTGAAATATTGTTAATATTAATGATATATAATCTATGGTATTAGAAAATATTTATTAACAATCAATTTTTTGATTACCGTAGTTCGTTAAATGCGGATATGCTGGTGCTAATTTTCCTGCGCACATTTTTCCCTCAATTGTTGGACGTCCAATCATCAGAGCCGTGAACAAAATAGGAGATATCGATGTCAAGGTATGATTATATTCTTAATTAATAAAATAATTAATTTGATTAAAAGATAAATGACTCAGTTTTCAACAGGAACAAATTAATAAATAATAGCTTTATTGTTTACTTATTATCAAAAGTATTGTGTCAAGATTTGATTAATTTGAATGATGAATTTGTGCATTTAAATATTGCAACAAAGATTATTAAATAATTATAAATATTTACACTCAAAAAATTCATTGTAAATAACGGTAATAATAAATAACAAAGACATAATTTGTTATGCTGTTAAAACTGGGTCAATTAACTTAATTTTAACTGCCCAGAAATTTTTCGTGCCGTAATTTAAAGGTACAAGATTTTGAATAAAAAGAAAAATCCTAAAATTTATGGCAAAGATTTCTTTTATTAAGATAAATAAAATATGATTGATTTTAATTGTAATAAAATTATTATATTTTCAGCAAGAACTTTGCGTTCGTGTAAGTCAAATTTTTAGTACCCGGTAGTGTCCCTTGTGATAGACTCCACTTGAAAAAATATGAACCATGCTTCTTGATGAAAAGGATTTGAAGAAAACATTAACATTGGATTTATACATACCCTGAAACTAACTCGTGTTTTCGAGTGACTAGAAAAAAAAACGATTGGCCATATAATATTCGTGCTCTATCGCACTTCATTAACTTGATTAAACTCTTGAGTAAAACAGAAATATTTTTTTTTTAAGCGTAACATATCAATTGATTAGCTATGTAAAAATATATACATATATTTTTTATAAATTATTAATTGTATTTATGTGCTTATTTTTGCCTTCATAGGACGTGCTTAACATGCCTGTAAGTTAAAGTGTACCTCCTGTAACCAGATATTTATGTCACATAGTTGTTGTAATAATTTCATTCTCACAATAAGCTTGTTTTTTGAGTATTGGACTTTAATAATGCCATGTGTTTTATTAAATTAAATTACACTTTTGATTTTATCATAATTGAACTGTTGATGTTATGCTGCATTTTTGTTGTAATATATTGCTCGGATGGTCATTTGTTTGTCAAGTGAATGCTTACCCAAAACTATTTACTTTAAGTTTAATTACAATTTATTATTACAACAGGATTTGCTGGTTGGGGATGAAGCTAGTAAGCTACGTTCATTATTGGAAATTAGTTATCCTATGCAAAATGGAATCGTCAGGTGAAGAAAATAAATTTATATTAGAAATCATAAAAATTTTCATTCTATCCATTATTCAATGCCTAGTCTAATTCCTACTACTTTTTTATCTTTCTTTCTTGTATTTTATATTTTAGAAACTGGGAAGACATGTGCCATGTTTGGGATTATACATTTGGAAAAGAAAAAATGGATATTAATCCACGAGAATGTAAAATAATGTTAACTGAACCACCTATGAATCCAACAACGAATCGAGAAAAAATGATCGAGGTATAAATGATGACTATTATAAATATGAATAATAATAAAAAAGTTAATAGATTTTTAAATTGGTTATTATGGAAAAATTCAAAATTAAAATATATATCAGATAACTCTGGTTATAAATAATAACTAATTGTAGGTAATGTTCGAAAAATATGGATTTACTGGAGTATATATAGCAGTACAAGCAGTTCTAACACTTTATGCTCAAGGTTTGATAACTGGAGTAGTAGTAGACTCTGGTGATGGTGTTACTCATATCTGTGCTGTTTATCATGAATGTGCACCTTGTAATCTAATTAGAAGACTGGATGTAGCTGGCCGGGACATAACAATGTACCTTATTAAGTTATTATTATTACGTGGTTATGCATTTAATCATTCAGCAGACTTTGAAACCGTCAGGATGATGAAAGAAAAATTGTGTTACATTGGTTATAATATTGAAACCGAAGAAAAATTAGCTGTTGAAACTACTGTTCTTGTAGAATCTTACACAGTAGGTATTTTTTAATATTGTTTTTTTATTACGGATAAATATTTGCTTGAGTATTATTCAAACCTTTTTTATAAAGCTGCCTGATGGACGAGTGATAAAAGTAGGGGGTGAGAGATTTGCTGCTCCTGAAGCATTATTCCAACCGCATTTAATTAATGTCGAAGCACCAGGAATAGCCGAACTAGTATTCAACACAATCCAATCGGCTGCTATTGATATTAGAAGTGAATTATATAAACATATAGTACTCAGTGGTGGTAGCACAATGTATCCAGGACTTCCTTCAAGACTTGAACGAGAAATTAAACAACTTTACCTTCAACGAGTATTGAAAAATGATGCATCTAAGTTAGGAGTAAGTTGAACTACATAATTCATATATATTTTTTATTTAAATTGATGAACTTGATTTTATTTGAATATTTTAATTTCAATATTATTATAGAAATTCAAAATCAGGATTGAAGATCCACCGAGACGTAAAGATATGGTATTTATGGGCGGTGCAGTTTTAGCAGATTTAACAAAAAATCGTGATTCATTTTGGATTACAAAAGAAGAATATGAAGAAAGAGGACTTAAAGTGTTGGACAAACTTACTACTTATGAAAATAAATGAAAACAAAATAATTTCAAATTTTACACTGGAAAAAATAGATAAACTTAATGTGCTAATTGCACTTTTATGTAAATATCATAATTTTATGAAAGAAGAAGGTGGTTTCATAAATTTTTTTAACGATTATTCAATTAATCGTGTCGAAAGAAAAGGAAATATGAAAATAAGTTCAATATAATTTTTATTTCTTATGAAGATTTATTAAATGGAAATTTTTTTTATTTAAGTGTATTAATTTTTCATTAAAAAAAAAAATTATTGACTATTAAGGATAAGTAAATTTAAAAGAGATTAAACAAAACCAATGATTTTTTATATTCCTCCATAAATCTACAACAGTCTTTATTGAGTTTCATTCATTTCATCGCTTTACATAATTCTCTTTCCTTTTTTGTATAAATAAAGATTATTTATAACAATATTATTTATATACCACTGTTATATAGATTCCCATAAAGTAACTGGCAGATTGCAACAGTGAATAAGAAGTATATGCACATTTAAACTTTGTACATCTTCGTATTCTAACTAATCAAATAACACTCAATAGTGGTGAATTATCGAGTAAGCCAGGTAATTTCGTTTGTTCATAGTGATAAACGAGTGGTATAACATCCTTTATCACCTGATTTGTTATCAGTTATAGTCATCTAAGCATTTCGATTACATTCATTGTCCATTTTAACTAATTGATAGACAAGTATTAAATCGTACAATTTGTACTCATGAAATTTTTGACTGAGTTGTAAATGAGACCAGTAAAAATACAGATAAAAGTGTTTCTTATGTTTACAATATCCAAATTGTTAATAGTTTTAAAAAAAAGTTACATATATAATGATTTTTTTGTTTTTTAAAATTTTTCTTTTTCTATTTATTAAATCTTTATCGGTCTATTTTTACACTGCTCAATGCAAAAGCTTGTAAAGCGTTTTAAAAATTTCGGGTACTCGCGTTTGTAAACTGCTCGAAGTACTGAAGCTGGTGCCCAACCACCAGGATTCACTAGAATTATTTAAAGCTCGTATTAGTTTATTTTATTAATTAACATCATTTAATTTAATAACAAGAAAATAATCGTACTAGTTAAAAAATATTATTTTACTTACCCACAGAACAATATGTTATTTTACACGTGATTTCATCCCTTGTTATATTTTTAGGATCCTTTGGTGGATCAACAAAAGTCTGACAAACGAGGCAAACTGTCAAATAAACCCTGACACATTTTCCAGAATTTGGCTGAAATGTTATTTATTTTATAATTATAAATCATAAATGTATTAAAAATTGATATTTGATCAAAAACTCACAGGATAATCTGGATGTTCAGTACTGTGATTGCAAACAATATATAACTCTGATGCATCTGGATCTTGTTCATCAACAACACTACGCATATGGGACCAGAAAAGAGCATCACGTTGACTGGCTGGCCAAATACGTTTGTGTGTCTGTAAAAACACTAATGTATCACTAGATATTGTTTCCACAACTGTCATATCCTCGAGAGTAGCCTCCCAGCCACTTCTGTATTCTGGGCTGAAAAATATTTCACAAACTTCTCGAGCTGTTACACCTTTTACGACGTGACATGCCTTAAGGGGATCAACAACTAGTCCATCAGCTTCTTCTTCACGCCTATACATACGCATGTCTCCATCTTCAGCAAATAATTGCCATCCACCAGTTCCTCCGACACCTAGACGTGCATAGTGCAATTGTTCCATTGTAACTTTCTCAATCTAGAAAATGATATCAAAATAATTCGCTTTTCTAAAGAAGAGATTAAGCTATTAAATGAAGCAGTAAAATCATTTAAAACGAACAAACCTCAGGCCATAGTTTATGTTTTGTTGCAGAAGTTGCAGGAGGATTGGTAGAAATTGATACAGATTTTTGCTTTAAACGATCTCGTAGCTGATTTTCTTCTTCAATCTTATCTAAACCTGTTTCCACTGCATCATAAAATTCTTCGTCACATAACGCACTGTGAGGGCCTTCCTGTAAAATAAGAAAATTATAATTTATTAATTTTATGAAAAAATTATTTCTAAAATAGAAAACATTATTTTTAATAAATTAAATATTATATTTTTGAGTTAAATAATAACAGACGTACTGACTGTTTAGAAGCAATTGAAAATAAATTAGTTCTCAACTTAATTTTTCCCATATTTCATAAAAAATACGTTTCAATAATTTATTAATACAAAAAAAATTGAAGATAAACAATGCCTTCCGACTTTGTAAAAACAGTTCTACCCGATCGACAGTCTGCTGACATACTGACTAAGAAGAATTTCTTATCATCCATCGAATACGTTACAGTTGCGTAAGCTTAATTTATGGATGACGATGGTGTATATAGCAAATATTACACAAACAATTTGGAAGTGACTCAATAATCGAGTAATATGCATAATTGTACTAAAATGAATGCTGAACACATTATTAAATATACCTAAGTCATTCGATACTTTAAAAATAATTACTTAATTGTTAAATAATAAATTGTAAACAAAAGTTAAAAAATTCCACTAAACCGTTACTGACAATAGTTATATAATATTGTTTTCAAAACTGAACTGTCACAATAAAATTTTTAAGAATTGACTATTTCTTTAGAAAAAAAAATGAAAAAAAACAAGTAAAGATAAAGAGAAAGTCTAACGATTGAATGTATGGTATTTCCAAGGAAATAAAAAAAAGATTTAAAAACCCCATTGCAAAATAACTGAATGTTTGTATGGACGCAAGTATTTAAGTTTTGAAACGTTTGTTCAGTTCATTACATAATAAAATACTAAAAAAGAAGAAGCTATAAAATGTTGAATACAAATGATTTACTCTACATTGTTGGAGAAATTACGTATGTATGCGATCAAGTTAAGAATAATCACTGTTCGTCAGAGCTTGACTATTCACTAAAACATTTCTATTACCATTTAAATCTGTATAAATTTACAATTAGCTTACTTCATAATCTGGACCACCATGAATTAGAACTCTAGGCCTTGTTGTGTCATTTCGATGTACATTTAATTGATCTTTCAATGCTTTATATAGTTCTTGCATTTTTTTTCTTCTTTCCATCTCTTTTTCCCATCTACGACGCCAAGCGTCCTCACGTTGGCTCATTAATTCGACGCAATGCTGTAGAGTAGCAAGTACTCCTTCACTTGTTGCTTTAAAAGTAATTGCTTCGCCTTTAAAATCGATCGATTGTAATGCAGGATCGAAACTTGTATCGTTTTTATCTGTTGTATTTTTAGCTGATATATTGCGTGCATTTTCAGCACAGTTATCAAAATATTTCTGCAAAGTGTCTACTTGTTGGCTCAAAATATCTTTAAAAGTCTCCAACTCAGCGAGTTTTTCTTTCAAATTTCTTGACCCTCGTTTGCTCAAACTTCCTCCACTAGCTATAGACTGTGTGTTCGATATCAATGATACCGTGCTACCATGTCTTTTCAAACTATTTTCACTGCTATATCCAGACTCGGCCTAGATAAAACATAATGAGTTTGTGAATCATCATAAAACAGATATGTTTGAAGGTAGTTTTCCATTAAAAATTTGAATATCATGTCTGGTTATCATAGAGCCTGTTTTTTGTATGTCAAATTCTTTTTAAAAATGGACAAAAATAAATATACATTTAATGTAACAAATAATTTATCCGTAACAATAAACACAATGATGGTAATAATTATTTCCTGCTATGATAAATATGATTTTTCAATTACAATTATTATTACATTAATAATGTGACATCTGATTTTGAAAGGTTGATAAGAGACATAATAAAATTAAAACACTAATTCCGAGATGTTATCTTGCAAAATCAACAATGATAATGAAAATATTTAATCTCATGAAAGAATCTTAGCACTAATAATTTTTGTAATGTAATATAATAAATATGTGAAATATAATTTTTTTGCGTGTTGATAAATTTAATATAATAATAATCAAATTAATTGTTGATAAAAATACATTGATTCTTAATAAGATTAAATTGTAGGATAAAATACTTACTTTGTACGATTTGAGTACGTCAACCCAGCGTTGTTTTTCTTCAGGAGAATTAGCTCGAAGATACCAAACAAGTCCGTCATTCACAGATACATCGAATCGACATTCATCAAATTCATGACCCTAGATAAGACAAGTACACATTAATGCTTTATTAATCATAGAGCTAAAAATAAAAACGGCACTCATCCAAATCTGTCAGTGTACGTTTACAATTGTATAAACAATGTTGTGCTATTGATAGATAGCTATGTATGACAGATGTTATGTTAATGAGCTTATTAACCAGTTCTTATACCTTAATATCAGCTTTGTAGAGGCTAATTGAACCTCTACAACCAAAACCACTGTCATGTTCTGATTTGTAGTAAGACAACGTGCCATCTTTCAGTACAATAAAACGTGTCTGCCAGCCATGTATGTAGTTAGTCCATTTGGAAAGAGTACCTTGTAGTTCCGGGACTATCACACCATCTGACTCTTCCTCATCGATATCATCACCATCAATCACAACTTCCATCATTTCTTCTCCATTAACTGATGGTGTAACCATGCTCTCGGCCATTATCCCCTTTTTCTTGATGTTTCCATGTAATTCTAGTCAAGTTGTTGATGTGTCAAAGAAATTAGCAAATGGTTTATTAGTGATATTGAAGAGAAAGTTTGAAAAACTAATAATCACAGAGCAATATTGAGAGAGAGTCAGTATTTCATAATAAGACCTTGAAGGCTGCTATAACCTTCAAGAGTAAATCCAAAGAAAATTACAACATCTTTAATTATGATTTTGCAAGTATTCAATTCAATTTTATTCAACTCGTTCAAGTGGTTCTTTAATGATGAGATCCTGAATCTTAAGCTCCACCCATTTCAATAAATTGATTAGTACTTTTTATTCTTTTTTCGTGAGGTTCAATAAATATGATTCCGTATGATCGTGTTATTAGAGTTGTCACGAAGAATTTACTTGAAATGTTGATAATAACTAGGTTATATAAACTGATAAAAAATAAATCACAATAATATCACAATCATTAATTTGTTCAAAATTTCATGTGAAAATGAATTTCATTTGTCCGCAAATGATTCATTGTTTTTTAAAGGCTTTTTTATAGATAAAGTCGATTATTATAATGAGTAAATAACTGCAACGACATTTGACGCTCGATTTATGCGCATCAATGGAAAGGGTTATTTCAGAGAATTATGGCAACAGTAGCGACATGTTATACTATTGACAGTTTGGTTAAATAATTTATAAATCTCTGTTTTATTAACAAATCGTTTCGATATAATGTTATCTTTGTAGCAAAATAGATGGTGTTATAAATGATTTCTGAATTGTATTCACACATATGCAAACTCCTATGCATGCTGCATCAAAAAAAGTAATAAAATTATCAATTATAGCCTCAATATTATGTTTAAAATCGTGAAATAATTTTTTTGATGGTTGGCAAGGTAACAAGGACTTATGCGATTCAAATTTATTCGCAAGGAGTCCTTCAAAAATAGATAATTAATTACTTTTCATTGTAGTGTTCTAACAATCACCCTTTTTTTGTCTTGTACCTGTCATACCATGAATTCTTTCATTTTATTCTTCTTTTTACAGCTTGAAATTTATAATATTATTATTGAATAATAGATCCTTGATTAAATTAAAATTAAATAAATAATATTTATCCTAGCGTGACTGAGAATAAAACTTGGATTTTTAAATTGGTAATTTCATACTTTTAAAATTCAAACAACAACATTTAAAAACAATTTTTCAAATTATTAATTATAATGCTATAAAAATACTCAAGGCAATAATGTTTCTGATAGTATTAAATTTTTTAATTTATTATTTAAAATAAATCTTATAAATTTTTTTATTTTTTATCAGCTGTCGATAACTACTTAAATGTATAGTTTGATACTTTGGAATAGTCGCATTATTTACAGCTTGCTTTTTGACGGTTGCCTGAAACACATTATTTCGTTGTAAGTCGTTTCAAGCTGAGTTTGGTTCGACAATTAAGGATTTTATTGATTAAAGTTCCTAAAAAATTCAGAAATTATACTAAAATATTAAAATAATAAATAAGAAAAACTTATTTTGTGTATTTACAGAATAATACATTTTGTAAAATCATGGATTTCTTAGAATATCCTGACATCACTGCAGAGGTTAAGGGTGCTATGGTTAGTAATTCTTCAATTATTTCCATAAATTTATTTATTATTATTAAAATTAAATATTTTGTTTAAATTATTTTATTTTTAGACTCCTGGTCGTTTAAAATTGACTGATCAGCACATAATATTTAAAAACCAAAAAACCGGCAAAGTTGAACAAATTTCAGCCAATGATTTGGAAATGGTTAACTTTCAAAAATTTGTTGGAACTTGGGGTTTAAGGTTATTTTTGAAAAATGGTCTCCTTCATCGATTCCGAGGCTTCAAAGAAAATGACCAAGAAAAAATAGCAAAATTTTTCTCTACTAATTATAAAAAAGACATGTTGGAGAAAGAATTAAGTTTAAAAGGATGGAATTGGGGAACAGCCAAGTTCCATGGATCTGTTTTGAGTTTTGATGTCGGTCATCACACAGCTTTTGAAATTCCATTAAATGATGTATCTCAATGTACTACAGGAAAAAATGAAGTTACCTTAGAATTTCATCAAAATGACGATGCTCCAGTAAGTCTTTTAGAAATGCGGTTTCATATACCAGTAAGTGATAGTGCTGATCAAGATCCGGTAGAAGCATTCCACCAACAAGTGATGGAAAAAGCTTCTGTTATCAGTGTCAGTGGAGATGCCATTGCAATTTTCCGAGAAATTCAATGTCTTACGCCTCGAGGTCGTTATGACATCAAAATATTTCAAACCTTTTTCCAACTTCATGGAAAAACTTTTGATTATAAAATTCCTATGTCAACAGTATTAAGATTGTTTTTACTTCCTCACAAAGACAGCAGACAAATGTTTTTCGTAGTGAGTTTGGATCCTCCGATAAAACAAGGTCAGACTCGATACCATTACTTAGTTTTATTATTCAACCAAGAAGAAGAAACCTCTATAGAACTTCCTTTTACTGAAAAAGAGTTGAAAGATAAATATGAAGATAAATTACCTAAGGAATTATCTGGACCAACTTATGAAGTTCTTGGAAAGGTGATGAAAGTAATAATTAACAGAAAATTAACTGGCCCTGGTGGTTTTCTTGGACATTCTGGAACACCTGCAATTGGATGTTCATTCAAAGCAGCTGCAGGTTACTTATATCCATTGGAGCGTGGATTTATTTATGTACATAAACCTCCAATTCATATTCGCTTTGATGAAATAGCATCTGTAAACTTTGCTCGAGGTGGTGGATCAACTCGATCTTTCGATTTTGAGATTGAACTCACCAGTGGTGTTATTCATACATTCAGTAGCATAGAAAAAGAAGAATATGGAAAACTATTTGATTTCATTACTTCAAAGAAATTAAGAGTGAAAAATAGAGGTAAAGGAGATAAGATGGATTACGATAATGATTTCGGTGGCAGCGATCAAGAAGATGAACCTGATGCTTATTTGGCCAGAGTTAAAGCTGAAGCTAAAGAACGTGATGATGAGCGCAATGATCAGGATTCTGACGAAGGAAGTTCTACTGATGAAGATTTTAATCCGAATCAAGATGAAAGTGATGTTGCTGAAGAATACGATAGTAATGTTGAAACCTCTGATAGTGATGAAGGTTCAGATGATTCTGGAGGCAGTGAAAAAGAAAAGAAAGAAAAAGTGAAGGAAAAGGAAAAGAAAAAATCAAAGTCTGCTAAAACCGTTTCAGAAAAGCCTCGCAAACCTCGAAAGTCGAAAAAAGAAAAGGATGAAAATAAACCAAAAAGGCCTAGTTCTGCTTTCATGCTTTGGCTTAATGCTACGAGAGATAAAATTAAATCTGAAAATCCGGGAATTTCAGTTACTGAAATATCAAAAAAAGCGGGAGAAATGTGGAAAGAACTCAAAGACAAATCTGTAAGATTTTTCAAATATTTTATTTTATTATTTATAGATTCTTTAAATACTAATCCTAATAAACTTTTCAGGAATGGGAACAAAAAGCAGCAAAATTAAAGAAAGAATATTCCGAAGCTTTGAAAGAATATGAATCCAGTGGAAAGGCACCAGAAAAAGCTGATAAGAAGAAAGAGTCTAAGAAGGAATCAAAGAAGGATAGTAAAAAAGAAACAAGTTCTCCAGTGAAATCAGGAACATTTAAAAGCAAAGAGTATATTAGCGAGGATGAAAGCAGTAGTGATGAAAGTACAAAAGATAAAAAATCCGCAAAAGACAGTGATGATGATGAAGCCAGTGAAGATGAAAAACCCAAAAAAGCAGATAAACGCTCTGCAGCTGTAAGTACTTCTAATTTATCAGATTTGAAAATTTTTAAAATATAATTATTATATAAATTAATGTATTATATTTCCAGGATGATAAAAAGAAGGTAAAGAAAACTAAGAAAGAATCTACACCGGCATCTAGTGAAGAAGAATCGGCAGAAATAGAAAGCGATGCTTCGAGCGATGCCAAAAGTGATTAAATATAATGTTAAGCATAATCATTTCTTTATGACGGTACAATGTATATATTATATTAATATCCGTTTTGGACAAGTGTGTGATCCAGCTTTTTTTGATATATTGTTACAATTTTCACCATGGGAGATTTCAATATGATTGAAACAAATTCATTTGTCATTTATTTATTTTTATAACATAAACTGTATTAAATGTTATTTACATACTTAAAATAAGTATCAACTTCACATACTTATAATGGATAAAACAATATATATATATATATATATATATATATATATATATATATATAAAAAAATTCAAAAATTCATTTAAGCTTCTCAATGTCAGTTGTTATTTGCTAACTGGGTGGTTGTTTTTCCTTTTCGGTTTCTAAAACACTCACTTCAAGATCTTTGATTTCAATTTTATGATCTTTTATAGCTTTCTGCAACCAATAAAATATATTTAAAACGTTACATAAATTTTCAAAATTAAAATGATTAGTTTACTTAGTAAGTTAGTCGAAAAAAAAATTAATTTGCCTGAACACATTCTTTATACACTTCCAATAATGCTCTACAGGAAGAATCGTCTGTATCTCCTTTGAGAAATTTCTCAGTAAACCATGAATTAAAGCACTCGTCATAATTTTTTTTTAGTTGATTACAAGCTTCCATTATTATGCTAAAATATAAAAAATGAGTAAATAAATTACTAAAAATTACCTTGAGACAATTCTGATAAACTTTGAAGAGTGGAGCACACATGGAGTCATTAGTGTCACCTTTCAGGAACTTATCTGAAAACCATGTTTGAAAACACGTGTCATATTGCTTTTTAATCTCATTACACGATTCACCAATACTGTTCATGAATGAATGAAGTCTGGATTGCTCCTGAAAGAAGACAAAAAGACTCCAATCGATACACATATTTATTTTTACGTTGATATTATTGTATGAATAGACACCATGAACAAAAAAAAATTGCTGTTCGATATTTTAACCTATTATTATTTAAATTTAGATGAAACTTCTTAAATGAAATATTAGTAACTTACTTATAATAAGCAATCGATAAGATATTTAGAGGTTATACAGTCTTTGAGAATAACTTTTTTCTCTTGTATTAATTTTTTATATGCACTTTTAATGTATGAGTTAGATAAATAAATAGAATAATACGAATTTCAAAGCTGAATAAATTTTTTGGAATTTTAAGTATTTTAGTTATCATTAAATCATAAAATATATACGCAACCTTGCACGTTGAATATATATTTATGTGATAATTCTTTCATATCCATGGACATGTGCCGCTGTCTAGAAGGAAAGGCGGTAATTGACATTTTTTCAGAAATTACGTTCTTCGAACTTCAACAAGTAGAACTACATAAAACGGTTATATCAGTTTTTATTTCTTATATGAGTTTTACCAGTCATGACATCTTATTTTTTTTGAAATTGTTCAAAAATTATCTGCATTTATAATAGACAAAAGTACATTAATATTTTTAAAACTCTTAATTTTTTTAAAAAACATAATATGCTTCCAGTTGAAAATAATATGAGTAAGTAATTTTTAAAAATAAATACAAATCAGAAAGACTGTAAATATCCGAGTTGAATTTATTCTTCAGAAAAATATGTAAGTTCTCGTCAAGGTTTATTTAATTTTGTGAAAAATTTTTACATCTTTATACTTACAATTTTTATTATTTGATATTGTCTCAATTGTCAATAATGAACAAGAATTCATACATAATGTTAATGATGATTGATTAAAAATTTTGCGATAATATTACCTTACTCATTGTCAGCATATCAATATCCAAGTATAATGAGATCTATAACTCGGTGACCAAAAGAGGTTTAAAATTCACACACTACAAAAAAAGGTTAATAAATCGCCAATTTAATGTTAAATTATTTCATTAAAAAATTACATAATCACGTTTTAATATTAAAATTTCTATTAATTTTATACTCACATGTTTATGATGTGCTGCAAAGAAAAAAAAACTTGATATTTAATGCGCATGTTCGTAATTCAAATATTGAGAATAGGCGCGGGAATATCGAAATAAAACGAACGAATCCGAAGTATCACGAAGCCATACGTCAATGTAATTATGATGCCAGAATCGAATTGGACAGTAGAGGAGTGCTCATGTTTAGTGTAATCTCCGTCTCCTTTTATATCCATGTATTGAGTTATCTTAGAAAGTAAAAATCACTTGTAGAATAGACTCGACAATAGTCATCATAATTTTATTTCAAAATTATGGAGGTTCTTGATCCAACAGTTTCGCATGATGACGCGCCATTGTGTATTAACGATTCTATCGAAAAAGGTATGTTTATTTACACATTCATTTATCCTTGCGCCAGCTGTTTGAAGAAATAAATTAATTTAATTATGAACATTACCTTGCCATTGTGATCTCGATAATGTTCACATTCATTATAATTTCCGGAACACTTTTATGCTTAATATAGAATCGTGGGTCGATTAGATAATGTAAAAAATGAAAAGTGTCAAACAACAAAGAAATCTATGAATCATCTTCAGATTTATTATAGAGTGTCAAGTTTAATAGTTCAATAGTTTAATCAGTTTTTTTAATTTTTCAAGTTCATATTTACGGAACAAATTTCTAACAACTTTTTGATATCAATAATACTTTTTTATAATTGTATTGCTCTAATCTATTTTCAGCTTCTTTAAGACAAATTCCTGAGGACACTAAATCATGTATAAAAGCGAGACATACTCTAGGATTTCTAGGGTTTCTTGGGTTTGCTTTGGTCTATGCTATGAGAGTCAATCTCTCTGTTGCAATCGTTTCCATGGTCAATCGAACAGCATTTCCAGATGATGATAGCAATGACACTAGTGATGTTTGCCCCAAAGGACCTCAAATCAATGGAACTTTTATTCCAGTAAGACAAATTATAATCTGAAATTATTTATTTATCTTTATTCATAATTGTATTTTATTTAACTACTTGAATTCTTCACTTTTTATTTTAAATTTTCATTTTTTTATCCGTTAACTTTCACCTTCATTATAATTCATTTTTCGCATTACAATTTTTCGAAACTTACTCTTTTGTAATTTATGATGTATAATAGTACCTGTTGCTGACGTCATTAGTCTTGATCTAATATTTATTATAATAAGTTAAAAAAGATAAAAAGATAACACTTTCTTTTATTGTATTAAGGATTTTTCATTAAACATATTAATATTTAAAAATGATATAAGTTGGATAACAGTAAAGACAATATTATTTTTATTACTGATGTTTTATTATTCATTACAGATTCCATTTCATGGTATCTTAGCACAGTTTCTATTGTCTTTTCGAGTGATTATTTTTACTGTGTTGATTATACAGTTATTTGTACATATTATTGTCATATTTTTTTATTCTCTATTTTTACTTTATTTTCCATGGAATTATTTCCTTATTATTTCATATGAGCTGAATAGAAAATTCATGACAGAATGTTCATAATGATCACATTGCTATATTACGTGTTCTCTAATGATTACATTTTATCTCTTTTATCATTTTTATATTTGTCACACTTGCTATTAGGTTTTTTTTTGAATAGTAATAAATTTTTATATAATATAATTTGATACATTTAAAAGTTAATCGAGTAATTTATAATGAAAAAAATATTTTGCATAATTTTTAATAGAATATTTTTATAAATTTTTCTTTTTTATTGTGTGTAGAGCCCTGGAGAATTTAATTGGGACGATACGACACAAGGAATCATATTGGGGTCTTTTTTTCTCGGTTATGTCATTACAAACGTTCCAGGTGGCCGAATGGCAGAAAAAGTTGGTGGAAAATTAGTTTACGGTTTGGGAGTTTTTCTTACTGCTCTCTTAACTGTTATAAGTCCATTCGCTGCGTATTGGGGACTTGTACCTTTCCTTATTGTTAGAATTGCTGAAGGATTCACAGAAGTAAGTCACCTAGAAGTATCTTTTATCAAAAAACAGTTATTGTTCAAATAATTAATTGCATTGGCTTTTTTTTATTTGTATTTTTATTAAAAATTGTTTTTTATCTTAGGGTGTTACTTTCCCAGCAATGCACTCTATGCTTGCTCATTGGGTTCCTCCGTTAGAAAGAAGTAAATTTGCTGCCCTAGTTTACGCAGGTATTGTATATTATTATTATTATTAAGGTTACTTCAGAACATTTTTATTTATTTTCACTCAATTTACAAACAATTGGTCCGAGAAATAAGAACATGAATTTCATATTCCTAAAAAGTAATGAAAGAAATTAAGTATGATATAAATAAAAAAATTTGTATCTAAAACGATTTATTGTTTGAGCAGATTTTTAACCATATCTACACATACTTAATTTTGTATAAGGTATTCGTAATGCTGATGATTGGAAATTTATTCACGTTCGAATTTGAATAATATTTACTTAAAGATTAAAAAAAATTTTCCTCATAAATTCTTCAAAAATAAATGAAAATTTATTTAAGAAGATTCAATAAAACTCTTGTTTATTATGAAATATATACATCTTTTTTTCATTAATTAATTTTTTTTGTTTTTCTTTGTTTAGGATCTAACTTTGGAACAGTGATTTCACTACCCCTCAGTGGATGGCTCTGTTCTCTAACATTGTGGGGTGGTTGGCCTTTAGCATTTTATCTGTTCGGAAGTTTGGGTATTATTTGGTATATTTTTTGGTATTTCTTCATTTATGATACACCTGCGGATCATCCGAGAATCGATTATCAAGAGAGACTATACATTGAAGCATGTGTTGAACCAAAAAACCATGTAAGCAATTTTTATCTATATCTCTGTATTGTTGTTCAAACTTAAATATTTACTGAACTGGAAACATAATACATGAGTAATATGTAGCTTTATATTTTTACTGACTATGTAATCATCATATTCACGTTTTCATTTTTATTTTCAGGGTGATGATCGTGGAGTTCCCTGGTTATCAATTCTCAAATCAGCTCCTATGTGGGCTATTACAATAACTCAATGTGGTCAAGCTTGGGCTTTTTACACCCTCTTGACTGAACTACCAACTTATATGAACAAAATTTTGCATTTTGATGTTCAACAAGATGCTGTTTTATCAACTCTTCCTTATTTAACTGCTTGGATTATGGGTCTAATAATTTCTAGCTTAGCTGATTATCTTTTACAAAATCGTGTTATGTCTATCTTGACTTCAATGAAATTCTGGAATACCGTGAGTTCATTTGGAACCAGTCTCAGTTTTATTGGTGCTATTTGGGCGGCCTGTGATCATGTTTGGCTTATGGTTATGCTCGCTGGAGTTGGTTCACTTCAAGGAGCTATTTACGCTGGAAATCAGATGAATCATATCGCCCTCGCACCACGATATGCTGGCACATTGTATGGACTTAGTAATGCTGCAGCCAATGCGTGTGGATTCTTAGCACCGTACGTCATTGGACGACTCATTGAAGGCCATGTAAGTATTTTTTTTTCATCGCTTTATCAGTTAATTTGGCTTATGCATCATTCTTTTGCTGGATTATAATTATTTGATATTATTTGTGATTGTTGAACAAAATAATAATAATTATTATTATTTTCATTTGTTGATTGCAGAGAGATAAAACAATCTCTTTGAGAATAACATCCTGTGTATTGAGAGATAAAAAAATTTTTTAGTGTGCTTTATTTTAATAAAAAAAATTTAATTCGGATTAATTTAATCAGTTTTGCGCAATAAAAGGTTTTCATATATGCTTGAAAAATTTATATTTCCTTAAATTCAATGTTGATAGAATTTTTTATTGAAATATATGTTTTTATTTTGATAAAAAATTTCTTTAATAATCATCGATTTTATTTAATTTTTTTATCACAAATTTTCGTTTATTTTAGGAAACTCTATCACGATGGCATACAGTATTCTGGATGGCAGCTGCTATAAATGTAGCTACAAATTTCGTTTATCTCATATTTGCATCAGCCAAGGAACAGCCTTGGAGTCGAGGGAGCAGTTGATGATCATGCTCATTAAGGAGTTCGACAAATCGTCGCTCATCGATTTCCACACCGATTGATAGAGTAGCTCTCAGTGCTTTCTAGTTAATTTTTTAGATGCGTATTTTAATTGTTTTTATTTTTCAAAAGCTTTTTTGTATTCACTTTATTTAAGCAAATAATGCTTAAATTTTACTCTAATTCCGAGAGAATTTACCAAATTGAAATAGAATTTGTTTTTACTCTACAGTTTTATGATTAATTTATTAATAATTATTAGTAAATTAATAAATTATTATGAATCTCAGTATTTTGTTAGCAAGCAAGGCCATGAGGAGGAATTTGGTAATTGTTATTTTGATGGAATAGGTGAATTATGGGTGCTTACAATCCAATTTATTTAATTTCTCGATTCGAAAGAATTTTTAAATAAAAAAGTTAATATTTTAACATTTTTACTCATAGCGATGGTTATAATATTATTATTGAAAACATTTACTATACATAAATAATTGATCAATAATAATAGAGCTTTATTGATGTAGCTAAAATTGTAACGCACTATTGCATCGTTATGAAGGAATCGTTAAAGAAATTTTCAATTCAAATTAATGAAATACATTTGATCTTAAAAATACAATTATCAATTGAAGCAAAAAAAAATAAAATTTTTACTCTCTGATGAAATTATTACTAAAAAGATGATTTTATGAATAGATTTCAAGCATTTTTTGATAAAAATAAGTTAAAAACGATGTCGATATGTTTTTAAGCTTTATTATATTTTAAGTAGTTATTAGTATAAAGTGAATTTATTTTATTAACAAATATCGCACAATAAATATAGAGATTATTTTCTATGTTTTTTTTTTAGTTATTTAACAATAAATAACACAAAAGACATTTTTAAGCAAAAAAATTAATATGAAAAAGACAGAAAAATATCGATAAAATTGTCGATAGCGCAAGTCAACTCAGGATTCAAACAGAACCAACTGTTGAGGTATTTTATGAAAAATATATGTAGAGTAGTTTTCAATAATTAATTACTAAGTTGAAAATGTTAAATGTTAATGTTTATACAAATATTATGAATAAAACGATTGAATGGGATGTTTATGAACGGTATACATTTTCAATACAAGATTAAAAACTATTTGATGTGTAGAAAAATGAAATGGACGCGATTATATTATGAATTATAATCAGTTTAAGAATAAAAAAAAAGATTGAATTCTTGCAAACAATAGTGTGATGAATAATAATAAACAAGTACAAGCAGAAAATTTATAATTATGTATTGGCGTAGACATATCTTCAATTTTGAATGTTAGTGACATAATCATGATAATTGATGTATAAGATAGAAATTGTTAAGTAAAAACAATTATTCAAAATTGTACTTAAATAAAAAACAGTTATTCAGTTATGAAAATTTATTATGAAATTCTAAGAATATTTCAATATAAAAATATCTACTGGATAAATAAATTAATCTTTGAAGAAATTAGTAAACCGTTGTATGATGGTAGATTTATAAATACATCATCAGATAATACAGTATTCAAATATAGATTAATGTATCTTGTAAGTTATAAAAAATAGATGAATAAATAAACTGTACCAGTGTTACCGTGATCATAAAATATATTTGAAAAAATAAAAATGAAGCATTAGTTACGATAATAAAAATGATAAACTTCTCATGTTATTTATTACATTATTTCTATTTTTTTTTAGTATTTGAGCTGATAGCATACTAAAAATGGGCAATTAAATGGTTGAGTTTATAAGGTTCTATTCGATTGTGTAAAAATCAATTGTAGTAATTATATCTTTCTTTCAACTTTTTCTTTGTATTTTCTATGAAAAAAATTTTATACATTATAATTTTATTATTATTTCTATTATCATAGTAATTACAATTATTATTAAAATAGATGGTTCCAAGAATATTTATTGTCATTAATTAGTTTAGATACATGGCAATTACATCAAAGTTTTTATTAATTAATATTATTACGTCGTTTCATTTTGAGTATCTTTTTTCTTGGCTGTTATTTGATATATCATATCTCGCATTCTACTCAATTCTTTAATCTCTTCGATCATTTTTGTATTATTCTCTTCTTTTTCAGCTATTTCTTGTTCATATCCTCGACACTGCCTCATTAACTGTTCATTTTCTTGTTTTAAGGCTGCTATTGATTCACTATATGTTTCTATTTCTTTTTCTTTTACTTCAATTGTTTGTTCTCTTCTAGATAATTTGTCTTGTAGTTTTGTTATTAGTTTGTTGAAGTCATTGATTTTTTGCGTCATTTCTTGAATTTGATTTTCCATACTAGAATTTTTACTTTCATATTCTTCATTTTTCTTTTTTAATTCTTCATTCGTATTTATAGCATCAGTGTAATCTTTTTTTACCTTTTCTAAACTAGTTGATTTTTCTTCTACTATTTTTTTCAAGCCTTGAATCTCTTGTTTTTGATCTGAATGAAGTCTCTTTGTTTCTTTTTCTACTTCTTGAAGCCTTGTACTAACTTTCATTTTATCCGCTTGAAGATTTTGTAAATCATACTGAAAATGAAACAATAATTGATGGAGTCTATTAGATTCAGCAATCATTTGATCAAGTCTTTGTTGAAGATTTGTTGCAAAACGATCAGCAGCTTCAAGATTAGAATGATTAATTTTTTCAGCATTTTCCATAATAGATAATTTATAATTGTAAAGTTCCATAATCGATGTAACATTAATATCACTAATTTTTTTTTCTGTTATAAGCTCATTAATATTAGATATAGTAGCATCTAATTGTTCTTGTTGGGTTACAGATATCGAAGGTGTCATATCAGAATTTAAAAAACTATTTCGCTTATTTACAAAGTTTGTAAGTGTTTCAGGTTTACTTTGGATAAGCACAATGGGTTCCAGTTCACAAAGACACTTAGAAACTGCAGCGACGCATTCTTGTGGAAATCCAACCGAAGTCATAAGTTGAAGGCATTTTTGTTTGATTTCATATTCACCAGTGAAAATAGTTACGGCAATAATCATTTGAATTTGCTTCTTTTGAATCAATTCTGAATATAATGAAAGCCAGTTTGAATTTTCACTTGATAAATCGGCAGCTAATATCAATGCATAAATATAAAATGAAATGGACGGATTGTGGAGTAAGAAACCAGGCCAGTTATTAGCAGGAGTCAAGTCTTTTTGTTCACAAAGTGGTCTTAGTAGTCTCCGCATAGTCTGTTCGTTGAATGCTTCAGTAACTTGAGCTCGAAGATTAGGAACTTTACTCATTTCCGAGAGTAATTGAATCAGTTCTGTTAGTTTAGAGTTAGTTTCAATACTTCCCTCATCGCTTAATTCATTCGTGTCATTTTCATTTTCAACAACGACCATTAAAGCTTTTAGATTTAAATCTGAGATCAAATCTCCAAAGCCTTTACTACGTCGAGATTCCACAACAATTGTTTTTATCAATGCTAAAGCCTTTATAATCACTTGATCGTTATTGTTATTGCAAGATATCCATTCCATAGATATTTTAATAAATTGGCTGTAAAGTGAAACCAATGATGGTAGTTTCAGTTTAATAAGAGACAATATAAATTCCAAAACTAACGCGACACATAATGGATCGAGAGAAACATTTAATCTCTCGAGAATATTTTTAACATCATTGTGGTAATTTTGATAAGAGGTAAGAGCTAATCTTGAATGTTCATTTTGTTTCATATCTTCAAAAAATTCAACAATCTGTCGCAATAAAGAAGAATCTTTTGATTTTAAAGCCGTTAAAATACTCTGAAAAGTTACCATAATAAATTCTAAAATTACTTTATCAGGAATGTCTTTGTGAGTATGTTCCATTATCATTAAGAGCTTACAACATTGAACTTTAATGTTTGAATTATTACATTGGAGTTTTAGAAGGGTTCGGTGAAGCGCTTTTGGGTCAATTGTTCGCATTAAAGTATAAACAGCCGGTAAATTTCGATAACAAAGATTGATTAAAACGCCAAGTGACAAAGAAACGATCTCTTCTTCTTTTGATTGCATGATCCATTGTGTTAGAGTTGACATTAAATGAGGAAGATGAGCTTCTTGCCAATGAATTCTAACTCCATGAGTCAATTCTTGAAGCAGTTTCAGGATTCTCATTCGTTTGTCAGGAATTAAATTTGTCTCCAATAATTTTGATAGAATTTGTGAAAACTTATAAGTATGAATAAAAGCTTGTCGAGCTGCAGCATTCTTACAAGCATGCTGAAGAACATCTAAAATACTCCAAATTAAGGAGCTTCGTAATTCATGTGAATTCGCTAAGTTATACAGATACATATAAAATTCGGACGATATGGTGCTTCCAGGGTCAAAAATACTTAGATCTGTAGATGAATTAATAGCCTAAAAATGTATATGAAAACCATTTATTATATTTATCTTTCCACTTTCACGTATCACTTGATGTAATTATGAAAACGACTTACAATGAGATTCCTTTGAAGAACTGAAGTAGTTGTTTCACTAGGATGTCTAGAATACTCGGATGCTGCTGAGATGAAGGATCTTATTGCTTGATATTTATCCATTTTTAATAACTCCTGAAGAAGAAATTGAATAGAATTTTTATGAGATGTTTTTTGAATTTTGATTTCTGAATGTATCTATGAATCATTGAATCTATCTAATTTAATTATCACCTTCTCTACAATTGATAATAATTTTTAAATTTATTTTATCAATTTTCTTTAAACTAAATAATAATTTTTGGTAATTAATCACTGTAATGATTAATTTCTTTTCTTTAACATTAAAGTTTGTACAGAAATATTAAGTCAGTAATTAATCAACCATAATAATAACCTATAAAAACTGTAAATATTCTGTTTTACACATAACTTTATCACTCAATATATTTTAATACACATTTAAAAAATTCTTTCGTATTTAGTTTATAAATAAATTATCAAAAAAACGTACAAAATGATCAATTTCATAGACAATATTTCAATTTACAAATGCACATTGACTGTTTAAACATTTTCAAGAATCTTTTCGAATTAAACCGGTAAAGTAGATTTCGAGTGATTGCTTATCGATATTTTTTTAAATAAAAAAGAAAAACAGTTACAGACAATTCCAATTTTTTCGAATAAAATATTATTTTAATTTTTACTCGGAATTTCAAAATAAGAATTTTTAAAATATAGCTATATTATTTAAAAAAATATTTTTAAAACTAAAAATCATTTTTTAAAATAAATACGTAACAGAGTAGCGATGATTGAACTACTATTTTTTTATCCAAGACGATCATAATAAATTTTATCCTGGAAAAGCTTATAAATTTCTAATTTTCAGGTCTAAATGTCTATGATTTTACAAATTGTGAAATATTTATATCCTTAATTTATATATGTAATTCGTGGAAAACATCGATGTAAATGTCTGTGCGTAACTTTGGAGTACGCATGCGCATAGACAGTCTTTTGTTTGACATGCGCAGGCCATCACTCTTTCCCCCTCAGTTCTTTGCTTGTGGAAGTTCGATATGTGTCGTGTCGTTTGCCGGTATATATTTAATAATTTAAATGTTATTAACGATGCCAAAATTGTGATTATTGTTCCGAAAAATTAATTGATCCATTTTTAGTTAACTTCAGTCATTGTATTACATGTGTTTTTGCTAAGTGACATTGTTCACTTGTTGCAAAAGTTAGGAAAAAATTTTGGTGGGAAAGTCTTTGAAATCATGTGTTGAACGAATGCGCAGACGTATATTTATGTAAAGTTGAGAGTTTAAAAAGTTTCTGATGTTCAGATAGTGATTTCTTAATTCAAGTTAATGTGTAGTTAGTGATGTTCTAGTGTTTAAAATAATAGTGACGATATTTTTGACATCAAAATGGTAATATTGCATTTCCAAGAATTTACCATATGAAATTTTACATCATCCAAAACTATTCAGTCGAAATAGTATACAACATCAATATAGAGTATTATATCAAGCGTAAATGGAGATGATAATCAGTAGCAATTCTTATAATCTAAAGGTATTTGTTCGCATGAAATAAATCAAGCTTTCAACTTGTGGTTAATTTAATTAGTTTGAAATACTTTGTATTCTTGGTAGACTTATATAATTTTTATAAATGTTACAATGTTTTCTAAAAACTTAATAGTAATTTTCTGTGTATTTAATTCGATTAATTAAATTTAATTTAGATTTCTATCAAGTTTGAATTAATTTTATCCTCTCGAATTGTTTACCATTTAAAGCATAAACCTATTCATTATTGAATGTGTCAACATCGATATATTCATTGTGGCTTTAAAATATTCGATAAATTCAAGCCAAATATATTGTAAATATGATCCAAATTATCATGAAAATTTGAAATCATTAAATAAGATTAACATGTTTGTTATGCTAATTCGTCAATTTTGATACATAATTTTTATTTTACTATTTGTCACTTAAAAACTTAAACTTTATAGTTTTTTTTTTTATTTCAGCGGTAAATTCGTTTGGTTGGTTACCACTTTATAGACAATGATGCAAATCAGAAGACAATTACGAGGTCATATCAAACAAGTTGAAGAGAGGGTGAGTAAATAATTGATTTCTTTGCAGATTTACATTATCATTTGTGGTCATTTTTTTTTTGCAACTCTTCTATAAATAGTTTTTGTAAAATAATATTTATTTATACTCATTTGATAGTTACATATAGTTCTAGAAAGCATCAAGTATCTTGGTAAGTGTATGTTTATAATTGAGAAAGTTTTTACTTGAATAGTGTTTTTAAGTCAATGAGTAAGTATTGGTAGTTGGCAGTAGAATAGTAGATAAGTCGATGAAGAAGTAAAGCAAGTATACTCAACTAACTTTGACTACGTGGCGATTGGAGAAAAGGTATCTTCACCCTCCACTCACATTTATAACACGTATACCTTGTGAATCATTTAACGATTCGCAGTCATGTCTATAACACTAACCATCAACTATTGGCCCACGTATATTAACCCCATAAAATCACTCAAAATTATGATAATAATAACGCTTAAGCACTTATGTATATCTGTCGTTTGTTCTATATAAATGTTTTATATTTAGGTATTGTTTTATTTTAAGAATTATTCGATTTTTTTTATGATTGAAAAATTACAATGCTGAGTAATTGGAGTTTTATAGTTGCTTGGATATAGTAGCATTAACATGAATTTGAAAAGTGTTGAAATTAAAATAAAAAGTTGTTTATAGTTTCTTTTTCATTGGAAGCTAGTTCTGTATTTGGTAGCAAGAATCACTTATCGATTTAATGTGACGATTAAGTAATTGATTTTTCTAGAGATCATGAAAACTCTTAAGTTGATCCTAATGTTTCAATTTTTGATAGCATAATAAAAAGACCTTCTTTTAAAGTTTGCTTTTTAAAATTATTTATTATTTATTGAACATTACAAAAATGAAGATTATTGACAAAAATAAGAATCACTTTTCTTCCATTTTAAATAAGTTAAAATAAAATTTCTTTTATGATAGATATTCTTCTAAAACTATTTTTATACCTTAAAAAAGATAAAAAGTTTTCGATCATTGATTGAAGGAATTGTAAATCAAGTTTAAAAGAATAATAAACAACTAGGAAAAATAAAAGAAATAATAAGGAAGTTCATCTAGGTCTTTTGTAAAAAATACTTCAATGGTCAAGGGCTTGCTGAATGCGTAGGTGTATGTCGACAATCTTTATAGTCAACTAAACGACTGTTATGTGCTTTGTGGTCATTCAAGCTTTAGTTAGTCTATCCAGATTCGTGTAGGTGCTAACGTGTTCTAAACAACTTTAATAGTAGTAACTTTTCACTTTGTTGGTGAGTTTTACAGTAGAAAGAATTTTCATTCATTATATTAATTAAATGAAAAACAATGATTAAAGTTAAAAATGTTTTTTTAATAATGAATAATTGGTTATAATTGATTAATACTTTCAGAATACCGATTTATTGTTTTAAAAATTTCATTTATTGCCAAAACCATGAAAAAATGGAATTTTTTTTAAATAAAATTATTCTATTATGAGACAAGATAAATACGATAAAGTAACAAAAGAATATTTTGTAATGTGTTCATTCAATCGAGAGTATTGATAATCGATGATAAAAAATTATATTCTTGATATATTTGAAAATAGTTAATATTTTTACAAGATGTTGTAATTAGTTTTTTTTAATAGATAAAAAATTGAATAAATACAATATAATTTAAATTTTTCATTGAATAGAGTATGAAATTATTTTTTCGAAATAATAAATTTAAAAAAAATAGAAATACTATTCTGTAAAAATGATATAATTTTTTTTTTTATTTTTTAAAAGTATTAGAGGTCGAAATGTGAGTTTAAAATTTTTATTTTCAACGTTGATTATTATTTTTTCTTTTTGATATCTATGAAATGGAATTGGTGTGTAGTAAAAAAATAGAGTAATCATGTTTTTAGATAAAATTTATTTACGTATTTATATGAATAAAATTGGGTACCATACTATTTTTTTTAAATTAAATTTTTTTCAAGTAAATATATTTAAATGATCACATTAAAAACTTTGGCACTTTTATTAAGGAAATATGAAAATAAATAATTCAAACTCGCTAGGTCCTGTAATAAAAAAAAATCTATATTGAAAAAAAGCTATTATATGACAAATATTGTTGTACTGAATAATATGTTTCATAATTCAACAAAGGGTAGCATTTTAAAAAATTGTTTATGATTATCTAAAAATATTACTATAAAAATCAGTTGTCAAGTCTAAACTGTTGCTAATTAATTAATAGTGTTAATCAGTAGTATTGCAGGGAGAGCTCATAATTTTTTGTCTACCATTATTTCAATTCTCTTTATATAATTACATTCATACTAATATATTCCATTGTAAATAAACAACATTAATTTTATATTTTATCAAATAAGTATTTTCACCAATTAGTTCTTGATTTATTGATCAATTCGAGTTTCTGGTATTTCTAATTATTGTTTATCTAATTAAAAAGTGATCAATCTTAAAGTCGATCAACAATAATACTTTCATAAATGATTTCTGCTCTTAATCTAAAACATTTATTAAAACATAATTTTTTTAAGTTATTAAAATAAACGTTTATAGTTGAAAAAACGTTTGACTGACATTATTTTATATGACAGAAATTCATGATAATCTTTTATCATTGATTGAAACTCATTAAATCAGAGGAAGAACGTATTTTACATCAATAACAACTGGTAAAAAGTATAATACTCTGAAGAAAGTGTATTTTTTATCTGTGAAAATTATTTGTTTCCAAAGAGTATAAAAATATTGCATTTGAATAAAAGCATAAAAAGATTATTGGTAAGAGTTGTGGTAACAAAATGTCGATAGAAAAAAGAGTAGAAAAGTGTTTGAGATTGTTTGGAAAGCCGGATTTCCCAGACGTAAATTGACGGTTATATAAAGTGTCATGAAGTAGCTTTACGGGGGATAGGAAGTTGGTACTGGTGTTGTGGAGGACGAGGAGGTAGTGCGATAAATCGGTGAGATGTGGATGGTGCTGCTGTGGTGGTCGTTGGGGCGTTACGATGTTCCCAGGGAACGCCTGCACCCCTTGGGAGGGTAATTCCCGCTGACTCTGCTCTGCCTCTTCATGTTTATACTCATCTGTGCTGGATTCACCCCCTTCTGTGTCGTCTACTTTGCTTGCAATGTAACTTATTATCGCTTTGACTTTTCTGCTAGTCGTCGTCCCACTTGGTGGCTAGATTTCTGACTTCCTTCCTATATTTCAAATCGATAATCGATAATAGACGAGAGAACTGTTTGGACAAAAGGAATGAGAAAGTTTAAAGTGACTGCAGTAGGCATGGAATTACTCATTATCGAAAATGCGATGATTGCGAACGAGAAAACTTTTCGACGCATGCGAAACTTTTCCAAATCAACGAAGGGGGATGAAGTGGGACGCGAGGAATAGCTGAACTTTCTAGGGAATGAGGGAATCCAGTAATTAGTTGGGAGCTTTTACAAGGTTGCGAAGTGAATCATCCATGTATTAGATTTTATTTTTTTATTCAAATGTTTAATGAATTTTTATTTACTTTACAACTCATTAATGATGGTGCTTGAAAAGTCAGGAAGACATTGATTTTATTTGTCTTTACAATCAATGAATTAATTTATACAATCATTTATTTTTATTCAAATTATTTAAATCATGAATAAAAAATTTCGAAAAATGAATAAAAAAGTTTTGAGTTATTCATTTGTTTTAATAGACAATTAGTATTAACGGAAAAAATATTGAATTATTTTCAAGTTATCTTTCTAATAAAACTTTAATAGAAAGCTTCATAAAGCTTGCAAAAGTTTCTTGACAAAAGATGTCGATGTATTTTAAAGTGTTATCAAGATTTTTTTAATTTATTTAAATAATGTAATCATTCATATTTCTTCTGGCAGTAAAAATCATTTTTTTAAATTAAAATATAAAATAGCAATGCATAGAATATTTTCAAATAATTTCAATATTTCATGATAACTATTTCTGCAAATGATTAATTATTGTTTCTTCATTTTATAATTTTTCACTCATTTTAAATCATTTGTTTTAAATTAATAATTAGTTTTACAAGCACTCTTTTGTGAATAATTAATGAATATTTTTAATGTAAACTAAAATTCATTAATATAAATGAATTTTAATAAAAAATATTCCACAGATATTTTTGACGTGAGTATATACATATTAAGATATTTTTTTTTTTGAACAAATCAAAAATAGCTAGAAAGGCAATAGAAAACCTCTAAAAAAGAAAGAAGTTAGTTAACACAGGTGTACGTTGGGATTATGAGTACGAGCAAAGACCAATTAAATTTTACGTGAAAGTTTGTAATAGTGGTAGTAGTTGTAGAAGTGTCCCGTTCGCGAAAGAGGAACAAGGAGAGGAAGCAAGATTGAGTGAGAAAGAGGAGAGAGTCGTGGAGATCGGGATAATGAAAGAGTAGGGAGTAGAAACTGTATGAGAACTAAAGAGGGCGATGAAGGAAAAGAGAGGGCGAAGGGAGGTATAAAAGAGGATGAGGTAGGTTTTCATAGCAACGGGTACAGAGCGATAGAGACAGCTTTACAAGTTTTCCGAAGAAAAATCTCTGGAGGGTGCGGGCCAAGGAAGTAGGAATAGTTGGGGTAGATGGAGAAGGGGTTGTCTTTCCCCTGGTGAAGCACAGAACGAGGTCGGCTAAGACTGAGAGGTTGTATAAAGCAAGAGAGACAAAATTTCGGAGAGGTTGTGGCGTCGCATGACACGACACGACTGCCGCTAGCATCTCCCTTTAGCGCAGGGGTTGGAACGCGGTAGTTATTGTTGAGTTCACATGAGTGTAAGTGAGAGAGAAGCATCGATCGGATTCCGTAGGAGAGCGCAATGAAAGGAATCTTTAAGACTCGTATGGCACAGTATACGCGTTCGAGATGGAGAAAGAGAGAGAAAAGATTACAGCGGGAGGTGGGTGGAGGTGACTCCCTTCTTCGTGTACGGGACAGAGAACTGTATTTGTAGAGTTTGCCTT